GGAAATAGATTGGAACGCAGGACGATTCAAACTTACACGTTGCCCAGGTCAAGTGTGAGACTAAAAAAGAAAAACGACTTAAAAATCGAGAAAACAGAAAAGCACAAAAAGATATTCCGGATCTGATTCCCACAGAAGAGGATGACGATGAAGATTGGATGAAGAAGAGGGCGACGGTTGAGGAAGTAGAAGATGAAGAAAGTCCTGAAAGATGGATTAGATATAAAGGCTCAGTCGCCACGGAGCAGAAAGTAGCAGAAGGAAGCTACTAAGAAGAAGAAGTCTATGGAAGAAATGGTTCCGGACTGGCTTCATGATTACCTGGGAGTTTTCTCAGAAGAGGAATCAAGACGATTTCCTGAAAGAAAGAAGTGGGATCACGCGATAGATCTCAAAGATGAAGGCGATCTTCCGCCAAATGCGAAACCATACCCGTTGTCACCTAAAGAGATGGACACATTGAAAGATTGGTTGAAAGCAGAGACTGCATTGGGACGTATTAGAGATTCACAATCCCCGATTGCAGCACCTTTCTTCTTTGTGGCTAAAAAGGATGGCAAGTTACGCCCCGTTATGGATTACAGGAAGCTCAATGATAGAACGGTCAAGAATGCATACCCTTTACCAAGGTCGCAAGATCTAATAGATGCATTGACCGGAGCGACCATGTTCTCTAAGATGGATGTACGATGGGGGTACAATAATATTCGCATGAAAGAAGGAGACGAGTGGAAAGCGGCATTCAAAACGCCCTTTGGTCACCACGAACCAACCGTAATGTACTTTGGCTTGAACGAACTCCCCTGCAACTTTCAGACCATGATGAACGAGATATTCAAAGATTTGATCGAAGACAGAAAAGTAGTTGTCTATATCGATGATATCCTCGTGTTCACAAATGCAGACAAAGGAGAACATAGAAAGCTTGTACGAGAGGTACTCAAAAGATTGAGAGATAACGATCTGTTCTTGAAGCCAGAGAAATGTAGCTTCGAACAATCTCAAGTAGAGTTCCTCGGGTTGATAGTGGAGAAAGGCGGAGTATCAATGGACCCTGTGAAAGTAGAAGGAGTATTAAATTGGCCTGTTCCCAAATGCGTAAAAGACATACAAGCATTCATGGGTTTTGCCAACTTCTATCGAAGATTCATATTGGGGTTCTCGAACATTCGCTAGACCAATGAATGATTTATTGCGAAAAGATGTCAAATGGGATTGGACGGAGAAGCAACAGAAGGCCTTCGAAGAATTAAAGAGGCAGTTCACAGAAGCTCCGTTATTAGTCATGCCAGACGTTGAAAAGAAGAAGAGAATAGAAACCGATGCTTCTGACTATGCATCCGGTGCAGTACTTTCTCAACTGATGGAAGACGGATTATGGCATCCCGTGGCATATTACTCGAAGTCAATGAACTGATGCAGAACGAAATTACGACATCCATGACAAAGAGTTACTCGCAATCATTCGAGCGTTAGAAGAGTGGAGGCACTATGTGCAGGGGGCACCTCACCCAGTGGAGATCTGGACGGATCACAAAAATCTCGAGTACTTTATGACGAGCCAAAAGTTGACAAGAAGGCAAGCCAGATGGAGTTTATTCCTGGCGGAGTATGAATTTACACTCCAACATAAGCCTGGTGTAGTCAACGATAAGGCAGACCGTCTTTCTCGGAGATCAGACCACAGAGGGGGGGTAGAAAACGACAATTCCGACCGCGTTTTGCTGAAACCTGAGTTTTTCCAAGCTAAAGCTGCTAAAAGAGGCCAAATGCTCATCGAAGGAGAAAGTTCGTTGCTAAAAAAGATAAGAAAGAGCACGGAACGAGAGCCTGAGGTCATGAAAGCTTTGGAAACGCTAAAGACAGCGCCAGTACAGCTACGCAGAGGAGTTGAAGAGTGGAATGTTGAGGACGGATTGGTGTTGTTCCGAGGCATGGTGTACGTTCCAAACGATAAAGAGATCCGCCGAGAGATATTGGAGTTGTTTCACTGACTCTCCACCGGCTGGACATCCTGGACGAGCCAAAACCTTAGAATTGATTTCCAGAAATTATTGGTGGCCTTCAATGACGAAGTATGTTCACGATTATGTAGATGGTTGCGATCGATGCAAACAGACAAAAGTGTTCCCAAGCAAACCAACGGGACCTTTGCAGCCAAATGAAGTGCCTAGTGCACCTTGGCAAACGATCTCATGTGACCTTATCGTGGACTTGCCAAAGAGTGAGGGAATGGACAGCATTTTCGTAGTCGTAGATCGATTTTCGAAGCAGTCGTATTTATCCCCACGGTAAAGGAAGTAGACTCGAAAGGCATTGCCGAGTTATTCCTGAGAAACGTCTGGAAAAATCATGGAACACCAAAGAAGGTGATATCGGATCGAGGAACACAGTTTATCTCGAAGTTCATGGGACAAGTATCAAAAAGATTAGGAACGAAATGGTCACCTTCGACCTCCTATCACCCTAGAACAGACGGACAGACAGAGCGCGTAAATCAAGAAATAGAACAATATTTGCGCTTGTTCACATCCTATAGACAAAATGATTGGGTGTCTTGGCTACCGATTGCAGAATTTTCACACAACAACGCAGTCACATCAACCGGACACAGCCCTTTCAAAGTCTTGTACGGATACAATCCCGAATTCACCATATCTCCGAACTCCAAATCCCTTATTCCCGCCGCAGATGAGAGAGCGAACCAAATGAAAGAAGCACGTGAAGATGCAGAAGACACTCTAAAGATGGTTAATGAACGGATGAAACGTTTCTATGACCGAGGAGTGAAAGACGCACCGAAGTATGAGAAAGGAGACAAGGTCTGGTTAGACGCAAAGAACATTAAACAGCGTCGTCCAAGTCAGAAACTATCAGATCGTCGTCTAGGTCCCTTCGAAATACTAGAGAAGACGGGCGAGGTGAACTACAAATTGAAGTTGCCAGAAAGCTATAAGATTCACCCCGTTTTTCATGTCGAATTACTCACGCCATATCGTCCATCTCAAATGGTTCCTCATCGTCAATCCACCCGACCACCGCCAGAGATCGTTGCCGATCAGGAAGAATTCGTTGTAGAATCCGTATTAGATAGCCGATTGTTCCGAGGAAAGCTGCAATACCTAGTAAAATGGGAAGGATATCCGACAGATGAGTCGACATGGGAGCCAGAAGAGAACTTAAAAAACTCCCCGATTCTTGTCGCAGAATTCCATAAAGAAAATCCCACGGCAGCCGCTTCCAAAAGAATTCGAGGGTCTATTCTAGAAACATCGGAGTTCAAAGAATGGAGACAAAAGAATATCCGTCCTTCCGTCTTTCGCGATGACGCTCAACCTAGAGGGGGGGTAATGTCACGAGTTCCAAATACAAATCATTATTCTTTCCTTTCGACTGTCAACATTAAGCGCCCATTCCCAGCACTAACTCCTAAACGCCCAACATATGTTCCAAACCTTAACCCTAAACCTATCGCTACTATAACCGAAATCCCAACTCCAGACTTAGACGCCATTACATCACGTGACTCTCCTAGAACCTTCCAGAATTTCACAGAAGCAGCATCGCTTCTCATGACGACATAATTCCTTTTCACATTATCACATCGTACGATTCCGTTTCTTATTTTATGATTGGCTAGTAGTTAGAACTCAGTTTGTATCTCCTCTTGAATAGTTGTATATAGTTAGGACATTTCTAGTAAGTAGTTCTTTAGTTCAAACCTTTCGTCTCTACATCTTGTAGCAGCCCAAACGTACCTGCTCAATCCCATCTCTTTTATCGTGATAACCTTTGTTTGAGTCCTAGTCTCTGCCCTAGCATTAAGTTGTTTAAGGGGTTGTGACAATATTTTTACCAAAGTCTTACCTCGCCCCGCGTTCACACATCATCGCTCTGGTCTTGCACTTGTCTCCACATGATTTTTATTTTCATTTTTATTTTTCCTCTCTTCTTCTCTTTCTCTTTCATTGTCTCGTTGTGGGGGTGTGTTGACATTTCAACATCGACAAGTTACTCGCATTAGTCATCGCATTCCATATTTGTTTCCTTTTATCTCTACTGTTTCCCATTGTTTGTACCTCAGCGGTTTATCCACAACGCTGAGGTATGTCTAGTATTCGTCGTGCACGCTGCATTGTTCTTACTTTATTCTGTCTCTAGCTTTGTGTCAGGTACATTAATAATATAGCGGTTTATCCACAACGCTGAGCTTTGTGTCAGTTTCTACACTAACGTTGCACGACTGGACCGATCGCGCATGCAGATGCGCAGAGTCGGAGACAATTGTACAATCACGACTCCTACTGACTCGGACTCGGATGGCGGCCAAGATGTTGACGCATGTGGACTCTCTTGACGCATCATTCTGGGGAGATGCTGGTTACGCGAACTTTCAGTGAAAGTTGAACGTTGAACGTTCAGTGATATGGGGAGGAGCACTTAAGAACCTCGAGTCTCTTTTTTGAAGGTTAGATAGTACTGGATATTCTTCTGTCCGTCGTTCACGACTCTTCTACACAGGCCTCGGATCCAAGTTGTGAAGTAGTCAAAAATTCGCAAATTTCTCCATGCTCGAGCATCTGGGCTATCCTCACTCACCCACACTGCCCGAGTCCTCAGTCATGATCAGCGGATTTTCGATGACTGCAAAGCCTATCCTAGTGATAAGCTAGTCTTCTCAACGAGAACTAAAGAGCTTTTTACGCCGATTTGCCTTTCTACTTAGACAATGGTGAACATCGTGTGTTGTTGTCGAGAATGCGGCACTGATGCCAAGTTGCCAATGGATATACCCGCGCCGGAAGGTGATAACTATCATCAAAAGTACTGATTGTATGTTAGTTGAATAAGATAGATGTGCATATGTCTCAACCTTCTTGATGATCATCAATCATTGATCACTTGGTTGAAAGCGCACCCGAAGAGGGTCAGCTACTGTTACCGACTTGCGATCAAGGTCAGGTCACTAACAATGTTGTCATTGTACGACAAACTTGATGCAGGGTGGATGGTATGTAGGTCGTTCATGGTCATTCATACTATTGGCGGACTTCCCATACACTAGGATCACGAGGAAGTAACAGAGAGGTACCTAGAGCGAGAAATGCAATCGCCATCAAGTAGTAATAGACCATCCATGCATCATGACCTTCCCGCATCGAATAAGAGAAGACCGAAGCTGCAGACGCTGGGGCAATGATCCTTGCTCCTGCGGCAACCATCTGGGCAATTCCATTGGTTGTCCCAAGCGAGGCGCGATTGGGAGCAGCTGCTCGAATAAACAACGCCATGCAGGCTGTAGGTTCTTCTCAGTTAAGTACCATGCGTGAAGTACTGGGGTTAACATACGATAGCACATCATCAGACTAGTCGTCAGCGCATGTTGCACGGCAACACACAACCACACTATCAAACCCACTCCATGGACTCGGGCTAGAACATTGATCACTGGGAATAAAATGACGATAGGTATACCGGAGCTAACACCGGCGGTATGAATGGCTCCTGCGCCAAAGCGATCATTTAGACGAGCGTAGAAAAGTAGCTGGAATATGCCATGTGCGAGACCTGATGCCGCAAGTATAGCGCCGATGCGAGGAGGATCAAGGGAAAGACCACCGAGTTCAATCGGCGTCGCATAAAACAGAGGTAGGATCGAGCTAAATGCCATATATAATACAGCCATAGTGACATAACTGGCTGTTACAGTCAGGACTTTTGGTGTTAGTGAGGCACGCAATGGAAGCGGCTTTGATGGAACTTGTTCAGAATTCGCTGCCCCAGAGCTGACCATGGCATTGCTCGATGTCATGGAATGCTGTGTATGCGATTGTCGCGAGAACCATCCTTTGAGCAAGCCCAAAAGTGGCGCACTTGTTGAAACGCTCTCATTACCACACTTAGTGTCATCCAGACATGATCTTTGAAAAATCAATTCCTCACCTCTTTGAAACGGAAATACGTGACTAGCCAAGCCACCGAGGCAAATATAGCCGGAACAGCGCATGGCAAGAGGTATGGGTAGGTTTTCAGGAGTTCTGATCGCCCAAATATATTAGGGAACCTATCTGCGGGTCGGGAGAGCGATCCCCCGACGAGTGGTCTAGGATTAGCATTGTCAATCCCACTTCCAGAGCAAGCAGATATATTGTAAACGCCTACCCAACTATGGTTCCCAACATCAATGGGAGCGGCATGTAGCCGTATGCCTTCGGCAAGTTGGTTGTGTCAGTAATGTCCATCACCATGCTTTTGACGACACCATTACTCCCATTGAATGCCCCACAGAAAACACGACTGATCAATATGTCAGTAGTTGATGGTTATGGTCATTATTCAACACACAAACCTGATCACCAGACCGACAAATGTTTTCGACAGTCCAAACGAGAACATCGAAACCGCTATTGCGAATAGAGCGGTCAGTATCAAAGGCTTCCGCCCGATGTGATCTGACAGTTGACTCCAATGGAGAATAGTCAGTGCTTGAGCCATATAATACGATGATTGCTTGGAAGGATATCAGGAAGGAACGCAGGACAATGAAGAATTGCGACATGCTTACCAGGATGCCGACATAGTGTCCAACCTGGGATTCGTCTCCATGGGTCACGCCAATGTCCCTGATTAGCTTCACAAAATTCCGGTCTTAGCCTCAAGTCCAAGCAGAGGGAATATACTCACTTGTGGAATAAATGGGGCAAGGGTCTGAAAAACAAGTGAGTCTGGAAACTGCAAGAACAATATGATCCAGAATTGATTCCAGGGCAGAGGTGTGCTGGCCATCGGTTGCTCTGGCTGTTGCAGAAGAGGAGTCTCCTCATGATCCTGACGCGCGATCATGGTGGTACGAGATGAAGACGAGGGGTGCGACCTGTTGAACCCATTTCAATGAGCTGGCCGTTGATCGGGCTCATTGATAAGCAGTCCAAGGACATCACCTTTTTCGGTCCTTGGAACCTTCTTCATTCTTGGAAGGTCAAGAGTCAACATCCCCCTATGTCCGCTCCCTTGGAAAACCCTTGAGATTGGAAAGAGTCTAAGCTTTTGAAAAAAAAAATGTTGAAGCAGCAGCTTAATGGTATTACGGAGGCACCACAACCACTGTCAAGATACGGCCAGTAGCGTTCAGGACAGTGAGGTGAGGACAGTGAGTTTGAGGGAGGTAGTTTCAAATGCTCGGCAGGAACATAAGTTAGTGTTCGAACTCCGTTCGTGAGTAGGGAAAAATGAGAAGGCGTGGTACTGTCTGGTACGGCACACTCGGTGTCTGCCGAGGCCCTCTTGTCATGAACCGCCATGTTCCACTTGTCGACTGAAATGCGCATCGAAAGAAATACTCACGCATTTTCATGTATCTATGTGTCATAGCAAGCAACGTCGATCAGCGAAGCCGCAGCCGCAGCCACAGCATCCAAGCAAGCACCGGGCGGACCACATCTATCGCACCCATTGCAGCCAGCTGTCCCTGAAATGCAGTAGTCTGCTAGCTAGAGGAGACGAATTGGTAGCAGTTTTGAGCCGACGAAATCTCTTATCGGCTACCCCGATCGCCCTTTGGACCAGTACCGTTTAGGATTCTTCTGCGTCTGAGAGGTATCTGTGCACGACTGATCTGGTGTCTTTAGCCATCCGATCAGCTGCTATACATAGGTCCTCTTGTATCCATGACCCTCCAATGGGATAGTCTACGGGTTAGAAGGTACGTCAACCACGAGGCAGTATCAGGGTCGTGTACATCCCTGACCCACGAAGATGGCTAACGAACCATAGACTCCATCCGAGTCTCTCGGCTGGAGACTTCCTTGACTATTCATGACCAGGCCAAAACAACTCAATCTTGACTGTATCTTATTGCCGTAATGATCCCTCGGGCCCTCGCTCGAAGTTTACCTGAGAAAGTTTCGCCCTCCTGTCCACTATGAAGGATGTTAAGGATTGCGGGTCTCCCAGGGGGTTTACACAGCTCGGGACTCGGGAGTGAATACAATACGTTCAGTTCTGCATGCGCATGGCAGCGCAGTTGCATGCCAAGCATGCACCACCCCAGACCACGCTGTGATTGTATCTTTGGAGAAGGATGTTGATTCACCTGTATTTAGTGGTCTGCAAGTAGCCAGCCCTCTGTTTGTCTCCGTGTTCAAAATTTACAAAGCTCCTCGCCGCTTCAAGCTTTTTTTCAAAGCTTTTTTTCGTGAACGAGTATGCTGACCGGCATTGAAACAACAGATATAGGACTGCAAGGAGTTGAGACGCAAAAAATATCTGTTTGAATGTCCCATACCCAGAAAACGCTATGTAGTCTCGACCGTAATGCAATACAAACAGTTGTTCCTCTTCATGAATGAAACATACACATCGAGTATACTGATACAAACGGGGCACAGTGTTATACAAGGCTGAAACCCGATAACATACGGGTCACTCGCGGTCATACTATTGGTGATCTTCCCATAGACTAGGATCACGGGGAAGTAATAGAGAAGTACCTACAGCAAGAAATGCAATTGCCATCAAGAAGTAGTATACCAGCCACGCATCGCGACCTTGCTGCATTGAAAGAGAGAAGACCGATGCTGCAGATGCTGGACCCATAATCCTCGCTCCTGCTACAACCAGCTGGACAACTCCATTGGTTGCACCAAGCGAGGCGCGATTGGGGGCAGCAGCTCTGATAAATAATGCCAAGCAGGCTACTTCTGCTCAGTCAAGTAAAGCGTAGGAAGGGCTTGGTTGACATACGATAGCACATGACCAAGCCAGTTGCCAGCACATGTTGAACGCCAATACACATCCACACCGCCAAACCCAGGCCATGGACTCGAGCGAGCGCATTGATCACTGGGAATAAAATGATGATAGGTACACCGGAGCCAACACCAAAGATATGAATGGCTCCTGCACCGAAGCGATCGTGTAGGCGCGCGTAGAAAAGTAACTGAAATATTCCATGTGCGACACCTGATGCCGCAAGTATAGCACCAATGCGAGGAGGGTCAAGGGAAAGGCCACCGAGTTCAATCGGGGTGGAGTAGAAAACAGGTAGGATGGAGCTAAATGCCATGTAAAACAGAGCCATGGTAACATAACTTGCTGTTACAATCAGGACTTTTGGAGTTAGCAAGGCGCACAGTGGCAGTGGCTTGGATGAAACGTCTTCAGAGTTCGCTGCCTGAGAGATGGCCAGAGCATTGCTCGATGGTGTGAAAGGCTTTGCATATGACTGTGGCAAGAGCCATCCTTTAATCAACTCCCAAAATGGTGCCTTTATTGAAACGCTCTCGTTACCGCACTTAGTGTGATCCAGACTTGGTCTTTAAAAAAATCACCCTCACCTCTTTGAAACGGAAATATGTAACTAGCCAAGCCACCGAGGCAAATATAGCTGGAACAGCGCATGGTAAGAGGTATGGGTTGGTTTTCAAAAGTTCTGATCCCCCAAAGATCCCAGGGAATCTATCTGCTGGTCTGGAGAGCGATCCACCAACGAGTGGTCTATGATATTGTTATTCCCGTTTCAATAGCAAGAGATACTGTTCCCTACCCAACTAAAGTCCCTAACATCCATGGAAGGGGCATATAGCCGTATGCCTTCGGCAAGTTGGTTGCATCAGTAACGTCCATCACCATGCTTTTGATGACGCCATTGCTGCCATTAAATGCCCCGCAGAAAGCACGACTGATCAGGATATCAGTAATTGACGATTATGATGGTTATTTAACACTCGAACCTGATCACCAGACCAGCAAATGTTTTCGACAGCCCGAACGAGAACATCGAAACTGCTATCGCGAATAGAGCAGTCAGAATTACAGGCTTCCGCCCGATGTGATCAGACAATTGACTCCAATGGAGAATAGTCAGCGCCTGAGCCGTATAATACGATGATTGCTTGGGGTGATATCAGAAAGGGATAACGGACAACGGAGACGAACGCAATCTCACCAGAATCCCGACGTAGTGTCCAACCTGGGATTCGTCTCCGTGGGTCACGCCAATGTCTTTGATGAGCTTGAAAAAATTCCGATTATGGTCAGATTCAATTCCAAGCAGAGGAAATATACTCACTTGAGGGGTAAATGGGGCAAGGGTTTGAAAAACAAGCGAGTCTGAAAACTGCAAGAACAATATGATCCAGAATTGATCCCATGGCAGAGGTGTACTGGCTACCGCCTGCTCTGGTCGTTGCAGAAGAGGAGTCTCCTCATCGTTTTGACGCGCTATCATGGTGGTATGAGAGAAAGATGGACGGTGGGCGCAGCCTGTTAGACTCGTGTAAATGAGCCGGCCATTGAGCGGCCGATCGATAAGTAGTTCGAGGGTGCATTGTCCATAGGAATACGCTGCTTATGGTGGCAGCCCATCTGAACGTAAAGGCATGGACCTCCTAAGTACTATAATTATCCAGAAGCAAGCACGGGCAGGTCCGCATTTAATTTTACCCCACCTGCGACCACATATAAACGCACACAAGAGCATACAATTTCAAAAAGACATAGCTTAGTACAAATCCCGGTGATTCGCGCAATATGTTGTTTATTTGCCACTGGGTTGAAACATTGGAGCGGAAGCGGAAGTCATGGCGATAACACAGAGGTGGAGCATGTGATGAAAGTCGTGGTCAGGCCATGATGCTGGTTGGCCTCGTAGTCCCTCCATGACTTCAGGTTATGCACCCTAGCTCTGTACCCAGCTGGTCAGTCCCACAACCGCCTGGACTCGAGGGTGTTCGTGCAATCAGCATGTTTGCAACAATGACGAGCATCCAGAAATCCTCATAAAATTCTCGATCGATGGAGATATCTCAGTCCGAGGGAGCCGCGGCCACGGATATGAAGATTAATATTGTATAGTGCTGGATAATTACGATGTATTACATACCATCTTTACGTCCCCATCATCATGATCGCTTTGCTTGAAAGCGCAGAATGCTCCCTCCAAGAAAGAATGCTACCTTCAGTTCTAAGTGCAAGGTAAGGTCTCTGTTTGACTGCTGCGATTTTCATACTCGGGAGATGGACTGATGGAAGAGAGTGGACATGGGCTGGAAACAGATAACACAAGTCGTTCGCGGTGATATCATTGGTGGTCTTCCCATAGACTAGGATCACGGGGGAGCAATAGAGAAGTACCTACAGCGAGAAATGCAATTGCCATCAAGAAGTAGTATACCAACCACGCATCATGACCTTCTTGCATCGACCAAGAGAACATCGAAGCGGCAGACGCTGGGCCAATGATTCTCGCTCCTGCGACAACTGTCTGGGCAATTCCATTGGTTGCTCCGAGCGAGGCACGATTGGGAGCAGCTGCTCTGACAAATAATGTCAAGCAAGCTATGGGTTCCTTCTCAGTTAAGTAGAACGCAGGAAGTGCTGATTTGACATACGGTAGCACATGAGCAGGCTAGTCGTCATCGCAAGTTGAGTGGCAACACATAGCCACACCGCTACACCCATCCCATGGGCTCGAGCCAGAGCATTGATCACTGGGAATAAAATGACGATGGGTATGCCAGAGCTAACACCGGTGATATGAATAGCTCCTGCCCCGAAGACATCATGTATCCGAGCATAGAAAAGTAGCTGAAATACGCCGTGTGCAACGCCTGATGCCGCAAGTATAGCGCCAATATGGGGAGGGTCAAGGGAAAGTCCACCAAGTTCAATCGGCGTTGCATAGAAAACAGGTAGGATCGAGCTAAATGCCATATGAAAAAGGCCCATGGTGGCATAACTTGCTGTTACGGTCGAAACTTTCGGGGTTAGCAAGGCGCGCAATGGAAGCGGCTTTGGTGGGACTTCTCCAGAATTTGCTTCCTCAGGATTGACCAAAACATGGCTCGATGGCTTGCAAGGCTTTACATGTGATTGTCGGAACAACCCTCCTTTAATTAGCTCCCAAAGTGACGCCCTGGTGGAAACGCTCTCGTTACCACACTTAGCGTGATCCAGATATGGGTTTTCGAAATCACGCTCACCTCTTTAAGATGGAAATACGTGACTAGCCAAGCTACTGATGCAAATATTGCCGAAACAGAGCATGGCAAGAGATATGGGTAGGTTTTCAGGAGTTCTGATCGCCCAAATATATCAGGGAATCTGTCTGCTGGTCGGGAGAGCGATCCCCCAACGAGTGGTCTAAAATATCGTCAATTTCAGTGCGAGAGCAAGAAAATGTACTGCATGCCTACCCAACTACGGTTCCGATCATCCACGGGAGTGGTACATAACCATATGCCGAAGGCAAATTGGTTGCGTCCATAATGTCCATTACCATGCTCTTGATAACGCCATTGCTCCCGTTAAATGCTCCGCAGATAGCGCGGCTGGTCAAGAATATCAGTAATTGACAATCACGACTATTATTCAATATTAAACACGCGAACCTGACCACCAAACCGAGAAAGGTTTTCGACAGCCCAAACGAAAACATCGAAACAGAAATTGTCAATAGAGCTGTCAGTATTACAGGCTTTCGCCCAATGTGGTCGGACAGTTGACTCCAATGGAAAACAGTCAGCGCATGAGCTACAAAGTATGATGATTGCTTGGAATGAACATCAGAAAGGAACGAAGGGGCAGGAACGATAAAGACATGCTTACCAGGATGCCGACATAGTGACCAACCTGCGATTCGTCTCCGTGAGTCACTCCAATGTCTCTGATGAGCTTGACAAAGTTCCAGTTTTAGCCTTAAGTCCAAGCAGACAGGAAACATATCCAAACACTCACTTGGGGGGTGAACGGAGCGAGGGTCTGAGAAGAAAAAGGATCTGACAGCTGCAAGAACAGTATAATCCCGAACTGATCCCAGGGCAGAGGTGTCCTAGCTATTGGCTGTTCAGGCCGTTGCAGAAGAGGTGTCTCCTCGTCATTATCCTGACGCGTAATCATGGTATGAGACAGAGATGCATGTACAAGAGACAGACAGAGAGGCGAAGGCCTGACGTCTATATTTAGACTGCCCATTCAGCCGCTCGTGACCCGCTGGCAGTCTGCAAGAATATGCCATTTCGGTCGAATTGATATGGTGGGGGTGCCTCATGCATGATGGATTCAGCAATGGGGGCAGGAAGCCTCCTACTTGAAGCACGTGTACGTGTCTGAGACCAACAAAATTTGCTGTACAAAGCTCAAATCTAGTGAGCCAGATCTAGAGATACGACAGATGCAGCTCTCGGATAGTCAATACTATTGGCGTTCTTCTTCCCATAGGCTAGGATCGCGAGGAAGCAGCAGAGCAGTACCTATAGCAAGAAATGCCATTACTGTCAAGAAGTAGTATACCAACCACGCATCACGGCCTTCTTGCATCGAATAAGAAAATACCGAAGCCACAGATGCTGGGCCAATCATCCTTGCTCCTGCAGCAACAAACTCGGCGATACCATTGGTTGCTCCAAGCGAGGCACGATTGGGAGCAGCTGCTCTAATAAACAATGTGACGCAAGCTACGGATCCTTCTTAGTCGAGCAGAACGCAGGAAGTGTTGGGTTCACATACAGTAACACATGGCCAAGATAGCCATCAACCCAAGTTGAACGCCAACTAACAACCACACCATCAAACCCAGGCCATGGGCTCGAGCCAGAGCATTGATCACTGGAAATAGCATGACGATAGGTATACCGGAGCTAACACCAGCGATATTAAGTGCTCCTGGGCCAAAGCGATCATGTAAACGAGAAAAGAAAAGAAGCTGAACTGCGCCATGGGAGAAACTTGATGCCGCGAGTATGGCGCCAATACGTGGAGGATCAAGGGAAAGGCCACCGAGTTCAATTGGCGTCGCATAGAAAAGAGGCAGAATTGAGAAAACTGCGATATAAAAGAGAGTCAAGGTGCAATAACTGGCTGCCGCGGCCCGAACTCTTGGTGTCAGCACGGCCCGCAATGGAAGAGGTTTTGATGGGACCTCCTCGAAGTGTGCTTCCCCAGAACTGGCCAGAACATCGCTCGACGGCATGGAAGGCTTTGCATATGACTGTCGCGGTAACCATTCTTTGATCAGCTCCCAAAGTGGCGTCCTAGTAGGAATGCTCTCGTGGCACTCAGTACGATCCATATGATTTTCAAAACCATGCTCACCTCGTTGAGATGGAAAGACGTGACTAGACAACACACAGTGGCAAATACAGCTGGAACAGCGCATGGCAAGAGGTAAGGGTAGGTTTTCAGGAGTTCTGATCGCCCAAAGATCTCGGGAAATCTATCTGCTGGTCGAAAGAGCGATCCACCGACGAGTGGTCTGGAATGTTGTCAACCCTCCTTCCAGAGCAAGCATCCGTACTGTATACACCTACCCAATAATTGCCGCTAACATCCATGGAAGTGGCATATATCCGTATGCCTTCGGCAAATTCGTTGCGTCAGTAATGTCCATCAACGCGTTTTTTACGAGACCATCGCCCCCACTGAATGTCCCGCAGATGATACGGCTGATCAAGATATCAGCAATTGACAGGTGATGACGACTGTGAATGTGACATACGAACCTGACTAGCAGACCTAGAAACGTTCTTGACAGCCCAAACGACAACATTGTGAGTGCTATCACGAATAGGGCGGTCATTATTAAAGGCTTCCGCCCAATGCGATCGGACAGTTGACTCAAATAGAGAATAGTCACTATTTGAGCAACATAGTACGACGAGTGCTTGTGATGATATCAGGAAAATTCGGATGACCGTGAAAGATGGAGACAGGCTCACCAGGACACCAACGTAGTGTCCAACCTGGGATTCGTCTCCGTTGGTCACGCCAATGTCTCTGATAAGCTTGACAAAATTCCAGTTGTAGTCATGTTCAACTACAAAATACTTACTTGGGGGGCGAGCGGAGAAAGGGTCCCAAGGACAAGAGGGTCTGGAATCTGCAAGAACAGTAGGATCCAGAATTGATCCCAGGGCAGAGGTGTCTTCAAGTTGGCTATCGACTGCTCTGGCTGTTGCAGAAGAGGAGTCTCCTCATCATCCTGACTCGTGATCATAGTGGTATAAGGGAACAAACAGAAGAGAGGCTGAACATATTTCAATGTGCGTGTGGTCGCTCGCTGAGTGACCCGTTCAACTCACGAGAGATGTACGTATTAAGATCGTGTTTGTGTTTTTACTGGATTATGTAAGCTTATTACCTAGCTCAGTAACGTAATTAGCCAAATAAAAATCGTTTATCGTTTAGCACTGACGCCGCTGAGCACTCTGGCAATATTAAGTACTGCGAGCGAGAATCCAGTGATGCACCAGAAGAGAGCACATATTTCGAAGCAGCCGTATACGACAGCACCGATAGCGTGCAGCGCCAGTGGGAGAACATCAATAAGATGTTTCATATACTGTCAGTACGTCACCTTTGTTGATCGCCTGACTTGAAAGAGCAGGATACTCCAAGGATACGATTGTCTCTACCAGTGTACAGAAAACGCACTGTATGAATACAAACGGAGTGGACGACAAGATACAGGGTATGTCACTGATAGTCATACTATCTGCATTCTTCTTCCCATAGACGAGGATCCCGAGGAAGGAACACAGCAGTACCTATAGCGATAAATCCCATTGTCATAAAGAAATAGTATGCCAACCACGCATCGCGACCTTCATGCATCGAATAAGAAAATACCGCAGCCCCACAAACTGGGCCAATAATCCTGGCTACTCCGCCAACCAGCTGGATGACTCCATTGGCCGCTCCAATCGAGGCGCGATTGGGAGCAGAGGCTCTAATGAACAATCCAATGCCAGCTAATGGTCTTTCTCTCAGTCGAGCGCAACGCAGGAAATGCTGGGGTGACATACCTTGGCACATCTCCAGGACAGCCAGTAGTATAAGTTGAATGGTAATGGCCAACCACACCGGCCAACCCATTCCATGGGCTCGAGCCAGAACATTGATCACCGGGAATAAAATCACAGCAGGTATGCCGGAGCAAAGGCCAGTCATATAAATGACGTATGCACCAAAGCGGTCATGCAAACGGTCGTAGAAAAGTACCTGGAATATGCCGCCGACGAAAGCTGATGTCGCGAATATAGCGCCAATACGGGGAGGGTCCAGGGAAAGACCACCAAGTCCAATCGGTGTCGCATAGAAAATAGGTAGGATCGATCTGATCGTGAGACCATAGAGAATCAAGGTGCCGTTGCTTGCTGCGACGATCAGGACCTTTGGAGTTAGCACAGCGTGTAGCGGAAGCGGCTGCGGCGGGACCTCCTCAGAGCTGGCCAGAGCATGGCTCGATGACGTGGAAGGTTTTACATGCGATCGTCGCGAGAGCCATTCCTTGATCAGTTCCCAAAGGGGTGCCTTGGTAGAAACGCTCTTGTTACCCCATTCAGTGCGATCCAGATATCAGTTCAAAAAATCAAGCTCACCTCCTTGAGACAGAAATATGTAAGTAGCCAAGCAATAGAGGCACATACAGCTGGAACAGCACACGACAAGAGGTACGGATAGGTTTTCAGGAGTTCCGATTGCCCAAATATGTTGGGGAATCTATCGGCGGGTCGGGAGAGCGATCCACCAGCAAGCGGCCTAGAATATTGTGAATCCAACATCAAGAGCAAGCAGACGTGCTGAATACACCTACCCTATTATGGCCGCTGACATCCACGGAATTGGCATATATCCGTATGCCTTGGGCAAATTCGTTGCGTCGGTGATGTCCATCAACAAATTTTTGACGACACCGTTTTCTCCATTGAATGCCCCGCAGATAAGCCGGCTAATCAGTATATCCGAATCAGTATTTGACAGTCATGATAACCTATGTATGTGGGGTGCGAACCTAGCCAGCAGACCGATAAAGGTTCTTGACAGCCCAAACGACAACATCATAATAGCTATCGTGAACGAAGCAGTCAGGATTAAAGGCTTTCGCCCAATGCGATCAGAAAGTTGACTCCAAAAGAGAATAGTCACTATTTGAGCGACATAGTACGATGAGCGCTGGGGATGATATCAGGACGGAGGACACTGAAGAAAAAAACATGCTCACCAGGATGCCAACGTAGTATCCAACCTGGAACTCGTCTCCGCCGGTCACACCAATGTCTCTGATCAGCTTGATAATATTCCAGTTGTGGCCATCTTTAACTGCAAGCATTAAAACACTCACTTGGGGGGTGAACGGGGAAAGGGTCTCAAAAACGAGTGAATCTGAAAACTGCAAGACCAATATGATCCAGAATTGATCCCAGGGAAGAGGCGTCTTGACCATCGACTGCTTTGGCTGTTGCAGAAGAGGAGTCTCCTCATCATCCTGAGGCGCAATCATGGTTGTACGAGGGAACAACTCGGATGGAAAATCGGCTGATCGTACGCGCGATATCGTTCTTCATCATGATCATGTCGATAGGGCAAAGAAGACCTGTTGCCTGAATCCGAATCCAGATCGAGCCACCGCAGAGTCACGTAATCGAACCCGCAGAAACCGCATTAGGTACGAGTTGGACCGGGTGGGCAGAACTGGTTGTGCCAGCTGGCAGATGGCAGAACTCCGCAAAAAATGGCTGGCGGAACAGAGAACTAGCTATCAGTGGTCCACAATAATATGTACATGGACACTAGGTGTATAACTTCGGAAATGTGAAAACAGAGTCGCAGTCATTCCCCAGGATATGGTCCACGTCTCGACTCTCGACCAAGTTGCCGATATTAGCTCCTTGGTGTTAAAATCCAAGGTCGCGACAATAATCTGCCTAGCCATATCATCCGCCACTGTGAGGATGCTGCAGGTAACGGAATGCATCTTTCCGCACTGCGAGAACAGCATCTGCTCCATTTGCGTAAGATGTATCACAGGAGGTGGCGCTGTGTTGCTCTGAGGCGAAAATGCACTCGGGACTCGGAATGTCGAAGTACTCTTCATCTGAATGGTGTTCCAAGGTTAATCAACTAAGTTTCGCCGACCTGGCAGAGTCAAGGTGATCCCCTCTCCCGTGGCGCAGATGCCTACACAGGGTTTGGAAATCTCGTATTACTGGGACCAAGGGAGAACAACGCGCACGCAGCTCGCAGACACGAGAAAATACGAAACAAAAGTAGTCTGCGCATCCTACAGCGGCTTCCGATGCCTTCTTCTACTCTCGCACGCGCTCTCAAGTGTAGCTCAGAAGTACACTGGCAGTGCTTGTGGTTGCTCTCGTATCAGTACCTGCGATGTAATTCGCACCTGTACCTGCGGTTCTGTCTCGCATGCGTTCGTTGTCCCGGTCTTGGATTTGCTGGTCCTCCGAGTCGTGTTAGGTCCAAGGGCCTGCGCTGGCGCTTGTACTAGAATCTGGACATGAAGACAGTAGTGACTCGCTGAGTGCAACTTGAGGTGTTGGAGAAAATTAGATAAAATCACCAGCCTCCAGTGACTTTGAAGAAGATAGGAATAATAACATTACTGAGACGATAGCCGTAGGCGGTTGGTCCTGTCATCTATGCTGGCTGTGTGATGCAAAGAAGCGAAAGTCGTCAATGGAATGAAGACATCGTTCATACGCAGATGGATAAAATACTGACTTTCAAACGACGATCTTCATATGTGTGGTACACACCAAGGAATTTAACAGGTCGCTGTGTGAGTAATGGGAGGTTTTGTCCCATTCTGAAAAGCGCGTAGAGGGGTGAGTGAACTATGAACGACTGTTCGGAGTTGTAGGGATCGAAAATCGGAAGTGGGTTTATGGGGGATAGAATACCGGATTCAGTGGATTGTATGCCATGCAGAGCGGGGCACGACGGATGGAGGATATGATGAGTGGTTCGTGTCCCAGGCTCCCAGCGCTTGTTTGCGACGGCAAAACAGACCAAAAATATAGTGCGTCCCGAGTGAAGCAGTGCCTCGGCACAATGTTTCCGGACCCAGGCGCCTTCACGAGGCGATGTCGTTCTTCATGGAATAAGCTGCATGCTGTAGAAACGTTACACCAGCCACGCACCTTGACCAAAACCATTGCTTCAGCAATAGGCGGAACTCTCGCATTCTCCTCTTTGGCGTATCTGACTTCCCGCTAGGTATAACAGACGAAGAACTCAACGGGAGAACAACTGGGGATGAAGGAACAGCTACCTGGATCACATCAAGAGCCTGTCAGGACATTTGAGGGTCACGATAATGAGTTCAACTCAATCGCAACTTTTCCGGATGGCAAGAGAATAGCGACTGGGTCTTTCGACAAGACAATACGCATATGGAGGCTTGAGGACGGCAAGGAGATGATAAAGTGGGTGGTGAAGCAGTGTGTCGGCGCACTTGTAGTCTTGGGAAACGGGAAACAGGTTGTCAGTGCTGAGGGAGAGGACCCAAGAAGAGATCCTAAAGAAGGTTTTCAAAACGACGATTTTGATAAAGTGGCGTATTGGGGGTTATGGGTACGTGATGTTGAGAGTGGGAGGATCGTCGCAGGTCCCTTGGAAGGTCACACCAACGCTGTGAATGCTTTGGACATTTCCCCTGACGGCGAGATGTTGGCCAGCGGGTCGCTCGATTGCACAGTGATTTTATGGGACACGACCACCTGGCAGAGGAAAGGCCATCCTCTTGCGTGCGGATCACCCATTAATGACATCCGATATTCTCCGACCGGTCAACTCGGCGTTGCTACCAGAGAAGATATCCAAATATGGGACTTGGAACCAAGGAAGCGTCTTACTCAATTCAACGGCCACCGCGGCTTTAACAATGCAGCGAACGTCTCGCTCACCTGGACTCGTGATGACGCATATCTATTCTCAGCTGGTGATGAAGATGATGCTGCCATCCGCTGTTGGGACACATCCACCTGGGAACAGGCTGGTGATCCCTGGACTGGCCATGACGAAAATAAATACATCAACCATATCGTCTTGAACCCAACCGGCACTCTTCTTGCATCAGCATCTGACGACCACACTGTTCGATTGTGGCAATTCCCCACAGGCACAGAAGTCGCCCGATTTGAGCACTCAGATGAGGTGTATCGTGTTGCATTCTCGGTGGATGAACGCTCCATATTCAGTAGCGGCGCGGACAAGAAAATTTCGCAATGGGAGATACCTGAGGATGTGCTCGCAGCAGCAGAAGATGTATCTCTGGCCAGCGTGAAGAACGAGGTGACTACTCTCCACCGTGATATTACTTCCTCGCATGCTCACACGCACTCATTCCAAGGCTGGTCGTACCAAAAATAAGGTGTGTTTTCTAACACTGCATATGATATACATCCTGACTCTCGATCAGACGAAAGGACTGCATAATGTACGTCGTTTGAACCCCGTTCGGTGGCCCCTACTTCAATATTTTTTGATTTACTTCTTAGTCGTATATTCATGGCCAGCGCCGAAATATGCCGGTGAACTACCAACGCACCACTTCCTCTGCATCGCCACTCGCTCATGCGGAACGCCCGTCACCTTCTCGTTCGCTCGATGTCAGGACCTTTTTCAATAGCATTCAGCCGTCATTCAACAAGAAGGGGAAGCAAAAAGAATATCAGCCGAAACAAAAGACTCCGCGAGTCGTCGATGTTCCTCTTGGAATAGTCACATATGTGTGTGTTTTGCAATTCCATTTATTGTTGAAATTTGACAGTATCCTTCGCTAGCCTGATGTCATTGGTGTGGACGACGGAGAACGACCATACGTACTCTTCTTCTGCCTTTCTTGGTTCCAGAAAAAGGAGAAGAAACCGGTTCCACGGCCAGTCTATGATGACGACCCTTCGGATGACGAATCCGAGCATTCTGTTCCTAACGTTCCCATTCCTACTACCAGGTAACTCCAGATGATTTGCTTGTTAAATGGTTTTACTGATGTACTGCTGTAGGACCCAATCCGACGCCCCCAAAAAAGTCAAATTGAACCCAGCGACTTTTTTTCAGTCACAGCCGGAGGCAGGACCATCTCGCCTCGCACCCCCAGTTGACAATGAACAACAGGTAGACGTTGTCAATGTCTCGATGCCTACCCCCAGGTATTAAAACCTCATTTGTCTGTTCTACGGATGACCTGATGTGGTGTCTTAGGATCCAAATTGCCCAGCGCGAAGACATCGAATTGAAACCAATGGCTAGTCAGTCCCAGCCAGAGGCAGGACCATCTCGTCTTTCGGCCCCTGAAGAGCACCCGGGAGCACAGTCTTCGTAGTTTCAAGTCTTGCACCGTGCTTTGGTCTCGCGAATGACGTCATTGATATTGATCTTTACTTTCTACGCATTATTATCTCACATGTACAGCATTTTTCTCTAATCCAGTTGATTGCTCTTGGTCTGTACCCAGCTTCGAGAAAAACACTTCAATGGCCGTCTGATCTCCCAAACGGTCTACATCGTCCTACGTCAGTTTGATATTCTTTCACCACCAAGGGAACTGCTGTGATCAGTAGCAGGAGATATAGCCCGACCTTTACAGTCGCTATTGTTGGAAGGCTCAGGTAGACTCGCGACGGCTGGGTGCTAGCGAGATGATCAACTTGCGCGGTGAAATCCCTCGGCGATGCTCTTGAAACATCATCGACTATGTACGAAAGCCAAAGATAAACAATTGACATGATCATTGAACTACGAATCCACGAGAAAATACTGAGAGAATTGATCCACACGACATTGAATCCAGACGTCAGCTCAAGTATCCCTCCCGAATGCGAATGGCTTGTCTCTGGAAGAACGAGAACCATCTTGACAATGCCCCATACTCCAAGCGAGAAGTGCATGCTGCGTTATGACCTGTAGTGGGCTGCTGTGCCCCCCGTAATGTGTGAGAGTGCGACGTCCAGAAGATAAGCCTATAACAGAGGTAATAAATCGTTGAGACATTCTCAAATGTAAGTACATGTACCCCTAAGAACATACACATAGCAGAACCTCCCGCTTGACCCTGTAGATAGATGTCGCCGATGACTGCCGCACCTACCGACACTCCGTCAGCCTATCCGAAAGCCTGAACAAACCACCAGAACAGCAAGCTTATGAGAGACGCCGGCGCTCCAGGGCCGAGGCTTCCTATACATAAAATAAGCACACCCCACAAGAACATTGACCAGAGCCCATCTTTGGGGGATGAGGTTGTCTAAAAGGATGCACAGTGATTGAAAAACGTACAAAACGAGGAGTGCTTACGCTGCCCATACCAAACGCCCGATCGCATTCGAAAGACTGATAGACTTCCAGCAAGGCTTACGACACTCGACTCCGGATGACCAGCTGATTAAATTCGGAGATATACCTCACTACAGCACCTGTTGAATCGAGGTCATGAGCTATTTGAGGGATCTAAGGAACAAAGGTCCCAGTCACGAACACTGGAGCGGCAAGATCACCCAGTCAGATGGTTTATCTTCTGGCTAAACAAAGAAACACTATTAGTGACAAAGGAGTACAAAAAGCTCACGAAAAAAGTGCGACTCCTCCAGCACGCCAGAATTAGTGTGAATGTCGTGAGCTTGTGGAGCGAGCGTGCTGGCCATTTCCAATACTTGGTGCTTTAAAGTAGGAGTGGTGGAAGTGGACATGGTGAATACAGCGGATGGGAGCAGGAGAAATCTAAGGGAAAAGACAAGCTGGCACGGAGTAACGCACCTCACATTAACGCGGTCACGTGTTCGGTCACGTTCTTTGCCTTCGAAGACTTCCAGCTCTGAGCGGCATGAGTAGTGCCCAAGAAAAGGTAGGTCCGAGTCTGACTTAAGGGATATTATGGAGTGGTTCGTGTCCAGTGCTTGTTTGCGACGGCAAAACGGACCGAAAAATATAGTGCGTCGTCCCGAATAAAGCAGTGCTTCGGCACAAGCGCCTACATGAGGCAATTTGTCGTTCTTCTTGCAATGAGCTGCATGCTGTGGACGTATTTCACCAGCCACGCACCTTGACCAAAACCATTGCTTCAGCAATAGGTAGATCTCTCGCATTCTCCTCTTTGCCGTCTCTAACTTCCAGCTAGGCATAACAGCCGAGGAATTCAGTGGCCTCAGGAGAACAACTGAGAATGAAGGATGCCAAACAGCTACCTGGATCACATCAAGAGCCTGTCAGGACATTTGAGGGTCACGATGATGAGATCACCTCAATCACAACTTTTCCGGATGGCAAGAGAATAGCGACTGGGTCTTTCGACAAGACAATACGCATATGGAGGCTTGAGGACGGCAAGGAGATGATAAAGTGGGTGGTGAAGCAGTGGGTCGGCGCACTTGTACTTTTGGGAAACGGGAAACAGGTTGTCAGTGCTGAGGGAGATGACCCAACAAGCGATCCTAAAAAAGGTTTTCAAGTCCACGATGCTGATAAAGTGGTGTGTTGGCGGTTATGGGTACGTGATGTTGAGAGTGGGAGGATCGTGGCAGGTCCCTTGGAAGGTCACACAAACGCTGTGTTTACTTTGGACATTTCCCCTGATGGCGAGATATTGGCCAGCGGGTCATATGATCGCACAGTGATTTTATGGGACACGACCTCCTGGCAGAGGAAAGGTCAGCCTCTTGCGTGCGGATCACCCATCGCTTGCATTCGATTTTCTGCGACCGGTCAACTCGGTGTTGCTACCGACGAAAATATCCAAATATGGGATTTGGAACGAAGGAAATGTCTTGCTCAATTCAACGGCCACCGCGGCTTTAACAATGCATTCAACCACTCGCTCACCTGGACTCCTGATGACGCACATCTCTTCTCAGCCGGTAATTACAAAGATCCTGTCATCCGCTGTTGGGACACATCCACATTGAAACAGGTTGGTGATCCTTGGATGGGCCATGACGAAAATAAAGACATCTACCATATCGTCTTGAACCCAACCGGCACCCTTCTTGCATCAGCATCTAGTGACCACACTGTTCGATTATGGCAGTTCCCCACAGGCACAGAAGTCGCCCGATTTGAGCACTCAGATCCGGTGTATTATGTTGCATTCTCGGTGGATGGACGCTCCATATTCAGTGGCGGCGAGGACAAGAAAATCTCGCAATGGGAGATACCTGAGGATGTCCTCGCAGCAGCAGAAAGTGTTTCTCTGGCCAGCGTGAAGAACGAGGTGACTACTCCCCACTGTGATCTCACTCCCTCGCATGCTCACACGCACTCATTCCAAGGCTGGTCATACCAAAAACAAGGTGTGTTTTCTAACACTGCATATGATATACATCCTGACTCTCGATCAGATCAAAGGACTGCATATTGTATGTCGTTTGAACCCCATTTGATGGTCCCCGCTTCAATAGTGTCTGATTTACTTAGTCATATATTCATGGCCAGCGCCGAAATCGGCCAGTGAACTACCAGCACGCCACTTACTCTGCATCGCCACTCGCTCACGCGGGAGGCCCTTCATCATCTCGCTCGCTTGATGTCAGGACCTTTTTCAATGGCATTCGGCCGACATTTGACAAGAAGGGAAAGAAAAAGGAGCAACAACCTAAACGAAAAGCTCCGCGAGTCGTCGACGTTCCTCTTGGACAAGCCACATATGTTTGTTTTCTGTAATTCTGTTGATTGTCGTGAAATTTGACCATATCCTTCGCTAGGGTGATGCTGTTGGTGTGGACGACGGAGAACGACCATACGTACTCTTCTTCTGCCTTTCTTGGTTCCAGAAAAAGAAGAAGAAACCGGTTCCACGGCCAGTCTATGATGACGACCCTTCGGATGACGAATCCGAGCATTCCATTGCTAACGTTCCCATACCTACTACCAGGTAACTCCAGATGATTTATTTATTAAATGGTTTTACTGATGTACTGCCGTAGCACCCAATTAGATGCCCCCAAAAAAGTCGAATTGAACCCAGTGACTTTTTTTCAGTCACAGCCTGAGGCACGGCCATCTCGCCTCGCACCGCCAGCTGACAATGAACAACAAGTAGATATTGTCAATGTCTCGATGCCTACCCCAAGGTATTAAAATCTCATTCTTTTGTTCTACGGATGACCTGATGCGGTGTCGTAGCATCCAAATTGCCCAGCGCGAAGACATCGAATTGAAACCGATGGTCAGTCAGTCCCAACCAGAGGCAGGACCATCTCGTCTTGCGGCCACCTGAAGAAAACCCGGGAGCACAGTTTTCGTAGTTTCAAGTTTTCCATCGTGCTTGCCGCATCACACCGTGCTTTGGTCTCACGAACGACGATATTGACATTGATCTTTACTTTCTAAGCACTATCTCAAATGTACAGCATTTCGCGTTCCCGTGTATTTGTACTTTCAATCCAGCTGATTGCTCTTAGTCTATGCCCAGCTTGATGCCAAACATTTCTCCTGTTAAGCAGGCCGATCAATTGATCACAGCGTGTTTAGCCACTACAGCACCACATCATAGTACGTGTTTGCGATGACTAGCACCCAATCACGATAAGATTCTCAGTCGCTGAGGCTGACCGAGTTGATTGAGGGAGCCGCGTCACGTTAATAGCCATGGTTATAATCGATGTCGATAGTGTTGAAGGAATACTAATAAGGTGTTTCACATACCGTCCGTATGTCTCCTTGATGACCACCTTACTTGGAAGCGTAGAATGCTCCGAGGAAGGATATTCTTGTCTCCGCCAGTGTACAGTAAATGCATTGCATTGGTACAAACAGAGTAGACGACAAATGAAAGACACGTCAGTGATGTCACCGATAGTCATAGTATTTGCGTTCTTCCCATAGACGAGGATCCCGAGGAAGGAATACAGAAGTGCCAACAGCGAGAAATCCCAAGGTCACGAAGAAATAGTATGCCAACCACGCATCGTGACCTTCCTGCATCGAATAAGAAAATACTGCAGCCCCAGATGCTGGGCCAATGATCCTGGCTCCTCCGGCAACCAGCTGGATGACTCCATTGGTAGCTCCAATCGAAGCGCGATTGGGAGCAGAGGCTCTAATAAACAATGCAATGCAAGCTAAGGGTTGTTTTCAGTCAAGTAGAATACAGGAAATGCTGGATGAACATACCGAAGCACATATCAAAGATAGCCATCAGCACCTGTTGAATGGCAACGGCCAACCACACCGCCAAACCTATTCCATGGGCTCGAGCCAGAGCGTTGATCACTGGGAACAAAATCACAACAGGTATGCCAGAGCAAAGGCCAGTCAGTAAAATGACGTATGCACCAAAGCGATCATGCAGACGGGCGTAGAAAAGTATCTGGAATGCGCCGCTGGCGAAAGCTGATATCGCAAATATAGCGCCAATACGGGGAGGGTCCAGGGAAAGACCGCCGAGTTCAATAGGTGCCGCAAAGAAAATAGATAGGATCGAGCTGACTGCTATATGAAACAGACTCAAGGTACCATTACTTGCTATGACGGTCAGGACCTTTGGAGTTAGCACAGCGCGCAGCGAAAGTGGCTGTGGCGGGACCTCCTCATAGTTTGATTCTTCCCCAGAACTGGTCAGAGCATAGCTCGATGGTGTGGAAGGCTTCGCATGTGATCGTCGCAAGACCCATTCCTTGATCGACTCCCAAAGGGGTGCCTTGGTAGAAACACTCTGATTACCGCACTCAGTGCGATCTAGATTTTTTTTTTTTTCAAAATTAAGCTCACCTCTTTAAGATAGAAATATGTAACCAGCCAAGCAACAGAGGCACATACAGCTGGAACAGTACACGACAAGAGGTATGGATAGGTCTTCAGCAGTTCCGATCGCCCAAAGATTTCGGGGAATCTGTCTGCGGGTCGGGAGAGCGATCCACCAACAAGCGGCCTAGGATATTGTCAATCCTACGTCACGAGCAAGCAAACGTACTGCATACACCTACCCTATTATGGCCGCTGACATCCATGAAATTGGCAAATATCCATATGCCTTGGGCAAACTCGTTGCGTCGGTGATGTCCATCAACAAGTTTTTGACGACACCATTTTCGCCATTGAATGCTCCGCAGATAATACGGCTGATCGGGGTATCAGTAATTGACAATAACAACTATGTATGTGAGACGCGAACCTGACCAGTAGACCGAGAAAGGTTCTTGACAGCCCAAATGACAACATCGTGGTAGCTATCGCAAACGAAGCAATTAGTATCAAAGGCTTCCGCCCAACATAGTCAGACAGTTGACTCCAATAGAGAATAGTCAATGTTTGAGAGACATAGTACGCTGAGTGCTTGGGATGATATCAAGATGGAACGGAGGACATTGAAGGATAAACATGCTCACCAGGATGCCGGCGTAGTATCCAACCTGGGAATCGTCTCCGTTGGTCACGCCAATATCTCCGATCAGCTTGATAAATTCCAGTTGTGGCAATCTCCATTTCCATGCAGAATAAAAAACACTCACTTCAGGTATAAACGGGGAAAGGGTCTCAAAAACAAGAAAATCTGAAAACTGCAAGACCAATATGATCCAGAATTGATTCCAGGGCAGAGGTGTCTTCAAGTTGACCATCGACTGCTCCGGCGAGTCTGGCTGTTGCAGAAGAGGAGTCTCCCCATCATCCTGACGTGCCATCATGGTTGTATGTAAGAGGGTCAAACTGTCGTCCGCTTGACTGTTACTCCAAAAAGTAGTAGTATTGAAGACTGTGTGCTTCAGTGTCGCAGACAGTGTTTAGTACCTGATGGGAACTGTAGTGTGCTGGCAGTGCTTACGTTGTACGAGGGAACGACTCGGATAAAAGATCGGGAGCTTATACGTGAACTGGATATTTATCATCTCGTTCCAATGAGGCCTAGGTGATCGCTGACCAGTTTGTTGGCCAATGGCAGTTCGCAGGACCCTGCTCTTTCTGATCAGCGACACCCGGAAACACACGCGAACGTAAAATCAGACTTCTTATTACGCAAGTGGCCCCGTATAGGGGGTAGGTACGTACCCCAAGCTGTGGCCTGAATCCGGGGACCCTTGCTGCTGGCCAAACCTCAAGGCATCAAGCTTCAAGGTCTACGATCATGCCTAAACAGCAGGAAGCAAAGATCAATGAGTTATTTGCGCAGCGCGTTCTAGGGAATCGCGCAGCAGCCGCATCAGTTACGACGGTGCAACAGCTTGGAAGGCGCACTAATGAAGCTATTAAAAAGTTGCGCATTCTGTTTACTAGTACTTGGTCATAATATTATTAATGAACTCCGTTGCCCAGATCTGGGTCAAAGAGCACCCGGGAGCACAGTCTTCGTAGTTTCAAGCCTTGCATCGTGCTTGCCGCATCACACAATGCTTTGGTCTTGCGAATGATGACATTGACATTGATCTTTACTTTCTACACACTATCTCAAATGTACAACATTTCGCGTTCCCGTGTATTTGTACTTTCAATCCAGCTGATTGCTCTTAGTCTATGCCCAGCTTGATGCGAAACACTCCACTGACCGCCCGATCTCCCGACGACGCTGTCGCAAAACACATTGTTGAAGCTTTCTACAAGAATTCAAGGATTTGGATGATTGGGCTGCCATAGACTGTACCAGGGCGGCCTGGGCACTGAACCGTGCTACACACGCCGTGATGACGAAAGTGCCGCTCGAGCAGAAAATCGTTTCATATATCAGTGTGGAGTTCTATAATGTCGTATGGCTAAATTTCGTCTGGTACAGAATTACGACTTAGAGACGTTGATCATGGATCCTCTACCATCCCAGTTTGCAAGAAATATTTCCTTGATACCCTCACGGTGTAGTCTTCTTGCTTTGGCAAATACCTCTCTCTCACGTTGTTTTCTACTTTAGCACAGTCATTTATTCGAGTCTTGATGGCAATTGTGCAGCATCGTATTCTATAAGGGTGCACCGGTGTCATTGCGAGTCGACTCGGTACATTCCAACTATTTTTCAAATCCTTCTGCACCTCAACGCAATCTCAACCGTTCTCCCCCAGTGCAAAAACATCAAGATAGAAGCACAGCTCATTCACTGACTCACCTGCGCATGTTCACCCATTGAAGTTGGCAGCTTCGTCAATGCATGTATCCGCGCCGACCAGTGCTAACTTCCTCTTTGTGGCGCGTAGAGATGGAGGTCAGTTTGAGAGATGAGGCAAGTGTGGGGGGTACTCACGAGTGTACATCCAATGCTTCATGTCGGGATCCCACTCGACTTCAAGTTGGAAGTGAGTTTTATCTCATACTTCACCAAGCATCCTTGTCACCTTGTCAAGTTCTAACAACGGCACTGTAGCACCAAATATCGTAACTGCTCTTTCATCTAGGGTTGCACTCATCTGTTGCTGACCCTAGGACACCTTACAGACTTGCTTCGATTTCAAGTTGAGATGAGGCTGACCGAGTTGATTGAGAGAGCCGCGTCACGTTAATAGCCACGGTTATGATCGATGTCGATAGTATTGGAGGAATACTAACAAGGTGTTTTACATACCGTCAGTATGTCTCCTTGATGACCGCCTTACTTGAAAGCACAGAATGCTTCGAGAAAGGATGCCCCCGTCTCCACTAGTGTACAGTAAATGCATTGCAATATAAACAGAGTGAACGACAAATAAAGACACGTCAGTGATGTCACCGATAGTCATAGTATTTGCGTTCTTCCCATAGACAAGGATCCCGAGGAAGGAATACAGAAGTGCCAATAGCGAGAAATCCCAATGACATGAAGAAATAGTATGCCAACCACGCATCGCGACCTTCCTGCATCGAATAAGAAAAGACCGCAGCTCCACATACTGGGCCAATAATCCTGGCTCCTCCGGCAACCAGCTGGATGACTCCATTGGTAGCTCCAATCGAAGCGCGATTGGGAGCAGAGGCTCTAATAAACAATGCCATGCAAGCTAAGGGTCCTTATCGGTCAAACAGGACACAGGAAATGCCGGATGGACATACCGAAGCACATCTCCAAGATAGTGAACAGCACCCGTTGAATGGCAACAGCCAACCACACCGCCAAACCTATTCCATGGGCTCGAGCCAAAGCATTAATCACCGGGAATAAAACCACAACAGGTATACCGGAGCAAAGGCCAGTCATATAAATGACGTATGCACCGAAGCGATCATGCAGACGGGTGTAAAAAAGTATCTGGAATGCGCCGTTAGCAAAAGCTGATGTCGCGAATATAGTGCCAATACGGGGAGGGTCCAGGGAAAGACCGCCGAGTTCAATAGGTGCCGCATAGAAAATAGATAGGATCGAGTTGAGTGCTATATAAAACAGAGTAAAGGTGCCGTTACTTGCTATGACGGTCAGGACCTTTGGAGTTAGCACAGCGCGCAGCGGAAGTGGCTGTGGCGGGACCTCCTCATAGTTTGACTCTTCCCCAGAACTGGTCAGAGCATGGCCCGATGGTGTGGAAGGCTTCGCATGTGATCGTCGCAAGAACCATCCCTTAATCAACTCCCAAAGGGATGCCTTGGTAGAAACACTCTGATTACCGCACTCAGTGCGATCCAGTTTTTTTTTTTTCAAAATTACGCTCACCTCTTTAAGACAGAAATATGTTACTAGCCAAGCAACAGAGGCACATACGGCTGGAACAGCACACGACAAGAGGTATGGATAGGTCTTCAGCAGTTCCGATCGCCCAAAGATTTCAGGGAATCTGTCTGCGGGTCGGGAGAGCGATCCACCAGCAAGCGGCCTAGTATATTGTCAATCCTTCGTCAAGCACAAGCAAACGTACTGCATACACCTACCCTATTATGGCCGCTGACATCCATGAAATTGGCAAATATCCATATGCCTTGGGCAAACTCGTTGCGTCGGTGATGTCCATCAACAAGTTTTTGACGACACCATTTTCGCCATTGAATGCTCCGCAGATAATACGGCTGATTGGGGTGTCAGTAACTGACAATAACAACTATGTATGTGAGACGCGAACCTGACCAGCAGACCGAGGAAGGTTCTTGATAGCCCAAATGACAACATCGTAGTAGCTATCGCGAACGAAGCGATTAGTATCAAAGGCTTCCGTCCAACGTAGTCAGACAGTTGACTCCAATAGAGAATGGTCAATGTTTGAGAGACATAGTACGCTGAGTGCTTGGGATGATATCAAGATGGAACGGAGGACATTGAAGGATAAACATGCTCACCAGGATGCCGGCGTAGTATCCAACCTGGGAATCGTCTCCGTTGGTCACGCCAATATCTCCGATCAGCTTGATAAATTCCAGTTGTGGCGATCGCCATTTCCAAGCAGAATAAAAAAACACTCACTTCAGGTATAAACGGGGAAAAGGTCTCAAAAACAAGAAAATCTGAAAATTGCAAGACCAATATGATCCAGAATTGATTCCAGGGCAGAGGTGTCTTCAAGTTGACCATCGACTGCTCCGAGTCTGGCTGTTGCAGAAGAGGAGTCTCCCCATCATCCTGACGTGCCATCATGGTTGTATGTAAGAGGGTCAAACTGTCGTCCGCTTTACTGTTACACCAAAAGGCAGTAATACTGAAGACTGTGCTTCAGTATCGCAGACAGTGTTTAGTACTTTATGGGAACTGTAGTGTTCTGGCAGTGCTTACGTCGTACGAGGGAACGACTCGGATAGAAGATCAGGAGCTTATACGTGAACTTGATATTTATCATCTCATGAGGTGATCGCTGACCGGTTTGTTGGCCCGCACAATGGCAGTTCGCATGAACCTGCTCTTTCTGATCAGCGACACCTGGAATCACACGCGAACGTAAAAGCAGACTTCTTATTACACAAGTGGCCCCGTATAGGGGGAATTGCGCAGCAGCCGCATCAGTTACGATGGTGCAACAGCTTGGAAGACGCACTAATGAAGCTATTGATAAGTTGCGCATGTACTTAGTCATAATTATATGAACTCCGTTGCCCAGATCTGTCCTCGTTGGGTCACACGGTGCAGCATCATGCATGTCTATCAATATTATGGCAATAAGATACCTGAGTTGGGCACCGTGGCTTCGATGCACCGCTCAATCGAGATCATCGAGGCAATACTCTGGTTGACCTGATTGTTCTCTCATGACTTCTGCTAGTGCGCATATTCGTCCATGGGCTCAGGCTGGCTAGTAGTAGTCTGCAGTGGTGCACTCAAAACTCATTCGAACACAAGAACACAAGCTACGCAATGCATCAGCAACTTACTAGAGTCACCGGTGCCACAAGTTAATATTCTCTGTCATCCGTTAATTTTGTCCGGACCATCTCCGCGTGTTTGGCTATTGCAACACGACCAGAATAATATTCTCGTCTCTACGAGTGTGAAAAAAATACATTGTATTGATACAAATAGAGTGGACGACAAATCTATACATGTCAGTGATGTCAGTGGTAATCATACTATTTACCTTCTTCTTCCCATAGACGAGGATCTCGAGGAAGGAACACAGAAGTGCCGATCGCGAGAAATCCCAGTGATAAAATGAAATAGTATGCCAACCACACATCACGACCTTCCTGCATTGAATAAGAAAAGACCGCAGCTCCACATGCTGGGCCAACCATTCTTGCTCCTTCGCTAACAAACTGGACCAGTCCATTGGTTGCTCCAATCGAGGCGCGATTGGGAGCAGCGGCCCTGATAAACATTGCCATGCAAGCTAATGATCCTTTTCAGTCAAGCAGAACACAGGAAATGTCGGACGGACATACCGAAGCACGTCCCAAAGATAGCAAGCAGCACACGCTGAATAGCAATGGCTAACCACACCGCCCGACCCATTCCATGGGCTCGAGCGAGAGCATTGATCACCGGTAATAAAATTACACTAGGTATGCCGGAGGCAAGACCCGCCATAAGAATAGCATATGAGCCGAAGCGATCGTGTATTCGGGCGTAGAAAAATATTTGGAATGTGCCGCCGACGAAAGCCGATGTCGCGAATATAGCGCCAATGCGGGGAGGGTCCAGGGAAAGACCACCGAGTTCAATCGGCGTCGCGTAGAAAACCGGTAGGATAGTGGTCACTGCTATATCAAATAGAGACAGTGTGCCATTACTTGCTACGACGGTCAGGACCTTTGGAGTTAGCACAGCGCGCAGCGGAAGTGGCTTTGGTGCCTCTTCAGCGTTTGGTTTACCAGAACTAGTCTGAGCATGGCTCGACGATGTGGAAGGTTTTGCAGATTGCCGTCGCAAGAGCCATTCTTTAATCAGCTCCCAAAGGGGTGCCCTGGTAGAAACGGTCTTGTTACCGTACTCAGCGCTATCCAGATAACAATACTTAAAATCACGCTCACCTCTTTAAGACAGAAATATGTAACTAGCCAAGCAATAGAAGCACATACAGCTGGAACAGCACACGACAAGAGGTATGGATAGGTCTTCAGCAGTTCCGATCGCCCAAATATTTCAGGGAATCTGTCTGCGGGTCGGGAGAGCGATCCACCAGCAAGCGGCCTAGGATATTTTCAATCCGGCTTCAAGAGCAAGCAAACGCATTGAAAACACATACCCAATGATGGACGCTGACATCCATGAAATTGGCATATATCCGTATGCCTTGGGCAAATTCGTTGCGTCGGTGATGTCCAACAACAAGTTTTTGACGACACCATTTTCGCCATTGAATGCCCCGCAGATAAGACGGCTAATTAGGAGATCCGAGTCAGTATCTGACAGTCATGATGACTTATGTATTTGAGATGCGAACCTGGCCAGCAGACCGAGAAAGGTTCTTGACAGCCCAAACGACAACATCGTAGTAGCTATCGCGAACAAAGCAACTAGTATCAAAGGCTTCCGCCCAACATGGTCAGACAGTTGACTCCAATAGAGAACGGTCAATGTTTGAGCGACATAGTACGATGAGTGCTTCGGATGATATCAGGAAAGAACAGAAGACATTGAAGGATGAAAACATGCTCACCAGGATTCCAGCGTAGTATCCAACCTGGGATTCGTCTCCGCCGGTCACGCCAATGTCTCTGATCAGCTAGATAAAATCCCAGTTGCGGCGATCTCCAACCAGAATAAAAAAATACGCACTTCGGGGGTAAACGGGGCAAGGGTCTGAAAAACAAGGAAATTTGAAAACTGCAAGACCAAAATGATCCAGAATTGATTCCAGGGCAGAGGTGTCTTGGCTATCGACTGCTCTGGCTGTCGTAGAAGAGGAGTCTCTTCATCATCCTGATATGCAATCATGGTCGTGCGAGGGAACGAGTCTGCCGGATTCCAGATGGGCTCTTATATGCCAACACGTTCCAGCGGCGAGCCGGCCAGCAACAAGCCTGTCAGCGACCGGCTCGTTGGCCAACCTCATTATCAATGAAAAGGAGTTCAGGAACATGCTCTTTGGAATAATAGGGTCGCCGCCGGAATGAAAAGCATCACACGAGCAAACGTAAATACCAGGGGTAGCTAGTACGTGACGTACACCAGCTACTAGTACCCCAAGTCCACCTATATAAGTCGCCTGCCAGGAATTAGTACTGCTCTGGCCAAATATCACGGTCAGCGCTCATAAGTCCAATTAGAGCACACATAGCAGCAAAATGTCAACACCAGACCACTCGCAATCATAAAAGCAGAGCGCGTTAGTTACATACCGTAGACAGTGTTGCCGCAGCATGAGGCGCGCCGCACATGTGATGAGTTGAGTTACGTCCACTTAGTGATGAGTCTCAGATGGACTTATCAGCGATAACAGAGCAGGTGTTACAATGGCAGAGGCTCTCAATTACGACTCTTACGACGACGCTACTGCATGAGGCGCACCGCATATAATAAAGGTCCGGTGCGTTACGTCTATCTGTATTCGACTAACTGTCCTCGTGGGGTTCTACACCCGACAACGTAGATTTCCACCCACCATCGCAATTGTAGCCCCAAGACACCAACCAAGCTCCGTCCCTTCAATACGCTTCCCAAGCTGCACCTCCCGATCATCACCAAACTCGTAGCCAAGCACCAGTAGGGCATGCTGGAAACTGAGATCGAGGCACCACTCTGGTCGACCTTCGAGTTCCTCCATGATTTCAGGGTATGTACCCCAGTATTCTTGCCAGCTGGTAGGACCCGCGCAGACCCGTTTAGCAAGCGTGGCGAATGTTGAAATTGACATGGGTGGCTGAGGGTGATCTTGTGATGACTTTGCTAAAAGTAGCGGTGTGACCCTATCATAGAAATACGAGAGAAGAAGGATTTTGCCGTTAGGGAAAGCGTCCAGGAGTGATGGCTGGTAAACACCATTGAAAGAGCAGGGTTTGAGTTCACAAACGCTGTTGCGAGCGATCAGCAAACACCAAAAGAATCGATAGAACACAAGAGGACTTACTCATCCTTAGCCATGACAAGCTCCAAGATCCGATTACAAGCCTCAAAATTACCAATATCCGATCCCGTCATCGTCACTGTCACGGTATCGCCGTCCCCAGCAGGAAGCTTCACCTCTTTCACCGACCCTTGAGCCAAGCAAGGGTTGTGAATCATTCTTTTCCAACTGCTAGCACCATTCTTGCTAGACCTCATAGAATCCATGAATTGAACGACGCGATGCACGCTTTCCCGAGCGCTCTTGAGGCCATATCCAAGATACGAGTGCTGGTACAACACCCGCTTAGCTCCACCAAACTCAAGCTCATACTTGTGCTCGCCGTCCTGGAGACCCTCATCACCCTTCTCATCGCCAAACTCAGGCTCAAACACAATTTGTGTTGACCCTCCACCCAAATCAAGCACGGCAAAGGGCGACGCGTCCTCGGGCGAATCTCCTCTAATGGTATTGAGGAGATAGTTCGCAGTGATCCACGCATAGACGCCCTCGTCTTTGCCATCCATGATGACCACACCATCCTTATCTGGGAACGGGAAGGGGTATTTGTGGAGGATGTGGTCATGCACTGCTTTGAGGATGTCATCGCTTTGACGGGCGCCGAGAAGTCGAAGCCCAGCGGTGGCTTTGACTGCGACGGGCGTACAGCTGCGCAGGGACTCTGGTACGATGTCCATGGCTTCATCGAGGAGAAGGTCAAGACTCTCTGCCGCTGCAGTCGGGAGTCCGTTATACGAAGAGAGGCCTGGTTGGGTCATGCGGAATACCTCATACTCAAAGGTTGGCGAGGGTCCACAGTTATGGAATTTGTAGATGTGGATGCGCGAGCCGGTCGAACCAGCGTCAATCATGAGGGCATACTGCACAAGAGGGAGGTTGGGAGAATAAGGGGAAGTACAGTGTACAGTTTTGAGGAGGTCTGGGTCTGTCTCGGGGGAGGTAGGGAACGATGTTTGTAAGGGTGGCGATGTAGTGGTAGTAGTAGTCTTGTCAAAGTCAATTTCATCCTCTGAAGGACTTGTCGTCGTGGGTATATGTGCTACTGGTGGTGGATAAGCATCGTCCATGCCAGGCATTGGTAAATCTTCGTTTCATGATATGTCAATTCGTTCATTCGTTGGGCAACAACTATCGCAAGACGTACCAGGTATCAATTCTACGCTCGATCTCGGTCCAAAAAACCAGACCACGGAAATGAGCACCCCAGCACCAATTGCGAACTTCTTCCATGCTTGCATCCTAGTGGTACGACCTGGACCAAGGCCGCCCTCAAGACGCTCGTAATTGCTCGTCGACGTGAAGAACATGTCAGATGTCAGGAGCCTGCGAGCACGGGCCTCGTGCCTAAGGTCGATGGACGTAGAGTGGCCTGAAGGGTGTAATTGTGTAATGGCGAATCCAAGACAAAGAGTTTAGTCTCCCGTAAGTAGTCAAACCTTGAAGAAGGAAGAGTCTCAGTGATTTCAGGTAAAATGTTCAGCCTTGACTGAAATACAGGCTCGTGGACGTTCCCTTACACGTTTAGTTGGCATAGCCTCAATTCACATTTGCACGGACAAGTTCAATCACTAATTTATGACAACGCATAAACCTGTACTTTTGTATTTTCAGGTCTAATCGACAACGCATATGTATGTAATCAACCTTAGGCATGTATGAAGGCGGGGAACGAGAAATACTAGATGACGACGCGTAATGAAGATAAGAGGATAAAGATCAAGAAAATATGGGAACGAAGAACTCAGATCAAAAAGGATCACAAGCAATCACGAACATGGGGAAGGGGATACGACGATGCTCCTCGCCAGTGGATGGGGGGGGATGGATATGATGAATATAATAAGTTTTACACAGAGCATCGAAGTCGAAGAAATAGTATCGGGTATGAAAAGAACGAAGGAAGACTAGATGAGCCGCATTCACGAGTCTGTGAATTCGGGGTACTCGACGTTGTGGCTTCGGAGCAGAGCCTGGTAAGTCATCGCCCTCGACTTCCACATCTCACTCTCGCGCTTGTACTGCTCAACGCTCTCCTCCAACTCTCGCTGGTACTCGAGCTTGCGCTTGCGACTCCGCCGAGCAGCGATGGTATTTTGACGTCTCTTTGCCTCGATCTGCTCCTGCTCGGTCATGGAAGGCGTGATGATCACCTCCTCATTGAGCTCGTCCTGCTCGTCACCGAAAGCAGCCGTACGCGCCCGCTTCCGAGCGAAAACAGCAGGAACCTCCTTACGAGAAGTCGCTGACGGAGTCAGATACTTGCGCTGCTGCGTGGGAGCATCGATAGGCACAAGGGCCTCGGGCGTGATGTTCTTGCGCGTGCCAGTGACAGCAACTTTTCGTGCAGATGGACGATTGGCCGGAGAGTCATACGGCGATTCAATTGGGGTATTGAGCATTGGAGTGTCGGGGGACATTTGATACAGATCATCGAAGTTGGGGCGTGGGAGGTGGTAAGACTCGGTGGTCTTGCATGGGGAATACATGGCACCGATGTCATCAAAGAGAGATGGGAGTTCGCCGAACGAGCCACCCCCAAAATCGTCCAAAAGCGGACTCGTGAGGATGTCCGCATTGATATCCGCAGAGCCAAATGCGGGGGTAGTGAGCAGCTCATCATCGAGGGGAGAGTCGATGAGGGGTGAAGTGAGGTACTCATTCAAGTCGTTCGACATGGTGAGCTCCGGCGTGGCTGGCAGAGATTGAGTAAGCCACGCAAGAGTGGTAGGAGTGAAAAACTTACCACCGAAGACGTCCATGAGCGTCTGAATGGCCTCTGCGTCAGACGGCGAAGCCGTCAGGGGCGCCATGTCCTCTACGCGGACATCGGGCGCATCGTTGTTGCCTGGATGTTGTGACAACATGTTCAAGTAATTCGAGCACAAATTGGCGAAATCGGGTGTTGTTGATGCGAAAGATTCAACAGAAAGTGTTGAAGAAGAAGATTCTCCTGGTTCTGATCTACGAGGAGTTGTACGTGGTGCGCTGGGCAAAAATTGTGGTATCCCATAGTGGGCAGCAAGATCCGAAATGTTATTGAAGACCGGAGTAGACGTCGTTAGACGTGTTGAGTTACTGTTTATCGCGACATGGCGATTGGACGAGGAACTTGAAAGTTGGGAACTTTCAAGGCGATTATGGAAGACATGGTAACCGGTTGATTGCGATGGACCAGGGGGATGCGAGCGATTCACAATGTGAGGGTCGGGGCCATGTTGACTAATATAATGGGTGGGTTTATGAGAAATTGCGGGAGAGGGAAACGTGTTAAAGGTCGAGTCAGACGCAGGCGGCAACGTCGGCTGCCTGGGAGCTCTGGACGACGACACAGTCAGTTTCCCGTTCAAATCACTTTGGTTATGGTATTGAGGTAAGAGCGGTGAGCGTGCGTTGCATCGCGGTGACTCCTCTGACCCCAAAGGCTGCACCGAAAATGATCGTGAAGGCCCAGGGAGGGGCAATGTACGATACAGATCGGGTGACCTCGAGGTCGATGGATGATTGTAAGCATATGCCGACGACATTTTTCAGCCGCGCGCACTCTTGATTTCAATGGAAATCGGATGATATGATTGTGATATGATCGCGCGCAGCAATGCCGAGCAACAGACAAAGCACACGTAGAACACAATGCAATGAATCAGACAGTACTGAAACACTCACGGTTAGCTTTTGAGTACTTGAAGACTCGTGGACGCCTCAGGAGCAGTGCAAGAGCTGCTCTAAGGTGCCAGTGGTGGTTTGAGGGGAAAAGATACGGAAGAAAATTGTGACTCACAAGTGCTTATATGAGAGTTTTTTCACCGCTTTTCAAGCTCAGAGCCGCGCATTTCTTAAAATAGTGTGAAAGGCACAGCAAATACGCTAACTTTAAGGTTACCGACTTTGGAAACCAAAAAAAATCATTAGTTTACTGGTTTAAATAATCATACATAGACGACTGCAACCAAAAATGGTGGCTCAATGCTGAAAAACACTGCAGAAACCATAGCACATTCTCAGTAAGGCATCGGGACTTGATTGAATCCGTGGTGGCTGCGCCGTCGTTATCGCATCCTGACTCAGACTTAGGCGCGCCTAGTGTGACTCGGTGCCAGGATGGCGGCCCGCTGGTCATCACAAGTGCCCGTTACGACCAATCGGATGGTTCGCCGGCCGACCGGTCGCACAGCCTTGCGAATATCTGCATGCTTAGCTGCGGACACATCACCGCTAGAGAAAACACGTCGCGCGACGTATTGGCGATTTAGACGTGGGAGCCAAAGATACTGCGCGTTCCCCACTGCGAGCTAACGCGTTCGGTTCCTCTTGGCTGCGATACCTGCGAGTGCCTGCGCCGTTAGCGACTGCGAGAGCTGTTGTTATTAATGCGCAGTCCATGCCCCACAGTTAGACGCGAAGAGGTCGGCACATTAATTGCTTCTGGAACAATCAATGGCTTGGAAGAATTGGCATTCGGATGTCGTTTGATCGCCGCAAGCCAGTGCCTAGTGGATGCCGGAACCTTCTGAGCGAGAGGTGATTGTTCTCCAGGAATACGTTGACAGCGGCAGCTGACTACTGCAGCTGGCATCGTGCGTTTGATTAGGCAATCATTACAATGATTACATCCAATGGATCATTTTAATTAATGCATAGGAATCAGGATGGTCACCTTTTTTGGAGAATAGACCCAGGAAATGATTCTGATCTTTCCATCGAGACACGATAAGGAATCTGTTTTCGAACAGGAAAATCCTGAGGCAGTGATGGCTCCCAAGACACGAGATGCAGCGCAGGTCTGCCTGTCGCTAAGCGCATCGTGAGCGCCAAGTGACTGGCAGGCATGCTCGATATAAAGTCTGGGTACACAGCTCGTGAGCTGGGCATCTTGGATATCGTGATAAATCGTGTCGTTATGTACCGTTTTGTGAAATGCATTGGAAGGAAGTCGGATTTTGCCTTGAACCATTGATTCAGCACGCACGTTGCCGGGCGTGGTCTCGATGCGGTGTAGTGGGGGTGATGAAAATGGTTGAAATATTCGCCAGGCCTTTAACACTGCCTGGAGGAGTCCCCTTTCACAAGCGAATGATGCAGTGCGCCGAGATTCGGGAGCAGTGTCTGATTACACCGATCTTAGACTGGGCGAGGCGATGCGACAATTTCAGAGTGAACAGCACGCAAAGAAAAGGTCAAGAAAAAGTTTGAAGAGCTGAGAGTGAGTGTTGGGGAGAGTCAAGCAGAGAGGACTTTATGTAGGCTCCCGTAGGCAGTCCAAGGAGGACTGACTCGCATTGACAAGTCGAACACGACTCGAGCATGAGTCAAAACGACTGGTTGAACCAAGCAAGCGCTTATTACATAATTTTGTTAGATGCACTTATCACTTCCTAATGGGATAGATAAGATAATGCTATGGCCAGGTGATATACTACTCGCACATACGCACCCACCGGTCATACGGCGAGACCGTCAACCCGAATGCGCAAACAAGATCCCCAGAAATGTAAAGAACATGGCTGAACAGGCAGGTACTAAACTTGGCTAGCCAGAAAAACGCAAACAGTATAAGTACCTTCCCCGGGCCATCATTTCGAGTCCCACTCACCTTCACCTACTCCTCCCTCACTATCATGCCTCACCACCACAAAGACCTTTCTGATGCTCACGATGAGGTAGTATACCACTTACCCAGCACATATCATATCTGATCGCGAACATCGCAGGTTGTTAATGCACCCCACAAGGCGCAGCTCTCTCATGAGCTGATCGCTGGTGCAGCTTCTTTCGCAGTGAGTTCTCCTTACTCCTACTTATCGATCTCCCTTTCCAAACTCAAACCGCCATCATAGGCAATGAAAGCCTACAATGCCCACTGCGAGAAGAACGGCAAGCCCGTAAACCACGAGATGGCCAAGGAGCTCTTGTAAGTATCTCAGTCGTGATAGACATACATCACAACTAACATCGATCACAGGGCTGGTTTTGCCGGAGCTTTCGTCGACCGTATGGTCGAGACTAAGGGCGTACGTCTTATCTTGCTCGTTTTTCTTGTAACCTATAATGATTATTATTCTAGTTGGACTTCGTTGACAAGCAGAAGGCCAAGCATGCAGCCAAAGATACTGCCTTCGAAAGGACTAAATATTGATCGCCAGCAGTGTCTCATGCAACCTAATACCCTACCATTACCATCCATGAAACAATTGTAACAATAATATATGCCCAAGCGCTTTATGATATGCATCCATGTTTCGACAACGCGAACAACCCATATGGGCGACGATATGTTATTAACAGTACTCGAGCGCAGCTGAACTGAAAAGCATATAGATACATGTAATCCATCAAAACAAGAATATCTAGGTTGAAGAAGATGCGGCCAGAGCAATCTAACGTACAAGTGAAGTCATAAGTAGGAATATACCAGAAATGTACAGGTGAGTATCAACCAGCTGGTGAGATCTGAGGTGAAATATACTATGTGGAGGGTATGCCTCCAGACAGGGTTAGGAATAAAGGACTGTAGTCCTAGAACTACGTTCGAGATAATGTCGCGTAGCGTAACCACTGTTCGGGAATGTCTATAATGGAGTCCGTAAATCTAAAGCGATGACACGAGTATCGTGCATGCTATTGCAAGGAGCGTCCACAAAAGTCCTGCGGGGCGATTTGACCATGCCGCTCTAGTGCAACGTACGAAATTAGAACATAATGGGCATGTGTCGTAACTGAACTGGTGACCTACCCGCTTGGATTACTGCTACTGGGCGTCTTGACCAGCTTTACTGTTAGCACCGCCACCAGTCCGTCGATTGCATTTAATCCATTGACAGCGACACTTTGATAGTGGTTGATGCCATCACTAGTGTTCTGTAGCAGCCCGGAGACATACGTCGCAGTAGTCGCATAGGTGAAATTATTAAAGGATGTTTGTCCCGAGTAAGTCGATGTGTTGGTGATGTTTAGTGTCGGAAGAATAGTCGACTGAGAAGTGACATTCCCGACAAGCCAATCTCGACCTAGGTTATAGCTGCGGGATATAAGTCCAAGACTATCGATCAAAAAGATTCGTACCCACCCATTGACTACGATATTATGCTGCTCTGTAACACGGTCATTAGACATTCTGATCAGAATTACGTCTCAGACACACCAGCTATAGGCATCTCATACGAAGTTGCCATGAATATTCCACCAGAGTCTGCGCTTGCCCCATTCTGTATCCAATAGCGGAAATGGTTCCCTCCTTCGACCGTCTCCTGGCAAGTTCCAAGGTTGGCATCGCCATAGTCCCAACGAATTACGGCAGTTTCGTTCACTAAAACACTGAGTTCCGGGAAGAGTGGCTTTACAATAGAACACAAAACGTACGGTAACCATTCCCGTCACCAAGATCAGCAGCCTGGTCGCCACCGGCATGCTGTCCTAAACACTCGGTCGAGAACCCGAATGATCTGTCTGCGCGTAAAAACAACTCTTCAATAACACCGGACCGTGCTTACTGGAAATAATTGATAAGACCACCGTTGTCCAAAGTATTCTGCAGCACCTGTGAATCAGAATAGGCAGAGATGATGACGTTTATGGGTTCTCCGAGACCTGGTGGATAAGTATCCTGGACTTGCTGCAGAACGAATCAATCACATCAACACCACCCAATAACACGTATGGGAAACACAAAGAACACACAGTAAGCATACTCCCACCACCGTCCATCGGATTATAATACCCATAATTCGTGGATCGTTTGTGCGGCGGAAGTGCGGGCGCGGGCGGGTCCGGCGTAGGACCTCTAGCAGCAACCATTGCGGGCATCGACAATGATGCAGCAATTAGGAGAGAACTGAACCATGATTGTGCGCGTGAGTACTTAGGATGTTAATAACGCAGAAAATTGAATCGTACGTCTTTCGAGTTTTCGAGTTCCTGGACCTGGAGGCCCTGGGCGCGCCTGTTACTGGGCACGTTCTTGAGCGCGGAAGTCTAGGTGGGCCTGCCAACAAGTGGAAAGATAGCAAAGAGTGTCGTGAAAGCTGAAAACGTGTTAGCCATGTATCTTGGTTTCCCTCGAGGTTGCGCTTTGCATTAATGTTACATAATCAATGTTCGGGACAATAGACTCAGCCTATCCCCGTCATGGCGATTCTCTTGTTTTTCCGATGCTACAGTGCCTTGAAGAGCGCTTGTGAAGATATTTTTCTCAGCCAAGATGTTTTACCTTGCCTGCAGGTCCAAGTCAGGATGTCAAATGCTGGCATATGCTGATTAGCCAAACGCAGATTAAAGTTCGAGGTCACTTCGCCTCCCGTTGGGCGTTCAGGGTGACATTGTTCTATAACTCCCGAATTCGCGGTCTCGGGTGTGACGGTCTTTTGGCACTTCTATATATGTGGTGGTTCGCGGTGAAATTAACCCCCTCCGCACCTAATTTTACTTCCGCCAACCAGAAGTCCAAGCCAGGTCTGTGTAGCACCTCCACACCAGTTTGGACGCTTAAAGTCTTATATGCAGCATTCAACTCCGGTCTGACGCCTCGAGGTGGAGAAGAGTCCTGCAGGGCTCGATCACTCCCGTTATTGGTGAAAGGGGCTGCAAAGTGGAGAAAAAAATTGTCGAGAAAACGTGGACAGTGGACTGCTTCCGCGGAAGGAGAGCAAGAATAAAATGGCCAATTCAGGTGCTCAGGGTACTCACCTTCTGCCCCACTAGCCGATGGATCACTCAACTTGGAACTTGCCCATGTCGAATGTGGACCTGAAATGGACGTGCTCATCCGTCACTTCGGAACGCGCAACAATATAAAGGGGATGCACCCTCGGTGTCCAACTTTTCGCCACCGGTCCAGGAAGTCTTGGACGTTCTCAAATTCTCTCGAGTCCATCTTCGATCCACGTCGACGGCTCGATTTTTACTAAAATTTCCCCTTCGAGCCCCAGTTCAATTCTCGCTGTCACATAACTATATGTACCGCGCATTCGTTAGCCGGCTTGGCTCTTCTTGTGAGTACATAAATATATATACCGGATTATTACTTCAGGCTACCCACGCCTTGCTTTTTCTGGTACGTGGCTCGTCGCACGATCTGAGAGACTGAAGTTATGATTGCCAAAGCTTTTATCCCTCATATCCGGCGGAAGGTCTGTTGTTTATCGAATATTCTGGTGACGAACAGTGTTAGCTGGCTTCCTTCGATTAGGCGCGACCCATCCATTTTTGTACGCTAGCAAGCACGCCTTTCAACCTCCACCTCTAAAAAGGGCAGCAGCTTACTGGTAGCGAGTCTATTTTTCGACTGAAGAATGTACAGATCTGTGCAGATGCGGTGTCTGTATCCAAGGTTTAATATGGCTTATGGTCAGGACATTGGTTTGTCCCATCAGAGTCCGGGTTGCCCAACCGGGTACTGACAGATCTGGGGATGGACGTAGGTGCGCAATAAAAAATTGATGCTACTGACAGTCCTGATAAATCAATACCTCCCTCCGGCGCCTCAGACGTTGTGAGCAGTACGTCTACATTCCTCCGCGCTCTCGTTTGGTCGTTCCCTATTTTCCGCCGTGTCCTGTTCGGCCCTATTGCGGTGCGTACCACGCACTCTGCTACCAAGGCAACACGGGGGGAGCTCCGGAAGAGGGGTTATGAATTCGAGCCCTCTGTCCCTCCTAATACAGCACCAACATCTGCACAAGACAATATACCGCATCGGCATATTGAGCACTTGGAGTTGAAGTAACGGAATGCGGAACGGGTATCACAGACCTAGGGGTGGTTCCTGGTTTCTACTAGAAGTCTAGGAGGTCGACCACACTACCACCCACCTCACGTACCATACCCCGAGATGATCGGTCAATAACTCCAGATGAGGTTTCATGAGGCTGAGGGCGCAGTACAGCAGCTTTACTCATGTTGTATAAAATATTGTGATGCCAAGACAATGTATGCGGCCTACATAACTAGAGGATGACTGAAGAGCAGCCCCCAGCAAACTCTTCCGGTCGTCAATCACCCCCTAAGCCGCTAGTGCCTGGGTTCGAGCTATTGATGCCGGATTACATTGTGCCCCCGAGTGTACACACACTCAGGGAGGACAAAATCACTTCCATCGAAAAGATTTTCTACTGATGCATTTTAGTAAGTTGCTCGATTCAGCGCATGCTACCCACACGACCCTCGATAGTGAAAGAATTTTTTCGAGCGTTTATTGTACCATATCATGATCCACTACATCTTCCCAAACTCTTGCTTCCTCAACCCAGTCGGACGACCCCTTCAACGTAGCTAGCTTTGCCTCTGATTGTCGTTGACGCCCCTTCACCAACCTCGGCTCGACGCTGTCCAATGATTCCTGGCTCCGCTCGCATAACCGACTTGCCGCATGAAGTAGTAGAGCACATTCTGGTGATTTCTGATCCCATTGATGTCGCACGTGCATCCCAAGTGTGCAAATTCATCCGCGGTATCGTCTACCCTGTCGGTGACGAGCATTTCTGGCGAGCTCTTTACTTGGCACAACCATTTGATGACCCCCGGAAGGCGGTCACTTTCCTCGGCAATCGCCGAACTGATATCAAATGGAGGGAGGAACTGCAGCGCATCATCCGCGCAAGAACCGTCATAAATGATGTTACTGTCTGTCGACCGGATGAAAGATGTCAGGTACTGCGAACCCTGCTTGACATGGTGACGAATGTACCTCCTCTGCCTTTCCCTGAGAGCGAGCCGACGTCCCGTAATGTGTTGTGGATGCAGATGCACCTGCAGGACGGCACGTTCCTTGACCTGGAGAGCCATTCGCATGAAGAAGAACAGCTGCGCGCGCACTTACACGCTTGGTTCGGGTTGACTGACATAGACGGTTTGCCAGCGAAGAGAGTAGCGTCCCGAGCGTATGTTTACAACCAGCGCAACTACCAGTCCTCAAACCTCTTTGGGCCTTTCATGCGAGATGGGAGTGGAACAGTCGACTGGGTGAATATGCAGAGGATCGCGCATGTCTTCGCTAGAGCGTTGGTGGAGAGGGAAGAGGAGGAAGAACCTGCCTTTGAAGTTTGCTCCCTGAGCCTGACTTTCTGTCAGGCTGTCATACCACCCAGCCTGAATCTGAACCGCGAGACTGATTGGGCTGGCGTCGAGGGCTTGTGGCGCATCTCTTATTGTTTCATGGATCACCGGGAGTTACTTAGTAAGCCATCGATGTTCTTGTTCTACAATTAAGTCTCTGACGTGGCACATTGCTCCCGTCCAGTTTACAATGATCTCAATGTGTGTTCTACCGCCCTCGTTACCTATAATTATCGTCCCATCTGACGGGAATTTCGCAGTTGCCAGAGGACGAGCCACTCGATCACACTATATTTGAAGATGGAGAGTTGGAAGAGACGTTCAGCGCAGTTGACATCTTTTTCCGTGTGATCAATGTCGAGCAAGACCCTGATCACCCGACACGGCCAAAAATCAACTACGTAGGAGAGATGGATGGCAATTTCTCCATCGTTGGTTACGTCAAACTCACGCCTGACGACCAGATACGATGGCACTTTGTAAGTCTCACCAGTCGTCGAGTCAATTTGTTCCTGTTGATGCCGAGCTCGGTTGCAGGTCGCTGGTAACGGAGATCAGCCTGTGTGGTGGTATGGTCTTTGCACTTACATTGTTCATTTGGTAACCATGTACTCTAACACAGTGGTGAAGCGATCGTTATGGGTAACATCCGTTCTCAATATGGAGTTCTTGGGGCTTGGTCTACGACCATGCATGACCCGCAGGATCCTATTGGTGTGTACAAATATATTCAGGCCAATTCTTCTCACATCAGCAGCTAATGCCCGACGTCAGGTCCATTCTGGATGCAGTGCCAACATCCAATTGAAGACTGACGTCGCACCCTACGCCCTTTTTTGTCTGTATTTTTGGGAAGGACTGTTACAAATCCAGTTGCAAATGTTGTACACAGTATGCGTTATTTGTTTTTTTTTTTTTGGGATTGGCATGGGGGTCTTGTACGGACTGTACTAGACGAGTACAATGGTGACACCGGTGATAAACGGGTATTGATCGAGTTCGTTGGGTTGCCGACTCGGAATTGATCATGATCATGTGTCATTCCTCCGAGAGAACGCACAATGCGCATTTGAATACAAATGTTAGACAAGGTTGACAGTCCAGTCTTTGGAAATAGTTACAAATCTCATTATTCTTGAAAATCGCTGTAACTTGGCGCTTACGGTAAATTTACGAGGGACCAATCGTTTTCGGTCCATTTGGCTAGAAAGACGAGTACCGTTTAACAGTGTTTGATGTTCTACTGGTAACTACACCGTGCACACATGTATCTTCTATTTATCTTCTCCCTTCTGAACCGTGTGAGCGTATGTCCTAGGTAGACCATAGAAGGGAAGCCGCGCAACTTGCTGATAGCAAACTGATTAGATCTACGAGTCGCCACACTAACCGTAAGCTACATACTATAGATGACAATCTCAGTCCTCGTCGTCTGCCTCGGCAACATCTGCCGCTCCCCTATGGGAGAAGCCGTGCTCCGCAACGAAGCACTCAAGCGTGGCATCACCGATATCCACGTCGACAGCGCGGGCACAGCTGCGGCGCATCTAGGGGAAGATCCTGACGATCGGTGAGTAGGCCCATCTGCACTCTTGTTTCACCCCACCGGACTGTCGTGGATCGTAGGACAATCGCAGTGTGTAACACGGTATGCACCTTTCCTCGCTCAGTATCTTAACTTGTAGGATCATACCATCTGCAGAACAAAGTTCCCATATCCCACTCTGCGCGGCAGGTCCGCGCCTCCGATTTCACCTCCTTCGACTACATACTCGCAGCTGATGGTTCCAATCTGCGCGCATTGGAGCGACAAGTCAGTCAAAGTGAGGGATCGAAAGCGGCAGTAAAGCTCTGGGGCTCCTACCTACCAGATAATAAGCCAATCCCGGACCCGTATTACGGGGGACAGGTGAGTCGGTCCATCCTTGCCATTTACAGAGAATGGGTCTCAGAAATGGCGCATGCGCAGGATGGATTCACGAAGGTGTACGAGCAGTGCGTGAAGCTTTCAAACGCATTTTTGGACGAGGTCGTTGGGAAGGAGAGTTAGGGGCTCGGTCAACGATTTACATAACAGACGGGATTGGATGAAGTATGTCGACAGAGAGAGAGAGAGAGGGTTACAACAACACGAGAATGATACCCACACAATACCTGTGCTTTGGTACGTTTTGGAATATCTCGAATTATACCGCGCTTCGTGTTCCTGCATGATGCCGACCGACATCGGATTCTGTCTGAAAATCGAACAACGCAATTTGAACTCGCGCAGGGCTTCTTGTCTTCTTTGTCGATTTGGACTGTCGCTGTATTGTTGAGATCTCAGAGTCCTATGGGATCATGCTTATTGGTAGTACTTACTTACAATCTAGAACAGGGGTCCAGCAGGTGTAATGAGATGTGTAACTCAGAAGCTCAGAATTCATCTTCACTTATATCCAACAGTAGTATATAGGAGGCCCAGACTTTGACGGAGCGTACCTTTCTTCCTCGAGTACTGTGCCTTGTGAGCAAAAACCGCGGGAGAGATCGAAATCCGATCTCCTATCATCCAGTACAAGTCCTGTCCACACAATACGATGTTGTCCCCGAATAACCGTAGTCAGGCGCGCGGCACCGCTAGATTGAACATTGTATTCGAAATTACAAGAGCAGTCCGGTACTCTATATATGTGTACACGGCATCTCGAAGTCGAGTGCAGATCTGAACAAGAATCGTATCGTACAGATGGGAAATAGAAAGGGGAGGTGTCAATAAAGGTAGTAGCGCGGCCAAGGAAAGTCAAGATAGGAGGGGAACCACTCGAGGCACAAATCATAGCTGCACGGTGAACTTGAGCCTGCCGTCAGCACATGGCTCGCATTTCACTTTTTCCATGTTTTCCACCAAAAAGTGGGCGCCGGCGTGCTCAATCTGTTTCCTCTCGTGGCTGGTGCACACTGCAATTACTGTGGCACCACTAGCCACACCTGCGCGGATCCCGCTTGGGGAGTCCTCGAACACGACGCAGTTTTTCGCAGAAAAACCGAGTTCGCTGGCAGCGAGGAGGAATGGGTCTGGGGCGGGCTTGCCGGCCTTGAGACGCTTGTCGTCTGCGGTAATAGTTATCTTGGGCGGAGTAATGCCAACACGAGTCATGCAACCATATGCTGTAACGATGATCAGTACATACTTCATCGCAACTAGAAACCCACATACCATATGTTTTTGCGCCCGAAGTAGCAACGGCATAACGGCCTTCAGGAATGGAACTCATCATTCTCTTCACACCGGGCAAAATCCGCACTGAGCGATCAACACCTGCTGCTTCCTGTTGCCAAGCCTCAAGGACGTGTTTCTTCTGATTCGCCTCGAACATGATCACGTCCTGTTGGTCTTCCTCCATGATAGAGTCCTCAAATTGAGGACCCTGACCGTAGACAGAAGCTTCGGGAACGACTGACATAGTCAGCATGCTATTTAGCTTGCTGGCGAATGATGGTCGGCGAGGAGAGACAAATGAAGATGCACGGGAAGAAGGCGCGGAGCTGCCTGGCGATATGGAAAGATCAGGGGTCGCGTAACCGGAGCTGAGAGGGGAATTCAATAACGGGGAGGTCGCAGGTGAGCAGAGCTGCGAGCCAGGACCGTGCAAGTTGTAGGCATCGGCGAAGAAGAGAATGCTTTCTTCGAAATTTTGCACTTCGTCGTCCATCTCATGTGCCTTGATATGGGGCTTAAATTGCGCGAGGTTGTCTACGGCGCGTTTGCCGTGGGTTGCAGCAATAACATAAGCGGGGTCTTGGCCAATGTCTTTGGCGACTTTGCCCCAAGCTGCCTCAACGGCTGAAATAGAGTCTGTGAGGGTGCCATCCTATGATGCACTGACCGAGTTAGATTTGGAAGAGCAATGAAAGAAAATACACACCATGTCGAACAGGACAGCGTCGGCGTAGAATGTGTGAGAAGACATGAAGATTGTGATGGTGAGGAGGGCGGATATCAAGGTGTGGGTATCAAGGTATGAAAGGTATGAAAGAGCTGAAGTGGATGTTAATGGGTTTTTTTTTGTGAATTGTTGACCGCCTCTTATATACTTCGCGTTTACCAACCAACCATCAATCACATCCCTATTTTGTGAGTGACGTCAAGGGATAAAAAAAAATTGCTCGAAGCTGAATCGAGTGGAGTCGCCTTGACAGAGAAGGTTGTGAATTTCACACATGATACTAAGAGGTTGGTGCACGTTTCATCAGGTTAGCGTCCTTGTAAATGATAAGTTCAGTTGGTTGCCGAAGCCCGGACATGTAGAGGATGGCTTGGGCAGGACGACAAGGGACGGACAGCGAGATCAGCGGCGTGACTGAACTTGAAGACTTGCCTAATTAGGAATACATATGCGATCGATAAAGAACGAGCGCCCGTCGGCATAAACGGGTATGACTCAGCCGCTGCTCCCTCTGAAACAGACACGTCAATATGCATTTCGTGTTCTGAACATGAAACCCACCACCGTAGTTATCGTTACACTAAGTTTCTGCTACTGGTGCGTATCTCCTATCATTTCGCATCATGGGAACAATGAAAGGGACTGAATCAGGCTTAAGCCGCGTAATTGCACCACTTCCCCCCACCATCACTGTTCGTGGCCTGAAAGCAGTGCATTAAACATTTTCGCGAAGTCTATCTATCTTCGTCGCATTTATTTCCGTGCGGACCGCGCTGCATCTCTCTCTACTTTCGGACAACTGACGTGAGCACATCCCCTTATCACTCCTCCTCGACGTGCTCAGCGGCTCCTCCAAAAATGAATATTCTACCAGATGGTCGCCGTAGTCATCTGATGTAAACCCATTTAGTTAACATCCCGAACGAGCTTCGATCCACCCTCAAAGGACTCGACTTTGTACTCTTTTCGCCGTGTTCGCAAGAACCTGATGTAGTAAATTGTTTTCACATGTCCATTTCAAAACCGTATGGGCGGATTGGCCCTCCATGGCAGGACCCTCGTTCAGAAGGTTAGCAACCTTTTTTCTTCGTGCCTGACGGCACGAACGTTGCCTATCTAATCGCGCGCGCCCAGGGGGGTCCGTCGAATATGTATTTCTCTTTGCATCAGACGCGCCTTTTCAGCTTCGCTCCTGAGTAAGTAGTTCGCTTCATCTGTTTTGCGAAGGTGCAATTGAACCCTATTGCCACGCTCCACCCCATCATATTGAACTTCCTGTGTCCACGAGAAGGATCCAATGACTCGGGTTCGCGCCATTCAACTGTCAACTTATGAGATGAGCTATGGCATTTCCCTCGTGGAGCACTAATACTGCGGTGTCTCTCTTCGAAGCGGGGCAGCCATCGACGTCATGTGAATTAATTTGGGGCCCCTCGTGTATGAATCATCATGGCCGAAGTGGCATTGACGATAAGTATTCACCTGATCTTACCAGCCAGTCACACAAACGCGCTCTCACTAATAACTTGGAAGGCCAGCGATAAGCATCGACCGGGTCTTTCAGCCAGCAGCAAAATAGCGCGCTCCGCTCACAAACGTCATCATGGCTCCAAAGGCCAGCGATAAGCATTGAATACGTCTTCCAACCTTGTCATATAATCAAGTAGGAACAACCATCTTCCTTTTACATGGTCTGGCTAGCGGAGGCTAGGACCAGCCAGTCGCAAAAACGTGATAAAGCAGTCAATTTGTCGTCAAACTTCATAGGTCAGTGATAAGCATTGTCCTGGTCTTCCAGCCCGGACTGCAAACTGCAAAAGCGCGCTCTCACCGATAAAGCAGTTTCAACGCCGAGGGTCGGCAATCGCATTAACACCGATGTTCTTGATACAATAACTCGAAGGAACTCAAATTGGGTGATCTTCTTCAACACTACGTATCAATTCCTTTGACGAATCGCCGTCGATCTTGCACAGCTCATTAGACCCACCGACGGATTGGAATTTCGTGTATAGAGTCACAAAAACTTGAAGTAGATCGAGCGCATGACCCACATCGTGGCGTAGCTCATGAATCCTGCAGAAGAAGAGCTAAATCAACACTCGAGTGCCGTCCGCTGGGGTCATGCGTACCCTTGACACCATATCTGCAGAGATTCAAACTTTACCGGGTGAGGAGATGAAACAGAAAATAAGCCGCACAACCAGAGCTGGTGGCCACCGACCTGAAAGGAGCAAATTGCCTAGATTCAGAACTTCAAATCAATGATTCCCGCCGCTTTGATCGACACTTTCATTGTTCTCCCGTCCCGGAAGCGATCGCAGCGGCAGGGTCCTTAACAGGCGCGCACGATAGCACACCGGTACCACGGGAAACACACCCCTGAAACTTCGGTAGAGAATAGGAGCGGTTCCATAGGAATAGGAGAGCATGCACGTTTGCTTGCAGATGTGGTGTGTGATTTGTTATTTGAGGACATTATGCGTAACTGGTGCGTAGCTGAAATTGGTAGCATTGTGGATATATGGAGTCAAAGCACAAGGTCTTGGACTGTAAGCATTTCCAAGACTGGTGGAGCGCTTTCTGTCTGGTAAAATATGGGCGTTTGAGAAAGACAAAAAATATGTTGGGAGACAACGGAAAGGGCTTAGGTCAGTGGATCGCCGAGGAGCACCTGAACGTGGAAATGCATGTCCCTCACCTCACAAATTGCGTGTCCAACGGCTGCTATACATAGTCGAGCCACCAAGGAGCAGCCATATGATATGATTCATAATATTGTCTCCCACAAGCGCAAGCTTCGACCTATCACAGAGGTTCAGTGTAATGTCATTTTGAGCATGTCATAGAGATACTCGGGCAAGCACGGTTCGCGAACTGTTGAAAAACAACGGAGGATACAACTGAAACGCAGTTGGATCCTCTGTAGTTGTTCGATTGCTGTTACAGGACACGGGTATCAGAGAATTGATATTTTATGGAGCGGCGGGAGTACCTTCGCCTCCAATGTGTCCTTGTCGAAAATCCCAATATTGGTTTCTTGTTACGACTCGTCAATGGATGTAATTGTCCACGGAGCGTCGCCGGCCTTGAGCCAAATGGTATTGAGCACCTTCAAGTTTGTTGTAAAAGCTTGCAATCCTCGAAGACACGCCAAAGTCAAATGCTGGTCCAACTTGGGGCTCGATTTGCATGAGAATCTTTCTCATCATGTTGGGTCGATGATAAGCCATACTCGTTCAAGTAGAGGGCGCCAGCCATTTAACTGCTTGAGATCCAATAAACCACGAAGTGACTAGTGATGGAGGACACCGCTGGACACAATAGCTTGCATGTCGCAGCCTATGGTCAATAAGGAGCACAAGAATAAAGAGCACCCACAATCTACCACAGGGGTGCCACTGAAAGAACTCTTTCCGCTCAGCTTCGTGATCGGCTGGATAGCGGAACACGATGGTGTGCAAGACGAAACTGCGCTGTTCCCGTTCAGCACTGATCTATAGTGTCCCTCTTGTGTCCCTCTAGATCTCAATGCTCATTCAACGTCGCAAGTGTCAGTTACTGAGGTGGAGCGAAACCTAGCGGAGTTTGAAATGCAACTTGCTGGCCTATTGCGCACGGTTCGTCCCCTACATTTAAGAAATGCACGAACATTCAAAAAGAAAACAGTTCCCAATACAATATGCAGTTGGCCAATCATGATAAAATTAGGAAGCTCTACGATAATCGTCAAGAATACCAGTAGGGTTTCGGCGGAGGACCTATCATATTCGTGGTATAATCGTACCCCAAGGGCGTAAAAACCTACGTGCGGTGTAAGACACATTGTATAACAAGACAAGATAGAGAAACAACGAGAAAAGACGAGAGGAGAGGCAGCAGACACGATAAAATCAATCGGAGGGCCAACCAGGGCAAGAGGATGGGATGACCAAGAATAAAGTTAATGACAGGAGGGAATCAGCTAATGCTTGCCGAAAGAGTCCATGAGGTCGAGATGAATGCCAGGATATAGTGCACAAACGACGAACAAGAAAGAGGCAAATTACAACTCGGAATTCTTTCCCAGTCGTCAGTGCGTGTTCACCAACAGTCGACAATAAGACTTACTTTGCAAAGAGGCAGGGAAACACACGCATGGCGATCCTACGATCGCTGCGCAAACACCTCAGTCACAGTCCGTCGCCTCTCCCGCCTTTGCGTAGGTAGAGCGACGGTGCGCGATTGAGAACCCCCGTTGTCACCTTCCCTTTCATCACGAATGCTGTCCAGCGACATACGAGCTGCTCGTACACCAAACGTCCGCCGACGAGTATCTCGCTCCGTTTCTGAGCCGGAAAGTGGAGAGCGAATTTGAGCAGGCGAGGGTGGCGGGGGAACGATCGTGTCTTCTTCAGCATTAGAAGACGAAACGACCTTCCTGCGTGCCTCGTCCCGTATGTGGTGTTGTTGTAGCGCAGATAGTGATACTTCAGAAGGACGCGAGAAAGTAACAGATGATCGAACGGAGTCTTGGGAATCAACGCGGGATAGAGGAAAAGTTGAGTTTTCAGGGGAGTTGGATACCGTATGGGTAGTTACAGCGGTTGTCGGATTGGCGGATGGTAAGGGAAAAGGCGCTGTCGGCCCTCGGATGGTGGCGGTGGATGTGGCAGATGGTTTGCGACGGTTGCTTTTTTCTAGCAAACTGCTCGTTGACCTGCGCATGAGCGATTCAGAGGGCAAGGTGGGAAGAGGGGGAGGGATGGCGAGAGCTGGAAGCGGTTTTTGGCGGCCCGCGGGCACACTCCGAGAGGCAGGTGTTGGTGAAGGCTCATACTCCAGAGAGAGGTCAACGGCATCGGATGGGGTGTTATGAGAAGCGAGTGCATTGGATGTCATTTGATACTCACGCTGTTCTCGCGGTGTGAAAAGCCTACGCGTGGCAGATAGCGGTAGCGGAGGAAGGACATTGCGTGATGAGGAAGGCTGGTCCTGGTCCGAAATACGGTCTCTTGACGAAGGCGGACGTGCGACAGCTCCTTCACCACGGCCAGTTAACCTTCTGGACAAGTCAGCACTGGGGGCGGAAGGCTCCCAACTCCGTCTTGACTCCACACTCCTCCTTCCATCCAATCGACTTCTATTACTGCTCCTATCTATTTCGGGTGTTTGGCGGGAAACATCATCATCAAGGCCGCTTCTCGAGTGCTGTTGTCCAGGATCATTCAAAGCACCTGCGGATGCCTCCTTCACAATTTTCCCGACTCCAAGCAAAAAGCCCGTGATGGTACGGACGACTTCGTCGCTCACACGTAGGCCCTCGCGATACTCCCCTCCTACCCTCCTCCAGATTTCACCCGTAGGTATCTCGCCGGGTATTTCATCATCCATCTCGGCGTCGATCTGCTGCTCCAGGGCTCGATTTGTACCCGTTCTCAGCAACGCATTCAACTTCTCAGAAGCAAGAACAATCGTCTCTGCGCTTCGGAACAGATCTGGTACAGACGACTGATTCGGCAGACGGGACAATATGTTCTCGAACATCGTCAAAGACTCTAACATGAGCTTGGTATGCTCCGCGCTTTGTTGGTGACTGTGGAGACTAGAGACTGACCCATTCCCAAGAGGTGTCATCGTGGTATGACGTCGTGTGAGTGTGCCGGTACGTGATCTGTCTGGTGGTGTTGGTGCTGCTGGGGTTTGCTGGAGAGGAAGTGGCCGGATACCAGGCGATGCTCCCGGAGGTTGTTGTTCAATGTCCGAATGCTGCCGCCTGGAGCGGAGCGAAAATGCCGTGCCCCTCCCAGCACTTCCATCTTCCCCATGATAGAACCCCGCCATCGAGGTCGCCGGCCTTGAGGAAGCTGTACGCCCCCCTCTCGAATCTCGTTCCACCAAGAGTGCGGACGACGCTCTGCTCGGATCTGACGACAGATGTGGCCTTGTGGAGGGACCTGGGCCTTCACTGCGTCGTGCGCCGCTTGAACCGCTTGCCCGACTCCTGTCATCCGACGCTCTATCTTCATCCTCCCACTCGACGGTTCGAGTGCTAGAACCAGCTGTCCGTGCGCGGCGTAAAGACGCATGTGAGTCATTGTTGTGTGCAAAGACATCATCATTGGCCTGGGTGCCATTCCGCATACCAATGCCGGCAGCACGCAGGCCTTCACCAACCAGACGTCCTCCAGCTCCCAGGGTGCTTTCGGCGCTGCCGCCGCGTTGAGTTTGCCTACGACCAGAATCTGGAAGGTTGGAGATATCTTCCGACAACCACCGGGTTTGGTGACGACGTGTTAGTTCACGAACGGTTGATGAGCGGTTGGCACGAGCGCCGCGTGGGGAATGTTGAGAGTTGGCATTTGTATATGATGAGGTTCTAAGAGAGGTGTTGGCATTGGAGGTGTAGCTATCCTGATGCGAGTTGTGATGTGGCGTCATGGGCTCGATCGAAGTCTGTCGAAGTCTGTCAGCGGGAGTCAAGGAAACGACAGCAAATTGTGTTACCCTGCCATCCAAAGTACGCGTGTTTCGATCTCGATCACCGTCTCTGAATTCCCTCGGAAGCGGTTGCCGCGAACGTCGGTTAACGCTACCTGTACCTGTTGGACTCCGTCGTGAAGATGCTACGGCGGCCAGCGCGGCGCTCGTCACATCATAAGACGAGTCATCCCTAGGCGCACCGGTGATAGATATTCGTTTACGAGGAGGGTGCGAAGGGGCGGGAGAAGACTGTCGAGATCTAACCGGTGAAGCGGGAGCAGATATGCGGCGCTCTCTTGTACTAGAGCTAGGAGGGGGCGTTGAGGAACGTTCTGGAGATGAAGAGCCATACGAGCGAGAGTTGGAATGCGAATTAGAGTATGAGGGAGTTGGAGCACGCTGACTTTCGCGTTCTGTTTCAGAGCCAGAAAGTGCGCTATCATATTGTCTTGTCATAGGGGCAGAGTGGGAGTGAGAGTGAGATGAAATTCGAGAGGCTGCAGAAGAGGAAGACGAGGACGAGGATGCATGGATGGGAGGAAGTGGGGATCGAGATGCACGGGAATTTGCAGGAGACGGAGTGCTTAGGCGGGAAAAGGAAGAAAGCTTGTTCAGAGCCTGTGCGTTAAGAAGATGCACAAGCAGCAAGGTCAGACAGCATATTTGCATGTACAAATCGCGGAGAGTCGTCAGAGGATGAAAAGTGAGGATAGAGTAGTTGCAATTCACAATAACATACGACACGTGCAAGTTACAAGGGCCAGGCTCCAATTAGCATGAGCGCCAAAGGAGCAAAGGAGCACGTACCATGCGGTTGCGCTCAGCAAGGCTTTTAACTCGTTGCAAGGCCACGAGGTTCTCGTTTGGACTCTTCACTGCATGACTGCGGTCAAGGCGAGCGGTGTCGTCTTCTTCATTTGAATAATCGTTTTCGTCATCATCGTCGTCGTCAATATTTCTGGAAGATTTTGCGGGTGTGCTGGGTGTGTCATAGTTACGGTCGGACATGGTTGCGCTACTGGCATACGAGGGAGGTCGCTGGCGGAGACTGCCCGCGGTTGCACTCTTGTTATCACCTGTTGAACCGCTTCCCGTTGAATTGGTTGCGGGTGGTGAAGGAAGACCGGATGAACTTGATGCTGCACTTGGGCTTTCTGGAGGCTCTGGAAGGTCAGGAATGATCTGCCCCTTGGGTGGTAACGATCCCAGGAAGATGGCGGACAAAGGACGCCTCGAAGAAGAAGAAATGAGTGGGCGCGGCGTCATCACAGCCTGAGAGGCTAATCATCAACCAGAAAGAGAAAATAAAAGAAACTTGATAGCGTCCTCACTGTGCACAACAGCGAGCAGAGACTGGAAATAAGGCGCGCTCGACGCCTTGGCCAGTGACGACAAAGCAGATGGTCCAAGGGAAACAGTCGTGGGAATTTCAGGGACATACTTATGTGTTGATCCCGAAGTCCGAATTAAGCGGGGCCGATACTTTGATTTAACTCTATCCTGGTTTAGCTGATCACAACTGAAACAGACGACGACAACGAAGTGCACGCATATCAAGGCCTAGTAAGGCTCATATTATGCTTAGACATGCGAGCACTTCGTCTGATTAAACACTGAAGTCACTGCCCTGGGCTCAATTCGCCGGTCTACCACATCAACCTTGTGTTACACGACTGGTCCTTTACATTAGCCTCGCTGGCAGCAGTCTCTGAAATGGCGAACAGTGAAGATGGTAATCAGGAGGTGAGTGTATATCGTGATCTAGCGCCACCTGAAACTGATAAAAATGTATCACCAGCCTACTCGGGATCATACCGCCGTCGGAGACGAGTTGTATGCTCTGTTTGGACATCAGGATGATCTGCAAGTCCTTCAGCTAGCAATTGGTCATTACAACGCAGCCCTCACTGAAGACGTCCCCGATTCTCAACGCAGCAGGAGCGACCAACTTTTGAAGCTGGGGACTGCATTGTCTCGGCGGTTTGATCTCGTCGGTGATACTGCTGATTTGGACGTCGCCATCAATTGTCACAGTGTAGCCATCGACCTGCTCACGCCGGACAGCCCCGATGTCCCAATAATGCGCGTCAAGTATGCTCAAATATTGATGAAGCGCTTTAAGCTCCACTTGAGCCAATCAGACCTTGATCTCGCAATTGAGGAATACGCATGCATCTCCGATAAAAACGATCCAACTCACAAAGAATGGCTGGTAGCACTTGCCGATGCCCTCGTCACTCGCTTTTCCTGCCGGGGAAACACCACAGATCTTAGCCAAGCCATCCACTTATATGAGTCGGTAGTCAACTTCGATGCCTCAAATGCACCTACTTTTGTGCTCGGGAATCTATCCCTCGCACATTTCTTTCGCTACCAACAGGAAGGTGATGCTCCGGATCTTACATCATCCATTGCCTACTCCACGAAAGCTCTCGGTATGATATCCTCCGAAGATCAAAACCGTTCCGTCCTGCTCAATAACGTGGCAAACGGGTTACTTTCTCGCTTCAAAAAGCTCGGGAGCACTGATGACTTGGAACAAGCCATCAAGTTCTATGATTCTGTTCTTGAACTATGTCCAGCAGGGCACAAAGGGCGCCTCCATGCCCTCAGTAATCTCGCGGGTGCAATGATGACCCGCTACGAATTCCAAGCGTCCCTCGCAGACATTGAAGTCTCCGTGGGATATTTCCATGAAGCGCTAGAAATCTGTCCCAGAAACCATCCAGATCGTTCCACATTGCTCGATAACCTTGCAACTACCCTCCGCGAGCGCTTTAAACTCACCGGTGACATAGTTGACTTGGAAACAGCCATCGAAAATCACTATGAAGCACTACATAATTTGCCGCAGTTTCACCCCCATCGCTGTCACACACTATGCTCGCTTGGGAACGCCCTCCAGTCCAGGTTCGCGTTTCAGGGTGATCCTGATGATCTTAATGCAGCTGTAGACCGCTACAGCGAAGCTCTTCGCCTGCAATCTCCATCCCATCCAGGACGCGCTGATTTGTTGAATAACCTTGCCAACGTCGCTTGCAAACTCTTCAAGGAACGGGGAAACCCACACAATCTCGACGTTGGCATCAAGTACTACTCTGAAGCGCTCCAATTTAGCCCAGAAGGGTATCATCGCCCGTTGTTGCTTCACAATTTCGCTTCAGCTCTTACGATGCGTTTCACATGCTATAATCGCCCCGAGGACCTGGACCGGGCGTTGGAGCTAGCTGCTTCTGCATTAGAACTACGTGAAAGAAGCACTGAGTCCAGATTATCCTCTCTTGTGGTACTAGCGAACGCCAAGGGTCTCAAATATGAACTTGACGGTGATCCTTCCATACTCCAAGCTGCATTCCAGCATCTTGACGATGCATGTGGTTTGTGCACTCCTGGCCACCCGTCCCTTGTCGACATCTGGGAAGAATACTCTCGCATCCACCTTTATGCCTACTCCAATGCACCCCAATCTAAAGACCACTTGGAAGAAGCATTTCGGTACTTTAGGCTTGCTTCAACTCACATATCTGGGGGCTCGCTTCCAAAATTTTGCGCTGCGCAACGATGGGCCAAAGAAGCGGAGGCGCACAAGCACTCATCAGCACTAGATGCCCACCAGGTTGCCTTGGGCATATTCGACCATCACATTACGACGAAGCCATCCGTGGAATCACGACATCGCATAGTCCGTTACAATGCAGCCTCTTTGGCTGCAGACGCCGCATCGTGCGCTCTCAAAAATGGGCTGATCACACTCGCTGTGGAGATTCTGGAGCACGGACGAGGGCTTTTATGGACGTACCTTGCGCGTTTTCGGACGCCGCTAGATGACTTGCAGAGCACCGGTGAACATGGCTGTCGACTAGCCGCCAAATTTCTGAGGCTGAGCCCTCTTCTCGAAGACGCAGCATGTGGTGCTGTGACCGAAGAGGGATTGCAACACTACCGATGTCTCCTCCGTGAATGGGACGGTGTGGTAGATCAGATTCGGCTCGTAGACGGGTTCGGTGACTTTCTTCTCGCACCGAGCTTTTCTAAGCTTAAGGAAGCTGCAAAGAATGGACCAATTATCATCACCAATGCGAGCAAGTATTCCTGCGATGCAATAATCGTCCATCATAAGCATGACCCAATTCATATCCCCCTGACCGACATCAACATATCTGATATCCTTCGATTGTCTTCCCAGTTCAGGGACTTCACTAAGATTCCCGGAACAGCACGCTCCAAGGAAAGGCATCTTACCGATTTACTGCGTCAAATATGGGACACTGTCGTCCTTCCTGTGGTCGGGGAACTAGAATCCTCACTTCGCATTCCCAAAGGTTCAAGGATATGGTGGTGTCCCACCAGTAATTTCAATAGCATCCCGCTCCATGCGGCAGCATCATTTCGGAAAGGCGAGAAAGGTCTGCTCAATCACTACATTTCATCGTACACACCAACTCTCTCTGCCCTCCTGCGTTGCCAGAAACCACGTCACACTCTCAACGACAAAAATCCGCCACAGATTTTGGCGATAGGACAGGCAGCACCGGCTGGTGATTTTGCAAAGCTCGGAACTGTTGATGAAGAACTCGATTCACTTCAGAGTATCTTACCGCCCACCATTCCTATGACACGAATGACAGGTGAAAATGCAACACGTTCAGAATCCCTCCGCGCTATTCATTCAAGTGCCTGGGTTCACCTAGCATGCCACGGGAAGCAAGACGCGGCCAGACCTCTCAAGTCATGCTTTGCGATGAGCGACGGTCCTCTGGCGCTCTTGGACATTGTTCGCGCATCATCTGATTCTGTGCCGTGCTCAGAATTTGCATTCTTGTCAGCGTGCCATACCGCTGCTGGAGATCGTACAGCCCCAGACGAAGTCGTGCATCTTGCTGCTGCGATGCAGTTTGCTGGCTTTAGGGGAGTTGTTGGAACTATGTGGGCTGTAGATGATGCTGTCGCGGTCAACATGGTGTCGGCGTTTTACGAAGCCCTCCTCGAAAAATCCCCAGACGGGCTGAATTCTGAGCATGCAGCAGCGGCTTTGAATGCGGCCGCGAAGAAAGTGGATAAAAGCATCGTTCCACTAGAACAAAGGATTGTGTTCATCCATATCGGAGCATGACTAGAAATATGCTTAGGGTAAACGTACATACCAGCTGAAAGGCTAGATACAAATACGTTGTATTATTTACGACTCCTGGAGGCAACGCGTTTGCTTTTTCCTGGCCTTTTACTACCTCCTGCACCTCCTCGTCCTGCCTTCGATCCATGTCCTCCTCTTTTTCCTGGTGCTGAATCGAAGTTGTCTGTAGAGGCTTTGGTGTTTTGTTTTGACCTTCGGCCTTGGCCACCAAAGCCGAATTTTTGATCGCGTGCGTTACGCGCCATCTTCTTCCCGCCAGGGCCTTTGGCGTGCTTAGCAGGCCTGTCAGCAATGGCATCTTCAACCGCGATGTCAAACGTGTCTCCATCGGCGCCGTCGGCTTCAGCATTTTCCAGAGCGCCTTTGCGTTCTAAGGGGACGTTAGCAGATTGATTGTCTCAGCAGAAATCCAGTCTTACTTCTTTTGAGTCCCTTGAGTCGCTCATCCATGTCCTTTTTACTACGCTCTCTCTCCTTGAGCTTCTCCATCTGCACCTGTTTGCCGAACTTCTTCCCCTCCCTCTCTCTTCTCTTTTCTTCAGACTTCTTGATCCCAGCACGTTCATCGAGCAATCGTGAGCGAAGACGTTCCATGTGTGCATCGGATTTGACCATCTCTGCAAAATAGTCTGTGGGGCGCGTAAACGGTAGGGAATGAGAGGCAGCAAGGGTGCGGGCGGTATTGGCAGCGTGTAGCGCTTGTTTATAGCTTGATGTAAAATGAGCCTGTATCAGCGAAGCGGAATGAAAAAGTGCACTGACAATGCAAGCTCGCGGTTGAGGTCGTCATCTACATCGACCTCTATTGCTTGAGGACACGATATGACGAGGGTATCTGTCCACGGTAATGATGAGTCAAGCTTAATTGTCTCTCTTATACGACGAAGAGCAACCTGCACGGGGAAATCATGAGCATCGCATGTCGCTCGATCAATGAATAAATACATACCGTGTTGTCGATCTCGACTTTTTGTTTTGGAACCACATCTTCATCAATATGACCGTCTTCGAGATCATCAAGCGCCACCTCCTCTTCATCTTCTGAACCATCTGAATCCGCTTCGACCCCTTCCTCGAAGTTCTCTTCGCCTGAGCCCTCTTCGCCGTCTTCGTCACTATCACCGCCTGAGCCCTCATCCAAATCGTTCAAATCTTCCAAACCATCTTCTCCGAGAAGCTCCATGAGCTTTTGCATCGCCTCCTCATCGTTTCCTTCGTCATCGCTTTCGCTTTCTTCTTCTTCCATACCCTTGCCTCCTACGCGGTCGACATCTGTGGGTGATGGTTTTGCAGCTGGGGGCGACTTGACTTTGGTTTTGGTAGGCTGCTTTTTATTTTGTTGCGACGCAGAGACTTCTGTGTTGGACTTTCGCTTCTTCATACTCGCACCTCCTTTGATGCGTTTGGCGTCCGTCGACATGGCTGAAGTGTCGGCGAAGTTACACCAGCAAGTACTTGAACGCGGTAGAAAAACGACAAATTGCCATTTCAGGAACCGAATTTTGATCTGAAAGCGGCTGATTTCACCTCCTAATGAAATTCACTGTGTCGGGACGTCTCAGGCTTATAAATACATGCTGTGTGCACACTAGTACTGCAATGTAGTCTCCTCGCAATTGGTCGAGTTAGTGTACTAATAGAATCAGAAGTAGTACAAATACACAGATGCCTGTGGATATCCGTAAAATGAAGTGGTATGCACCATTGCACCTGTGAGATGTCACGGTGTGATGGAGGATGAAGAGTGGTTGTCAGGAGTAGTAAAGGGATCAAGAATGAATTGAAATACAACTACGATAACAGAACATCGAAAATTCTTCAGTTTCCACAAGGTGAGATGACAATCCTGCCTCCGGCTGTGACAGACGACCCATCAATTTCAAATCAAATTCTTTTTGCTGAGTGAGTTGGACCCTACAAAAACATAGGCAGCAGGCAACCCGTTTGGCAAACAGACGAGCTCGGTTTACCAAATAATTGGTATGGGAACATTAGGAATGTCTACCTCAGATTCCTCGCCCTCAAGTTCGTCGTCCGGCTGTACGCCGGTTTAGGTCCCTGTGTTGCCTCAAATTATGCACCCGGGCCGAAGCGTAGTTCACCATACTGGAAAGATTGGAATTGGGCAAAGTGCATGTCCGGGGATCGTGGTTTGCAAAGATCAAACCAGCCACAATGCTGTATTGCGGCATGAACCTGTGAATGGTCGATTAGCGCCGCCTCTTGCAATGCATGCCTTCCGCCTACAGGACATAAAAACTCGCGTATCTTGCCAACTTGCCCAAAAACGACGGACCAGCAGATCAACCAGTGAGTACTGATCGAATAATTCGTCCCATAATTGATCACCAACTGCAGCAGAGCCAACTGATCCACCATATTCCGGTAACGAGCTATGTCTGCTAGGTTTTTTGCAAGGCGGACCCGCAAGGCTAAGAAAGCTTCAACCCCAGCACGATCCAAAGAACCAATTCTGAAGCAAACATTTAAAGGACACGAGGACAGAATTTGGGATTTCGTCTTCTTGCACGACAATGTCCACATTGTCAGTAGTTCTGAGGACAGCACGATGCGGAAGTGGAACTGCGACACAGGGCTTCCAGTCGGAGAGCCGTGGGAGTCCTGGGGTGGAAAGATATATGCGCTGGCGCTTTCACCGGATGGGAAGATGATTGCGTGTTAGAGGGAATACGGAAATGTTCAGCGGTGGAATACCGACGGGGAGATGATCGCAGGCATTTGGACGGGTCACAGCAGCCGGGTGGTGTCACTATCGTGGTCTCCCCGCAGGAACCATCTTGCAAGCGGATCCGAAGATGCAACAATTCTGATTCGAAACGCAAAAGATGGAAGAGTCGTGGTGGGCCCGATCAAGACGGAGCAGATCCATGTGTATGCTCTTGTATATTCACCCTCTGGAGACAGAATTGCATCGGGCGGGGACAACAAAACAATTTGCATCTGGGACACGGAAACCGGCAAGCTCGTTGTCGGCCCTATCAAAAACCTGGGGAACTGGGTGACATCGTTGGTGTGGTCGTCGGACAGCACAAAACTTTACTCTGCATCCGACAGATTTGCACGTGTTTTTGACAGCAAATCAGGGACACTAATCCATTCCTTCGAGCACGATCATGTTTTGAATTCCGTCGCACTTTCACCCAAACACAATGTATTGGCGTGCGTGGGCGATGGTATTGCCCAACTATGGGACACAGAGTCCATTAAGCCGCTCGGCCAGCCATTCAGCCAGGCCTATCGCGAATGGCTTAACCATGTGTCGTTCTCCCAAGACGGGCACCATCTAGCATATGGCGGAGACGACGAGAAACTCACACTCTTGTCTGCCAAAGACATAGCTCCTCAGCTTGCAGCACCCATGCTCCCTCAACAAAGTGACAGACAAAGCATACAGCAGGAAACTCGGCCCAACTCCCCATCATCATCATCATCATCATGCCTCGACGTCAGTACTTTCACGTTTGATCGCTTGTCTTCTGTGCTCACAGTGCTGTTGCAGGCTGATGCTACTGGCGGTGATGGTATCATCGAGGAGGGGGACGATGATCCATACAACAACTTCTTTCAGGTAAAACTTGTGTTTCTCATGCAACTGTATAGTACTCACAATGAGTACTTGTAGACTTCCCACCAATCTCTTCCATCGGCAACGCTTGGGTCCCAACCCCCCAACCTGTTTTCCACTCGCCGCTTCTTGAATGTCTTCTCTCGCCTTCACCCACCGGCAGACCAGTCTGTGCCAAAAGAACGCTTCAAACGCAAATTATTCGTTCGTCATGCTCGCTCACACTCATCCCTGGAACTCGCAACAATTGATTCCCTCGGCGCCAGAAAGGATAAAGACGAAAAACAAGATGATCCTCCCGCCGACGCGCAGAGCCCACCGTTTCATCATGCCACTCCCCCTGCCGGCCTCGATACCCATCGTAATCGAAACCTTTGGGGATGGCCAATGCAGACTCGAGGAAAAAATACCATATCCAGTTTCCTGGATTTCAGCGTTCGGCCTATAAATGCACCCCACCCAATACCTCGCCGGCCTTGGCACTGGAATTCCAACTCATTTCCTGTAGGATCTTCCAGACGTCCCGTTGATGTGTTTGCTTGCCGCGACGAAGATGTGAGTAATCTGTTATTCCTCTTCTTTCAAATGATTGAAATCACTGCAGAGATATGGCATTGTCCCTGAATCTGACGCGGAAGCGGCTGCTGCCATGTTACGTACGAGCGACAATGAGGTCAACAGTCCAACACGACCAGGTCAACCTGCAGTTGGGGCACAAGTACAGCCCACACAAACACAAGTCTTGGCTACCGGGCCAGAAGAAAACGTCTATGAAGGAGTAAGCTGCTGCGGATTTTTCTTTGGCTATCGCCGTCGTTCCAGTTTGCCTTAGCCATGAGTGCATTTGCTGAGACACTCGGTCACCTGATTTTTTTTTGTTTGCTATACGGACTGTCTCATACACATCTCTGTATCGTCTTATGTACACGAACGGTATTGTATTTGCATAGCTGACCACATGATATCATCTCATTTTGAAAGAGCTGCGAGTCCTGAAACCCAATCGACTGACATGCATGTTGTCCAGAGTTGTTCACAGTTCACTGCGAGTCACTCGTTCACGATCGCGCTTTCTTCGCCCACTGCTCGCACTCTTGGTAAAGTCCGATCGAACGAAAGCATGCAGGAAATGTAGCGCAGCGCCATCTCAATTTAGGAAGACTATGGGGCCCAGTCTCCTTACTCAACCGGCTCGTTTCTCAAACGTTGCATCGTATATGAACCCCATATCATGTTCGCCTTGTCTCCGATGACCTCGAGATTGACACATGATTTCTTACAGCGCTTCAGCTTCATTTGTGCAAGGTGATTCTCTTCTTAAATTTGACGCCAGTTTGGAAGGGTTGAGGGCCCTGGACATCCGTGAAAGCGTGCGAGGTCGAGTTCGACTCTGGTGGGGATTACTGTAAGATACGCACTAAGCACTGCTACGTACTAAGTAGTACAACGCGATTGTGACAACTAACGGGTGTGACCTATTGGTTTGATCAACATGCGACTTTGACTTTAGTTCTCATACGGCATTTCTGGTAACACGAAAAATCCCTCCGCTTTCAGGGTTAAGAGCGCATTGCAGTTGACTCGCAGCAGGAACGAGTTGTCCGTTAACCGGTGCCAAGATTTGTCGTCGTCGCTCATATTGTATTGATACTTTCTGGTACGAGGCCCGTCGATCACACTGACCAGTGACGTCCCAGCAGTGAACAAAATAAATTTTGAATGTTGCTGGAGCTGCCAATTCGCTGCACGAGCTGCACCCCACAGCCGGGATATTTATGTGCCCGAAGGGCAGATGTTTCCTGTACAATTCTATCAGCTCAATGTCGATCCTGTCCAAAGTATCGCGGTCCGCACGTTCTCGGAGCGTCAATGGCCTATCATACTCCTAAATTCGAGTATGCCGCAAGACCGATATTCCATCCCTCGCTTTCATTGAGAGCGTCGATGTCACGTAGAATAACCAGGCGACTGCCGCCTCAAAGCGACGCATATAAACAACGTGAGATTGCAAGGCCAATTATCGTGATGTGTCAAGGGTAAATAGCTCCAATTACATGACACTTACTTGTATATGATGTGCTTCAAGAGCTGAGCGCTGAGCATTGACTCGGGTCAGCAAGTCGGTCTGAACGGTACCGTAGGGTAGATGGAGCAGGTAGTGCTGCCGCAGTCCGGTCCCGAACCGTGGTTCGAACCCGAACCCATCCAGACTGGACCAGTGGTTCGGTCACAGGTTTGGTCTCTCTCCTGGACCGAACCCCCTAACAGGTTCGGGGTTCGATGTCGTCACTGAAAAATGCGGACCGGTTCGGACGCGTCCGGACCGGTCCGAACCTGCACCACGCGCACAATTCCAGCTGCGTGTTTTTCGTGAGGCTTCCTGTCAGTTTAAGTAGTGCGCTCACCAACTTCTGTTCCTTCTCTTCTTTTGACAGTAGCGTTCCCCACATTGCGCAAGCAACAAGGGTGCTTTTTTCAGCTATGCAACGACTCGAAGCACCGGTACTATGTTCACCGTCTCTCATGTTTGATAAGTTGCTAACTTCTAATGTTTTTTCATTCAGAATATACCTACTACTGTGGTGATTCCTGGGTTTTCCACCAAGTTTGCGCAATGGATTGTCATTTTGGAACTTGAAGGTGCGCAACATTTTTTTATTTAGTTTGAGATATATATATTCACTTGTGGTATAGGTTCGACATTCACACTCCCTGCTGCAACTATGTTCGAGTCGTCTGCACCAGCCCGTCGTCCTGACGGTTCGTTGAAAAGCGCTGAAGAGATGGAGTGGATACACGACCCGGATGATGACACTACCATTATCCCTCCCCCTCCTCCATCCAAAGGCACACTCAATTCATTCATCCGTCGTTCAGGCCGCGCTGTCAAGCCTACAGAGAAGATCCGGGAGACTGCCAGCAGTATCCCGGCCAAACAGTCAGCTGTAGGACCTCCTGCCCCCGCACCCAAGAAAGCACTCATGCGCACCAGAAACGAAGAGCGTGACGACAACGACAGTGACGAATACGACGCCGAAGAAGAAGCCCCTCCACTTGAGGATTTTACAGATGATGAGGAAGACGATGAAAACGAGAACGAGGAAGCTTACCAAAAGACGAAGAAGCTTGGTGACCAGGATCGTGAAGACCGTAAATCCCTCAAGAAGGTCGAACACAGCGCCGATTTGACCACGATCTTTACTTTCGAGAAAGATCGTGTTAACCCCCACACCCAGGAGCGCGAAAATGGGTGGTGGTGTGAGGTATGCAAGGCTAACAATGTTCCGCTTCACCAGTGCTTTTTTAAGGGGGGTATTTCGACTCGACGCACGCACATTGCACGGAATCCCAAGTGCCATTACCCTATCTACAAGGACCGCTGTGAACAACGGGGTCTCACGATGCACGATCGTGCAATCCCTCGTAACTGCAAAGCGGACGTGCCGCAGCCTACCTTGGACGCCTCACTTACTCCCAAGATTCCTGCATTCACAAAGGCTGGACTCATGGATTACATTGTCGAACTCATTGTTGCCGAAGATGAGGTGAGCAACTCTCATTTTTGATATATTTTAAAACACTTATACAACATTATAGGCCTTTCAACTTGTAGATAAAGGACCCTTCCGCCGCCTACTTCAATATCTCCGGCCATCACTTTCAGACCGAGACATTCCCCACCGTACCCAAACTCGGGACGAAATACTCGAACGTGCAAAGCTGGCAGTCGAGCGCGTGAAAGAGAAGCTCAGCCGTGTCGATAGCAAAAACAATACCCGACTATTTCCCGCATCGCAAAGGACTACCTCGCCATTCAGGGATCAGCTGTTGCGTCTGAGAGAGCATTTTCGAGCGGCGGCGTTACTGGGACCGTGCGTCGCAGCTGTTTGAAGCCGACAACATTCGAGGCTCTTCAATTGCTCAAGAGCGCATACCACCAAGGTCATATCTCCGCAACAGCCCAGGCTGAATTCGCCACTCCTTATGATAACCGCGTCGACGTCAATGAAGAGTTCTAGTAGCTATTCATATTGTACATGTCATTTTCGTTTTGATTTTTTTTGCTAATTAAATCAATGGTTCGAGGGTTCGAACGCGTTCTGAACCTGAACTGAACCCTTGTGAACGCGTTCGAAGGCGTCCGGTCCAGGGTTCGGCCATCTTGCCTGAACCTGACCACTGGTCGAGTTCGGGGTTCGCAGATATAGGGTGATGAACCTGACCGAACCGGACTTCGGCAGCACTAGGAGCAGGGCATTGTCAGTGTGATGTGACTTGCTGGATAATTTGTTGGCGCCAGACAGGGAAGACGAGACATGACTTTTGGCTGAATGGAGTGAGCAGAAAAAGAAAGGCACTGATCAAACTCGTGACAATGAACATCGACATCTGCATTCGTTATGCTTCTCTTCTAATTGAGGAAATGTTCCCAGATAGCCGTTGCGAAGCATATCAATAAGGTCCTCCAAGCTATCGTGGACATGAGAGACACGTAATCAGGGTTTGGGGGTGACACAAGGGATGGGCCCAGGCAGAACATGAGGCTGTGGGGTAATACATGAAGGTAATTGAGGAAGACCGGCTGTACTCACGAGCACTTTTGAAGTTCTGACTCGGGGAGAGGAACAAACGAATATACTGCAAGCAGGATATACTCACCTGACATGCCAAAATTCACTGACGCACTGTGTATCGTACCCGCACCTATGCTCAACTATGTCGCCTCGTGTATGCCATGACAGCTCGTCCTGACGCTGGCGAAGACTAGAAGGTGTTGTATTGTCTTGTGGGCGGGGGTAGGGCTTCAAACGAGAAACAGATGGTCAGAGTTCGGAGAACATAAACAGCAACATGAGCTCTGAAACAAACGATAGATAGACGCGAGAAGCTATGTTGCTAAATGGTCGCTGTGTTGCCTCGATAGAGTAATTGTAATTGGGTAAAGTGTATAGATAGTATGGAAAGCCTAACAGCCGTGCTCTGTTACACGCCGTGACACGTCCCATAAATAGTAGTCACAGGTCGTGGACTCCGTACACCTCCATTTAATGATACATATGATTCACGACATCATGCCCTGGCAACGATACCTCACTGGTAAACTGGCATTCGAACCCAGGATTCCCGTCGCCCGAAGCTCTGCATAAGTGGTCCCCACCAACCGGATCCGACTGGGTGCCAGGGCTGTTGTTGTAGGAGGCGAAGATCCTGACATCAACAGTCAACCAGACGCACTCATAGTAAATATGTATAGTAAAGGTTCACTCTTTTCCTCATACCACATCGAACCGCAGTTGAAGTGCTCCAGCCGATGCTTCTAAGCCACAATTGGTTCTACCTACAACAAATACAAGGAATTTAATAAAATCACCTCCGACCCACTGTGGATAGTGGTTCTAATGAAAATCACTGCATAATGCGCTGAACCCAAATATTTCAGAGTAACTTCTACTGAAATTGCTGGCAGTTAATTTCATTGGAGTGCTGAATTCTGAATTTCATTGGAGGACTCGATTCAGCACCAGCGTTTCAGTAGAAAATATGCTGAATTTTTCCAACAACGATCCACGAGCTCTTGTACAATGGCCCGCTCAGATAAAGACAATCACAATAAGCGTGTAATATTAATTCAGTCAGTACTACACTAGTACAGTGGGTAGTAGAATCAATTAATTTACCACGCTTATGATAAACGTCACGTGCACCCGCGTTGGACTTTTTGCGTCTGTTTGAATTTGATCCTCTCAATGTAAGGTGTCTTCATGAATTCGGTTTGTGCATGGGGATGGCCAGGGCGTCCAGAGTTGCTCTGAACCCTGGTCAATAACCGTTGCATTAAGCAAACCTTGGCCAGGGTGTCCAGAGTTGCTCTGAACCCTGTGCCGCCCAGCAATTCAGTCATGGCACCTTACTTTTGAACACTCATTTTGTCTTCTACTACTGCTACCTCTCGTCTCTACTTAAGGTACTTTCATGCTCTTGCACTCTTGTCTTCTGTGCTCCACCAGTCCCACAACCGATCGTCACCGCGCCCGCATACCAACCACCCCCACAACCAGTCGCACCCGCACCAGTAGCTCCTCAGTTTCCCCTTCACCCACCCTGTCACCCACTACTCGTAGTCTCCCAAGCTCTCCACTCTACATATGCCTCCAGCCTATGCACAGGAACGACTCTCCTCGTCCAGCCCATACTCACGCAGCCCTCAGGGCGCTTCTCCTCGACGAACTCGAGTCCACCTAAGACTGCGTCGGCTTACGGATCTGCAGTAGGCATTCTACTACTTGCGCTGGAAGATTGCTAATTTTCCCTCAGGTATCCGCACACCAGACGCCTGCCCCTCGTAACGCAGCCGTCGAGGCAGTTCGGGAGTTTGTTGCATCCATGAACCCCTGGGCAACCGATCTTCTTCCCGCAATTCTTCATGAAATCAAAATTGCCGGTAAATGGCAAGTGAAGACTGGTTCCCTTATTGTCCTGAACCAGATCGTTGTGTCTGCACCCCTCCAAACCGCTAATCCTGTCGAAGAGGTGCCAAACATCATTCAGCTCCTCTCGGCTACTACATTCGTTTCTGAAGTAGACTCTGCTACTCTACAAGAAAGCAGGCGCTGCCACTCCCTCTGCCACTGACGCTTCTACCGTCTATGTCTCTCGCCTTGCCGCTAACCTTCTCAACGCCAAGAACTTCACAGCTTGTTTCTCCAACCTTCGCTCATTCAATTCCTCGCACAAGGTGGGGTGTACAGGACCGCACCCATAATGGGCATCACATTTGCGAAACGCGGCTCCATTCTCTTCTCCGCTTCCCTTGATGGTACCGTTCGGACTTTCACCTCCCCTTCTCCTGTTCCAGTTTTCTTCCACCCCTCGCATCCTCGTCTGACACTCCTGTGTTCTAAAGCGCCCACATACCGTCGTTGGCCCCACAACTAGACGCACCATCACCTTCACGTTTCGACAATCCGCGGCAGCTTCGTACGCGTCAATCTCAAGCTCGGAGAGGGCGAGTATACGTCTGGAGATCTCCGTTCAACATTCCTGTGATGTACGTCCGTGACGAAGTTGCTCGTATGTACCAACACAGCAAACAAGCTGCGGAGGAATTCAGCGCACTGTCACCTGTGGAAAGGCGCAGATGCCCGAGCGGCGTTCGTCGCCGCCTCTGCCTCTGCTGACCAGGCGTCCGAGATTGATCGCCTGATGAAAGAACTTGCCAACTTCCCGCAAAGACACTGCTCTCATCCTCCTCGATTGTCTTTGCTAACACCTCGAAGGTGCATATTGCTAACCCTAACCTTAACATTGCCACTTATATCCCTCCCAGGGGCGCACCATGAAAATCTGCTGCTGAATTAGTGACACCCCGAACCGCTCGTTTTGTTGCAGCGTCACGAGCACTGTCGGCCTACTAGAGGAAGAACGGTGCCAGTGGTTGCTGGGAGAGGGTTTGGCTCATGGCGAGCTAAGGGATGAGATATATTGTCAGTTGATGAAACAGCTCAACGGGAATCCCAATAAGTGTGTCATCCGTCTACCTTTGTTGTCCAGCAATCTTACAAGTGTTACAGTTCAAAGGCTGGCAGATGCTCTGCGTACTCCTCACTGCGTTCCCACCCTCAAAAAACTTCGAGACGTACCTGCGTTCTTTCACGATGGCAGAGATTGAGACGGCATCGGACGCCGCCTTCAACCTATCCACATTCGGGAATCGCTGGACGCAACCATGCGCCTGCAAGAGCGTAACTACCCACACAAGAAGATCCCCATTATTCTCCCGTTTGCCTGAAGAGATGTACAACGACTGCATCACACATTCTCGCGAACCTGAGACGTGCATACAGCTCGTCCGGCGTCTGCCCACGATAAACAGACGGGTTGTGGTGTTCCTGATCAGCTTCTTGCAGTTCTTTTTGGAGGAGAAGGTGCAGACGGTGACGAAGATGACATTGGCGGTCTTGCAAATCTTCGCTCATACGTGAGTCCAGTCACCGTATCAAGGACCTCTACTCAGTGTAGTACAGCTGTAATGGCTCACGTCCGTGCCACGGCCATCAAACACCACTACTACCCTCTTGATGTTTTCAAGGATCACACATACGTGGCATCCGGACCAGGCTCTAACGTCCAAGCTCTCCACAAAGCTGGCAGAAACGATCCCATGATCTTATTGTAAGCTTCTCTGCACATGGTGAGGAATGGTTTTTGATGTTCAACGAACAGGGACGAAGTGGATAAAGTGGGACATAGTAATTTCCACGGCGGTCCTGCTGCCGCCCTTCTTGAGGTTCTCGATCCTGAACAAAACCATTCATTCAATGTTCGTTTCTTTTTGTTTTTTTTTTGTGGTGGATTTGACTAACGAAGGATGGTGCAGGATCATTATATCAATGTACCTATAGACCTCAGTCAGGTGCTTTTCGTATGCACGTCCAACACTGTAGAAAGAGGAGGCCCCTGGAAGCTCCCCCAAGAGTCACGGAAAGTAGATCATAGTGGGGGAAACTTGGGCGTCCAAGGGCTGAGGCAGAAAATCATGAGGAAGAGTATTCCTCTCAAACAGGACCCAACGCTAACAGCACTGAAATCTGTCCCACAAACTCTCGACGTGGCAGTGGAAATGCTGCCGTTGTCTGAGCAGCTCCAGTGCCTCCGGAAATCAGGGTGCGTAGATCACTGTACACTAGCTCAATGTTACGAATCCTGTACATAGCCCTAATCACTATCTGATGCATCTGAACCATCTCCAATCGCTTTGTTGCCACCAGGTGCTAACCACCGGTCAATAATAAATGTTTCACCCCGCGTCTGTACCCGGCCGACAACAGCTTTGATGTTTCGAACAGACAAAGTCCAAGAAGACACGCATCCAGCTTCTGGCTGAACAGATGACTCTACTACAGCAAGAAATGAACTCAATTCAGCGTGAGTCAATTCTGTGTATTGTGTGCTAACTTGTGACGTGTGATGGTAAGAAAGAATAAGACAATTCATCGTGGAACGAACTCACTCCCCAAGCCCAAAAGGTTGATCCTGAAGCCAGCTGGAGCTGCTGGTAAACGTACCGGATACCAATTGCAGCAGGCGATGGGCCTGGGAAACGACAAGCGGCAGTATAATGCACTGATGGTAACTATATGCAGACTATATGCGCACAAAAACGTGTCTAAATAATCCTGGCTGATATTCTAACTCGAGGCTTCTACGAGACAACTCTGTAGACAGTATTTGAACCTTCAAATGACACGCCATGGACAAGATGACAGCGATGTTGCTCTTGTAGTAACAAAGGTAAGTATACAAGACCTGACAGAACTTAGACTGACTTGCTGTGTAGGTGCAGAAAAAACACGAGTTTTTGCGCAAGTTTGCAAACGCGTGGCCAGTTCGCGCCTGGATCCAACAGTTTCTCCGCAACCATACTAACAACCAAAGACATCGGCTAAGTAGCACAATTGCAGTGAGATTTTCATCCGACCTTTTCATGAATTCTCTGAATCTACCTGCGCAGTCACAGAATACCGACAGCGAGGAGGATGGGGATGAGGAGAAGTCTGAGGAGGAAGATGAAGATCTGGACGAGCTCGAGGGTGACGACATGAACGAGGACGAGGACGAGGATGAGGACCCGGGCCTAGACGAGGACGAAGACCTAGATGAGGACGAGGACCCAGGCCTAGACGAGGACGAGGACGAAGACCTAGACGAGGACGAGGACCCAGGCCTAGACGAGGACGAAGACCCAGGCCTAGATGAGGACGAGGACCCAGGCCTAGACGAGGACAAGGACCCAGGCCTAGACGAGGACGACACCTTGACCAACGATGGCGATCAGGATGAGGGCAAAGCCGACAACAACATCGAAGATACAGCGAGCATGGACGATGACGAAAGCCACGAGCAGGCAGACACCGACATGGCTGAAAAGCAATATGTTCCTCCCCGCCTAGTCAAGCTATCGAGAAAGCGGAAGATGACTATGGTCTCCATCAGCAAAACACTAAATTTAGCACAGCTACCGTGGCAGCTTACAGCATCTTACAGCACCTTACAGCAGTTGCAGGCACCTGTAGTGATGTGTAGCGACCACGTGCAGTGCACAATGACATAACTGTACATAAAGTAGACTTCTGCAGCGCGACATAGCACCACATAGCGCGCTACAGCGAACGACCCGAGTAGTACTAGTATTACCAGCTCTTCGAGTTGACTTGAGTTTGAACGACTTAAAAGAACAACTTGAAACAAACATTGATTCATTGAAAGAATGTACTGCGACTGCTAATACAGTAGATCCGGGATATCAAGTCAAACAGTATAGTACTACTAGTAGTACTGCCAGTATATGTCGTGCCAGAAGAGTATCTATAGTTTGAATAACAGGTCAAGGAATCGGGCGCTACCTCAGAAGAATCTCGAGTGTTTGACTCAGCTCTGGGTCGCGCTCGCAGATCCTGTATCTATTTCATAGAAAATACGTCAATAGGAGCGGTCGAACAAATTTAACAGAATACAATTACCTGCCAGTGGCCCGGGCAGTGGCAGAGCCAAGTCTACTTCCGGGCTGAGTGTATCACCATCAACCTGACTAGTAGATTTGCGACGACGTTTTCTAGGCTTACTACTAGTAGAGTCTTCGAGCAATGTGATGCCGATTTTGCGGACCGAATGACGTACATAACCGATGTCGATATGAGCGTCCTCCAACTTCCTCCCAGCTTCTGTAGCCTCGAACTGGTAGAGGAGCCCAAGTGCTCTATTCTGCTGGACAACGCAATCTGTGAGTGTCTTCTCCGCAAAGCAAACATCTTGCTGTGCACGGGTCGCGTTCAAAACGAGCTGGGCCTTGTGTTCCTCGCTAGACCGGGCCTGGGTGTCGATGGTGTGAGTAGATTCCTGGGCAATATTGACATTTAGTACTAGATAGCGTGTATGGATGCTGTTGAACTTACATTGTCGCTGTCTTCGCAGTTTGAGTCTGACTCTGTTTTTACCGAGAATACAGGTGATGGAACTTTGTTCACGTTCAACCCGAGAGTAGAACGCGCAACATTCGGCGTGGTCAAGTGGCGCAATAATGCAGGGGATCGGTTTCGTAGAGCGCCAATGGCCCTAGGCGTTCCAATGTGCTTCAAGTTAGAATGCAAAACACCTTGCATAGCAGTAGGTACTAGTACAGTAGACATATGTTGGGCCTCAGAGATGGACGACTTGGATGGAGTGCGATGAATGGATGATGTGTTGTTTACGACTGGTCCTTCTGTGCTTGAGCTGGAGACTGCAGAAAAAGGTCCTATTGGTTTTGGTGGTACTGGCACACACGTTCCAGCGTGAATTGCTTGTGTTATTAGATGGGTCTGGGGCTCATGCGAGCGTTTTTGATCAGGTGAAATCCCTGTAAGAGACGTGTCTGTTGCAGGTTGGGCACCGGAGGCCATTGAAGTTATGCTGTTAGTAGTTCAATTTTCCCGGGTCACGCCGAGAGTGAGTAGTTAAACGTGATGTGACAAATTGTACGCGAATCTCATAGTACCTACATAGGCTAACTAGCGCACAGTACAGTGAGAAACATCCATAGTAGTAGTAGGCTCTGAAAGTACAAAAGAAATGCAACAAACTAGTAGTAGTAGACCAGCAAATTCAAAGACTCGGAGTGCTGGTGCGATAGACTCGGAACAAGCGAAGATTTGAAGTACTACCGATTGTAAATCGTCAGTGTTAAGAGGAAGTTGAGTCGAACAACGGACACTTACCATTGACGATCAGCACGGCAAGAGCCCACTACTGACGACCCTTCCCCTTCCCCTTCCCCTTGCCACTCCCACTCCCACTCCCACTCCCATTCACCTGCGCCTTTGCCTCCTTCTGCTGTTTTCCCCCTAGTAGACCCTTCACCTTCCGGCTGAACCTTCAACTTCTTTGCTGAGCGCTCAGGCTGCACGTCGAGCAATAACCCAGTAGATGAAGAGGCCGGCGTCGTGGCGGACAAGGGGCGAGTTGTGGGATCAGATGAGGAAGAAGTTGTCGTAATGGTCGAAGGATCGGTTGGTCCGGTACTGGTAGGCTCGGAGCTTGTGGGTTGTTGAACGACAACGTGCATTGTCTTGCGTTTGTCGTATTTGTGGTGGCGCCAGTCCAAGTAGCGGCAATATGCTGTAAGGTTGATCGCGGAGGAGATAGAGTTGAGGGCTGCCCCCCAAACGGGCTCGAATACGGGATGGGAATCACGCGCACTCTGAACTGCACTCTCCTCAAGACCCATACCCTCCATCAATGATACAATGTAATCCTTCAAGCTATCTGCGGCGTTATCCAACATGCGTTCAACATCACCCATCTGCAACACGGGGTAAAGGGTCTGTGGGGGGCGAGTTGAGGCCAAAAATTAGTAGATACTAATAAGGTGAACACATAGTACGTACCCCCTCTGCGAAGGTAGAAGCATCCTTGTTGTTGAAATCAAAGTGACCGTCCGTGCCACGTTTGTATATGCTATAGTGGACCTCGCTGATATCAATCCAGGTGTGAGACTTGATCTCCACCGGTCCAAACCTCAAGCTCTTCTTGATGCGGGATGGGATGAAGTCTTCGTAATCTAACGCGGGAGCTGAGCGAAGTTGTTGAATAGTGGTATCCCCTTCGTTCGGTTGTTGCCATTTAATTCGCTCTTTGAAGGATATGATGAAAGCGTAATCAATGTCTTGATGGGCGTCGCATGTGTTGCTTAGCTTCCGCACCATGCAGTTGGTATCTGAGGAAAGCCCGCATTCTCCAACCCATTTGGACACCGGCTTCGCTACCACCATCTCATCTGACTCTATATCCTCCGGGGGTTGTGCTGTGACGGTAAGGTGTAGATCTGGTATATTCGTCGAATCCTTGTTTTGGATGCGGTGATTGAGGTGTACAGTGGTGTCGATCAGGAGCTTGTCGTAAGGGATGGCTTCCGTGAACTTGTTCACGGCCTTCGCAAGGTGCGCAGCTGGTTGTTCATGGACGGGAAGGGGGGGCATGATGTATATATCTTGAGTATCCGCGAAGTAGACGAATCTGTAGTAAGAAATAAGACGTGGTCAGTGTACGCGTACGACTCAGCTACTACTCTAGTGTTTACTTTGCTCTGACTTCAAAATCTCGCTCTTCCGACGTAAATGCTACCACCACCGCGTACTCTGCAGGCGTGATATCGGCGATGACCTCAGATAACGGTAAATATGAATCTACGATACTTAACGTGTAGATCGGCCTACAATTGTATGAGGTTGAGGATGTTGGAGTGCTTCAAGGACAATGGCGCAATGGTCTTCAAGTTTGTGTTGATGAATGGTCAGGAAGAAGATTTGAATGTGTAGTAAGCGATCTGAGAAATACTAACCTAAGCTTAAAGAATCGGGATTATCCAAGTCTGTAAATTGAACCCCGAGTGTTGTCTTTATTGCTGTCTTGAGGTCTTCAAGGATTTGCTTGTCTTGAAGTTCTGTTTCCGTTGGAACATGATTATACAAGGAACAGGAGATTTTCTCGAGTTGTACACATTGAGGAGGGAGGATCAAATTCATTGAGGGTGATCTTGAGAGCCAAGATTTTGAACTCTGTGAGAGCTTAGAATAAAGAGCTGGAAGAGCCATGCCAGTGAGATTGCTGGTGACAGGCATTGAGAGAGGTAGTATGATGCTGACAACCAGTGGGGGTTGGCCTGTCAATCATCTCCATTGATGACTGGAGTTTATTAGTCAGCTGAGAGCCACGTGTCGTAAGGTAGCGCTATACAGCGCTACACAGCAGGTCCTCGTACAGTCTAGGATTGTGCAGTGTCTTACAGTGACGCATAGTATCATACATCGAGCGCAGAGTGCTTCAATAATTAATATCAACTATCATCTTCATACCATTGAATCATAATGCAAAAGACTACACTAGTTTGAGATAGCATAGTAGAAGTCTTTGTTGATGTACTTATTTAGGAAGAATGTCTGAGCAAAGTGAGCACTATTTTGTGCTGTTAAACGAGAATCAGCAACACGACCAAAGCGGGGGATAATTTGAGCAAAAGAACGAAGTTGATCTAGTGGGAGGATATCACCGAAGGGAGTCCCTGCTGATCGCATTGCACGTTTTAAAACATGCATCTGTGTTGTGCATTCCAGCAAGCTTCCATGACGCTGAGGCATAACATCTAGGCGCTGAACATAAGTAAGAAAACGCGTGGCCCAAGGGGCACTACCAGGTTTTCCTCGTGGAGGAAGCGGTTGCATGATAAGGTGCACCTCAACAACATCATGGCCTGCAAGTTGCTCGGATGTCAAACTCGGACACAAGTATACAAATGGACATCTGAGAAACATACCTTTAAGCCCACTAGTAGGCCATTGTTCACGTCCGGTGTCATCAACAGTGAAAATAGCAGCGTCATAACGCCCATACTTCCAAGTTGCGCTCGGAGGATGCGCGTTGACTGTGAGAGCAGGAGGAGTGATTGATGGGCTGTGGTACGATGCCTGCTGCACGCGTACTTTAAACCAGACCATAAGGTCATTAAAAGGAAGAGGTGCATCAGGCAATGCTCGGCGTTGTCCCCTCAGCGAGTGGACGTTCTGAGCCATGCCCTCTCGTTGAATATAGTCAGCGAGTGCTCCCCGCAAGTCAGGTAGAGAGAATTTTTCAGCGACGACATCGACTGGTATGCGTCGTATCGAAGGATCGAAATTCAGGTGGATTGCTGCTGCACCGACCACGAATGTGCGGAGAGGTCTGGCTACTTCAATATCTGAAGAGAGTTGCTCTGCCTTCTTGAAGAAATCGGTCACTACACGCTTCGGCCCCCAGAGATCATCCAAACCTGTCTGCAAGTTTGATTTGTCGGCGTGTGGATCTTCGTCGTGCGACTCGTCATGATGTTCCGAACTGGCGTCCGTCATTCGAGAAGTAGAAGCTTGTGACTGTGATTGTGAACGAGCGATTATTGATGTTGCAATCTGGAAGTTTCGACATTTCTCTCGGCGATCAAGAAACCGGCATATTTGAGCATCATAGTTGATGTTGTTGGAGGAATCTGCGGGATCCTTGATTAGGGTGATGTGAGCGTGCTCTGTGGTGTCAGCAGACCACTGCAAGAGAGAGCCGACTTGACGTATGCTGGGCTCGACACTCTGCATCAACTCCAATTTGGGTATATGCCAGTTGTCGAGGACCTGTTTGCTCTTTGCACCTCGACGTGCACCGCAAGCAATGATTTCTTGCTTGTGTTCGTGAAATTCCTCGAGGGCACCGAGAATCTTTTGACAATGCGCTTCGTCGATCGTTGTCGCTTGCGATATGTAGCGAAAGTCCATCAGCGCACGAACAGCTATCACAACACTACGGGGGGCTGCGTCGGCAATGAGAGCAACAATATAGCGTTGCATATCACGTTGGGCTCTTCCAGTGACTTGTTTAAGCTTGGAAATGCCATCCTTGAAGTGTCGGAACGTCGTGAGTGGTTGCGAAACGGAGAAGCGAAAGTCTAGTTCCTGTTCGCCAACAGCTGCAAGACACCACTTAACATCGTGATCATAGAACTCACGGTGCCAGTGATGCAGGGGTTCGGGAGTGAAAAATACATGCGGATCCGCAAGTGACCAATCACGCCAGAATGGCTGGGCTACGCCACTCAGGCGGAATGGAGCGCATGCATTAAAGTAACCTTCGACGTCGAGGGGGTCACAACTAATGCTCGAAAGCTGGTCGAGAGTCATTTTAGCTGTTCGAGGGGAGTGCTGGAAGGCGTCTCCGAAGTTTTCATACATAGCCATAGTGATCGGTGAGGTCTTTCCTCGGACACATGCGAGCATGCATGCCTCGGGTGTATCGACAATGTACGAAGCTAAGGGAGTGAAACAGTATCTGAGGTTCCCAAGTGGGTCCGACATCATCCGGCCGATGCGTGCAGCTTGCTTGAGCGGCTCTAGCACGATATCTAGACACTGGTGGACTAAGCGGGCTTCAAGAACACTCTGCATCCGTTTCACTGGATGCAGAAATTCAGCAATTGGAAGCAGCGCTGTTAGGAGGAAAGCATGTGAGGATGCCTTGTTTCGAGTTGCCATCTTGATATTGGCAAGGCTGATCAGGAGCGGGTGAGCGACACGTCCACCAGTCATGTTGGTGATGTTGGTCTTATCAGAGGACAGTATGATGCCTAACAATGTCGCACCATCTGGAAGTTGTGACTACGATGAGATGTGAGAGTTAGCAAGTTGGAGACCATTGATAGTCAGGTATGTATTACCTGCATCGACCATGCTGCGTCACCTGTCAGCCATTCATTGTAAATTCGTGATGTGCGTTCCACTGTGTGATATACACGTTGCGGCGTGACATCTATTTCTTTAGCAAACAACGGGTGGCTAAAAAGCGATTCGATACAATCCAATGGATCGCGCCAGTACAAATATAGCGGCTGTTTTGTTGGGTGAGTGGTTGAGACTATGCGGTACTGCCACTTCGGAACAGGAGGTAGCAGCTCAGCACGACCACGCAACTCCTTGGCTGTACAAAAGGAGAGAGACAATGCTTTAATCTGCGAAGAAATCAGCACTTGTGACGGTAACATGCCAGCTGACTCAAGCCGTACTAATTCGAGCTCCAGGAACTCATCTATGGCGGCCATACTTAATGACGAGCACAGGAGAAAGCTGCCGAGCTCCCAGTCCTGACGGGACGCGAATGGATAGTAAAGGTTGTCCTTGCGATATGCTGAATAGGGATCCATATTAAACCTGTCCCAAAAGGTCTGGCCGCGCCGATACACTTTCGCAGCGTTCCTGAAGCGCTCGACGTAAGGCTTCTCCGAAGCTTGGCTGCCCAAAGGCTCTTCAACCGACCCTGGCAGGTCACTCTCCAAGCCCACCACGCCTCCCTCGTCACCGTAGAAATAGCCCGAGTCATTCAAATCCTGAACATGCACCATTTCCTCACTATCAACTTGAACTTGAAAAGGGTTTGGTGTTCTGGAATGACGAGGGTTGGATGACGACTCAGATGGGCCGAGAGTTGCGTGCTGGTCCGCGAACTGTGAGTCTTGCAAGATTTGCGCTGCATCCTCAAGCTGATCAACCCATCGTAGACAGGATGTAAGGGGCTGGCTCAGGTGTCGTGAAACAGCCCAAGTGCTCTGAAACTCTTTCAAACAGTTAGGGCAATTAGTTGTCATTGAGATTGAGCAGGGAGTCGGGACGGAGGTACTAGTGCTGGACTTTGCTACTGTAGTACTAGTACGTAACTCGTGAACGTGTCGGTACGATTCGGATTCGGTAGTACTACCACTTAGTAATTAAGCACCATGCTGGTACCTACCCATGGATGCTGTAACTATTATTTAACCTGATTTTGAAGGTTCATCTTCTCCATCACTCGCCTACTAGTCGTGTGCTTACCATGGGCCGACAGAGGGGGCAACAAGTCGGAGTCCCGTCGCTTCAAGTCGTTGAATCAGACATCGACAATGAACCAGTGACGTCGGTCCAACCTCCCCGTCGTCGTTCCAACCGACCTGGTGCTGGTGCTGGAGGAAGGAATTCTCAGCTAGAGAAGATAGGAAATGCTCTTCAGACTCCGGCCAGAGCACCTGGAAAATCAAAGGTTCAGAACGTCGTTGTCCCGTTTGATGAACCTGAAAATGCGATGGCTCCGGTGGCAAAGAAGAAGAAGGGAGGAAAAGCTCCTCGGCAGCTTGAGACTCGGAGAAACTTAAGTGCAATAGTAAGTACCTGCTTGGTTGATGTTCATTCCTGAAACTGCATCATCACGGCGGTACTAATGTTTGGTATTTAGCAGGAGGCATCCGAGTCAAACCCTAGTGCTGCAGGTCCCACACCTGCTCTACACGTCGCGGATACGGGAAGGTTTGGTTTGCAGGGTCATCCAGTTCCCTCAACATATGTTGGTTCCAAACCACTCCAGTCCCACCAAACAGATCCTCAGCCTGATTTAACGATATCTCCTGCCCGGCCCTATGTCCATGATCATGGTACCTCTCAAGGTGCTTCTCGCAGCGTCTCTCGTGGTATTTCTCGTGGTGCTTCTCGTCGTGGTGCTTCTCGGCGTGGTGCTTCTCGCGGTGCTTCTCGAAGTGTCTCTCACGGCGCCTCTTATGGCGCTCCTTATGACCATCAGGCTGATGAAAGTAGAATTCCAGCTGTCCAGCATCCTGCTGGTGCTCGTATTGTTTCTCGTAGTGTTTCTCATTCTGTCGTCAACCAACGCTCGGGCTCATCTATTCCTATTCTCAACACTGCTGTTCAGCGGGAGCCATCAGCGACCATGACACCCCACCATACCGTTGCTCGCACTCCTCCTGCTTTCGGTTCCTTCGTCAGTCAAAATATGTCCATCGTTGAAACTGAAGAAGGTCATGAAGAGGCGGACATTGAAGAGGATGAAGATGACGTTGAAGAGAATGAAGATGACATTGAGGAGGGCAGAGATTTTGCAGAAGATGATGGCGTTGATAACGAGCTTGAGGGTGGAGATTTTGCGCAAGACGATGATTTGGATGAGATTATGGAGCACGAGGAGGATTTTTACGGGAGTGACACCGTCATGCACCCCCCACATCACGGTGATCAAACCTATCGTGGCAGCACGCAAGCAAGACACCCTACGCAAGCACCTGATCATAGCGTGTGTTCACAGGATGAGGATGAGGATGGCGCGGGAGTGGCTGGCATGGACCGTCATGATCGGAATAACCACACCACTAGCAGGACGGCGCCAAAGCGATCCGGTCTACAGAGTACTAACAAACAAGTTCCGAGTCTTTTGAACGCTCCCGTAGTCGTAAGTACTCACCCATACTATCGCCATGTATTGACACTGTTTTTCAGCCAAATATCGATTATGATATCCTCCAGGCTCACCACACGAAAAATCGTCGACCACGTTCTCCGTCCCCTACGTATTTGAGCAGTGCACGGAACCACCACCCGAAGACCAAGCGTGCTCGCACAAGAAACTCCCAGTCAAGCGATGACCGTGACTCTGACCAGCAGGACAACTTGGAGGATCTCAATGAGGTCGATATCGATAGTGGGAGGCGCCACCGCACCAAGAACGCGAAGGGTGCTGCTACCAATCGTGATGCAACTAATGTTGGGTTCTACCCATCACTCTGGCAAAAACTCCTTGACCGCGCGAAGGCTAATTTCAGGCTCTATATTGCTACTTCAGTCCCATTCCCCGACAAAGAGGAATCCATCGGTGGTACCGGAGTCTGTGGTGAAGTGATCGCGGAAGCGATCGTACAGTGGCAAGAACAGAAACGCAAACTCGAGAAAGGTATTTTCTTTTCTCTAATTACAGTGTTACCGCCCACTGACACACATACAAAGGCTACTACCCTGAGTTCAAAACGGGGATGGCTACCGTGGTGAGTGCTCCGATTTTTACCAAGATATATTTCCATTAACTAAGTCACACGGATCTAGGTCTTTAACGATGCCGCGACATTCCGCAGCAAGATCAAACAGATTGTACTTACTGTCGTTCCGATGGTATATGAACTCGCCCTCGGCATCAACGGGAATACAACTGATAGCGTCAAACTCAAGGCAACCGCTTTGCTGAAGAAAGCAATATATTTGCGTGGCGAGCCTGATTCTGAGGTACGTTGTTCGTCGTCCTTGATATTCGATTCTAAACATCTAGTAGGGTCGTGCATCTAACTTTGCAAACGACGCAGTTCGCATCGTTTGCCATAAGTCATTTTATGACAATGGATCCAAATCGCTAAAGCATTTCGCCGAGTTTCAGAAGACCATCCCGCCCGCAGCGCTCTTCCTCGTTGGGACTATTGTGAGTGCGCCTGTAGTATGCTTAAACTTGAAGTGCATTCACTGATTCTGAGTTTATCCTAGATTCGCAATGTCATCTGCATCTACAGTAAATATGGCCAGGTGAATCGCACCAAGCAGACGCCTATCGAGGATTCGGAGAATGCATACGATCGCATTTCTACGCTGTTCAACCGCACGAACAAAGACGCGTATCACGGGCCGAAACTTCGTCAAATGCTCAAAGCTTGGGCATTGGAAGGCATGTAAGTTTCGGCATGATTTTTCATGGCAGTAGCAGTATATTGACCATCGAGTTAGGAATGTACATGGCGCCGGCCTTGGTGATCACGAAGGTGACGACAGCTCAGAGTGGGATGTTGATCTCGCGTAGTTTTACATACTACTACTTACTAGTCCTATCATTTTATTTTGAATTGAATTATCATTGGCTTCGTATTAATGCGCTGCTAGCATGCAAGAACAAAAACTATACTAGCAGTACTGGTAGTGTAATAAGAGTGCTATGGAACACCATACACCACTGTATGACACTGCATAGCAGGTTTGTGCTATACAGCGTCATACAGCGCTACAGTGTTGTGCAGGATTGTGCAGCGCTGTGCCAGCTGTACCCGACTGCACAGCATGACACATCCGAAGCACACACTACGGCTCGGCTGCACATGGGGGGACCTTCCTGCGAACCCTGAGTCACTGTACGGCAATATGCAGTGCCACATACCCCATTTGGGTTTTGCTGATGTATGTTAATAAATACGCAGATCATCACGCATTTGAAATCGCATTTTAGACTTGTTCTGTACGGTCCTTGCTTATTACACTTTAATTCAACTTTTTTGAACTTCGCACATGAACTTGTTTGCACGCTGGTCCCACTTTCTAATAATTAGAAAAAGCAGCCTTTAAGGTAGTTCCAAATTTTCGTTCGCAAGAAATAAGGGCCATTAAGTGAAATAAGGCGAAATAAGTAATCGGTGAATTTACTGATGTGGTATACAACAGGATTGTTGATCAGAGGTCAGAAGATGTAACCGAAATGAATTTTGGGGTGCCATGATCGATATAACAGACGAACTTGAATGTAAGATGTGAGCAAAGAAAGTCTTGTCATCAAGGGATATGCTAAACTCATATATTATTGCCATGGCGCCGCCCTGTGCACGCACGGCCGTCTCCCGAACCTGCACTGATGATCTTCTTCATGTGGAGGGTCGAGTGACAAGCAATTTGTGAGTTGTGGCCGCGATCGAGCGTTCGTTTCCCTGAACCAGCTCACGTCGTAGGAAATCAGGATACAGTGCACTGTGCTGCGCAGCCACTACACATTCTCACATTTCGCTCAAAAATGACAGTTGTTGATTAGGCTCTTATTGTTTTCATTCTAGAATGTAGAGAGCGGACGGCATCTGTAAACTTTCAAGTTTTAACTGTCCCAACAAACGTTTCAAGTATCAACCCCTGAAATGCGTAGCTGCGGAAGGAGGCTCAATCAGGTGCGTCGCCTACAATCATCTCCCATTTAAAAGGCATGGCACCTCAGCTGCTCTCCTCGGCAGTTTTTCTCTCTCTATATTTCGCAGTCCATCCAGGTGCAAGCAGTGCGTTCGTTCTGCCCTGCCTGGTTGCCTTCCATATACTAATTTTTTTAAATTTGTAGCATTGCGTTTTCGCATATCCAATTCCACCTCCTGACGACTCCACTCACCGACCATCATGCGCTTTGCTGCCCTTTTCGCTCTCGCTGTCGCCGTGTCGACCGTTCCTTGTCTTGCTGCCTCGTATGTCTTTCTCAGACAACCATTGAGTAGACCACTGATTCCATTTTCAGTCCGCATCTAGGAAGCTTCAAACGTGATGCCGTGCCCGGGCAAGAGAATACAGGCGCTTGCGGAAATGATAACCCGACCTGCAACACCCCTCCAAGTTGAAGGATGATCAGGCCACATAAACTATACCAGAAACAGAGTCGTGCTGAAGAATAGGGGCCTTGTGCACTGAGGCTGCTAGCATCATCTATTTGATTAGTTCATCGTACGCAGTGCTTACGATATGTAGCACCCCGTTTGTAGCAGCCAATCAACATAATCTATCGTTCATTGTGATCCCTCTGACACCTTCTCTGGGTTCTGAGCACAGTGGAGCTCCGTTGTAACTGAACAATATCTGTGGCCCGTTCTGTGGCCCGTTCTTCGACGCCACCGCACCAATGATGATCGATCATCAGATTTCAAGGTATCGTGTATCCAGATATCATACAGGCGCAACCTCATTCTGGGCTGCGTGGTTATCATCATACCAATGTGTCCTACCTGTCACACCTCGATAATGGCGCAAGAGTGACACGACATCCGAAGTCACCAAGAAGTTGTTGATGTTGAGAACCTATCAAACGTTCGTTAAAATGCGACATTGTCACATCCATCTGCACGTACGAGAAGCCACGTCCTTAACGCAGCAAGTCCAGCAGCTCGATCAATCATTTGCCAATTGTCGTTGATGAACGTCTTTGTTCCTCTGAAGAAATCTGCGACGAATTTGTTCCTGCCGCCCCATTGACACATGTCAGATCTAGTGGAACTTCGCGTTGAATAGGACGTACCGATTGAGAAATATCCAGCGGAACCAAAGCGCCTGCATGACCTTGTCTTCATCTCTTACGTCGTCTATCTCGAAGATTTCTTCTTCTCTATCGAGGATGACCCATGCGAGGACACCAAACTCATCTAATGGTAGTGTGTTTAGAAGATCGTATAGCCTGGGGCCGCCCACGCGGCATGAATAGATGCCGTCGGACTTGAGGAGGTAAGGATACTGCGCTGCGGGCCCAAGAGGATCAGATTGGGGAGGGGGTGTTGGCTTTCCAGAAGCATGAATGGAGGATGCGCGAGACATCGTGCGAGATGTTACAGAACTACTGCGCGTAGTTGACAATGCCGCTGAACCCACACGAAGTGTCTGGATATGCTGCTGCTTTGGTTTGATGTCAAGTGAATCAGCGTCAGTAAAAGGTTGAGATGACACAGATGTATTTCGTGATGGAGACTGCGTAGTCGCTGGAGTGTATTCGTCATCGTGAATATTCGATGAGAAGTCGGTTATCTCTGTCGAAGCAGTCCTTGTCGAAGGTGTCGTCATCGCACGTGAATGAGGGAATCTGTGAGGTGGCCAAGTCGCTGATGCTCAGGCAGTGGACATCAAATGATGGGAGCAAAACCTTACAATGGAGCACGCACAGGCAATGCAACTGGTAATGCAACATGTCCTGTTAGCGGAAGCCGTATCCATAGGGTATAGTCATCCTGCATCAGTTTGGTCAGCCTCGGATCCTCCGTCGCTGCATACAACCTACCATATCCCACCAGAAACCCACTCCTGAATGGTCCCACTGGAGATGAGCGATGAGCATTTGCTGAACGGGAAATATTCCATGAAGATCGCAAAGTGGACATCTCCAATCTGCCATTGTCGTCCGAGTCTCTTGTTGTTCGAGATATCTATCTTCGGCGGTTTGCGCTATGCAGTTGTATACGACCGTAATGGGTTTGGGAGGTGGAATACTACGAGACGGATCAATTCCAAGGGACTTGCATCGACTGAGAAATCCTTTGCGGAGGTTGCGTAGCATAAAGGGAAGGCGGTGTAATCTTGCGAGCCGGATGGTCGTCAGCGAAATGTTTTCCAAAGCTTGGATAAGGGTATCTGAGGGTATGTCCGCAGGTGTTTCATCCTCTTCTGCGACATCTGATTCGGAGGACGATTCGGTTTGCTTTCTTGCAATGTTGTGAGGGGGAATACCAAGATCCACGTATTCCAGTTCCTCGCTATCTTCGCGCGTAGCCACGGGGGTCGCAGATTCTGGGTCGTCGTCATCAGATCGTTCGCTGCTGTGGGAACTCGCGGGAGTGGCGGAACGTTGTATCTCGGGCCGAGCCTTTGTTGATTTGCGTCCAAATTGAAATTTTCTCGCTGCTTTCACCCGGGCATCGGTCTCTCTACAGAATCAATGTCAGACAGCGTCAATTGTCATTAGTCAAGAATCACCTGACGAGCTTTAAGCCGATATCGACATAGTTCGCACTCCCGCTGCTACGTTCACTCGTGCTGTTAACAAGATGGTCCTGACTGGCATCCCTGTTTGCGCTGGACATGCGAGGCACGCGTGAACCTGTCCTACTACCTACACCCTCAAACTTTCGCGCATATTTTGCAGAATGTGATTCCGTATGCATGTGAAGGCGCATTTGTTGCGATTTAGTGGCACGACGTTGGTCAACTGAGGAGTATTGAGCAGATAACTGCAGATCTGGTTAATATACACTTACGTGAATTATTGGTTGACTGTCTACCACGACCCTTGCGTGGGACTATGTAGTCGGTGTGAGGCGCATGGTTGTTGAGGACGTGCTTATTGTACGTACCATCTGCCGCCGATGTCCCTCCAGCACCAGGTCGGGAAGATCTTTCAGGAAAGAACGAAGCTGATTTGGATGGAAGAGACGCTCTTCTCTCTTGAGCCCCGGATGAATTAAGACTTGGATTGAACCGTCCAGAGTTCTGCACAACCCTAGTACGGGCGACAGGACGCCGCTCCACGGGCAGTGGAAAGTCTTCGATATTGAAAGTAACTCTCTTTGGACCCCTGGCAGAAACATCGGTTTGCTGCAGGGATTCATGACTAGCCACATTTCGAGTAGCATCTGATGAAAGTAATAATGACATTCATTCATTCACCGTTAGCTAGTGTAAGTTACTTACCAGGTCGTGGTTGATTTCTACTGACTGGTCTCTCATTCAACTCTTGTTCTCTAGGACGAGCATCGATCCTTGCGTCAGCGATTGCAGATTTGAAAGCGGGCACTTTTCTGAGACGGTGGTCTGGCCCGGCATTAGCGACAGTTTTTGCCGCAACACTCCTTGGTCTAATTGCAGGATTATCGAGCCTCAGATTAGTTGCAGATCTGAACGTCGCAGGAGTTTTTGCTATGAGATGATTGTCTGGCCTTGTCTCATCGGCGACAGTCTTTATGGCAGTCCTTGGTCTTGTAGCCACATTGTCGAGCCCCGGATCAGTGACTTTCCGAGCACTCTTAACGATGCGAGGTAATTGATCCCTTGGATCTGACATGCCATGAAGATGAATATCGTTCGAGTCAATGGTGTAGTTATCGGTATCATGGCTGTTGCTGTACTTATCATTGTGTGCAAGTGTGACGATGACGGTGGCTTCGATGCACGTGGGTGTGACAATTCGTGTTCACGAAAACTCAGACGGTTTAACTTCAACGCAAACACTGGACTAGTACTCTCTTGGTTGTCTCCTGGCCTAATATTGTTGTGTCTACCAAGTATCAGCCTTGCAGGGTCTGCGAATGCAATATTGTTTTCCCGCCGATCTGGCCGCATGTAGTTCTTGGTCTTAAATGAAACAAAACAGCTCCGCCCCAACCCCACGCTGAGTCTGAGGCTTCAACAATCTGATTGACGCTAATTTGCTGGAGGTTGAACTAAAGGCTATGAACGAAATCCTTTACGATAGTTCAATGAAACTTTGGGGACTCGACCCAATAACAGCGATACTGATACCACATCAAATTCCATGAGAAAAGAGGACGACCACCCACTACGATTGCCCACTTTCCCTGGTCATGAAAGACACAGTTACTGACATTCCCCAAACTGTACTGCCACCGGTTGTTCATGGCGGTGCCATAGCCGGATCGATCACTTGTTATGGGACTGCCCCATACTCCAATCCCCCCTCTCTGACTCTACATACTCCTCTGCCCTCTAGAGCTGAGTGCAACAGTGTGCGCTGTTGATGGTGTCACTTCTGCGACGTAGTGCGCACGACTCAGATCCGTAGTACGGATGATGATGATATCACTCATGTGCCGCAATTGCCGGGATCATCCAGGATCCTAGTCTGCTGGGGTATTCAAAATTTGTCTCCGCGGGTACAGCATCCAGCCGATCATGTATCGAATTGAGTCTACAGTCTATGGGCCGCGGCTTAGAGATTTCAAACTGAGCGGATGTCGATTACCAGATCTGAGACATCCGATGGACATCCGATGTCGTCCATAGGGGTACATTCAATTCATTGCATCGCATTCACTCCATGAGAGTACCGCCGCTGCCGCCATCCGCATAGCATTCCGGCTCTAGGAAGAGCTAGATGATGAAGTTCTCCTCTGTTCATTGGCGTATAAAAGGACTGCAGGTTTTTACAATAATTCCCCATCAACTCACTATCGACTCACTACCAATCCATTACCAACTCATAACCAACCTTTGCCCATCAAATCATCATGTACTCGAAATTCATCAGCATTGCATTCGTCGTCGCTGCCACTTTGGCACCCACGGGCGCAGTCGTCGTTCCTAGAGACAACGATAAGGTATGTCATCGTTTTGCTTGACTTGGATTAAATCTCACGAATATTGCAGCATCAGGCTCGTGATGGCACTCCTGCCATTACTCCAACCGTAACTCCTACTTACACGTCTACGTCGACTTACACGTCGACGCCTTCGTCAACTTACTCGTCCACGCCTACGTCGACTTACACATCTTCGTCGACTTATAAACCCACATCGACTTATACGCCTACATCGACTTATACGCCTTCGTCGACTTATACGCCTTCGTCGACTTATACGCCTTCGTCGACTTATACGCCTTCGTCGACTTATACACCTTCGTCGACCTATACACCTACTTCGACTTATACACCTTCGTCGACTTATACACCCCCTATCACACCTAAGTCCTCTTACACATCAACATACATTACGACTCAGCCGACTGAGTCCGCCAAACCTTACGGACAACCAAATAAGGCGTCTCCCCAATCTGTGTCGTGTAACGCCATCCAGCCTTGGCAGTCCAACCTCGCAGTAAGTAATTGCACCCATCTCAGTTCTTCCCCTCCTCACATCCGATACAGTATAGCGCAGGAGCCCAAGTGATTTTTAACAACCAGTTGTGGACTGCCAAACAATGGAGTTATAACAACAACCCTCAGTCTGCCGCCGGCGAGTGGACTTTGAACGGGGCTTGCAACCCACCGATTAGCAACAAAGTTGATTGCACTGGAATTTCCGCTTGGAACCAGCCTACTGCTTACCCTGGCGGTTCAAAAGTGATTTTCAATGGATCTCTCTGGATTTCTACCCAGTGGACGCAGAGCAACTCGCCTGGTGATGCTTCCGGAACTTGGAAGGATTTGGGCGTTTGCAACTAATTCATAGATTGGACTTTTTGCTTACTTAGATGATTTATTTGAAGGACTTTATGGACATTGATTAACTAGCTTGCTATGGACGTTATTATGGACTTGCCTAGCTCGCTTGTATCTTTCTATCAATCAACGTGTTTGACTCTCTATTTTCGTGACTTCTTATGACTTTTTGCCTCCTTTAAAATCGCTTGATTGACTTCGGAACAAATCTCATCAAGTCTTTTCTACATATCCTTGTTCGTACTTACTAGTTCCTCAGGCGTCGAAATTCATTGTACACTCATTTCTAGCGATTGCATCCAAAATCTTAGCTCACTGTAACTATCTAGTGTAATATAAATCCACAACTGTATACAAGATCTGATGATGATGAGTTCTTGTTTGACTGGGATGGCCGCGTAGACCGCACGTATATTTCCGCTGGCTTGCACAAGCCTAGCGGAAGGTGAGTAGGACTTCTGTTTGACGATGACAAATAGCACATTGTTGTATAAAGACGCGTTAACTGTACGGCTTGCTACTACACCGGCGCGACGAGAACAGTCCTGCCTGAAACAAGATATCAGTGTTGCCGAACCCGGATTGGATGGGTATATCTGTCAACACATAAAAATGTTCTTCAAGCGTGTTGATAAGTTGATGCTCGCGGATATGAGAGCAGACCAGTCGCTACGCCTTGAAAAGTCGAATAAACCGCGGGTGATACGCTACGTACAAGCGCATTATTCACGAGGAAATATCCAACGGTCAGGGTTGCCAGAAAACGCGTGAGCGCAACGAGGAAAGGCAACATCGCTTGGCTGAGAGCAAGCGGGAATCGTGAGCATAACTGCTAGTACTACCAGTGAAAGCAATGTTGAGCAGGAACATCAGGACCCAGACCCGGGTGTCTCTGGCTTCTCTTCCGATGAGAGTGAGCGATCATCAACCGAATCGGGCTCGGGAAGTGAATCAGACAACGAAGATGGGTTGATGGATTGAGAGCACGAGCGAGCTTTAGCATGACCGCTCGAGCTTGAACAATGAGTTTGGTTGAAGTCTGACCACTGGGTAAAACACCAAATAGATTCAGATTCCCTAGACCATACTTTGGTCACTGGGCTGCTATGCGTCCACGGAGACCAGGCGTGCTAGGAGCAACGCAGGTATCGCGCCAACTCAACCTACTAAAATATCAGTAACTGTTCATCGATAATCAATTGAACAAGCCATTAGCGTTCAGCGGCAAGTACCCCTCACCACCAACGACTTGTTATGCTGGTATCCATCTCGGATGGATAGCTCAACCGTAAAGAAGCGACCAACTTGTCCGGAGCACTGCTACTCCAAATGTAGCCCGAACAGTGGACATTGACCCTGGGAGGGTTGGTGCGAGGAACATGTCTGTCTTTTCGCTGCCCGTCGCAATCACAACTTGGAGCACGTCGCTATCAATCGTAGACTTCAACTTCGATGGCATGGGTGTCGGTAAACATAGAATGCATCGTCGGACATATGTTTCTTGAACTGAGCCGAAATGACAAGTCCATCTATATCTATGAGGCGGGCCGACGACAAACAACGCGTCCATGACTCATTGTTAAGTTGACAATGACAAGGGGTTATGGACGCGTCGTTTGTGACAATTAATAACGTCAAACGCATCGAGTGGGCGATGCATATGGGGAGTGGACTTGACTGAGTGGTAAACTGTTGCTTGTACATGTTTGCTTACCGGTCTGGGTGGAGGTCTTCGCAGACTCTAGGTCTGCGAGTGAACGCCAGCCTGCCGGAATGTCCCGGCACCTGAACGGACGCTGCCACGACGTCGAGTAACTCGAGTTCGTCGCTCATCGCACTCCCTCGCTCAATCAGTCTGTCTTTATACCCACCCACCACTCCCTTTAACTTTTGTCGCACCATAGTTAACACATAGTACTTTGTTATTCAAGCGTTCTTATAGTTTGCTGCATCAGATATCTACCGTTCCAAAAACCTACTCGAAGAGTCATATGGCATGACCCTCAGCAGGTACCCCGCCCTCCCGAGCGGCCCCACCTGCTTGCGTCCCTTCCTGAGCTAATGCTCGGCCTAGCCCAACCTAGTCGACCGTGTCAGCGACTCTCGAGCCAGTCATGTACTACTAGTACGCAAGTACTACTAGCTTGACTCTTTGGCGGTTCTCCTGGGCTTTAGCTGCCGCTAATATCGTCGTGAATACCAGGTATCACCCTCTCAGGGTCTGGGTGCGCAATTTGTGTCGAATATACTGACAATATGACCGGCCTGATATACAACTGTGCCTCCACCCGGACCCGATCAAGAAGCCGCCAGAATTTTTAGGCTACCGTTTTGGAGGTTGACTTAGGGCTATGAATGGTTCAATGAATTCAGAGGCTTCATTCCACGATACTAATTGCAACATCAAGACGGCTGCCCTCTGATGTCAGAAAGAGGACGACCCTCTCATAATACCCCTCTCTCTCTGGATAGGAGGACACCACGCTGCCATGGAATCCCCGAGCGGAACGCAGTGACGATCATTGATTACTGGTCGTGCTTGTGGCTATCTGATCCGAATCGCTCGGCCTTGGACTCACCCCCATTTTGACTTTATATGTCTCAGTGCCGGTTCTCGTAGCCTGCGGAAAGGACCGGCACCTAACGTCCAGCTGAGCGTGTGCACAGCCACACCAACTTTCTTCTCTCGACGTCCAACACGCCGACAAGACCAACGTGCCTACTGTGGTCAACGAGCCTTAACTTATAGCTTCCTAATCGTACTTTATTTCTAGCTTAATCATTCCATGACTCACCAACACCTCAACCTCACTCTCCCTGGCGCACCCAGCGCCGCCGTCACACCTGGGTCCACGACCCCCTCCACCAATCCTACAGCCACCACCCTAACTACTCCCACCACTGGTGGCACAACTGCAGCGTCTGCTGCCGCCCAAACACCCGCCCAGGCTGCCGCCGGTGGTGGCACAGCCAACAGCCCTACTGCCGCGACCTCTCCAGCTACTGCGCCGCCCACTGCACCGCCGGCAAACACTGCTGCGCCTCCAGCACAGAGCACACCTGCAGGCCCAACTCATCCTGCGTCCATCGAAACCACCCTCGTCGCCATACTAAATCGGCTCTCGCAGCTCGAAGGTGCGAACTCCCCCTCCGCAACCCACCCACTCGTGGCCACACCCAGCACGGTGGAGAACATTCGCAATCTGTTCTCCGCCCGCAAGGAGGACACCAACACCCCTACCCTACCACCCTTACAACCCGGTTTCAAAGCAAGCACTCTTGAACTAGGTACGTGTAAATCTACTGGGCTGGAGGCCCCTCCTCTCGTTCGTGTGTCGGGCTGAAGGCCACAATCGTCGTCTGGGCTGAAGGCCCCCATCGTTGCTCGTGTCTGGGCTGAAGGCCCTCCCTCCTCGTCCTCGCTTGTGCTGCCTCGTCGTTCCGTTATGAGCACCCCGTGCTCACACCTTGTTGCCAGCGGTACCCACGAAAGTGGATGAGGCCTTTCGCCTCTACCGCTACGTGCCATACACTGCGCTCACGCGCGAAGCACGTAGCCGTGCCCTGACTGGCGAAGGATCTTTCGTGGTGAATGCCCAAGGTGGTCTAACGGCCAAGGGCCTGGATCGCAGTCTGGAACGTAGCATCACTGCGGTGCAGTGGACTGCAGCCTCCCAGGTAGCTGTAGAGCGAACCCGCCATTACCACGGCGAGGAACGAGCTGCTGCACTGGCATCCCACCACCAGGCTGTCACCAACATTGCTCACTGGCACACCTGGCAAGTTGCTGTCGACTACGACATTTACCAGCGAAACCTCGCAGCCGACAACCATAACCACAATCTCACAGGCGTGGACCACACTGCCCTGACCCTCGTCGTCGGCAAAGCTGTTTTGTCCGACCACCACCTACCTGCCCATGCGGGCACACACCAGCCCATATCAGCTTCAGGTCTTGGCTCGACACGCCGGGCTCCTGCTGACAATCAGGGCCCCGCGCGTAAGAAGCCACGCTCGTCCAATTGCTTTCGGTGTGGGGGAACAGGCCACATGCCTGGAGACTGCTCGGCAGAGTCCACCTCTGCCGGAAAGCCTGTTGCCCCACTTGCCACCAACGCCCGCAGTCGCCACGCCCTCACAAGCCCCTCCGGCAAGCCTTTCTGCTTCGCCTGGGCCAGAGAGTCCTCCTGCACCTTTGGCAGCGAGTGCACCCACTTCCATGGGTGCAGCATATGCAGGGACACCCGGCATGGTGCCGCTGACTGCAGATCTCACGCCTGAACGCGACCCACGCTCTGTTGTGACCCCCCTCGATGCTAACAAGGTGGAGAGCTTGCTTCGTAAATATAACCTAGAAAAAGACTGGAGCCATGTGTTGGCTGGCCTCCGTGAGGGCTTTGATGTTGGTATTCGTACTGCACCTATTGAAACATGTATCCTTCAGAACCATCGTTCGTCATTAATGAACCCTTCTGTGATCGACGACTACATCGTGTCCGAACAAGCCGCTGGTCGGTACTCCACAGGCTTCCTGCCCAAAGACCTCGAGACCTTGATAGGTCCATTTCGCACCTCGCCGCTGGGACTGGTTCCCAAACCTCACTCCACAAAACTCAGAATTGTGCAGGACATGTCCTTCCCGCGAAACGACCCTTCGTTAGCCTCCGTGAATGCTGGCATCGACTCAGACGAATTTCCCTGCGAGTGGGGGACATTCGACGACACGGCAGCACTCATCCTCTCCCTCCCCGCTGGTTGCGTAGCTGCAACGTTCGACATCTCCGCAGCCTACCGCATCACACCCGTTCGCCCGGTTCAACAGAATGCCCTCTGCATCTTTTGGCGAGGCCTGGTGTATGTAGACCGGGCAGTAATGTTTGGGCTGTCATCCAGTGCTGGGGTGTTCGGGTCCGTTGCAGACATGCTCGCGGCCCTCTACCGTGCTGCAGACTTTGGTCCACTGCGCAAGTGGGTAGACGACTTTTTCGTTATCCGCCTGCCAACCCACACTTGGTCCGAGGCCGACTTCATGCAGTTCACTGCCCAGCTTGGCGTGCCGTGGAGCATCGACAAGCTCCGCCCGTTTGCTACTACCCAGCGCTACATAGGTTTCGACTGGAATCTCGACTTGAAGACTGTTGCCTTGCCAACAGAGAAACTTCACAACACCATATCCCTCGTCGAGTCCTGGCTGGTCGCTGGTGCAAAATTCTCGAACTCAGATGCCAACAGCTTGCATGGCAAGCTAGTGCATGCATCCTGCATATTTCGCCTCATCCGTCCGTTCCTGCGTTCGATATCAACGTTCGCCAGCTCGTTCCTTTCGCCACGTGCACGGCTGCGACCTCCCGCAAAGCTGCTAGCGGATCTACCATGGATCCTCAGGCTGCTACGCTCTCTTCCCCCCTCCGTACCCCTGTGCGACCCCACGCCCATCGACCTTGGCTGGTGGGGCGACGCGAGCACGTCCTTTGGGGTTGGCCTCGTAATTGGCCACTATTGGGCAGCATGGCGATGGGCACCTGGATTTCGCGTGGGACCTGGGCTCCAGTTCGACATTGGCTGGGCAGAAGCTGTGGCTGTCGAGCTGGGCCTACGTGTTGCGTCCCACCTGGGCCTACTCCATGGCCCTGCAAATCGTGTCTTCCTTGTAAGGTCCGACAACACCGGGGTTGTGGCAGTGACACGAAAGGGACGTTCACGCAGTACTGCAACCAACACTGTCCTCAAGCACGTGTATACACTGCAGGCCTCGCTGGGTGTTCGCCTGCACACCACATACGTCGCCTCGGAAGCCAACATCGCCGACGCTCTATCTCGTGGCGACATTTCCATGTTCCTGTCCAACTTCCCGTCTGTCACCACAAAGACCTCGTGTCCTCTGCCAGAGCACCTCATTGGCTCCTTAATCCCATTGTGATGATGATGCGCCCCCCCGTTACACCCTGGCCCGTTGACACACGAGGCCACCTCGCACTACACCCATCTCCCTTACGGCCGCCTTGTGAGGCTGCCGAACGTATCTTTCGCTGGCGAGGGGTGAATACTCCCCCCCTGGGGACACTAGATAACCCCATCCTGCGTTACCTCGCCAGCATGGCTGTACGAGCCTCCCTGCGGGACACCTCTGGATATGGATCTGGACTTCGCAAGTTCCACCTTTTCTGCGACATATTCTCCGTGCCTGAAAATATTCGCCTGCCTGCTCCCTTCGCTGTGCTACACTCATTTGCACTGTGGGCAGCCACAGACCCCACACAGGACGACCCTGTGCTTGGAGCTGCACCTCAGCCCTTTGAACCAGTCTCTGTGACTGTCGTGCGTAAGTACCTCGCAGCCGTACGGGCATGGCACATTGCGCAAGGTTGGCCCCCACCCTTATCACTCGACGACCACCAACGCATCAATTGGTCTTTACGTGGTCTGGAAAACATTTACACCAGCCGTCGCAAACCCATTCGACCTCCCGTCACACTCATTATGCTCTCGACGCTCAAAGGCTGCCTCCAACTCAATGACCCCTTCGATGCTTGTGTCTGGGCAATGGCGAGCTGTGCCTTCTTCGGCATGATGCATTTTGGTGAGATATCTGTCAATTCACGCTCAGACTTCTCCCCCGCACGCCACATCACACGACACGGCGCCTTCTTTGGCACAGACTTGCTTGGTCAGTCCTACGCTCGTCTCGATTTACCCTCAGCGAAAACGGCCAAACCTGGGGAAACCCAGTCTGTGTTCCTCACAGAGCAGGGTGATCTCTGCCCGCTGGCAGCCCTACGCAACCTCGCACGTGTCGTTCCCGCCCTCGCCACTGACCCATTATTCTGTTGGCGAGATTCTCGCGGCGACACGCGCCCCATGGTACGCAAACGGGCAGTTGAGCGTGTCAATGGAATCCTACTTGCCCATGGCTGGGGCACTACATTCGGCCACTCCTTCCGCATTGGAGGTGCCTCGTTCTACCTGGCACAGAAGGTAGACCCTGAAATTGTTCGACTGGCTGGACGATGGCGCTCGCTGGCTTACGAAACTTACATCCGTTCGTTTGAACAGGTGGCCTCACGCCATCTCGCCGGCCTCGCTAGTCAGCTACACAGTTCTGCAGCACTTGGGTTGGGCACGCTGGCCACTTCGTCAGCCGCGGAGAGTCCTGCATGTGGGTAAGCGGCTTCCGCACTCGTGTCCCTCCCAGACTAACACTCTGGGCTCAACCCAACCACTACAGTCGCACCACATGTTAATCAAACGCCAGACGAAGCTGGATGTCTCAGTGCCGGTTCTCGTAGCCTGCGGAAAGGACCGGCACCTAACGTCCAGCTGAGCGTGTGCACAGCCACACCAACTTTCTTCTCTCGACGTCCAACACGCCGACAAGACCAACGTGCCTACTGTGGTCAACGAGCCTTAACTTATAGCTTCCTAATCGTACTTTATTTCTCCCTCCCACCCTCCCGTATTTGTTTTTCGCAATAGTTTCTGTCTTAGCGTGCTCGTTTTTCGGATTACTATGTCCAAGTCCATTCTGTGTGTTACGTTTTGTAGGCCAGTAATTACTCGTGGTGCGATAAATCCACTGTGTGCGAGCCCGCCCTCCCAGCGGCTTCCGCACTCGTGTCCCTCCCAGACTAACACTCTGGGCTCAACCCAACCACTACAGTCGCACCACATGTTAATCAAACGCCAGACGAAGCTGGACTCCTATAACATTCCAACTCAGGTGAGCCCCGATATACTCTTGAGAGTGCAAGTGAGGGCAGTACACTGTTGATCAAGGTCGTCAATTATATCCGCAAGAAATTGTAGTTAATAATGTCACGACCGTGCTGCAATCGAGCACCATGGCTGATCTGAGTGAGCATTTCAAGTCATCAAGATCTAAAGTGGGGTAATTACTCTTGATTTTATCGCCGCGCAGTTCACTTGGCGGTATGTTCAACTGAATTGAGTCGTACGCCACGAGAGTTTCGCGGCGCCAGGTGACACACACAGCATTCCGGCTCTGCAGATAGTAATAGCCCGAGGCCCCTCTGCTCTAGCATAAGGCCCCTCTGTTCTCTGCTGGGGTATAAAAGGACCACAAATCTTCACCAACCCCATCTCAAATCACCATGTACTCTAAATTCGCCACTCTCGCACTCATCTTCGCTGCCACTTTGGCTCCCGCGGGCGCAGTCGATTTCGCCAGGGACAATGATCAGGTATGTCGTCGCTTTCCTTGACTCGTCCTAGACCTGACCTCCTTGAAAATAGCATCACACGCAGTCTTATACATGCACGACAACCACATGGGTCGATGGTAAATCACAGTTGAACTATGTATCCTGCCCCACGCCAACGTGGACGACTCAACCGTCTCAGCATCATCAGGCTAGACAGGCTCCCACTGGCACTCCTACTCAAGTCTCGTGCGACGGTTACCAGCCCTGGCAGTCCAATCTCGCAGTGAGTGTTACTCATCTCATGATCTTCCTCTGCTCATATTTCCGGCACAGTACAGCGCCGGCGCCACGCCTGTGATTTACAACAACCAGCTGTGGACCGCTAAGTCGTGGAGCAACAACAAAACTCCCGAAACTGCCGCCTCCGAGTGGACTCCGAACGGATATTGCAAGACACCGTATAGTAACTATGTCTATTGCAACTACATTCCCACTTGGTACCAGGGCACTGCATACAATGCGGGCGCCAAGGTGACTTACAAAAATTATCTCTACATCGCTGTGCAGTACACGACGAGTAACACCCCTGGCGACACCTCCGGAACCTGGAAAGAATTGGGTGCTTGCTATGGCTACTAGTAAAAGCTTGACCCATCTTGCTCGTAATCTGTGGAGATTTAATCAAGGACTGTTTCACTTGGAAGTACCTTATTATGGACGTTGACTAGCTTACTTGTATTGGTATCCATTCGATGTACTTCTATCCTTCATCTATTTCGTGTGGTTTCTCATGTTTACCTATTTCTCCTAGTATCATTTGCAAATAATGAACTTTTGGAAAGCTGTACAAACATGTGAACAATGCGCCAAACGAGTTTGCCTTTTCCCAACGTTCCTTGGTCGTACACGACTAATTGTAACGGACGGGAAATTTAGGAATAAATCGGGACAAGTCTTGCCAGTGGACAAGTCACATGATCTCTGCTTCGAAACGTGCACATTGCAATTTGCAACCACATCCGCTGTCGCTGAAAGCATTCAATATCCAATATTCAACGTTCAACAACGAGGTCGACTTGGAGTTATTCAATCCACAGTACACACCGGAATCCCCGATGTTCGGGGACTATTATGGCTTTCAATGCAGATGCACCTTGGAGTCTGGACTCGGCCCTAGAGGGAATTAATGACTCGGACTACTAATGATTCGTCTATCATATCATGATGACGGTGGTGGGGCAGTGGCAGGCATTGAGGTCTGAGGATCATCAAGTGGTAAAATACCGCGATCTAGGGAATTGATGAAGTTAGACCTTGTGCTAACGACAGGCACGGGTGAAGGCTCCACATCATCGACCTTCTCAGTGAGCGCTTTTTGCCTCACATGTTAGGTATGTTATCATGAAGATCCCCCTACAAATACTAACTGGTGGTTGTGCAGATCCTGCGTGTTGTTCTTCGATCACACGTGCCCTTCTAACCCTCAAAGTTTACAAAAAAGGGCTTCTGTTATCATCCAATCTCGAACGTACGGGTTTCTCCCCATTACCACCATCACCGAAGAACACCCAGAAAATGTCTGACCGACGCGCTGCCTTGCTTAACAAACGGTTCTATGATGTTCTCAAGGGCAAAGTCCCTATCGAACCACGAAACTGTCATTTGTTTCTCGATTCTATATGTTGCCAACCAGACGTTGCGGTGTGCGTTAATAAAATAGTGGGAGAATCAAAAGGACCCTCTATTGTGCAGGAGGCAATGCGACTGGACCTGTCAACGGAGTTTATGAATGGTATTGGTGCTAATGTTCTTATATATCTCCTCCAGGCCACAAGCATCAGCAGCAACGTGCTGGATCACCTGTTCGTCCAAATTGTCGAACCAGATTTTTTCTGGTCGGCATTTGGTCACGCTTTTGCTCATGGAGAGCTACTCGAAAAAGCTCAACTTGCCTTCGCCAGCCTCCTCCTCCGGTTGTTGAACCTCTCGAACCACGACACAACGCCCTATCTTGAACTGGCTGGCAGGCCAAATGTGCTCCCCAAACTCACCAGCTCTGCCAGCTTGGAAGTTCGGCTTATCGGAGAGAAGATTAAACATATTCTTTCGACGTATGGCTCCTCGGCCCCTCCCCCGGCTGCCAATGGCCCAGGCGGACGACATGACAACGATCTTGTCAATTTTCGCGACATCGCTATCCTTCCTACAGCCGACGAAATTGGATCCAAACAACTACCATTCTTGCGCCGTAGCTCGGAGTTGGAGGATGAATCCGGAGAAAGCACTCGTACCGCGGATTACCTCGACAATACATTTCGACTTCTTCGTGAAGACATGATAGCAGAGATGAGAGAGGAACTCCAGGCGCTGGAAGGAAAGAACGTCAAGCGCCACCGCGCCAACCTGATAGACGGCGTTATACCCAAAGGCGTCTACCATGGCACTGATGATCGTAGGATGCTGTGGGGAATAACATTGGAGTGTGTCGACGACCTGCCATCTCTGAAGCGCATTCCCGCGAAGGACAGGAAAGCGTATCTCACAGATGATCATACTGGCTCCAAGATCCTTCGTCACCAATCACTAGTTTGCGTGGTGGTTGATAAGGAAGTAGTCGGCTTTGGCACTGTGAACCGAGTGGAAGATCTCTTGGCCCGCAGCCCCCCTATTGTCGTTATTCAACTAGACGGGCGGGCGAGTACAAGCAGAACCATCCTCCGGCTCCGCAATGCCAAAGACGCGAAGCTCCTACAGATTGACACTGCTCTCTTTGCTTTCGAGCCAGTGCTCAAGGCATTGCAGAAGACTCAGCACATCCCAGTATCCGATGAGTTGCTGTTCTGGAAGAGTGGTGTTACTGTGCAGAGTCCCCCACGGATGGCTGGCGCCATTATCACGGCCATCGAAACCAACCGTTCTGGAAACTTGCAACTCTTGCTTCAGACTCCCGACCCCATATATTTGGATCGCTCACAAGCTTTGTCGATTCTTTCTGGCCTGACACAGAGGGTGTCTTTGATACAGGGTCCTCCAGGTATGTTCTCTTACATTGTGGATGCTAAGTAAATGCTTATGTGACGGGTCAGGGACCGGAAAGTCGTTTGTGGGCGCCCTCTTAGCCAAAGCTTTACACGACTTCACTGATCAGACGATTCTCGTTGTCTGCTATACCAACCATGCTTTAGACCAGTTTCTCGACGATCTTCTCAAAATCGGCATTCCTGACGACCACATGGTTCGACTCGGAGGAAGAGCCAAACCGCAACTGGCACATCTCAACCTCTTCAGTCCTGGCCAGAGAACGACCCAGCCCCCGCGGACTAAGGCGGATTGGACCATGATTGATGAATTCAAGACCAGATCTAATTTTCTCAGCAGCCGCCTTGACAACTCTGTTGCGGAGTTCATGGCAAACAGGATTCGTTATGAGGATATCTTAACGCATATCGAGTTCGAGGACGAGGCTTATTTTGAAGCTTTTCGCGTCCCCAAGTCAGATGACGGCATGGCTGTTGTAGGCCGGAAAGGTCGGGAGATTGACCCAACGTATCTCATCGCGTTATGGGAAAGAGGCCGTGATGCAGGCATATTCAAACACGCAGCTCACCTGCGGACGGGAGAATCGGCTCGCATTTGGGCCACCCCCTTGCCCGTCCGTCAAAACTTGTTGGCGAAATGGACGCACGACCTTCAGAAGCAGATGGTAGATGACATTGGCGCTGTTGGCCGAGACTACAACAATTGTCAAATAGATTTGACTAGAAAGTACAACGAGTCATTGGTCGCGACGCTCAAGGCAAAACGGATCATCGCGTGCACAACAACAGGAGCCGCAAAATTTACTGAAGACCTTCGAACTGCCGCTCCCGACGTTGTTCTTGTGGAGGAGGCTGGAGAGATTTTAGAGAGCCATATTCTGACCGCTCTTGGCGAAAACACAAATCAACTGATCCTTATTGGAGACCACAAGTATGTTCTTGATCACTGCCCCCAGTGCCTTATCCTGAGTTATTCATTCAGGCAGTTGAGACCAAAAGTCAACAGCTATGCCCTCCAGGTCGAGAGCGACCAAGGATACGACTTGAACAGGTCGCTCTTCGAGCGCCTTGTTCTGAAAGGATTCCCTCACGCTACTCTCACCGAGCAACATCGTATGCGGCCTGAAATCTCCGCACTTGTTCGCGAACTCACATACCCCGAACTTACCGATGCTGCCGGCACTCGCGGGAGAGATGATATTCGTGGAATCCAAGACAACATCATTTTCGTCAACCATGCTCACCCTGAGGACAATGAGGGCAGAGTCAGCGATCGCAGCGATCTTGGTTCTGCGACTTCAAAACAGAACTCTTACGAAGCCGGCATGGTTCTGAAGATCGTCCGGTACCTCGCTCAGCAAGGTTATGGGACAGATAATATCGTTGTCATAACGCCTTATCTTGGGCAGCTATCCAAACTTCGGGAGGCTCTCAAGGCAGACAATGACCCGGTATTAAACGACCTCGACTCTTATGACTTGGTCCGTGCGGGGCTTCTCTCTCCCGACGCTGCAAAGGCATCCAAAAGGAAGATAAGACTTGCTACCATAGGTATGAACCCCACCAATACGAATGCATGATGGTCGACTGACTGGAGCAGACAATTATCAGGGAGAGGAAAGTGATATCGTGGTCGCTAGCTTAACACGATCGAATCCTGATGGCGCCATCGGCTTCATGAAGTCCCCTGAACGTTTAAACGTTCTCTTGTCTCGGGCCCGTGATGGTCTTATTCTCATCGGCAATATGGTCACGTTCGAGAACAAGTCCCCCCTTTGGAGTCGTCTATTTGATCTTCTCAGACAGGCGTCACACATCTATGAAGGGTTTCCCGTCAAATGCGAGCGCCATCCTGCACGGAAAGCCATTCTGCGAGATGCCAACGATTTCGATGAGCGATGTCCAGATGGAGGTTGTGCGGAGCCTTGGCGAGTGCCTTTTCAACAATGTTCGGCGCATCTCGCTGACCTAGCTTCTTTTAGTGGTACGATGCTTAATTGCAACGTGCATCCTTGTCCTTCGAAGTGTCATCAGCTTTTTGATCACTCCAAAGTACTTTGTCAACAATCGTTATTTGGAAAATGTGCGGCGGGCGTCCACAAAGTTTCCTGGAAGTGTCATCAAGGGCCTCGCACAAAATGCACTCCATGCGAGAAGGATACAGAGCGCGCTGAAAAGCAATTACTACGCGACGCAGAACTCCAGGAAAAACGTGATGCTGAGCAAGCTGCTCATGATATGCGAATGGCTGAAATGGATGCAAGACTTAAAGCCGAGGTCGAAGTTATTGCAGATGCCAATATTGCGAAGCAGAGAGAGGCTATGCTTAAGCAGAGGGAACGAGAGATCGAAGAAGCAAAAGTTCGCGCGCAGAAAACCACAGGTTCTTCAAAAGACGGTAGTGCAAATGCATCCAAGCCAACATCCTCTCCCTCGCAGGAATCCTCCCAACCTTCGTCTGCTCCATCGCAACTTCCCAGTGCCCAATCAAGCTCTGCCGCTCGTGATGACTGGGAGTCGCAGAAGAGGCTCTTGGGCGAGCAGAACGATGCGATTGATAGCATTATGGCGATGACTGGACTGGAAGGAGTGAAGTCGCAAGTTCTACAAACCAAGGAGAAGTTAGACTTGATGAAACGCCAGGGAGTCCCTGCGAACAAGGAGCGTCTGAATCTTGCGCTCTTGGGAAATCCAGGGACAGGTAGGAGATCTTTTTTGGGTAATCTGTGCACTAATTTTAACTTTTCCACAGGGAAGACGACGGTCGCAAGGCTATATGCCCAGTTTCTCGAATCGATACAAGTACTTCCAGGAAATGCATTCAAGGAAACCACAGGAGCGAGCCTGGCACATGATGGCGTCGGAGGTGCAAAGAAGCTCATCGAAGATGTTATGAAAGTCGGCGGTGGTGCCATATTCATCGACGAGGCCTATCAGCTAGTTAGCGCACAGGGTGGGTCCGGTACCGATGTTCTCGACTTCCTGCTCGCGGAGATGGAGAACCGTGTTGGAAGCCTGGTTTTCATCCTTGCCGGGTACAGCCGTCAGATGGAGAAATTCTTCAATCATAATCAAGGTCTTCCAAGTCGTGTCCCTCATAGATTCACCTTCGAGGACTACACTGACGAAGAACTCCTTGATATGCTCGCTGATCTGGTGGAGAAACAGTTTGGAGGTCAGATGAAGGTCGAAGAGGGCATCCGTGGTCTTTATGGTCGAATCGCAGTCCGACGCCTGGGCCGTGGCCGCGGCCGCGAAGGGTTTGGCAATGCTCGTGCACTGCAAAATATGTTTGCGCAGATACGTCAGCGACAGGCTGCGAGAGTAGGAAAAGAGCGCAAGAACGGGTCATTACCAGACGATTTCCTGCTCGTGAAGGAAGATCTTATTGGTCCCAATCCAGACTCCGTTCTTCCGAACTGCCCTTCATGGACAAAGTTGCAAAAGCTCACTGGTCTTGAATCCGTGAAGCAATCTGTCAGCAACCTCTTCAACCTCATTCGGGCGAACTATCATCGCGAATTGGCAGAAAAGCAGCCTCTCGATATGGGCCTTAACCGGGTCTTCCTGGGCTCTCCAGGCACTGGCAAGACTACTGTCGCCAAACTCTATGGTCAAGCACTGGCGGACCTAGGGCTTCTCAGTAACGGTGAAGGTTCGACGTTCTGCTGATAAATGTTTCAGAATCATCACCTGATTGCCGTCTTTAGTTGTGGTGAAGAATCCTTCAGATTTTGTCGGGCAACACCTCGGGCAGTCTGAACAGAACACTAAGGCCATCTTGGAGAGCACTATCGGAAAGGTCCTGGTCATTGACGAGGTAGGTATATATGTCCGCCTCCACCTCGCGGTTCTCACTGTCTCGTTAGGCCTACATGCTGCACAGTAAGAATGGCGGTGCCCAGGACCCTTATAAGACCGGCGTCATTGACACCATGGTTGCGGAGATACAGAACGTACCAGGGGATGATCGTTGTGTCTTGTTATTGGGGTACAAGGAGCAGATGGAAGACATGTTCAAGGCAGGTGTACGACTTCATAATCAACAGGTGGCTCTGACACTTGGATCAGGATGTCAATCCTGGCTTTGCTCGGCGTTTTGCGATTGAGGACGCGTTCATGTTTGAAGACTTCACTGAGCCTCAGCTACAGGAAATATTTGAACGCAAGCTAAAGGATCAAGACCTCAGTGCAACAGCGAAAGCTGAGCAAGTAGCGCTTGGTCTTTTGAGCCGAAGAAAGAACCGTCCGAACTTTGGGAATGGAGGCGAAGTGGAAAACATGCTAACTTTTGCAAAAGATCGATATCTAAAGCGACAGGCATCGCAACCTTCCCAATTGTCTCAGGACATCGTTTTCGAACCAGAAGACTTTGATCCTGATTGGAACCGTGATCAGCACGCCGCAGCGAACTTGTCTCAGTTGTTCGAAGATATGGTTGGGTGCGAAGCTGTTATTCAGAAGCTGGGAGATTACCAGAACATGGCCCAAGGGATGAAAGCTTCAGGACTGGACATGCGCAAGCAAATACCTACCAACTTCATCTTCAAGGGACCACCCGGTAATCAAATCATGATCGAAGTTGTTCATGTGTTGATGCATTCTATTCAGGAACCGGAAAGACGACCATCGCAAGGAAATTTGGTCAAGTCTATTATGATATGGGCTTCCTCGCATCGACTGAACTGGTAGAATGTTCGGCGTCGGATCTCGTTGGGGAGTACGTTGGCCAAACAGGTCCCAAGACGAAGAAACTTTTTGAGAAGGCCATCGGCAAAGTCCTTTTTGTGGATGAAGCCTATCGACTTAGCCAAGGTCTTTTTGCGCAGGAAGCCATTGATGAAGTCGTCGGGCTGATGACCAACGAGAAGTTCATGGGTAAGATGGTCATCATCCTTGCAGGATATGAGAAGGAGATGAATCAGCTTTTGGGTGCGAACCCCGGGCTTTCCAGTCGGTTTTCCGAGGATTTCATTCTACCTAATATGTCGTCACCCCGATGCATCGAGCTGCTTGACAAGGAGCTGCGCGGGTCAAAGGTTGTCGTCCCAGGGCTCTCTGATCCATCGTCATCACTGTACGAAGAGATGCTAAGCATCATCGCAGATATGGCGAGCCTCGAAAACTGGGGTAATGCACGCGACGTAAAATCTATTGCGAAAAAGGTGGCTCGACCTGCGTTCATCTCGGCTGGGAAAACTCCAGGGAGTTCACTGGTCGTTACAGCAGAGGAGGCACTCAGTATTATGAGAGGTCAACTCTCCGAGCAGCGAGAACGTCTCAACTTGCCAAATAAAACGGTGTCATCAGCCCCCGGTGTCCCACAAATGGCTACGTCAAGGAACATTGCTCCTCCTCCTCCCTCAACCTCTCAGAGCATGTCCACTACAGCTCCTCCAAAGCCCTCCGCTTCCAAACCCTCTCGTGAACGAGCACAGAAACAACCCGAACCTACCTCCAGCGGGGGATCCCCGCCAAATATCACGACTTTGTCTCAGGTTAGTGCCATGTCCCTCATAAGACAGCGAAGAGATTACTCAAACAGAGTTCATCGCTTTCCCAGGCAAATGACCAGGTGCAACGGGATCCTGGTGTAGATGATGCCACTTGGATGCAGCTGCAGGCGGACAAAGCAGCAGCGGAAGCAGCCGAAAAGGATGCCGCTGAAGAGTTGCGAAAGCGTGAGATTGCACAGAAGAATGCCCTGAACAAACTGCGAGCTGCGGAAGCTACTGCTCGGAAACTCGCGCAGAAAGTAGCGAAGGACAATGCCGCCAAGGAAGAGCTCATGCGCCAGCGAGAGGCCGCTCGCATCCGAGGGCTACAGGCTAAAGCCGCTCAAGAGAAAGCCTTAGCCGCGCTGAAGGAGAAGCAGCAAGAGGAAGAGAGGAGGAAGCGCGAAGCGGTTCAAGTACAGCAGAAGTTGCGGCAAATGGGGGTGTGTGGAGCGGGCTATGGCTGGGTCAAGCAGTCGGAAGGTTATCGGTGCGCTGGTGGTGTCTGTTTCATTTCAAATGCCGAGCTGGGTATCTAGGACCGATGTCTACCGTTGCCCAGATGTATCAGGTTGCTTTTTGAATTTTGAATTTTCTTCTTCTTGCTGTTCTTCGATCACACGTGCCCGAGGCTCCATTAACGATTATCAGCGGTGAATGGAATACTAGAACATTCAAGAAGTAAGTGAAAGAAGTGCACCACTGAAAATATATATCCAGTATCTCTTATCGCCAACATGAAAAGCTTATGAGCTCGAAGAAGCGACCCAACTTTCCACTGCTGATTCAAACGTAGTTGACCTTACCTTCAAAAACCATGGCACGAGCACATGAACAGGAACGAGAAGTTTCTGTTGAATTTGGAATCACCATCCAGTGCCTTCGACGGAATCTGGAGCAGTGAGAGATATGGAAAGAAACTGCAGCTGCAAGTTCAAAAATACAATGGGAGCTTTGATGGAAGAGACATGTTTGTCTTTTCTCTGCCCGCCGCAACCACAAGCCTTGAGCATGTCGAGAGCACGTCGATGTCACGAAGCGGGGACATGCTTAGTAGGCAACAGCTTCAAAACTTGGAGGTCATTAATGGTGTCGGTGAGCATATACTTGCCCAAACGCGTGGAATGTACTAGTATGTACGGATATCGGTTCCTTCCTTCATACTGAATGAAAAAAAAAAAAAAAATTATTGTACATGTCCGTTATTTCTTGAACTGGGGCAAATTTCAGTGAGACGCGTCCAGGAGCTCTTGAGTCCCTCAAAACCGGACCATCATGTGATCACTGTTTGCACATCTTTGGTACTAGTTATGGACTCCTTCCTTCGAACTCTCGTGAGACCAGTGCAGTACCGCCTTTTTATGAACGTTGAGCTCCTGACTATTCTCCTGGCCTAATATTCAGGTATCATGATATTCACGTGGTGTTTGGGCCACCATGGGCAGTGTATCCACTTCACTGTGCACGCCAATCAAGATGTATTGAATCTGCCAAGATTCTTGGTCGATGCTTGGCTATTTCCTGGGGTTTGATTTAGAGCTATGAATTGTTCCATGATACTAAATAGCAACATCAAGTCCACCTGTTCTCTGAGGACGGCCGAGGCTCCATATTGATCCGCTCTCTCTAGGACACTGTTATTCCCCAAGCGGTTACTGGCATGTCTGGGGCAGCCGGATCGATCTGGGACTGCCTCGTACTCACCCGCTGGACTCATCCCGGTTCTCTGACTGCATGCTCCTGTATTCACACAGCATTCCTGGGTGAAACTCGAGAGCCGCAACACACTGCTGCGGCACTCGTAGATCTGAGCCTGGCTGATATGATCTGAGTGCCCTCCAAGATCATTGCAGCGCATTCTCAATTCATTCGAGTGTCTCCGTACGCTTAGCATGACACAGCATTCAGGCTCTTGGGTAAGGCCCCTCTGTTCTTTACTGGCGTATAAAGAGATCACATTTTCTGCTCACTTTCCTCATCAACTTTTGACCAACCTCGTCTCAACACATCATGTACTCGAAACTCATTACTATCGCACTCGTCTTCGCTGCCACCTTTGCACCCACGGGGGCAGCCACTATCCCTAGGGACAACGATGAGGTATGTCGCCGCTTTCCTTTGACTTTGTCGTGTGCGCCAATATCATTTCAGCATATTGTCGCTCGGTGGGAAGTTCCCCCTGCCAACCCCAATCAAGTTTCGTGCAACGGCTATCAGCCTTGGCAGCACGATCTCGCAGTAAGCGTCATTCATTTCACGAACTTCCCTCTCTCACATCTCCGCCACAGTACGACGGTGGCTCCTCAGTGATTCATAACAGCCAACTATGGACCGCTAAAGAGTGGAGTTACAACAACGGCCCCGGCACTCCTGCCAACCAGTGGTATCAGAAGGGGTGTTGCCTCGAACCAATCTATAATAAAGCCTATTGCGATTACACTTCCCCTTGGAGCAAGACCACTGCTTACAGTCAGGGCTCTCAGGTGACTGACAATAAACATCTGTGGATGTCTGTGCAGTGGACGCAGAGTAATAAGCCAGGAGACACTTCCGGTACTTGGAGAGATTTGGGTGTTTGCCGTGAATAATCACATTACCCATCCCTGTTTGGATTGTTACCAAAGGAACGTTTCACTTGGAAGGACTTCTTCATGGACATCGACTAGCTTACTTGTATCCCCTTATCGATCGATGTGTTTTTATTCCTAGTTTATTTCATGTACCATTTCTCTGAATATATCGCTTGCAAATACTGAACTTTGGGAAAGCTGCAAATTTACACATAAGATCAATGTGCAAAACGGAAATCAAGTCTTCTGTTCCCGACATCCTTAGTAGTGCTCAGGTAATGCGCACGTTCCTATCGTTCAACAAGCCGTTAGCGCCAGCACACTAGCCCTTAAGAACGTTCACCGTGAACTCACCTCTGGCGTCATCACATCCCAAATCTTAGCTCGTTGTCGGTTGCGCCAGATATAATATGCCTTTGTAGCTGGGTATAAGATGCAGACGTTAACGGTGCAGATGATGATGAGGATCCTGTTGCCTCGGTGGTCTGCGCGCGAGGATGAGTGAGTACGAGGCTTGGGGTTGCCTGGGAAAGGAAATGAAGAGCGACATACATCTGGGAGCATCGCTGGCCACGTAGATCTGCGAGGATATGATTCCGCTGGCTTGCACGAACCTAGGGAAGATGAGTATGTATCCTGTCTGACAATGGATGATAGCACACATGTTGTATAAAGACGCGTTAACTGTGCGACTTGCTACTGCCCCAGCGTTACGAGAGCACCATCCCACCTAAAACAAGAGATGAGTATTTCACTCTAGGATCGTTTAAGTAGTAGCTGAACCTGGATTGGATGGCTATATCTGGAAACATGAGGACGTCAAGAAGGCTCTTCAAGAATGCTGACAAGTTCGAACTTACGGATATGACAATAGACCAGTCACCACGGCCTGAACAGTCGAGTAAATCGCGCATGATGCACTGCGTACAACGCATTAACTCACAAAAAATATCCAAGGGTTAGGGTTGCTAGGCAATGCATAGAGTGCAACGAGGAAAGGCAATGCCCAGAGGTCTTCCATCATCGACACAATAGAACGCTCGTTGACAGACTCTGAGACAAGCGTGATCAAAAACATGGTGACCATCCCGAGAGCCTGAGAGGGTATCGTAAGGAGGTTGGTATTAAATGTATTGAATCTAGGCTCTGGTCATGAGTGTGTCAAACGAAGGGGTATTTGTGATACTCACCCGATGTTCCGAAGAAGTAAAGTGAGGTAAGTCAAGGGGGGAGCGGTCGGGATACCAAACATGAGGCCGCTATGTTTCATGAGCACCTAACCCTTGCGAAGATTGGGAACGGCGTACAGAAGGTAAACTGGCCAAAGGTCATAATCACACATTGCTGTCCACAGACGACGCAATGTAAGGCCCTCACGGTTGTGCATGTCACCCTGAGGGAGCAAATTAATTACAGCGTCTAACGAGACTGAGACGTGATTACTTACCTTAGTGGGATCATCTCGAATCACTCGATTGACAATAATAATTTCTTCTCTTTCCGTGAACCAACCATTGGGCCGGAACCATGTTTTGGTCTGAGTTGGCGATGGAGGCATACGGAAAAAACTGAAGATTCCTATGAGGAGAGTGATGATGCCTCTGTTGGACGGCTGAGTTCCCATGTCTTGCGCTATTGTAGAGAAATGGACGCACTCAATCATAAACAACCACCTTCGAGCAAATCAGATTTCGCATTCAAAATTGACATCAAAGTTCTACTGACCGCCACCCAGCCTGGCCAGCCACACCGTTCATGTGAAGCGTGCCATATGCCAGGAAACTAGCAATGATACTGCAGAGATTCAAAGACATCCAGAAGATGGCGAGGCGTATGGGTAACTCCGTCTTCGTATAAAAATCTGTCCGAACATTCAGCAATATAAGATGAGGCGGAAGGTAACCGACACACAAGATAGATATAATATCAGGTCAGGGATAAAGCTGTGCAATGTGAACAAAATGTACTCGATTGCATACGGGAATTGGGCTTACCCGCCTTGCAGGCCGCTGAATTCACCAGTCAGTGAAAAGAAGCTTCAGGACAATAATTACATGATATTACCCAAGTAGCGCTCGGCAGACCAGGAATGAGGTTCTACCGGTCAGCCAGAATTGTGACAGAGCCACGAGACCTGCAACCTATCGATGAGAACAGGTCTGAAATAGTTGTTCTGTTACATACTCCAGAGACAGATTTGCGTTGGTATCCACCGATCCGGTCCAACCTTCAATATGACCATAAGCCACATGAGACAATTTACAACAGATGCACGCACTCGCTTCGAGATAAGCTGTGACGGTAGTTCTGCGCACAAGAATGCCAACTTGAATACGGTATTTCCGAGGTTGAAGTCTGGATATCTAAGAGTCAGGATATGATCTAGATGGCAATAGAACGCACTTGCCGTTTGTAGTCAATTTAAGATCCTGCAAAAAGGTGCCCGAGTTTGCCTGGTTGATGTTGCTCCTGTCAAGGTTCAAGGCGGAAAATCCTATAGCCGCCATAGCCATAATCTTCCAATCCAGCTTGCGAACCAGAGCCTTTCTCACATTTAACATGAGAAATCTTGCTTCAAATCACGAGAAGTGTAAAAACCAACCCTTTCCTCCCTGTACGTCCAACGAGCGGTTGGGTCAAATCTATGGAGATTCTCGTAGTCCTTCTTGGGCCAATAGTGTGGAGCGAGGTCAGGATCATCAAAAACAGAGCGTCTGGTCGCGATTGCATCAGGATCAAGGGGGACCATCTGCTTTCGACGAAAGATGGTCTTTGTCCATGTGAACTGTTCCTCATCCTCATCCACTAGGTCACCATCAGCGGGCAAATAAGAATTTCCTTTGCCGATAGAAGACAGTAAAGAGATGGGCCGACTTAAGTCGTCCGTTGTCGGGGGTCGTTGCTCTGGGGTGGCACTCGCAGAGATTGACATTTCGGTGAGAGAAATGTACGAGTGTGGAGGGGGAAGAATCCCCGTTTAAAAGCACTCAAGACAGGCACAACTGAGCACACCATCTACCCCTCCTGAGTGGAACGCGGGATTCTGCGAGTGACACCTCATACCCGATCAATGGTGCAAGATCCTGTTCTAACAATAGTAGAAATACGCGATGGATTTTAAGAATCCCGCAAATTTGGAAAGTCTGTTATCGCCGGTTCATGGCTGAACGGAATTGCAGCTGAACGATGCGCGATTTTAACAACTGGATGGAGTCCCCTCCTAAGTCAGTGCTCGCAGAAACAGCATGTTCATCCAACAGCAGTACTCGATGGGCCGTAATCAACGGCTTGTCGGCTGAGTGTGCGGATTGGCAATTTATACGCCTATCTGCTCTGCAATGTGCATATACATACCAAAATGACGAGTTCCTAGAAACGAGGGGCACACCAATAGGGATTAGAGGTGGCGCACTTCACAGTATGGCAGAGGTGGGGAAAAACGACAATGTATGGTGCTCACCAGGCATCAATGTATCATGGGGTGGTATTTAACGCCAAGTGCTAATATCACGTATGGATTGCGATATCTGGCGCGACCGTTCTAACCCGGTCACCGCAAGGTTGCTCACTGCACCCCGGTAATACCTGCTTATTGTGGGAAATGAGTGGCGACTAGGAGGCTATACAACTGGCAGCCTGGTTCTTTAGAGCAAGATCAGGGAGGGAAGTAGCGGAGTAGCATTGGGAGCCACGTGGCTTACCAATTTCGGTCCCAGGCGTCCGGCAGTGGTGCTGTTGCTACTTATCCTCTGAGTACGGTCTCCAGTGTGCAGCAATGAAGTTCACAAAACCCGCTTGGGTTATGCACAAGGGTGAGTAGTGAAGTGTAAGGAATAGTGGCGTATTAACCATCTACTGCCACACAGACAGTTCCAAAACCGACCACGATACGAAGCGTCTCTCCATATTCTCCGTTCATGTTCATCCTGATGGTTCACGCATAGCGACAGGAGGGTTAGATGCAAAAATTCGTATTTGGAGCACGAAACCTATCCTTAACCATGCATCCGAAATGTCAAATCGACCACCAAAGTCTTTGTGCACACTGAGTATGCACACAGGTCCCGTATTGACGATTAGGTGGGCACATTCTGGGAGGTGGCTTGCAAGTGGGAGCGACGATGAGATTGTGATGATATGGGACCTTGATCCGTGAGTTTTGTATATGACTTTGATGTGCTTCTGATATACTTATTTTTGCTTCTCTCCTTTTAATACAGATCGGGTAGGGGCAAGGTCTTTGGTTCCAATGAGGTCAATATAGAGGGATGGAAACCAATGAAGCGACTTCCAGGCCATGAAAGCGGTGAATTGGTTTTGTCCACTTGTGTTTAATTTGCACTAAACAACTCCCAGACGTGACCGACCTGGCATGGGCCCCAGAGGATCGTTACCTCGCTTCAGTTGGCCTCGATTCTGTCGTCATGGTTTGGTGTGGATATACCCTGGGTGAGTCACGTTTTAACTCGTGTTTGCACCGTCTGCAGTTGTAGATCTTTCCTTTCACACTTCAATAATTGGTGTTTCCACCCTCTTCGAACATTTCTTTCCAGCTTCGGTAGTTCGGTGCGAGAAGTCTATTACTTACACTTCTTTCAGAGCGTCTTAGAAAGCTGGATCAACATCAGGGATTTGTGAAAGGCGTCTGTTGGGATCCTGTGGGTGAATTTATGGCCACTCAATCCGACGACAAGTCCGTCAAAATCTGGAGAACGACCGATTGGCAACTTGAGGCAGAAATCAGAAAACCCTTCGAGGACTCCCCCGGTAGCACGTTTTTCCGCCGTCTTAGGTAAGTTTTACCGGTCTTTTTCAGTAATTCCTTTTCTTACAGAGTTTTACAGTTGGTCGCCTGATGGTGCTCACATCACTGCTTCGAATGCAACGAACAATAAAGGCTTCGTTTTCATCGCAGCTGTCATAACTCGTGGTACTTGGACTTCTGAGATTAGTCTGGTTGGTCATGAGAACACAGTTGAGGTTGCGGTACGTGCTGATTGCATATAAAGTTTTGTCACTCTTATGCACGTTACAGGCCTACAACCCCCATATCTTTCTGCGAAATCCCACATCACCTATAGCTACATCCAATATATGCTCTGTAGTTGCTCTTGGTGCGGATGACAGATCTATCTCCATCTGGCAGACAAAATCAGCACGACCTCTTATCGTCGCACGTGAAGTTTTTGAACGACAGATAATGGACCTCAGCTGGTAAGCTTCACTTGTCTTCGTTGAGAATCTGGCCAATATTTTGTGAAGGTCCTGGGACGGTCTGACTCTCTATGCTGCATCCTCGGACGGAACGATAGCCGTTTTCCATTTTGACCCCGAAGAATTGGAAGGCATTGCTCCTCATTCTGCTCAAGAGCAAATATTTACTCAAGTTTGGCTTTGTATCGCCACCGACTCCAGAAGGATTCTCGCACGGCAGTTTCACCCACAGTACAACTGCTGCCTCAGCATCAAGGATCACACCACCACCCTCCCCAAACCGTGCCCCATCGCAATCGCAATCCGGTTTTGGTGCGTCGAATGGGGTTAATGGTGCCGAGCACATCAACAAACTTGTTGCAAAGAAGAGCAACAAGAAGAGAGTGCAACCCGTGCTTATGTCGTCTGTTCCTTCTGCATCGACATCACGCTCAAACCAAGTATCAACTTCCGTGCTACCGCCTCCAGCAAGTGGTCTCGGATCGCGTGCATTCCAAGTACCAGAGATTCCTCGATCACGCCAGGCATCACATTCTGCATCACCCGTGCCAAGCCCACGAACTTATGACGCCGATATTGAGATGGGAGGACCGATGGATATGGATGTTCCCATCGATGCACTTGACACGAGTATGTCAAGTGCACACAAGGGCAAACGGAAAGCGTCGGTACTTGATACGCCTGACGACCGGCCGTCTAAACCCCGTACCCTTGGTGGTGATCGGCCAAGAGAGACAGTCGTAGTGCGAGAAATTACATCGGCAGGTTTGGTCTCGACGCGCCCACATCTATTTGAGGGTGCAGATCTGCTGCCCGTCCCTCCCCTGTTGACATTCTTAAGCGCCAATGTAGAGGGAAGCGACTGTGTCTTTGAGGCTCGAAATTCAGATGGAGACGGTTCGTAAGACCTTTGACTCGTTTTAACTTGGCTTATTTTTCTCGCAGGGGTTACAGAAGTCACGTTCGCTGATGGGAAGCAAACATTGTGGCTGGATTATCTACCATCTTCTGTGCTCGCGTTGACTGCGTCCACCACATTCTGTGCTGCTGCTACGCAAGACGGCTCTGTCAACGTGTATTCACACACAGGTCGAAGGTTTGTGGTAAAACGGAAGTCTTATCGCCCGTCTTAATACTGTTTGGCAGGTTGATGGCGACTCTAAGCTTTGGCTCACCTTGCGCGATGATGCATGGCTACAAGTTGGCATTAATGATACTCACGGCTTCTGGTCAGCTAAGCTCGATGTAAGTTGCACGACTTCCTTTGTTCCGTCGTGCTTATTCTTCTTAGAAATGTGAAGAACGCTACATCCTTCTTCCCACCTACATCTGTTGCACCCCTCCTCTCTTCTTCGCCGAATTGCACGATATTATCTGCCACTGTTCGACATAACGGCGCACCGATGATTCATTGCTCTTCGGGTATCGCGTATACTTACGATGTTCAGCTTTTCTCCTGGACAAAACTGAGCGAGCGCTGGTGGGCAGAGGGCTCGGATGTATGGCAAGGTCGTCAACGAGCCAACAAAGACAAAGACGTCGTCGCCTCCATTGAGGGTGCAATCGGCAGCACAAGTGTCCCAGCGCCTCACAAAGAGCGCCCCACGTGGTGGAATACGGCGCTCACACTCGGCCATCTAGAGAGCAAGTTGCATGCCGCCAAAGCGCTGGATAGCGCTCCTGAATATAAGCAAGCACTTCTGATTTATGCCAGGAAACTAGCAGATGAGGGTTTCAGGGCGAAGGCAGAGGAGCTTATCAAGGAGCTTTTCGGCCCCATATTTTGGTAGATTGAATATGTTGGAATTTTCGACAGAAAATGCTCACCGTTGATTTAGGCGACCTGGTGGAAGGGATGACTCTTGGACGCCTATCGTGGCAGGCATGCCCAAGCGCGATCTTTTGCGTGAAGTATTGTCGGTCTTTGGTCAGTCGTTCTGCCTCGACCATCTCTTAAATTACTGAATGTCTGTATAGCTCGAAGCAAGACACTCACCAAGTTGGCCTTAGACTGGCAAGACACTCTCAGGAAAGCGTCAAGTGATGACCAGCTATGATGATACTTCCAGATAGATAGAAAGGTTCTGACTTTCGTTGTGATTCAGCTTTACCACTGGACTATTTGTTTATCATGCGCATCGTAGCTGGATGCTTCGCTCGAGAACATGCAGTATTTATTTCGTGGAATTCTTTGGCTCTGCCTCGCAAGATACAGTGACAAGACCAAACAAAGACATTTGTATTTGTAGCGGAAGCGCTCCATGGTGATGTCATTCCCACGATGCGAGGAGTCGTGCCCCTGAATTGATGATGATGTGTCACGTCACTCTTACCGTTCGTTAACCTGCACAACCATGAGTGATCTTGTCATTCGAGAGGTCTGTTTTTGAAACCTCACCCGCGCGCAAATGTTCTTACTGAGCTGTTCCGCAGGTCGCGAAAGATGTCTGGATCTTCTCCAGGTGAGGGATGTAGTCACTATGACTCCCACTGGTTTCTCATGTTTACTCAATAGACCTTTTGCACGACTCGGAGTATTTCCGATGGGAGGCCGGTCCACTGCTATCAAATTACGACAGGGAGGCGTTTGGGTACTTGCATCGACTCCGCTGACAGAAGATACGCGCAGTAAAATAGATGAACTCGGCGAAGTCAAGTGAGTATCATTCAGTCTCGTTCGTACTCTCTCATATCCAAACTTTCAAGATACATCATAGGTGCCGACGCTGTCCACCACCTCTTTCTTGGTTCGTTGGTTCTTCGCAGGATTACGGGCGTCGTCAAGGTTCTAATCAATCACGACAGGGGAGTTCAAGAAGGCTTACCCCAACGCGAAGTTGATTGGCGTTGAAGGTGCCATAAAGAATATGAGTGACAAGAGCCTCCAATTTGATGGCTGTATGTCATTGCAGTTGATTTCCTTTTAGCCATTGAAATTAGCTTTCAGTGTGGGGCCGTGACCCTCCCGACACAGAATACGGCTTTGAGGACGAGGTAAGGCATCTGTTTTTGTTCATTGGCACAAAGGTGACGATGATATATACGTAGATCAAACATTGGTGCGTGCTTGCCTGTTTACGGTGACTGCTAACTTAATTCTTTGCAGCTATTTTTCGGGTTTCAGAAATAAAGACGTGGCGTTTCTGCATATGCCGTCGAAGTCGCTTATTGAAGCAGACTTGCTTCTGAATCTACCAGCTAACGAACAAGTCGAGCACATTCTTCCCCGGTCATGACTCATGGTGTTAACCTTTCGAGTAGTATTCAAAATCGTCCTCTTCGGCTCGTGGTAATGTCAAACCGGACTCATGGATCCACAGGGCTATTATCAAAAGCACAACGGTTGACGCTGAGTTTGTATATCATTCCTCGTTCCTCCTTTGACGCTAACTCATACGCAGAGCTATGCGACGTGACGCAACGACAGTTGCTAATTGGGATTTCGATCGAATCATTCCTTGCCATGGGGTGAGAAAGCCTGTCATGAGAACTTGTGTGGCAACTGACCATTGCTTGGCAGGATGTGATTGAGACCGACGGGAACAGAATGTGGCGAGCCTTGTATCAGGCATACATCAACTGAAACTCAGCCTGCCTTTTTTGCATGTATGGAAGTGACTATGTTGTTCTTTGGACCAGTCTTCCATCCTATTAACCGTCATCAAATATTGCTTATAATGATCATACACTCCAAGTGCTTATTGATTATACATATATATTTACGAAAGCCCAGCCCTCGGGAATCGTAGACGCATCTCACCAACTCAGAACCCAGCACCGTTCAGAAAAGCCAACAATATTTCGCTTGCAGCCTATCTGCTGGCCCTATGGATGTCACGAGCCTGACCTCCGCGGACCCTCTGCCATTGGTGAGTCTGTTATCGCATGCTAATATGATCGTGGCAAGTGACGATAGTTAGGTCGTCCAGGCTCACAAGGTTGACATGTGCATGACTTAGACTTAACTCGCACAAACCACATACGTAGTAGAACACATTATGAACCATCGATGGTGGAGATCACCTCAGGCTCCCATGCGGAAGCAACATGCTACTAGAAAGTGGGTGCAACCAAGTCAGATAATACCGTCACTATCAGAGCAATGCTAAAACCGTGACAGTCAGAACTTGCAAGTCCATCTCCACATCGCCGCACTCCAGTCGAGACTTAATGTGACATTAATAGCTAACATGGCCTCGGGACAACAATTGGCAGCAGAATGACAGTCACTCACCCCGGTACTGGGTGCAACTTAATTTAGACCATCGACTACCCTCAGCCAGCCTGGCGAGTTGAGTTGTTGTTACGGTACCAGACTGAGAAAGAATTTCGTCTGCGAAAGAAATGCGGAAGAACGTTCTTTGCATGCAGTTCTTGCATGTGGCAGCAATGCGGCAGTGACACAAACTACATCTACCTATTGATCATCAAGGCTCTTTTTCATCTCATTCACAACAGTCCACTGTTCACCTCACCGACGTACCCGTACAGCCTCTCTGACTCACGTATGTACTCCGCTCAGGCTTGGCACTGCAATCGAGCCCCTTTCATTGACATCATGTAATATAAAGGCAGTGGCTGCTGCTTTGATCGATTGCTTCAGAATCAATCATTTCAATACCTCGACACGCTCGGTGCCATGTCAGATTCATCAGGATCGCAGGATTTGTATGGGGCACAACTCCCACTCACATCGGAACAATGTGATGAGCTCAATCAAACTGTACTCGAAAATTCTGGCCGTCGCAACATTAATTTCATTGCTGAGTTGGATCCGACTCGCTGGCACGAAGACGATTCGGCGCTTTATTCCGCTTCTGTGATCATCTTACTCGTTATCGAACAGGCTCGGGGCTTTCTCCAGCGTGGGGGGCTGGAGGACAAATTTGTCATGAAAAGCATGACATTATTGCATATCACCCAAATACTACAGGAAGACCTTACACTATGGGGAATAATCCACGATGCCTGCCGGAATCGCTCGTTCTCCCACATCGCCGACCTCGGTGAGAATTTGTGCCGGCCATATAGATACCCCTCTGCTGACAGTTACTGGTAACGCAGAAATATTTCGGATACCCCAAGCTAGGGACTTCCACATGCTCTCGGCTGAAGGTCCGAGGCTTTTACCCTGTCACATCTAGTACAGTCCCATCTCACGTTAGTTGGATCCTAGACAAGAACATCCTTCATGATTCATTCTCCAGACCTTACGTCGGGAAGGCGGTGGACGGGTTTTACGAGTACCTGAAACACAACAACAACAAGTTCAAGGGACGTGGCGTCCAGAGGCCTTACTATGCCAAGTTCTGTTCGATCGTCCAAAGTTCTGGCACAGGGAAATCGAGACTATTGACCGAGGTGAGGCTTATAAAGTGCTGCATGCTCCCATCAGGTGGCTAACGGTATCGAATTAGCTCCGGAACAGGGGCGTCCTTGTGCTGTACATGAACATTCGTGAACCAAGCGATACTGGCTTCCCGATCCGAGACACGGTACCTGCGCGTATATTGACGGAAGAAATGGACTGCACTCAAGCCGAATATACCGCTCGTTGTTGCGCACTCTTTACAGCCATATTCCAGGTGCTCCGGCAGGAACTTTTGGTGCGCTCTGGTAGTGGAATCACATCGTGGAATGATGACATGTGCGAGATGGGCTCGGAAGTTCGTAACGAGTTCTTTCAGAAAGTTCAATCTCTATATGCGCAGGTGAGCAGGGAAAATATTGGTCGCTCAACAAATGGACCAAAGACTTTTGCAACAGACCCTTGGCAAGATCAAACAAACAAATCCCGAAAAAATCGCCGATGCGGATCGCACTGTGCAAACAGTGGAGCAGACTGCCGTCAAGCTAGGCGGTGTGTACGGCGACCTGGAACAATCACAGCAAACCAATGGCGCTAGCAGCTCAGCAGCAGCTTCTCAATCACGTCAATCACCTGCATCCAAAAAACGCAAGATATCAAACGAAAAAGCCGAGCTTCTGAAACGTAAAAGTAAAAGCTTCGTTTTGCACATAACGGCCACCTCAGCTCACACCGTGCGTGAGCAGATGGCGTCCCAGCGCCGAAATTACAAGGGGAATCGTTTGTCAAGGAAGCTTATGCAGAGATGCTGACAGCTATGCCAGGCATGCTTACTGAGAAGGATGAGGATTACCCCAAACTCGTGATTTCAGTTGACGAGGCCCACCCTCTGAGCAAAATGAGTAGCAAGGGTTTTCGTCCATCACATATTCTTGGGAGGGCGATCAACTGCTACTCCAAGGGGACAGACAGATCAATCTGGGTCGTATTTGCATCCACGACTCCACATGTGGTAGATTTTCTAGCTCCTCAGGTGATCCGTAAGTACCCGTTCTTCGTCGTCCGTTTCCAATCTTCACACAATCTTGCAGATAATTCCATGCACGTAGCAGTAGGCGGCCACCTTTTATTTCCACCTTATACGCATCTTGGTTGGGACCAGAATGCAGACCGTCTGTCTGATGTATCGGCGAATGACGTCGGAAAGTTTGATCATATCGTCGGATTCGGTCGTCCACTGTTTGTCCCTGTGTTTTTATCCTTGCGTTCAGTTTCGTTGACCACCATTAATAGGTGGAAATCGCTTGTGGAAAAACATACTGTCGCTGAGATTTTGGAATTGGCTGCTCTGAAGCTCTGCAAATCGAACTCATTTATCCCATCGGATACGAACCAGGCTCTCGCTGTCCTGTCTCAGCGATTCGGTGTCGACATCTGCTTTGGTCACCCCGATGCCGTTTCTTATGTTGAAAAAGGAGTGGCTAGCCACCTGCGGATATGCTTCTCGACGACCCAAGATAGGTCATGGGCCTTTACCGGTTATCCATCAGAGCCCCTTCTGTCTTGCGTTGCAGCGACTCTACTCCATTCTGGGAACAACACTCTAGAGGATGCTTTGGGTGTCTTGAACAAAAAGGTTAATGAGGGGATGGTCGAGATAGGACAGAGCGGAGAGTTGGTCAGCAGACTTGTGCTGCTTCTTGCGAAAGATATGTACGTTCGCGACCATCTCTCCGAAGGCACAATACGGGATCTACACTATAACGGACGTGGGGATGCGGAATTGATGGACTGCCAGAAGGTCTCCGTCGTCGATTTCCTGCGATACCTTTTTGGCGAGACATTCTGGTTGTTGGCGGGTGAGGAGGCCAAGACAGCTTTTCGGCACGCCTACATCAATTTCTCGCATTGGGTGTCCATGACAGAGTTAATCTCCCCCGGCCCTGGGCCGGGAGATTCCAAGCAACCTACGTCCGAGATGTCGAGGTAAGCTTCTCGATGTTGTCGAGCGATATCATTTACAAGATACCGCTGCCACAGTGCCGAGGAGTGGACTCTGCGACACTGGGTTCGCACGAGCGCGGTGCAATGCTGCCATCTGCAGCCGCTCGTCGACAAGATGATTCCTATATATTTTGATGATCCCACCCTCAGCTCCGACGATCTCAAACGCGTTTCTCAAATTTTCATTTCGGACAAAGCGGGGAAGAATCTTAATGCGCGAGAGCTGGCGGCCATCACGCGCAAGCATGATTCGATCAGATGCTTATCCACTCTGCCATATATCGCTATCCGTCTGGACTTCAATGTGGAGCCACAGCTCAAAGTCACATTTCCAGAGAGAGACCCAAACGATGCCGAAACGGGCCGATCTTTGCGGATCTACGCTTCTGGACTGGAAGAGACCACATTTCCATTCTTAACACCTAACGCAATCGTTGCATCAAAGCTACGAGGGCTTATCTCTCGGGAGGAGGAAGCACCAACGCAGACGAATCTCGACGCCCTCGTCGAATTTGGGAGTACTGCCAAGTTGCGCAACCTGCAGTGGGAAACACAAGACTGAGGTATATGGTAATTCAATACAATTCGAGCCTTGATCTTGATCGTAGTGAAAAGCAATGTAGTGTGATTGCGCATATGTTTCTATGTAATATATATGTCGACTAGCTGGGTATTAACATAGTTACCAGACCCCGTATCCGCTGGCCAGTAGTGAGTTACCCTCATGGTCATCAATTTTTCACTCCCGGCACAGCTCGTCACGTTCCTCTCCTCATCCTCTGAACTTGAGCAATCATATCACCTATCAAAGCCTGTCAAAGCTTCCAGCAAACGCGAGGCCTTGCAAGTCCCTCGCCCCATAATTAATTAATCTCTTAATCCGGCCGTAGGTGCCTCTTCAATGCCGCTGTTTGCCGGTGGCGGGAACTGGCGCGTACGCGGCGCTACGATTATGTAATAGTAGCGCAGGATTGCTCTCGTCGCGCCAGGGTTATCAGCAAGCCGCACAGTCAACGCATCTTTATACAACAATGTGCTAGAAGTTGTCATTGTCAAACAGGAGTGCAATTGACTCGCCTTCCGCTAGGTTCGTGCAAGCCAGCGGAATCATACCTGCGCATATCAACGCGGCCGCCATCCTAGGTATGTTGCTTTCCTTGCCCAGTCAAACGGTCTCATCATCATCGGCTCTTGTATCCAGCTACGATTGCGCATTACATCTGAAAACAACAAGAGACTCGGATGACAATGGCAGATTGGAGATGTCCACTGTGCGAACTTCACGGAAAGTGGGTTTCTGGTGGGAATTCGCGATGACGAATACACTCCAGCGACCACGCAGTCCCCATCACGAAATATCTCTGTGTCATTTCGACCTTTTCCTAACGCAGACTCACTTGACATCAAACTAACGCAGCAGCATGTCCAGACGCTTCGTATGGGTTCAGCGACATTTCCAGCTATGCACCATAGTTCTGTAACGTCTCGCACGATGTCTCACGCATTCTCTATTCATGCTTCTGGAAAGCTAACACCCCCTCCCCAATATAATCCTCTTGGGCCTGCAGTGCAGTATCCTTACCTCCTCAAGTCCGACGGCATCTATTCATGCCGCGTGGGCGGTCCCCGGCTATACGATCTTCTAAACACACTGCCATTAGATGAGTTTGGTGTTCTCGCATGGGTCATCCTCGATAGAGAAGAAATCTTCGAGATAGATGACGTGAGAGATGAAGACAAGGTCATGCACTGGTAGGCTCTGTGGTTCCGCTGGATATTTCCCAATTGGTACGTCTTATTCAATGCGAAGTTCAACTAAATCTGACATGTGTCAATGGGGCGGCAGAGACAAATTCATTGCAGAATTTTTTTTCAGAGCAACAAAGACACCAACGATAATTGGCAAATGATAAATCCAGCTGCTGGACTCGCCGCCTTGAGGACATGGCTTCTTGTATGTGCAGATGGATGTGAAGATGTCGCATTTTTAACGAAAGTCTGATAGGTTCTCAACATCAACGGCTTCTTGGTGACGCCATTATCGAGGTGTGACAGGTAAGAAACATTGGTATGATGATAACCACGCAGCCCAAGATGAGATTGCGCCTGTATAATATCTGGATACACAATACCTTGAAATCTGATCAGACTTCTTCAACTCGATTGATCAGCATTGGTGCGGTGGCCTCTAAGAATGGGCCACAGATATTATTCAGTTACAACAACAGAGTTCCACGTCACAATGAACGATGAACTATGTTGATTGGCTGCTGCAAACGGGGAGCTACATATTGTAAGCGCTGCGTACGATGAACTAATCAAATAGATGCTAGCAGCCTCAGTGCGCAATTTGGATTATCGTTTCCGCAAGTACCTGTGTTCTCTTGCACAGGCACGGCATCACGTTTGAAGCTTCCTAGATGCGCATTGCAGACTGACAATGCAATCAGTGGTCTACCCAATGGTTGTCTTACAGAGATATACGAGGCAGCAAGACAAATGATATGGCGACGGTGACAACGAGAGCCAGGCTGTTAAGAAACGAAAATATATGACACAGAAACATTATCCTGGTACTGTCTCACTCATGATGCCGTCCTCTTTGTTTCCTGGTGTCAGACTCGTTAAACATATACTTCTGTACCCCGCAGCGAACTCATCGACGTTCAGTTATTGCTCGCCTCCGAGTCCGTTATGAAAATATACCACTATCAGCTGTATTGCATGTAAATAACATTGAATGATTATTTTAATCAATGAGATAGGCCGACTAACCTGACTGGGCAACCGTCAGCCGCTATCTACGTATTCAGTATCGCTAAAGGGAAACGGTCCGAGTCAGCCTGTTCAAGACTCGCAAAGCCAGCTGATGTATACAAACGGCACTGCGAGGAAGATTAAGGAAGAGGACTTACTTGTCCATCGGCCAATCACCCAACCGTTTGCTAATCATCTCTCTGCTCGCGTTGAATGCAGTTGGCGTGTATCGGCGAGACGATCTGTGTGATGGGCAGAGCAAGGAAGCAAAAAATAGGTACATAGGAACAACAAAAATTTTAGTATGCCTTGGCTTCGAATGTGCGGGAACAATTATACTCACACCTTGGGTACAAGTGTGTGCGATGGATATCTCATATCTAAAACTAGATGCTTTGGGGTGTCCGAGCCAGGCCGTGGCCTGTGGGCCATTATCGAAATTATGGCATCCGGAAGCACCGGCAAGCTATGGTCAGAAAGACAAAACCCAACGTACCACTGTCCATCCGATCCCATATAAAACTTCAACATCCATATACGTCCTTCAGGGAATAGCACGTTCGTATCAGTGTGAAGAAAAAGCCAAAAGACGAGGGCCACATACCCCGGACAATAAATTCTACTACCAATTTCAGTGTACTAATAGTACGCAGGCGTGTTTGGAACATCCTGAAGGCGACAGCAACGAAGAAGTAGTCGTCGCCCGGTTTATGCACTTCAATATCACTGAGCGGACAACGACCCACCATTTTCTGTGGCAGCCCATGTTGAAACACATCAATCTTATCTTGTGGGCAAGCTAGTAACATGCGTCTCAAAGACTCATCATTGCCAGCTGATAGCATGTGATAAGTCAAATAATGGTCTCTCAAGACATCATGTACCATGGACTTACTATTGAAAGTGCGCCCCAAATTCAGCTGCATAAACAGATCGTGATCGTTGACTGCCATGCATGCACGACGCAAGTCGGAAGTGCACGCTGGCGAGAATTCAGAAATGAATTTATTAATCGCCCAAAAGGCCTCTCGTCGGTTGTTTACGATCGCCCAATACAGCGCCGTGTGACCCTCGAAACTGAGTTGTTGCACGAGGTTGGAGAAATCTGCTGCTGAAAGAGTAGCGGCGCAGGAGTTGACAGTTGACTCGACAGAGGTAGGATTGAAATCAGGATAGGAGACAATTTCACGGATGCAAGAGAGAGCTCTGGCACGACGTTCTCGCTTGGATTGTGGGGATGAAAGTAACGGTCGTTTGCACTGGACGGAGTCTGCTGATACGAACGTGCTCGAAAATGCATCATAGGAGGGAGGTGGATTGGAGACGTGGGACGCGCTGTCATTGAAGCTTGAAGGCTTTAGACTTGGTGGCCATTGTAGAGGAACAGCCTGAGAAGGGAGCCAGATTAGAGCAATGTTCCTAATTTATTCGAGAAAATAGGGGCCTGCCACCTTTTAATATCTAGTATCATGTCATGACACGCCGGCGCGGGTACGTTGGTGAGGTGAACAGTGGAGTGCACGTGGCATGCGCGTCGGGCGAGCTATATAGTTTGTGTCGCTGCCGCAAATATTCCTGCCACATGCAAGAACTGCATGCAACGAACGTTCTTCCACATTTCTTCCGCAGACGATATTTCTCAGTCTGGTCACCTACAACAACAACTTGACTCGCCCTGGCTGTGGATTGTCAATGGTCTAAGTTAAGTTGTATCGAGTACCGGGGTGAGTGTCTGTCTCGAGGCCACGTTAGCTATTAACGTGACATTAAGTCTCGACTCGACTGGATGCAGAGAAAGTTCTAACTGTTTTGGCATTGCTCTGATACTGACGGTATCATCTGACTTGGCCCACAGCACGTTGCTTCCGCATGGGAGCCTCAGGTGATCTCTACCATCGATGGTTCTGAAACCATCTCATTGTCGTAGATGGAACCTGATAATCGGACGTTCTAGTATGCACGACGCGTGCTGAACTTGAGAGTGACGTTGACTGAAAATAAAGGCCATAGCAACTTGGAGAACAAGGCCGTTGGCTCCTAACTTCAGTTATCACGCAAAACAAGCATGCTTCGCGATTTGACCCACGCTTCTCGAAATGATCGGATCCGTCTTCGCCGCTATAGCTAACATGTGCCAAAGTCGTGTGCGGGTAAACGTTGTATAAGACGTGGGGGACTAGCAGACTCCGCACAATCACCATTCCCCTCCTTATTCCAACTCTAGTATGCCATTCTGTCCATTATGCCCACCTGATACCCAGGTGAATGAGGTGACCTTAACTGGGTTAGAAGCGGTGAGCAGTGATTCGCTTCAGATATTTCAATCGCTGTACTAACCCATCTTCGCTTGTAAGCACATTAAAGGGAAGCATAAAACAGGGTTAAGATGCGAACTGTGCCAGCAAGATTTCAAGGCGAATGCCGCCTTGATCCAACATCTTGCATCCAAGAAGCACCATAAATGCAAAGCGCCGAAATGTTCGCTGACATTTATGACGCCCACTGAACTCAGCAAGCACACTAAGCTGCATCACAACGTAGATCCCCCCGCCAGTACGTCCACCAGTAAAGGAAAAACTCCAATCACAGTATTCCCCTGCACTTCCTGTGGCAAGGCCTTCGGTGGTCCCACAGCACTCCAGAACCACGTGAGCGTAGACCATGCGCCTAAACTTCAATATCCATGTCAATGTTGTTATCAAAGCTTCTCCTCATCTGGCGCCCTTGGCGCGCACCGGTCGGTCAGCCATCCTCTAGCTGTACAGGCTGTGCCCAAAGTACAAGCTAGCGCTTGTTTCAAATGTTCCATGTGCCAAAAAACATGTCCCTCCGTAGACGAACTGTCTTGTCATATACGCGACATCCATCCACTCGACGGGCCGGCCAAGAAAGTGTATCCTTGCGCTTCATGCGACCGCACGTTCTCAAAGATGTCCAAGCTTACTGCCCATAGTGATACTGCTCACCCCCCCGGGCCCGTTTGTGCCATTTGTTGGCACAAATGCCTGTCTCAACATGATCTTGATGATCACGTCGCCGCGGTGCACACACGTGCAGTCTGCAACTGCAAGGGGTGCGATATGGTGTTTGCCTCCGAAGAAGGGCTACGTCACCATTACTTGCAGTCTTCAACAGACGCGCACCCAAAATGTGTCGAGTGTGGTCTCGGGTTTGAAAACGATGCAGCTTATGCAACGGTGAGTTTTTCTTGACCACGCTTTGTCGCAGTTCCTCACTCTCACAATCGCATTTCCAGCATCGCCAAACGTCCCACCCAGAGCCGCCCCGTCCTGTTACTCCATCACCTTCTTATCCGTGCTCTATGTGTGACAAAGTCTTCAAGCTTCCATTAGCACTCGATGATCACATGACTGCGACACACGTTTTCACCTGCGGAATATGTGAATTCGCGTGTCCGGAGGAGGAACTCCTCCAGGAGCATATCGCCTCGGCACACTCGTGCCCTGTTTGTCATGAGGGCGTCTTCGCAAACCCAGACCTTTTAAACGAGCACCTCGCGGACCACGCCACTCCCTATCGTTGTGAAGTCTGCCAAACGAGGTATGCCGAGGAAGAAGGCCTACGTCAACACTACAGAGACTCCCCAAATGACATCCATCCGTCTTGTACGAGGTGTGACCTGGATTTCCAAGATGCAGACGATTATCATAATGTAATGTCCCCACTTTTCGTGATATATCTGTGAATATCTTCCATTCACATCGCATTCAGCACACAGAAACGGTTCACCCCCAGGTATCCTGCCAACTGTGTGACGGAGCCTTATTTGATCCTGAGGAGCTTCCTATTCACTACTCGACATCGCGCAACCATCCCGTGTGCGACAAATGTCAAGTCGGATTCAGTGATCGAGGGGAATTTGCTATGGTGGGTGAGGATCGTTATCATTGACGTCCTGACTCAGACCGTCGCGCAGCATGGCGCAACAGAACACCCAGAGTCATACTGCCACCTATGCCAGTGGCAGTTTCAGTGCCCCGAGTCGTTGCAGAATCATATCCGACACTTCGTAGCACACCCCAAGTGCATGGACTGCGAGCTGAGATTCGCAGATGCGGACGCCTATCAACATGTTGGTTTTCTTTTCCGGTTCGTCGTGTAATGTTCTAATATTATCCATAGCATCTGTTTGTCGTGCATAGGCCACACTGCAGCGAACCTGAGACACGGCGAGATTTCGATCCCGATCCTTTGGACAATGGTGACGGAGTAGTTCATTCCGAACAGCGCTTTTCTAATTCCTTTTCTCCCGATCGAGTCGACTCGACATGGGGTTTTTCTGTTAATTATGACTTTCCCTATGCCCCGTCCATCCCCTTGCCTCCAAGTACCAGTGGATACTCCAGCCCTCTGTCTCAGAGGGTTTTGACACGATCGAGCGTAGGGTCGCGGTCGTCGTCCAGGACGCTTTCGCCGCCCCCGATCTGCGGCATCAAAGTCGCACATCTGGAGAATGGGCATACCGTGGATCAATCTGGGTCGCCAGAATTTGAGCACTCGCCGCTTTCCAATATACCCACAGTTGGTACACCGTTGATATCAAGCACAGACTTCCGGAGCCCGTTCAGCCCGCGCCCGGACACTCCGGCACTTTTTGCTCCTCAGGAGCTGAATGGTGCCAGTCACAGCGATCAAGAATCTATTGCCTCTGCGACGTCGTCTGAAACAAGATCTCCCGTGAGATCACCTGAGACAAGCTCTCCTGTGATAAAGCTTCCCGAGAACGATGTATCCCCAGTGTCGAGCTCTGGCTGGTCCACATTAAGTGGTGAGAATGTGTCGAGGATGTCAACCAAATCGGAGGATTCACTAAGTCAACGGCCGGCGGGCCTTGCTGTGCCGATGCTTCGTTTGCAGGTACCTGTACCTAATGGCACTTCTCAGACGGTCAGGTATGATCATCAAGTTGTTTTTTGCTTTGAATCTCACTCTTGTTGCAGTATTTCGGGGACACCAAGTTCCATTTCACCCGAGTCTGCCGACATTGATATTTCTGCGAATGTGACCCCCGACTACTTGCGGGAAGCTCGTGCATATCTGGCCGTCACTCATCCAGAACAGGCACCTTCGGCTGTGAATAACGTTCACAGCCCGGCTCTGGTGTCCCCTACTTTGACCTCAATCGGCCTCACTGCATCCTCTCGCGAGCGACGCCGTGAAGTACGATTCGAGGATAGTATCATGTCGGAGCCGCTGTGGGAAAATCAATCATCTGACTCGACGGATTCCTCCTTCGATCCTCCTGTGCTTCAAAGCAGGCGAAAATATGGCGTCCAGAAAAAATCAGGTTAGCGACGCTGTTTCGTTACAGATCTTGAGTTAACAATGAGCACAGGGGCCAGCAAACTTCCTCGTTTCGCACCGCTCAGGCCGGGGCGCGTCACAGGAAGAAATGGGATTATCCACCCAGCGAATGGTACAAGTTCTCTCTCTCCCTATCATTGCAGGATTTGTCGACGGGAGACATGCGAGGATCTGACGACGACGACGTGTGGGCACTTGTTCTGCAACGCGTGAGTAGACTCGATGCTGGTTTTGGACTTGGGATTAACAGGAATTCGTAGGTGCATCACAGATGCGGTGATACGAGACTCGCGATGTCCCGTGTGTAGGAATGCGGTTTTGCTTTACTGCTTGTTCCGCATCGACACCACCTGCCATGACTGAAAGTGACTAACGATGAGCAGTCAATCTATCTATGTAGAATTCGAGTATTGCTTGTCTGTCGTGTACGGTCGTGAAGTTCGACGATGGTCGTCCTATAAAACTAAAGTTTCAACTTGTGACTCCTTGTGACATTGCTCTGCTTATGTAATAATCAAATCGTAATTCACGCTACTGACAGCAACTCGAAAGGTGTGGCACTTCGTCTCTCTTTCGTTGTCTCGTATACACATCCTTTGTTGTCTTCTCCACTGCGGTACCATCTCCAGTTCTAGTCAGGCTTGGTGGTGGTGTGATAGGAACTTCAACAGTGTCCACGCTCCTAATCTACTGCTGCCACCATGCCTCAGTGCAATTATTGTGATCGTTCTTTTGTCGACAAGCAGGCTCTCCGTATGGTGCGAAGCGCTTCGCGTCTATCTCGATACCTGACTCTCACATATTTATCTAGCACACCGAATCGAAGCACCCAGACTATGAATGCACTCACTGCTACTGTACGTTCAGTACTTCACAAGGAAGAGACCAGCATGAGAGGGCCAAGCATCCCGGATACGAATGCAGATACTGCGACAAAGAATTTACAACCGCTCAAGGCCGTATGCAGCATCAAAATTCGAAGCATGCACCTCGTCCACGCACTGTTTATACACCTTCGTTTAGCTGGTCCCAAGTTGCGAAGCCTGCTCCCGTGGAGCAGCCTGTTGTAAATGTCGTCCTCGATGCCTTATCCACGCAGAAGTCTACGCCAGAATCCTCCGGTGGTGATGACGTTTTGACGCAGCCGCCGGAAGTACAGGTTACTGTGTCCAATCTTGTGGGGAACCTTACATGTGGAATCTGTGGGGAACCTGCCGCAGCGACCTCAACTCTGGATACCCACGAGTTACAGCATACAACCTGTTCATGTGCTTCCCAAGTCTGCGAGAGGGCTGGTATGCCTTGCGATTGCAATATCTGCGAGCGCTCCAGCCCCTTAGCAGTATCGGTGAATGAGAAACCCATTGATAGTGTTGTGAGTGGCGGGCCCGAAGGAACTATGTTGTCCGCGGATCCGCTTGGGGCTATTGAACCTATGGCAGTCGAGGACTCTTTGGTTGATGCCTGTGATTTGGACGTAGCCATGGAATCCCAAGAAGTCACAGATCTGTCGGCTGATCGCGGCATTTCGATGCACGCGATCGACTTGCAGGGTGAACAACCCTCGCAAGAACCGGACCGCGAGGTGGATGGAGAGCGCTACCATGACTTGACTCCCGCCCAGCTACCCTTACCCCCACGTGACAAGGGCAACTGTCTTGATCCTTCAATATGTCTTTTGGAAGTTGCTTTGATGGAACCCAGTAATACCAACCTCCAATCGGGTTTTGCACGTATGGAATGCGACACCGTTCCTTGTGATCTGGATGTTCTAGAACAAGTAAGATTCGTGGTCTCAATTCTTTCGGGACTAATGCTAATACATTCTCCGTGTCTCCTTTGGCCGCACAGCATTCCACACCCGATGCTCACGCCGTCGTACATGATTTAGGAATCTTTGAACACATGCGTCCAACCCAACCTGACATTGTCCTCGACTTGGCTAATTTACCGAGTCAAGATCACAACATGGTATGTTTAGTTTTGTGTCTATACGATTTCTGAGATGGATGTCTTTGTCAGTCCCCTCCAGAGGCATCCAACGATCAGCCGATGGTTCTCGACATAGACATGAGCCACGAGCAGGTCGACGGCCCTCTGGAGTGTGACCCCTGCGTTCCTGGACTGGAACCTGATAACACGTCTCCATCGCACTCAACAGAATCCCTCACAAATGGTACACTTGTTTCGACGACCTTCGTACCTACGCAAGCCCGTTCTCCCCAGTTTATCGGGTCTCCCCCAGTTTGCGCCTCTGAGCTCGAGCCTCCCGCTGAGTCAGGCGATTCATTGAGCCGCAAGCAGATCGATGGTCCTCTAGAGTATGACCCCTGCGTTCCTGGACTGGAACCTGATAGCACGTCTTCATCACGCTCAACAGAATCACTTGCAAATGGTACATTTGCTTTGGGGATCCGCTCGCCCGTGCAAGCCCGCTCTCCCCAGTTTATTGGGTCACCCCCGGTTGGCACCTCTGCGCTCGAGCCTCCCGCTGAGTCAGGCGATCCTTTCATACGCAACCTCGTTCCTTCTCCGACACCATCTGAGCATGGTAGCGTGAAGCCTCCTAGCATTACACAAGATGATCACTCGCACCATTCTGGAAGCCGTCCTCTACTGTCTCCACTAACTTCTGAAGGTTCCGCCGACTACTTCTCCGACGCCGACCGTTCATCAAGTCCATCAAGTCCTCTTTCTGACCATTCTGTTGTCTTCGTATCTGCGGAATCTATACCAGAGTACGTTAGAGAGAATCGTGCATATCTCGTCGCAACAAGTGCCCCGTCCCGACCTTCCTCAGCAACCTCTAGTTGTGTCCACTTGCCCTCAGTGGTGACTTCGTTAGACGATCGTGCTGAGGTGCCCCCTGCCGATTCTCCTTCCACAAACGGCCCGTCCCCCCTTTACTGCAGGATTTGCCTTCGAGATCCTTGTGATGATTCAACTGCGACGATGTGTGGCCATATCTTTTGCAACAGGTTCGTGATTCGAATTCTTGTTTGCTTTCCCCCGTGTTGAAGCATGTTTATGTCAAGGTGTATTATCGATGCTGTTATGGCCAGGTCTGCGTGCCCGGTCTGCAACGCTCCCACATTACTCTACTGTCTTTTCCGCCTTGATATCTAAGTACCGCTATACCTCCCAAGCGTGACATTTTTTGCCGCCTGTCTTGTTTTCGACATATGCATACCAATGACTCGACGCAAACCAACAAATCATAATGTACTTTTAGAATTCTTGAATCATTACAAGTTTTTTAACGCGTGTCCTTTAGTAATTATCATTGCTGTGTGCGCACGTGGGTGAGTATGGTACTTGTCGAGGCTCCGTGTCATTAAATCATCGGTCAGTGACCGACGCTCAACTGACTCAAGATCACATGGGGATTTCGAGTACTGCAAGCCGATATCTGAATCGATTCACTCAAATTTAGCTTGCGAAACTAAGAACATAGTGCCACCAATGGATTTCCCTGTTCGTCAGGTGCCTTTGGTTGACACCGGCGAGCTATGTCCATATCTCACATGTACGCTCTCGGGAGACGGAAAATATTGATTTGAGCCTCCAAGTCGGTACCGATCTTTCGATGCTAACCTACACTTCGCCCTATGCGAATTTCTCTCACATCGTCCTGTCTATTTATATGTTTATATAGACGGCCCCCCAAATCCCTGCCAGCCGAGCTGCTTCGCTTCGATCCTCACGTGAAGGGAGCCTGAGGAATCACATCATGGTAGCTGCTACGCGCACACGTTCTGAACAACTTAGCTTCCACCGCCGAGATCACGGTGTGTCATTGCCCTGCAAGTGTCACCGAAGCATTTACACTACCGTACATACTAACTTAGTACTAGGTTCCCAAATCCTTGGTTCCAGGGATCCGGACTGCCCAGAATCTTGGGCTCAGGTGTGCGGCAAGATCGATGATTTAAGGTATATGTGTTACTTGTGATTTCTACAACTTACGTCTCACAGCACTATCATGTGCTGTGCTGCGGCGCCTCGTGCATCACAGCCAGCTAAATCGCCCCTGTACATCCGTGTTTTGATGCATGCGGCTTTTAAATGGTGCCTTGAATAGTGAAGTCCGCTCCACCAACGCGGCTTGCTGCAGGAAGTCGTGCACTCCTGATCATATCTCCGATACAATTGAGTCGGCCTTTTATGGCCAAGAAGATCTTGGTAGTGGGGATTCAGAGGGACGGGTTCTATAGGGTAACAATCTTATCTGATAATCGGCCGATGTCGACTATCCGAACCTCCTTGAAATCAGATCAGGCGATACACATCCACTTGATGGCATGGCATTGTCTTGATCCATCTGTGCTAGATCAAGGTTAGGCCCAAGAAGACGGAAACTCGAACAAATATTTATTGCAAGTAATAAACAGCGGATTGGGACGCGGGCTGTATCCAGCACATCTATACATGATCAATAGGCTACAATAGGTACAGATTCGACATATTTATGGTATCGGAGCTCCAGAGTTTCTATACGGCAGAACTTGCCTGGTACCTATCTGCCTGTATGTGGCAGTTGCCACAGTGCCTGACAGTTCATGTATGAACTGCGACGAGCCGAGCGGCGGAATTTTGGGAGGGTCTCCGCTTGGAAATTCTCCAGGGTGTGGGCATCACAGGGGAAGTTCTAGTGGCGAACCTACACTGGCGAGTGGACTTTGGGTGGTGCTTATTGGGGCCCGGGTACGGGAGACTGTTTGACCGACAGCTTCCTCTGCACGCTTTTCGCCTGCAAGTCGCCTGCGTGTGCCTGCCGCAGACTCCCACCCAAAAAGCTTGGTACGACCCTGGTGATGTGTCGTTTAGCGAGGCGAAGATAACGGTATGAAATGAACCTACTTCTTTGTACTTCATGCGCACGAGCACCATGATTACCAAGACCCAATAGAACACGTAACTCAGCACGCTACCGAGGGTTGCGCTATTTGTCCATCCGAATACGGCGTTAAACACGCCCCATGCCTGGTCGGTGTTGGGATTACAGCAGTCAAGATGCCATACGTTCCCGCGAACGTCGTACGATCCGGGTCCACTACCGCCTGAGTCGTCGACATCCGTGCCAAGCATTCTGTTGAAAGCGTACTCCTGGAAAGCCCAGACAGCTTTACTGAACAGGCCAGCCCCAATGAGGAGGATCAAATTCGTCATAACGATAAGGAAAATGGTCAGAGCTGGAGTATAATAAGTGAGCATGGGTATGACATGTTGATTAGCAATTGCTTACTGGTTCGGCTAGCGAACTGGTAAATGAAAAAGCCACAAACAAGTCCACAAACAAGGCCAACGATTGCTGCAATGGGAATTGATTTTGCGGGCTGTCCGAGTGCGACACCCCCAACAAAGACGACAGCTTCGATTCCTGCGAAATTGTTACGGATTAGTTGACACCATGAGGTAAGGGGTTCAGGCACAGAACTGACCTTCACGCAAGACAGTTATCATTGGAAGAATGAAGAGTACCCATTTCCCAGTCATTGTGCGACGATCGACATCTGATGATGAACAAAAAAAATTGTAAGGACAAGAAGGGAGGAAGGATGGGCAAATTACGTTGACCGCTGAACGCGCGCTGGAGCTTCACGCGCCATTTAGCTTTGGCCCTGTCCAACTTGAGCATAGTAACGCCCATGACAAAAATCATCACGGATGCAATAAGTTCGAAGATGCCTATTTTAGGTGGGTCAGTTTTCATTGCGCGGAATAGTGAGAAGGGACTTTGGGAAGGAGTGGGGAAAATACAGACCTTCCCAGAGAAGTTCAGCCTTGGACCAGAGATCTGAGGCCTTAGTGAACCAGACTGCGATGAATGCAGCACCCAAGGCGAATGAAGCGAACAAGCCTATGCCTGCACCAGCGAAAACCTTGATGTTCAAGAGTCAACAATGCTTTGAACATTAGCTTGGACAACGGTGATACCTGTATTCTAAGTTTGCGGATCAAGCGTCTCTTGAGGATATCATCTGATTCTCCTTCTGCTTGTATAGTTGTCTCGCTGTCGTTCTGGTGAGTTGAAACGGGCCGAGAACGTTCCGTGAGTGTAGTGAACTGGTCTACGTCGCCATGGACGATCTGCTGGACAAGGCCAAGAAGAACGGATACGATGACGACGGCTTCGAGCGTTTCTCTGAAGACGATGAAGAAGATGCTAATGCTGAACAAATTCTGGGCAGGCATTGTGTTGATGGACAAATTAAAGCTGGCTTGTGAGATTTTTATCTGATAAGTGAATTGAACCTGACACCGAATTATTCCGAATGCCGATAAAAATCTTATCTGATACCGCCAAGATTTGATCCCTACATCGCCAAGATCTAATTTCAAATCTGGTGTGAAGCTTATCAGATAAAATTTTAGCGACCAAGGGTTCTCGCTAGTCCCAATTCTTCCCAAAGGCGCGCAGTACTATATAGTTCTCCACATCCACCCAAACTGACCTCATCTTCTAGGTAGCACTATCCCTAACTGTGGGGGGTACCATTGACACGTTCATGTGGTGTCGTCAGTTGCTTCCATTCCTTGCACTCTTGCCTCCTGCTCTAGCGGGTATACAGGAACTTTGGTGGAACATCACCTACGTTCTTGATGCAAATCCAGATGGCCTCTTTGAGCGCCGTGTTGTTGGCGTCAACGGGTCCTGGCCGTGAGTCTCTCACATTTTATATTATTAGCTTGTCGGTGACAGTATCTGACTTCTTCACATTATTCGAACCGCAAAAATTCCACCCTGTGCTTGTTGACTTCTTCAAATCTCATCAAGACCCCCACCAATCGAGGTATCCGCAACAGATTCATTGCTTGTGCATGCAACGAACAGCATTGATAAACCTGTCACACTACACCACCATGGCATGTTCTTCAACTCAACATCCTGGATGGACGGGGCAATGGGGGTGTCACAATGGTATGTAAATTTCCATCATTTCATCATCCAGTGTTGCCTGCGCTACCTCGCTAGCTGTCCACATATTTCGTTTGACGTTGCCCGTCAACCCATGTGAAATTCATTATTGTGAAGTACCCTGCTGATTCTTTTTCCGACGCAGCGGCATACCCCCAGGCCAGACGTTTGATTACGTTGTACCCATCAACTCCTCCGGGCAAGTCGGCACATACTGGGCGCATGGTCATGCAAACGTAAGTAAACAACCCTCTATTTGTCTGTGCGGCCCGAGGGCTGTTTTTTTTTTTCTCTCTTTCAAACAATTCTTACGGTTTCCTCGCTTTCTACTTCGCTTGCCTGTTTGCTCTTCCGAAATAATGTTTCACATTTTCTGCAATGCCGTATCGCTAAATTTCGTGTCTATTCTTGCAGGGAATATATGTGGATGGTCTTCGCGCGCCTCTCCTCCTGCATTCTCCAAATGAAACTTATGCCGGGCACTACGACGCCGAGTTCACTGTTGTTTTAGGTGACTGGTACCACAAGGAGCATCCTGTCCTCTTGAAATCATTCCTCAGTATCGCAAATCCAGGCGGGGCGGAGCCTGTTCCTGGTGAGTTACCTCGTTCTATAGTTCATGGCGATATACCGATGGACGGATGTATAATTCGGTAATTTTTTTGGTTCATGTTGCATTGGCTTGCAGATTCTGCCATCATATATTTCTCCCAAAATGGTTCCTACCTGCCACCGAACACAGGGAGCAACCTATCCCCAGTAACAAGCATGGTGGGTTTCAACGAGAACGCGACCCTTCCGTTCGAACCGGGTAAAACGTACAGACTGCGCATAATCAACATGGGCGCGCTCGCGGGGTTCTTCTTCTGGATCGACGGGCATGAAATGCGAATTATCGAAGCTGATGGTGTGCGTTTGGTTCTACCTGCTTACAATTCCATAGACTCATTTTACCGCAGACCGACACACAGGAACAGCTCGTCGATATACTGAGCGTATCAGTGGCGCAGCGTTATTCTGTGCTCGTCACTGCGAGGAACGATACCTCGTCGAACTGGGCCATCCATGCGAACATGGATACAACCATGTTTGACAAGGTCCCCAGTGGTTTGAATCCGAGTAGGCCATTCCCTGTCCTGAGCACTTGATCGCACCACTTATCATACTGCCTTTCAAAATGCTTGCAGATACTACCTCCACCATCACGTACTCCGCTTCCTCCAACCTCACTAACTTGTCCCCTGTGTCCTCCTATACCATGGTGAACGACAGCGCTCTGGTTCCTGCCCTTGTTTCGCCTGCGCTCTCCCCTACGAATACCTTTGAGCTTGAGTTCAACTTCGACACGATGAACGATGGGACAAATCATGGGTACTTCAATAATCTGGTTTATAACCCGCCATTGGTACCCGCGATCATGAGCGCGTTGAGCCTGGGCGAAAATGCCACTAGCCTAACTGCATACGGGCCATACAGCTTTGTGGTCAATTACGGAGACGTGGTCGACCTTGTGGTGAAGAATGCCGATACAGGACAGCATCCCTTGTGCGTGTCCTCTCTTTACATTCGGCACTTAACAAAATCTAATATTACGTTCTAGCCACTTACACGGATACAAGGTGCAGATCGTCAATAGAGCGACAGATTATACCTCCGACGATCCATCGTTGAACCCACCGCTTGTCGAAGGGCAAGCAAACCCGATGCGTCGTGACACCGTAACCATCACTGGCGGAGGTTCCGTCACACTCCGCTTCGTCGCTGATAACCCCGGCGCATGGCTCTTCCACTGAAAGTCTACGAATCCCCCTTTAAGGAAAGACAACTTGCTTATATTGTTATACATCCAGGTCACGTCGAATGGCACCTTGAATCGGGCCTTGCGGCCCAATTCATAACAGCGCCGCTTCTCGCACAAGAACGGGCACAGGACCGTGTTCCGTCGTTTATGTATGACCAGTGTGCTGCGCTTGGGGTTCTTTCGAGCGGTAATGCTGCAGGACATGCGAGCCCGACTGATTTGTCGGGTCTCCCGCTTGGGCCGTGGGTGCAGAAGCTCGGTTGGCTGCCTAAAGGTATCTGGGCGATGGCTGGGTGAGTCCAGGGGCTGAAGCAATTGTTATGATGTGCTGACGATGCGGGGTGTGCTTGGTAGATGTGTACTGACAGCTATCATTGGCATCGTTACTGTTATGTGGTATGCCATGGGAGGTTATATCACTGAGGAGGAGATGGAGGAGGAGGTGCGTCAGCGCATCGAGGAAAAGGCACGTAAAGGAAAGTTCTTTGGTTTGTTCAAGAGAAAGACTTGAATATTCTGTGCTGTATTTTGTTCATACTGATCTAGTCGGTCACTCTGGCTCGGATGCCGTTCTGCAGGGTAATTTTGTCAATAATAATTATCGCTTACTCCATAGTTTAGTGGGTATTGTGAGATGTAGATACACATGCAATAACTTGTAGTTTAAGGTTAAGGTTAACGCATCGAAAGTCGGCTTTTGATTTACTACATCTTCCCAAACGGTGCTTTTCACGCGGCCTCGGGAGCTGGCAGGATCAATCAATTACTTCGTTGCCCAAGCGCTCAAACGGTGAGGGTATTTCTCTTGGTGAAACTTGGCTGCTCTTAGGCCTGAAGACCAGCCAAGCCGACGACAAGACCACAGCAAAACCAAGCCCCACGACCCTTGAGAACCGAGTGTGCTTTCCAATACACGCCACATCATCCCTGCTAATTATTTCGATACGTACCGTCCATTCGGAAAGTTCATTGTCAAGCAAAATAATTATATCGAATTAAAGCCCGGTCACCAAATGATAATGCTCGTAGGCCGCTCAAGGTTCGCGGAAGTGTCCAGGCATCAAGACACTTGATGACATTAATAATACAAACGTACAATACATCATACACCCACAGGTGCGGAAGCTCAGTACAGAGGGGTCACTAGACACAAAACTAGATGAATAACACGCAAAGAAACACAAAAAAAACCACTCACGTGTTAACGCTACATGGTTTCTATTTCGCAGAAATCGCAGTCTTCGCTTGCTCGACACGCCGCTTATTTTTCGCTATGATACCTGGATCCAGAAGCTCGCTGGCTGGAATGTTCTCGGCAACGTTCACGGCACCGGATCCAAAGTGCAACGCCTGCTGCCAGCGCTTCTCGCGAATGGCCATCTCAGCTGCATTTCCTAGCGCCAATGCAAGCTCCCTTCTCGCCCCCAGCACTTCCTTCGAATACTGACCCTGTGTGTGGCTGTCAAGCGCAACTAGCGCAGCGGCAAGCTCTGCAGCGCTCGTGAACGCAACCCTGGCGAAATCGTTGTCGCCCCCGCGGGCGCGATCACGCCCCTTGTCCATAGACGCTTTGACACGCTGCAGAGCGATCTTCAGGAATCGGCGGATAACATCAGGGTTGGTGATTTGTTGTACATGGTTGAGACAGGTCGAGGATGAAAGGCCATTTGGCGCTTTTTTGAGTCCTTGAATGGTGTCAAAGGCTTTTCGCTGGGCGAGCACGACGAGCAGGCGTGCGAGGGCCGTTGGACCCATGGTACCTTCGTCCGCGATTTGAAGTGTCCCATCCACTGGCATGTTCAGGGATACAGTGTATTTGGGGCTGCGGAAAATTTCTTGCGCACGCTCGATACTCGTGTATCGATCCTCCAGTTTATTGGGGTCGAGCTCATTCGAGGACTTTATTTTGCGTGAAGCAAGGTATGCCATCCGGAGGAGTGACTCGATCTCGGCGTTGGTGACACCGCAAGACTCGGCTGCGTGACTGAGAGTACTGACCAGTCTCAGCATAGCAATACGAGATGTTCCTGTGAGCCGTTTATACGATGAACTATATTCATCGACAGAGTCATTTCGGCGACCGACCTCTTTGTCCAAACACCTTGCCGAAATCAGCTGCTTTGGGCTCCACCGCGTGATAATCAACCTCGACCCGATCAAACCAGCTTTATACGGGTGATTAGCCGTGCAGCGGAGAGTCGAAGAACAAAACCTACCCCCGAACCTCACGCCAATCCTCCTCTTCAATTTTCATCCATACTTCGATGATCTTATCACACCAGTCTTCTCGGGACGTGAGGATGGCCGCAGCTTGGGACATAGCTTTCCACTCCTGAGCTCTAAAGGCACTGTCTTGAGGCGTCGAAACGCCCGGTACTATGTGTAACGGCCATTGGAAGAGGAGGGCTAAGACCTCGCACGCGATAGAATCGAGTTGTGTTTCAGGGTACCAAGGCGGACGGGCGACGATGGCACAGTCAAAAAGGAGGTCTAAAATTTCTGGATTCTTCTTCAAAATGTCAAGACAATGTTTTCGTGATCGGGGTGGTGTGGTACACAAAAGCCCGTGCGCAGCCCATATAGCGTTCTCTTGACCAATGGCATAATATCGGGGTGCGCACTCTGCGGCTCGTTTTGCAGGTACCTCATCGATAAAATTAGTCAAGTGCATGATGAATAAGACGGAATAGCGATACATACATCTGTCGCACCAATAACTATCTGACTTTGCCATGTTGTGTTTGAGGATTGCATGTTTTCGATGAAGAAATCGGGTCCTTCCAACGCGAATTTGCAGGCTGCTGCAATTATATCTGCTGCTTCTGCTGGAGATGACTCCTCTCCCAGTACGGATCCGCAGGCGAGTACATGGAAGGTACTGATGGCTAACTGACGGAAAGTGCAAAGAGGATGTTTCAGATGCTAAGAGACACATAAAACCTCGGAACGTTATTAAAGCCAAAGAAAACGTCCTGTATATTCTTACCGATAGACAAATGTTAACGATATGGTTCTTCTTCATGTCCTCCAGAAGCGCGCGCCGCTCGGTAAGATTACCAGTCATCATAAGTTCTGACAGAGATTCGAACGCATAGTACTGGCCAAGATATCGTTCCTTCGGTTGCGATTGCGATTGCGTGTACAGATGGGACGTTAAGACAGCAAGAAACGTCTTCACGATCCCTGCCGCATAGCATGCTCTGCCAAAGGCACTAAAGCTAGGAGATTCACCTCCCTTTCGCGCGGAAGTCTCTTTGTGGAGTCGGATTTTGATGGCGCCCTAGTTGGCGCTGGTCCAGACAGTCGTATGAAGCACGAGATACAATAGGACCTACCGTATAGTTCTGTACAAATGTCGGGTCTTGATTTCGTTCTACAAGCTTGGCAAAGAGCTTCGGCAGGTTCTGTGATAGTTCTGGTTCAGGCGCGCCGAGGACTTGTTCGATATTATGGAGTGCAATGTTGCTCATGACCGTTGGAGCGCTGCGTGTGCGCCTGTATAGACTGATTGGCGAGCAGCTATACGCAAGTTTATAGATCTACGAGTGGAAGCGCCGTAGTGCCGAATTCAGAATATTTCTCTCACAGTCAAGCCCTAACCCTAACTTTAGGTTTTGTTTGTTGCGCAATGGGAAACAATATTATAAGACGTCCTGCATCTTGAACTACATATTAGCGATACATCGCACAACTAAGTATAACAGCTAATTGATACAGCGTATAGGTATATGAGCTAGTGTCCCGGGTTCCATAGAGTCCTATAATCCATCATCAAAATCCATCATTAACACAACCCACCCGCTCTTCAATAAGCCGAGATAAAATTGAATGGAGATGAAGCAGTCGAAGAAGAAACCACCGCGGATGAAGATGTTGCACCGATCCGGACGACCGGTGATCCAGAAATAATGGGAGATGATGCAGCGCTGGATCTGACGCTTGCAGTTTGAGTGACGGAATGACTGTTCAAGCTAATGGTGGTGGCGCTTGCACTTTGAGTGGCGGAGGGACTGTTCAAGTTAATGGTGGTGGCGCTTGCACTTTGAGTGGCGGAGGGACTGTTCAAGTTAATGGTAGTGGTTGGGGCATAAGAAGGAGATGGCGAAGCAGAGGATGCAGCAAGTGGAGTTTGTGTAACGGTAGGGATAGTGGATGTTACAGTTCCGTTCAATCCCGCACTCGTCGCCGTTGGAGAAATGCTGGATACAGCCGTACCATTAGCCGTAACAGTAACAACCACGGTGGTCACAACGATCACAGTGGAAACATTATTCGCGCCGGTAGTGGTAGCTGGTGCAGGCGTCACAAGAGGGGCTGAGGAAGTGAGAAGCCCAGTGCCAGTGCCAGTGGATACAACGGGAGTGGTTGAAGCAACACCGGTACCTGTAGAAGTGCCAAAACCAAAGGTGGTCACAGGAGTAGAAGCGACAGAAGAGCTCGCCAAAGTACTCGAAGTAGTACCAAAGCCAAAGGTGGTCGCGGGAGTAGAAGCGACAGAAGAGCTCGCCAAAGTACTCGAAGTAGTGCCAAAGCCAAAGGTGGTCGCAGGAGTGGAAGTGACAGAGGAACTCGCCAAGGCACTTGTAGAAACAATTGATGCAGGACTACTGGCAGAAGAACTCACTACGCTCGTGGGGAAAGCAGTGCTAGTCCCGGCATGAGTGGATGAAGTAGTGACAGTAGTCGTTGGACTGCCAAATCCAAAGGTGGGTGCATACGAGGAGCCAAACTGACGCTTTTTCATCGAGTTCATCGAGGAACTGGCGAGGGGAGATGAAGACACAGGAACCGAGGAATCGCATGGGTCATAGGTGCTTGCAGTAGGAGTGATTGTAGAAGAGGGTTTGGCACTTGTAGAAGACACAGGAGCCGAGGAATCGCATGGGTCATATGTGCTTGCGGTAGGAGTGACTGCATAAGAGGGTCCGGCACTTGTAGAAGACACAGGAGCCGAGGAATCGCATGGGTCATAGGTGCTTGCGGTAGGAGTGATTGTAGAAGAGGGTTTGGCACTTGTAGAAGACACAAGAGTCGAGGAATCACATGGGTCATAAGTGCTTGCGGTAGGAGTGATCGTAGAAGAGGTAATGACACTTGTAGAAGAGGGTTTGGCACTTGTAGAAGAGGGTATGACACTGGTAGAAGGGGGTATGACACTTGTAGAAGAGGGTATGACACTTGTAGAAGAGGGTATGGCACTTGTGGTGGTACTATTTCCGGTTACACCTCCCTGAACGCCAGCAGCGACAAAGCGTGCCTCAGCATCACTTTTTGTGTCACAAGCGAGAGCGGTGCCAGCTTTGTTAACGAGAGGAAGCGCGTAGCAAGACAGACCGGACGAGCAATGCGTGAGCTCCCAGGACCTTCCAACGCACTGTGCGAAGGCACCGCCCACACATGCTTGAATATCATCTGTGGCGCGGTCAAAAAATTAATAAAGCGAAGAAGAACAAATATTGGAGAACACACTGATACAAGGATCATTGACGGACATGTTTGCAAACTGAGCATTCAATTTTTGGGCATCGAGACCGTTTTGTTGTGGGGAGAAGGCTGAAGAATTGGATGCGAGCACGTTTGCAGAGAAAGATGCAAGAGGTGCTGCGCTGGCGAGGGAAGCCAGAACGGCAATTACGAAGAAATTCTGAGCGAGAGCCATAGCTGTTGAAGATGAAATGCTGAAGTGAGTGTGCTAGCGTTAGAATGAACGTAAGAAGAGCTCCTGGCTCTGATCTAGAATCCGTTAAAATAAGAAGATGAAGGAAGGAAGAGTCAGTCAGGATTGGTGTGCGCAAGATGGTGATTCAAGGCCATCTGCTGCGCCCTTTATACATGAAAGGGACCGCCGTGGAGACATGGACACTCGCCAGTAGCTTATTGTTTGAAGCATACCTCCATTGTGTTCGTTAATAGGTTTCAAACTCAGCGATTTCACTTAAAATAATCATTGTTTATTTGTTCCTGGAAAGCCAAACAAATAAGCTTTATCTCGGGTTTATCCGTGTTTCTAACTCGTTGAAAATTTAATATTTAATCTTCCGCCTGATTGCGAGATTGAGATGTTTCGTCTGATAACTCGTCGTATCCACCTCTCCTCCACCCCCTCATCATCCCTGCGTTTCAAACAGGGCTTTGCACTCAGCTCAAGAAAAATGGCAACCTCTAACACTCCAGACTTCGTGCGCACTATTTTCGAGTATCACATGTCCATATCTTTACTAAGAAGCTGCACTATCATTGCAGAACAAAGTCCTGTATGCACCTCTGTCAGAGATTGATCCTCAAGTGCAGAACATCATCGACAAGGAAACTTGGAGGCAGTTTTCCGGACTCGAGCTTATCGCATCTGAGGTGGATTTCACTGTTCACTATCTTTTATCTTCATCTTTTCTTAGACATCTCTTAGAACCTGACCAGTCGCGCAACTCTCGAGGCAAATGGTTCAATACTGACTAACAAGTACTCGGAGGGTCTTCCAAATGCCCGTTACTATGGTGGTAATGAGCACATTGACGAGCTCGAGATTCTTTGCCGCAAACGGGCCCTTGAAGCCTTCAACCTCGACCCTGCAAAATGGGGTGTAAACGTCCAGCCCTACTCTGGTTCTGTGAGTGTTTCACTACAATCAGGCATTCTTTAATCTTGACATTCAACGACTCTCTCATCCCAGACTGCCAAGTATGTCCGATACGTCTCTTGTGTGATCGTGTCTCACATTACGTGACCGATAGCTTTGCAGCCTTGACCGCCCTCCTTCAGCCTCAGGACCGTTTGATGGGTCTTGGGCTCCCTGATGGTGGACATCTCACACATGGTTACTATGTGAGTCTTTTTTGCCATGTCACCACCTGGCCGGGTTTCTGAGATCTCGTCAATTAGACTGCCAAAAAGAAGATGACCGCTTCTTCAATATACTTCCAGTCTTTCCCTTATGCCGTTGATCCCTCAACACAACTTATCGACTATGCAGGCCTTGCACGGCAAGCAAAAATTTTCAAGCCCAGACTAATCATCTGTGGTGCCTCTGCTTATCCCCGTGATTGGGACTATGCTGCCTTGAAGAAGACTGCAGACACAGAAGGCGCATATCTCATGGCTGATATTGCACACACCAGCGGTCTTGTCGCAGCACAAACACTGAATGACCCATTCGAGTATTGTGACATTGTTACCACGACGACGTGAGTTTTCCGTTCACATCCGAGACTCCTCTCACACCGACGTATCTCAGCCACAAGACCCTCCGCGGCCCTCGCGCTGGCCTCATCTTTTTCAAAAAAGACGGACCCAACAGCCAGGATCTTGAGAAGCGCGTTAACGACGCAGTTTTCCCTGCTTGTCAGGGCGGCCCTCACAATAACGTTGGCACCCCAATTTCTCGGTCATGAAGTACACGCTGATAACAAAATTATGACAGACTATTGCCGCTGTCGCCACTGCCCTTTTGCAGGTATCCCAGCCCTCATTCAAGGCCTATGCCAAACAGGTCATTGCCAATGCGCAGACACTTGCATCTGCCCTTCATGGGCACGGATACCAACTCCAGACTGGAGGTACTGACAACCACCTTGTTCTGTGGGACCTTCGTCCTCTTGGTTTGACTGGCAGCAAAGTCGAGAAGGTATGCGACCTGCTCGGCATTACCATCAACAGTAACATCTGTCTCTCTTGCCTTTCGCATCAAGATACTGATATTGGAACCCTGCAACAGAAAACGCAGTCTCTGGCGATGCATCAGCCCAGACTCCTGGCGGTATCCGTCTCGGCACATCGGCACTCACTTCCCGTGACATGACCGAGGAGGACATCAAGGTCGTCGCTGGCTTCCTGCACCGGGCTGTGCAGCTCTCGCTCTTCCTTCAAAAGGAGGCTGGCTCCAAGCTTCTCAAGGATTTCATCCGCGCTGCAACGACGAAGGGCTCAGCAGGTGCAGCACAGGTACACGATCTCCGCAAAGATGTCGTTGAGTTCGCACGGAGGTGGCCGCTCCCTGGTGCCGATATCCGCACGATTCAGCGTCCGGCGGGTATTGAGGAGGACTTTTAGGTGTTGACGTGCGGGGTGTTAGAGGCGTGTTCAAAAGATTCAACGGTCACTTGTTGCACAGCGTGGGCATTCAACATCGTTCACATCAGCGTGGACATTCAACATAGTCTACATCTGACAATGTATCAATAGCTACAGCGTATTATGATTATTTCAGTTCCTCGCTATCTTCGCGCGCAGCTACGGGTGTCGTGGATTCTAAGTCATCGTCACCATACCTCTGTTCGAATTCCTAGCCACCAGACCGCTGTAGAAAGGACGGGTTATATAATTTCAGTGGATGTTAGACTTATATTCGGTGGATTATGCACCGATATTCTGTATACCAAAAATCCACTGATCCGGCATGCATCTGTTATATAACATCAGTGGATTCGAATTCCAAACCACCAAACAAAATATCTTCCCAACATCATACACATAAACCAACAGTACTACCGCTGCTGCTGATTTATGATCTATCGAGCAACGGATCAATACAAATCAGCAGCAGCAGAACACAGATCAGCTGGAAAGCCATCACGTCGACGGCAACACTAAGAATCAGATAATAAGGTGGAAGAGAGTATGATTGAGAAGTACGGAAAGGAGATGATCCGTAAGTATGTGCACAGCGCGGTATATATAGGGATCAGTATTCGACGGTGTCCAATCAGCTCACGACGACGCATCAGAAGTGAATGACGTCGTATGTCTATGACGTAGATCGGCTTACACCCTTCGAGCGCCTTAAGGTCACATCGTGACTAAGCACCAGATTAACAGGTAGCAGGCCCCTATTTTCTCAAATAAATTAGTAACATCGCTTCGATCTATATATCAGCTCTGTTTATGTTCCTCTACAATGGCCACCAAGTCTAAAGCCTTTAATGACAGCGCGTCTCACGTCTCCAACCCACCTCCCTCCTATGATGCATTTTCTAGCGTGTTCGTATCAGCAGACTCCGTCCAGTGCAAACGACCGTTATTTTCATTCCCACAATCCAAGCAAAAACGTCGTGCCACGGCTCTCTCTCACATCCGTGAAATTGTCTCCTATCCTGATTTAAACCCTACCTCTGTCGAGTCAATTGTCAACTCCTGCGCCGCTACTCTCTCAGCAGCAAATTTTTCCGACCTCGTGCAACAACTCAATTTCGAGGGTCACACGGCGCTGTATTGGGCGGTCATAAACAACCGACGAGCCGCCCTTTGGGCGTTTAAGAATTTCATTTCTGAATTCTCGCCCGCGTGCACTTCCGACTTGCGTCGTGCATGCATGGCACTTAACGACCATGATCTGTTTATGCAGCTGAATTTGGGGCGCACTGTCAATAGTAAGTCACATGGTACATAATGTCCCGAGAGACCATTATTTGACTTGTCACGTACTTTCAGCTGGGGATAAGTCTTTCAGATGTATGTTAGGTTGCCCACAAGACAAGATTGATGTCTTTCAACATGGGCTGCCAGAGGGAATGGTGGGAAGTTGTCCGCTCAGTGATATCGAAGTGCATAAACTGGACGAAAACTACTTCTTTGCTGCTGTCACCTTCAGGATGTTCCATATACGCCTGCGTACCATACAGACATTGGCAGCGGAATTTATTGCCCGGGGTATGTGGCCCTCGTCTTTTGGCTTTTTCTTCACATTGATACGAATATGCTATCCCCTGAAGGACGTATATGGATGTTGGAATTTTACATAGGAACAGATGCAAAGTGGCACATTGAACTTCGTCTTTCTGACCATAGCATGGGAGTAGTACATCCGGACGCCACACTTTCGATAATGGCCCACAGGCCACAGCCTGGCTCGGACACCCCACAGCATCTAGTTTTAGATATGAGACATCCATCGGACACACTTGTGCCTAAGGGGTGAGTTTATTACTCCCAACATTCGAAGCCAAGGCATACTAAAGTTTTTGTTGTTCGTATGTAACTATTTTTTGCTTTCTTGCTCTGGCCATCACACAGATTGTCTCACCAATACAGGCACACTGAATCCGCCACGAGCACAATTAGCATACAGTTGGATGATTGGCCTATGGACAAGTAAGTCCTCTTCCTTAATCTTCCTCGCAGTGCCATTTGTATCCATCAGCGGGTTTTGCGAGTCTTGAACAAGCTGACTTGAACTGTTTTTCTTTAGCGATACTGAATACGTAGACAGCAATGGCACCCTATGCTTAGGGCTGACGGTGAAGATGGCATAACACTGCCCTGTCAGGTTAGTCGGCCCATCTCTTTGATTCAAATAATCATTCAATGTTATATACATGCAATACAGCTGATAGTGGTACGTTGTCGTAACGGACTCGCAGGCGAGCAATAACTGAACGTCGATGAGTTCGCTGCGGGGTACAGAAGGGTTCTGAGCACAGTGGAGCTCCATTGTAACTTAACAATATCTGTGGCCCATTCTTCGACGCCACTGCATCAATGCCGATCGATTGAGTTGAAGAGGTCTGATCAGATTGTAAGGTATCGTGTATCCAGATATTATACAGGCGCAACCTCATCCTGGGCTGTAAATCTGCGACGAATTTGTTTCTGCCACCTCATTGACACATATCAGATCCAGTGTTCGCGTTGAACAGGACGTACTGCCAGTTGAGAAATATCCAGCGGAACCAGAGCGCTTGCCAGTGCATGAGGAGGTAAGGATACTCTCATTCTTATCTTAGTGACCAACCGGTTAGGTTTGAAGTTGCTTGAAATGCAAAACAAACTATAAGGAACGATACAATACTAAGGAAATGTATTATAAAAGGAATTGGAAGGTATGCTCTCGACAACCACCTCCGCATCCGTTGATGTCGATTTCTCCGCCATTATGTCCTTACCCGCTGAAGGTGTATTACCATCCTCGTCCTCCTTAATTACATTATTTGGGGTCGTTCTCCATGCGGACGACATGGAGTTCCTCATTGGATTCGATAACGAATTGCATATCGAGCAATCTGCTCCGAGCTGTTCCAAGTCAACGCTGGTGAACACCATAGTTTCGCTGCTGTGTGGCATATCGATATCGCCAAAACCGCAAACGCGATACACTAGTGTCACCAGGACGAGGAGATCGCAAACAATGAGTGAAACAGCAACCTATATATGGACGTCACGATAAATTCTGAACCAACAAGTAGACTAAAATATCACTTTACCTTGACGTGTCCGATAACAATGATGCCTGTGGAATCGGGCCCGAACAGCATTGCAGAGTGCAGGATAGTCACAGCTGTGATGAAAATGGCAGCGGAGAATGATAGCAAGACTAGTGTCTTTCGGTTCTTAGGTAGATGAATGTGACGGAACACCAAAAGCGGTAGGACAACTAGCACCCCATCTGAAAGCATGTCCGCTGATCCGCAAAATGAACGATCATATCAGATTTTGAAGATCGGCAAGGTTCCGACAAACTTACTAACGAGTTGCGATATCGCAACAAAATTGGGAATGCGGCATGCGTAGCGTTCGCAGATATAGATTTTTTGGGCTATGGTCCCAATCCACATGATAACGAAGAAGATTCCTGTGCCGTAAACGATGTGTCTGAGGCTGCCTTCAGGATTTGCGACACGCATGAGGGAACATAGGATGCTGGCTCTCGCAAACCTCGTAAAATGTTAGTACGAAAAGTACAAACTCATACGATGGCTAGCGACGTACCAGAGAACGCAAGGGAAAGCCATAGATACGAGCCAAAATACTCTTCGACTGCCCGCTGGCATTGCATCTATGTCTGCAAGCTTAAGAAAGGCCACGAGCCAGATTCTGCATAAACGCACAATTGACCGCAGTTGGCCGATCAAGCAAGGCACAGACAAAGCAGATCGAATCGAAAGCCAGTGATAGTGCTGCCCACATGTCTTCCCACCACAGTCGTGCGACATAGTACCGATATGATAACCTCAACACAGTGCACGCAATCGCCACTCCATGAAAGGTCGCTGCTATCACTGTTCTAGACTTGAGACTCATAAGTAGGCGGGTTGAGTTGAACTCAATACGTACCTTTAAGACACGTTGACCATGATTGAAACATCACATAGCAAGTGAAAAGACGAGATGAAAAACAACGCAAGGCGCTTTTTTGTGAACGAAAAACATGCCGGCAACGCTCCCAGTAAGTCCTGGTCTGTTGCCTTGAATTCAGCCTTGGGGCTATGTTGCAACCGGGATCCCATCGGGACGATCCCCGGCTGAAGTTCCTTTCATCCCCTCATGACACGCTGTGCAAATTGACTCAGCTTTAATCTGTCCACGCATCCTGAGCTTGATCAATATAATCACTAGCGCACCCGCGAATATCCCCGCGGCGGCGGGTATCCGTGTTAAATTTAGCAGAGAGTTGGGAAATCGACTCCGGATTCGAACATGTCATGTTGCACGCCGTGACAGATTGCGTGATCAACTGTCCAATTTCTGAAGTAGGACGGCAAAGGAATTGAAGGCGATGTGAATGAGTCGCTAGTGAACATCACCACTGCGATACTGTTCAATACATGAATATGGTTCTAAAAGACCGGAATGTAACACTGCGTATTATGTAAAAGGCTCACCATAAAACAAAATTACGGCTACGTATGACGGCAGCCAGTTGAAGGCCGAAGCGGGACATCTGCTGCTGCTGCTTGATTTTGGTAAGTAGAGTAAGTAGGATAATCATATTAGGAGACCGCAAGTGATGCAAGCTTATACGGCTTGACCAGAGATCGCCATCAACGGAGTCTTCGACGCTGGATCCAATGATTCTCCGAATCGGGCGTTTCGAAAGTGCATGAATTCGTCTTCATGAAGGTATGTACTATGCACATGCTTATGATCTTCATCAAGAAGTGTGGTGTCGAATTAAGTGTTAACCTGGTTGGGAAAGTCTCAGCGCTTAGTAGATGATCGTCACAACTACTTATTTGGATGTGCCAACTCATGCGAGTTCTTGAAGCCTAGATCTTTTCGAATATATACAATTCGCTGTGCGTGCACTTGCACGCAGTGATAAGGTAGAGGTCGCCCATATTGCGCCTGTACTCCGCGTTGAATAAATCGCCCAACGCACCCGGCCGCATGTGTGGGCTGCAACGAGAGACTACGAGCATAAAAATTGAGCGATGAGCTTATGGAGAGATTACTATTCAACGTACACCAAATCATCTGTCTGCCTAAATTTGGTGTCTACCTCAATTCTACCTCAACCACAACCAAAACCGGCTCCCCAATTCATGTACTTTACAACAGTCCACTGTTATATTCACCGACATACCCGTATGAAGCGGTGCAGGCTGGGATGCCAAGGTTGTAAGGGTCGTTTCCTGGTTGACACTTCGAGTTCAGTCCCGAATACGGGAAACAGATGTTGCTGGGGCCAGCTGTAAGTGCCCAATCCTGAAATCCAAAAATCGGTGAGCGCCTATGCACTGCTGCGAGAGACAGTTACTTACGGCCGATGCACTGTATGAGCACCCTGTGTACGTTCCCGGATTCGCAACAGAAGGATAATAGCACGAGATGGTATCGCCTGAGCATGTCCAGTAGTTAAGACATGCGTTCCCTTGCGATGGACTGATTTGCTCATAATCGCAATTAGGGCAGGCCTCACATTCGGCACTAACTCTCGTGGTGAGCGCAAGGAGGATGTGAACTATCATAGCCACGGCTAGTACAAAACGAGTCATGGTTGCACTGATGTGTTAACTGTTAGATCTAGCAGCAAAGAGGGATCGCACAGTAAAAACGTACACGGTGTGGTTGTTTCAACTGTTCAGCAATTCTTTGGCTGGACAGTTGCAGTCTTATATACCGTCAGCAAGTTGCTTCAGGCACAATTAAGGATGTGTTGAGATCCCATAACATCTTGCGTTTCGCGTCATATGATCCGTGGTGTGGGTCCGTTCGAACTTGAACTTCGAATGACATTAGTGTGATTACTTCCAAAGCGAACCTCGTCTACCCATACACATAGTTGCTCACAGTCTTTTTGCTCACCCGCAAATTTCGGGGTCAAATGATCACATTGCTTCACATGCAGTGCCAATGTCCACAAAGCAAATGTCTAGTAACCACATAGCCAACAAGACCAGCCCACCGGTGGCCACCAGCATGGGACATAATTTAGAAATACTCACAGGTACTTGGAGTCAGAGGTCATCGGAACACATATTCTGTGTAGTATTTTCACAAGTGCGATCGAATTATGATTAGTTCCTCTTCGCCAGGGAGGGAAAAGAAAGCGTTGTCCCGGGCGCCCTCGTCGAGTGCATCCATGGAGAGTTCGAGCGACTCCGACATTGGTTATTTGAGGCCTGAGGCACCACCGTGACGACGGTGGAAGGTGTAAGGAGCCACGGAAGATGCCGAGGAATGGTCCTCGAATGCGATCGTCAACATGAATTCGACGTCAGCGCACAGTTGAAAGCTAAGATTCCTTCAAAATAATGCAATGGTAAAATAACATGTATGTGTATACGTATGAGACTTGGATATGACCGTAGATGCAATGTGATATCGAACGTGTATGAACCACCCAGGAAAGAAAAAATACAATACAAACCAGCCTCCCAACCCAATAAATAACTAAAAGACGTATTATCCCCACAAAGATGAATGTCATAAACATTGCGACAGGCGCTTTTGAAAGACCACGACGAGCAGCTGAACTCACGGCGATTACCGTGGCAGCCCAGGACCATTGCTGAGCTCTTGTGCGACCTTCTGCACAAGCGTCATGCCCAGAGGCTTCAGCACGTCCTCCCATATCTTTTGACGTCGTCTACCCGAGAAGATACCTGCACTTCGCTCCCCCGTTTCGCCTTCAGGGCCAAAAACATACACCTTGCCACGAGAATTATCCCATGGCCGCTCTCCCTGCGCGAACGCGATCCACCGTTCCTGTATCGCGTCTCGCACACGGGCATACATCAACTCATCAACAACGGGTTGGGCCCACCCGCCAAAACTCGACTCTGAGCCGTAGGAGAACTTGTCGATATCCATGAGGTCAAGTTCGTCGACGGTGTGCATCTTGCCGAGGATCTCGTCCACATCAGCAGAGGTCGATCTTGATGATGGGAGTGATGGAAGCGACTCGTCATCATCAAAAGCAGTAGGTGAGGACGAAGGTGATAATGGGAGTGAAACGTTGTCGAACAAGTATACCAGGTCTGCTGCATGGTGGGGCATCCCCTGTGCAGGACCCTCCTGATCAAACACATACCGCCAGACCTGTCGACCAGTCCTCTGCGCGGCTTGAACAACACACTCCGTGGGCCATGCTATGCGTGCGTCCTCCACGAACTCAAGTAAACGGTCCGTAAGATCTTCCGAGAACATGTGCGGGCCTATCTCATATGCATTAAGAAGAGCAGAGGCCTTTGTGATTGACTGGCAGATCGCACGAATTCGTCGCACAACAGCGGGAGCTACCCATTGACGTGCAGGCTGAGACCAAAGAGAACTGTCGCATGCACAATCGCCAATGAGGAGGGGCTGGAGGCCAGGAGTGGGTGTAGGGGTGACGGTAGGCACGCAGCTGCCCACTGGGTGTGGGCTTCGACTCTTGCTTTTTGCCTTGCGAATAGCAAATCGCAGCGAGTTCAAACCTCTGTCAAGGGGAGCCCTGACGGGTTCATCCGACTCCGAGAGTGGAAAGAGGAGATCTTTGAATCCCTTCCTGAAGAAGACACCATCATCAACAGCCCGGAAGGGGACATTGACGTTGGCAAGTGATTCGGGATCTATAGCACGAAGTTGTGCGACGGAGGAGGCGTACAGTGGAGCCAACGCTCTAGACAGTTGCCACCCAGCTGAAGGTGGTTCTGGAGGATTGTGCTCAATGATTGCGCTTTGAACAATTGCCCGAGTAAATAGGGGGCGAGTCAAGTTGGCGCTGGAGTACAGGTGAGCAACGATGTCTGCTGCTCCCGAAGAATGGCCGAATAGGGTGACGTTGGATGGGTCTCCTCCGAAATCTGTAATGTAACGGTTCACCCATTCTAGAGCCTGGCGTTGGTCGCGCAGGCCTGTGAGATACTATATCAGTCAGAGCGACGTGAGGGATCAAAAATAAACTGACCATAATTGCCCACGCCTTCATCGCCTGCTGCTCGGTTATCATCTGCCAACTGCATGTTTGCGGCAACACCAAACACTCCTATGCGAAAGCTAACTGTGGATGAATACCACTGCACTGAAACACATAAGGAAGAAGGAGACGTACTTGATTGTGACCATTATGATTGGTGAATCAATACGTACACTCTTCCTAACAAGCGCACCGCCATCATAGATCCAACTTGAGCCACAACCACGGTTGCCTCCGCTACTCGTATGAGCGTCTATTACACAACGAAGGAGCACGAGACTAGTCTTACCCATGGATCCAAACCATAACTGGAAGTTGCGATTGACGGTGATGACCAGCAGGACAGGTGATGTTCAAGTTGAGACACTCAAACTCATCCCGTTTAAAGACTTGTCTTGGGATATCGCTGTCGGCAAGACCAATAAGTTCCTCTTCAAGACTCTGTCGGTCAGGCTGTGGGCATATTGGGCTGAACGAGCACTTTAGCAATTGAATGAGCACGGCGTGAAATGGAGACGTACCCATGGCGGGTTGCATCGACTGAGGAGGGGTACGAAGTGACGAGTTTTGATTGACGAAAGCGAGCTGGTACGCTGGCGTATTTGATTCCGCGGAATTGGTGTATGGGTACATCCACGGTGGATATTGGATGATCGATGCCTCTGAAAGTGGTTCCTAGCACAGTGTGGTGTAAGACAACATGCGAACGATCGAGTATCATTGCAGTTGAGATAGGGATAGGGAGGGAAGCAGAGAGTTTTTTGGGGGTAGGGTAAGTGGAGTAAGAGGAAACGCAGTAGGTTACGGATGTGTTCGATCAGGCTTGTTAGCCCGCTTGTATATACTCTGTCATCGATCCCAAATAGATTAACGCAGGCAAAAAATCCAAGCGTAGTGCTCAGAAAGGCAAGTTCTGGAGATGGAGTCGATCACCACACGTGATGAGCGGGGCAAACCGGGATCAAAATAAATTCTCGACAAGCCCATTCTTGTCTGGAATCGTCGTGTGATGTGATAAAGTCAAGTGAACTGTCTGATTCAATTGTGCCGTTATGATGCGGAGAACTCACGCAGCAAGATCATGGGGCTATGACATATAACTTTGGCGGTTCCCATCCGATACTCCGAATCACGTCGGTATAGAAGCCTCGAGCTTGGCACCATTCCAGGCTCTGCGCGTAGCAATTTCAGCTCTGTGCGATCGTGATCAAGATGATATTGATGTGAAAGGATTAGAGGCATGTCCCGGATCTGCATATTCGGTTCAGTAGTGTCAAACGCAGTGGAACATCGTGATCGTCAGAATCACTGGGGTCCCACACCAACATGATCATCATCAACAATCTAATGGTGACCACTGCAAGATTACAAATGTAACGACAGCAAGCAACAAGTCTGACAAAAAAGACTGTTTAACGACTGTCACCAACATTATCATCAACAAAGCCCAGGGCTGGTCAGATGGACCGTCAAGTACGTACGATTAAAGGTAAAAGAATACAACACTTACCTCAAAGTACGTGCACACGAAGCGGAAATTTGACCTTAAGGTTCTGTGCGCAGATAACTGGAGGATAAAGACAGCTCAGATATCATATCATAGTATCAAGAAGAGCTTTTATATCGCCTTGAGCCCATCGATGGGACCATCGTTTTCTTTTGGTAAACAGGTTCGGATCGATACGAAATAAGGTTCCCACGTTCAGGTTAATGCTCTACCATGACCTGATGTCGGAGCCCACTGTGCACAGTATTTTGGCCCGTATCAGGCTAGCTGTTCATACCATTGGATGGCCCATCAGCGCTTCAGCGCGGGATCCCGCAATGCTATACAAAGGTAGCTTGATTATTTTACTGTACAGGGTATCCCTGCAGGAATGGCAAGAATTCCTCCCATTCGAGCCAATCGTCAATAGATATGTAACTTCACACCCCGAAATTCATTCCACACATTTGTAAGGTAAGGCTCTCTGCATATGTGGAGGCTATGATCAAAGGGCAATATGTATACTTCGCTACCGTCGATATGTGTGGGAGGAAGCACTTCGTAACCCTGTCCTCCGCGACGGATACCAAACATTTTACCAGTCGGGTCTGTCTGCGTGGCCCTGCAGGTTGTGATCGCAGGTTAGAAATGCCGCTGAAAGTCACGGAAACACGTACAAAGCATTAGACATAGTGAGGGTCATCCTGCGTCACATATATGGTCGGTCTTCATAATTTGCATTTAAAACTCACCCTTTCCCTGTCTACGCTAGGTATCTGATGGTGGCATTACTCTACTCCTCTCGACTGAACGGTGAGTTGAACGTTGCCAGTATCTAGAATTCTTATGTTTATCACCATCTGGAAAGTCGTGGGGTTGGTGTCACACAGTATTGCCATACTCTGCACCATCTTTAGGCTTGTCTACAGAGCCTGGATGCGTCACTTGTGGTGGGAAGATGCATGGGCAACATTAGCACTGATTGCAGACGGTAGGATTTTACTTGTACGCCACCTTGGTCCGTAAACCAACTACATCCCCCCAGTGGTTTGCCTGGCATGTATCTGGCTCGATACAAGGATAACTTGTGAGTACTTGACTTCGCACTCCAAGAATGATCGCATGTTCATACCACTCCCAGCCTGGGCCCTCACAATCACTTTTCCCACTGTCCTGTGGTGCGCACCACACACAATTTGTTTATATTGCTAATTTACTAGTTCAGGGCGGCGCGGATGAGCATCATTTTCTCAATTATCCGCATCGCCAACCACTCGGGATCCAATATCCACAAACGAATAACCTATCTCATTGCAGCATCCTTCGCGTGCATGTGGGCTGGCGTAGTCGCTCAGAAGATCACTATCTGCGAATTCCACTCCTGCAGCGTGGGTAAGTCGCTGGCGCTCTCACTTCTGATCAGTCAGTACCTCTGTGCTTTCTTGGGCTGTTAGGGTCCTCAAATAATGTTTTGTTTTTGCAGCGGACGTCATTGCGGATTTTTCCCTCGTTGCTGCGCCGCTGCATCTTTGGAGAAACGTAGGGCTTTCACGTAGCAGAAAAATATTGGTCCTATCTGCATTCGGCGCATCGTTTCTCATTACCGTCATCACAATCCCTCACTCTATAATCCTCCTCAAGACCTGCAACACAGTTACGCTTATCTTCACGCACGTCAAGGTAAGCACGCTCTCGTTTTTGTGCCGCTCTGCAACATCCGATGGAAATTAGACCGCCGTCAGTCTCATCATCTGCAACCTCCTGGTGATTGTTACATTCGCATACCGCACATTCTGGAAGGAAACATTCGATCTCGACGAGTCAGTCACATCCCACGGAGTCTTCACGACCGTCGTCTTGGCGGAGATGCCTTGTACCACAAATTCCGGGGCGTCACTCACTGGAGAAGAGGGGACAACGCAGATTGGGGCGAGGAAGGCGTAGATGGAGGACGCAAACGTAATGTATGCTGAAGAGGGCACTAGTACATAACCAGAAACATAGAAACATGGAGCAATGATAGATCGCAAGGAAAGTTACAAAACATGGTAGCAGCCCTCATTCTATTTCAAAACATACTCTTTATATGATATCCATTGTACTTGTATGTGGGCTGCGTTTTTGTGTTTGTTGTACATACCTGTACTCCACCGAGTTGTTTTGTACCCTGTCCTGCACCTCGTCTAATTGCGTTCCCATACACCCACGCCAGGCTTGATCAGGTGCATGAATCGAGAATATGTGCTCAAACGGATACTGTAACATCAATACATCTTTCAAATTAGAGAGGATCATATTTACTCATCCAATGACTTGGACGCGCATTAGGATACGGAACCTGAAGCAGATGCTTCGCTTGGATGGTTGTGTGATACTGCACAAGTCAGGTGCTGAGTGGCAAGTTTATACCCTTCGGATAACAAAACATAGTGAATATCTGCATCCACACCTCGGGACCTCCCGGAAGAACTAAGTGCTGTGCAGCGCACTTTACAAGGATTTGATGCGCCCTAAAGAGTTTCCATGTCGGAGCGCTCAGCGCTGACGCACAAAAATTCCGGCCTGACAAGTACGTCACCATTACTATCGACAGAGTTCTGCTGCCGCAGGCCCTGACTGGATAGTGGAGGCATTTGCATCAAGCTTCAAGACAGTACTCAAGTATAAGTAGCTAGATGCAGCACTTACCTCTAACAACACGATTGTTAGCAGACGTCTAAGAAGAACTTTGAGACTTTGATTCAGATTATTGACGCCGCGGACTGCCAAGCATGTTCCCACGATACCCGCAGACCCGACCCTTCAACCGAGAGCCATTTGCAACCTTCAATACAATTCGAGTACGCTTATTACAAAGTTCCACTAAGATCCGATGCCATTCAAATATCAGCGCAGGTTCGCGAAATGCCGTGGAAGGCCAGGGCAGCTTACTGCAAAGTATCCCAGGATACTTACCACCGAGACTTTAAAATAAGTTATCTCCAATACCCCAAAATTCCTTCCTGCCATCTTCAGATCAGGGGCATTGTTCATGCGTACCATGAAGGTGAGTAGGGCTTACTACATGATCAGCTTCATGGCCATCTGTTCGGAGTGTTTTTTGTCGGGAGCGCGAAACACTTTGAGATGATGTTCCATACATCATCGCATCATAGGCACCACAAGTAAGTACATGTCATGAGTCGGGTCGGCCTGCACTTCCCTGCAAGCTGTCGTCACTGGCTACACATGCCGCTAAAAGTCACCGAAACAGGTACAAAGGGTCATTCAGCATCACATATACGGTCGGTCCTCACGATTTGCGTCCTCAGCTCACCTTTTCTTTGTCTGCGCTAGGATGGTGGCATTATTCTACTCCTCTCGACTGAGCGGTGAGTTGAACGTTGCCAGTATTGTGGATTCTTATGTTCATCGCCATCTGGAAAGTCGCGGGTTTGGTATCACACAGTATTGCCATACTCTGCACCATCTTCAGGCTTGTTTACAGAGCCTCGACGGGCTACTTCTGGTGGGAAGATGTATGGGCGGCAATTTCACTGATCGCAGACGGTAATTTTTCTTGTACGCTCCCTTGGTCTGTAAACCAACCACCTCCCTCAGTTGTTTGTCTGGCATGTATCTGGCTCGACAGAAGGATTACTTGTGAGTGCTTGACTTCACACTCTAAGATTAATTGAGTGTTCATATCAGTCCCAGCCTGGATCCTCACAATCGCTTTCACCAGTGTCCTGTGGTGCGCATCACAAACAATTGATTTATATTAATATTTATAACTGACTGGTTCAGGGCTGCGCGCATGAGCATCATTTTTTCCGTCATCCGCATCGCCAACCACTCAGGGTGCAAGATCCACAAACAGATTACCTATCTCATTGCAGCATCCTTCGCGTGCATGTGGGCCGCCTTGGTCGCCCAGAAGATCAGCATCTGCGAACTCCACCACTGCAGCATGGGTAAGTCGGTGGCGCTCTCACATCTAATCAGTCAGTACCTCTGTGCTTTCTTGGGCTGTTGAGGTCCTCAAATAATGTTTTGTTTTCGCAGCGGACGTCATCGCAGATCTTTCCCTCGTTGCTACGCCGCTACATCTCTGGAGAAAAGTAGGGCTTTCGCGTAGCAGAAAAATATTGGTTCTATCTGCATTCGGCGCATCGCTTCTAGTTACCGCCATCACAATCCCTCACTCTATAATCCTCCTCAAGGTCCATAACACAACCACGATGATATTTGCGCACGTCAAGGTAAGCACGCTCACGTCCTCGCACTGCTCTGCAAAATCCGACAGAAATTAGGCTGCGCTCAGTCTCATCATATGCAACCTCCTGGTGATTGTGACATTCTTATATCGCGTATACTCAAAGGATACATTCGATCTCCACCAGTCATTCACATCCAACGAGGTCTTCTCGAGCGTCGTCATGCCAAATACCCGGGTGTCGCTCTCTTTACAAGAGGGGATAGCCTCGAGACAGTTAACTACGGCGCAGACAGGAGGGACGAAGTTGAAGGATGAAGACACGAGTGTGCGATACGCCGAACAGGGTACTAGTACTGAGGGTAGTTAGAGACGCTCAAGGATGATCGTTCAGAAAGGAAGTTGCGAAACATGATGGTCACCTGCATTTTTAAGTTGAAGTATCGTATTTATGTTTAGGCAATCCTTTGCGAATCTAAGCATGTGTGACTGTTTACTCGAAGTTGAAGTGACAGACGGAGGATGAGGTGAGAATTGAAGAATCGGTGCGCAGCTACATTTCATTCACATCTGAGTGTGCTGTATACCCACATCAGGTGCAAGAACCAAGACTATTTGCTCAACATCTCGTGTCTTTCAAAGGATGACAAAAGCAATTTTCGGATTTGAATGCCCTGGACGCGTATTTGGACCTGCTGGAACCGGAAAAAAAAATGCTTCCAATGATTGTGGTATGCAGCTAAAAGTGAATTAAAATACAATGTACGCTGACATATTGCTTAAAAGCGACAGCTTCAGACTGATGTCTGAGATGAATCTGGAGCGTGAAGGAGATCCTACGAGCACAGGTTGAGTGGTGAGTTTCATAATCATTAGAAATCCACACCTTTGCGAGTTTCTCCCCTTCGGATAAAATGACGAGGCAGGACTGTAGACCGTTCAAACACCACTGCCTTTCAAGCCAGGAGAGGAGAAGATGGTCCCAGAAAGACTTGAATATATAGTGGAGGTTGTTGCATGATTTCTTAGTTCTAGAAAGATGGAAGGCCCAGTGTTGACATGCATACTTGAGAGCTTCGGAAGTTTGTCGACTTCGGTCTTGTGCTTCGTTTGCAAAACTCACAAAGGCTTGCATAGCATCGAAGATCCTCATGTCTGGCGGAAAACGACGGCCTTGTGGAATTGCCGGCTTAGAATCGCTGGAGTGGTGTTGGGGCCGTAACGCCAGGACGACGGGAAAAGTCAAGAAATCTGGCAAGCTCTTGCACTGCTGAATTACTTGGAAGGCTGGGGGTAAAGGCGAATTTGAGACGATCGTGTATTCGTTGATGGCTTCCAATGTGCTTGAGACTTCTACCAATGTCACCCAGACCGACGCTGCGAGAGTCGACTGCCATGCTTGACCGTTGGGCATCTGCAGCCAGTCTCGGCCGCTTTGGGTCTCCAGCCAGCCTCGGCCGCTCTTGGTCAGCAACCATTCATGTCCACTCTGACTCTCCAGCCACTGCTCCCCACTCTGTGTCCCCAGCCACTGTTCCCCGCTCTGGGTCTGAAGCCATTCTCGCCCGCTCTTGGTCAGTAACCATTCATGTCCACTCTGACTCACCAGCCACTGTTCCCCGCTCTGTGTCCCCAGCCACTTTTCTCCGCTCTGTGTTTCCAGCCAATACCGCCCGTGCATGGTACTCAACCACTCCTGCCCGTCTGGGGTCTGCACCCAGGCTGGCCCACTTCGGGTCTCCACACCTGGCCCACTCCAGGTCTCACACTCTCGCTCGCCCAGGGTCTCCAGCCACTCCCCCTGCCGTGACCACCTCTCCAGCGGCAGTGGCACTGGCACTGGCTTGGTCCCCGGGCCGCCTTGGTCTTGAAGCAGAATTTTCAGTTGGCCAGGCGAAGGTGGGACCCTCAACAGGTATCCCAACGCCCATGACTTGTCCTGGGTCGCAAGCCAGCATCTCCCTCCTTGGGTCCGCGACCAGGCACGTCCGTCTAAGGTCTCTAGCCAGGATGTCATACCTGGACGGCGATCTCCCCGAAGCCACAGTAGACCCATAAGAACTTGCAGAGGGTCCGGTGGCTCCACGATAAAGGTTAAGAAGTCTTTTAAGCACTGGTTGTGGGGTTCCCCAGCTTGGGTGTGTTTTTTCAATTCCAAGAGGGCGTCCAAGAGAGCTGTGCTTTCTGGAATGTCGTGCATCATCAAGCGGAGGGAGGAATGGGCGAGTAAGTGGTGAGGGTGTGTGAGATATTGTACTTGAGGGAGGCTGCAATTTGAGGGATTGGAAACGTAGTCACGAAGGGACGAGTGGTGGATATTCACGGGGAGACTGCTATCGGTAGGAACTTCCATGACACATCGTAATTGTGACAGTGTTATTTCCACATCCCTACCCTGACCAGGGCCGAGAAGTTCTGAGATTTGTGAAACTGGCAGAGGATCCGCAAGGGCAGCAACCACAGACAAGTGCATGTATGCCCGCTGTGGGTCGGCACATGTCGAAAGGATACAGTCATATAACTTGTACACCTCTGTTCCTGGTAGCAATGTACTCGTAAGTTCGAGCATGAGCTGGAGCCGATCGCGAGGATCATTGTACCCATCATCAATAAACTTCATCATCGTAGACGCCACAATGAAACGTCGGCCCGCTCGGCTCGCCAACCGCTCAAGTTCACCTTCTGTTGGTAGCGGGAAATTGTGGCGATTTTGGAGCTTTTTCAAGGAATGCAGCAGGAAAAAAAAGATGTCGTCGTCAACATCTATGGCGTCTAACGAGATGGTGGTAACAACGCCCTCCGCAGGCATATTCGCTGGTATCTCGATGATCGGCAGGCGCGCCTCTTCCTCTTGCATGGCTTCACGGATATGCGCTTCAGAGCGACTCGTGAGCAGGATGTGGACCACGGGCAGATCTGGTGCATGAAGAGCTTGACTGAGTGCGGAGATGAGATCAGCGGCCTCAGTTTTGGACATGCATTCATCAAGAGCATCAACAATAAACGCCAAAGGAGCACAGTCGAGCAGTCTGAGCCGAAGCCTCCGGAGAGGTCGGAGAAAAAGCGCCTCCATCTGGTCTTGAAGAGACCTGTCGGGGTCTAGAAGTGCAGGATCCTCGTGGATAGCCTTGATTACATCCCCCCGGATGCTGGGGAAATTGATGGCAAGCTGGTAGATAAATGTCGCAAAAAAATATCCAGTGGTGCAACGTTTCGTGTGCTTGCGCGAGAAAAAGAAGGTTCCCGCGAGCCGCTTTTCGATGTTCGTCTGAATCTGCTCTGTTACTTTGAGACCTCTCATCCTTTCAGCTACAGTGAACGCAACAGCAGACTTTCCGACGCCCGCTGTGCCATGCAACCAAATCAGTCGACTTTTCTCTCGGTCGTCTAATAATCCGTAGATGCGGTTGAGAAGGACCACCCGGGTGTCTGTCCAACATTTTGGATGTGGCTGGCGTTCGCGGGAGTCATATGCAGCACCCTTGACAGCTGTCTGGGCCACCTTCTCCCAAATTCCTCGAGATACTCGAACATCATCAGGGACTGTCAACGTGGTCAGAGAGGCGAGACAGCGATACCAGTTGGAAATACTGACATTGATACATTGGTGAAGGTTGATGTCTTTGCCCGTCAGGATGTCCACCAAGTGTGTTCGGCGATTACAGTGAGCTGCACTGGCAGCGAAATGACCAAGCTGTGGGGCGATGGAGATCAAAGCCGTACTAGTAAGGGCTGCTCGAGATCGAGTGGATGGGTATTTCAATCAGTTTCGGTCTAGCTATGGAAAGCTCTGGGTAGTAGCAGGATGCATTTAAAGGACGACCGGGCGCTTTTCTGTTGTGACAGGACTCATCAGAGAACTCGTGTCAAGTCTCCGCAGGGTGCTTGAGCCTTTGTGTTGGTGGCAGTGGTGGGCAATGCCTGCCAATTTCTACAGCAGTGTGGCACCCTGGCATCGCAGCACTATTATGTTTTCGGTGGCGAACCACGTGTGCTGTGCATCGATTCCGTCTACAAAAGTCTGGGGACAGAGGCACACTTTGAGTTTGGGAGTACAAGAAACCAATCCTATAAAGTGAATGTTGCATGCGCGGCCTTGGCGTCTTGTCATTGCCAACTTCTTGTTAAACCTTTTAACTCGTAACCAGTCTGAACTACGTCTTTGAGATGTCAAGAACTCGGGCAGTGGCTACGCCACGATTCGACTTGTCCGCAGTACTTGGCAGTGTAGTTGGTCACGAGCACAACGTGAAACCACAGATTGTTGTGGTTTGGGATGAGGCAGGGACTACCTCAGGCCTATCCCGAAGAAATCTCACGGTTGGCTTCCTTTGAACATACGTGCATTCTGAGCACTAGAACTCGAGCTTAGGCACCACGATGATCTCGAGACCTCAGGTACACCTGCACTGGCGGTTTGGAACAACTTTGCGTTCAGTTCCATACTTTTTTTGCCTTGAAAACATCGTCTCCTTCCTAACTTCCTGGTGCAGCATCGCGATAAATCGACAAGTGACAAGTCCCCATTGTCATCATCCACTGGCAATCCAATTCCTTGATTCCTAGGCTGCTGCCATTGGCGTCCTGTTCGAGTGCGCATGTGAGAGCCCACTGAGAGGAGCTTCGAAGAACACGATCTACCTTTCCTAGCACGACATTAACATAGACAAAGGACTTCGGAAGACAGTAATCAAGTGATCATCTTCCATCTTCCATCACAAACTCCGTGTAGTTTGTGGGATCTCCAAGTCGGGTCTGTCGGCGTAGCCCTGCAGGTTGTCGTCGATGGCTAGACGTGCTGTGAACAACTTTGTCATGGAGATATGCACCGAAAAAGGGTGCTTCTGTGTCATTTAGCCATCCAACAACGTGCGTCTGAAGCTTACCCTTTCCTCCTTCATCAGACTCTAGTAACCAAGAGAGATATCTGATTATACTACTCTCGCCTTGATGTGTATCAAGTATGTTGTGTCCTTATATTTATCATAATACAGTGATAATACAGTGGACAAGGCAGCGGTATCCCACTGTGGCATTGCTATACTGGGCACTGTCTTCGGACTTGGTGTATACCACTGCAACTGGAGAAAGCAGGACTCTCGCGTAGCAGAAAAACATCAGTACTTCCTACCCGCGTTCAGCACATCACAATCCCCCAAGCTATCAGATGTCCTATAGCACGAACTCACAGGACATTACTCTCTGCGAGAGGGGACAACCGTAACGATGGGATGGTGTAGACCAGGACGAAGCAGAAGATGGAGAACGCAAGCGTGCTGTACGCCGAGGGGGGAACTGGTTCCGAGGTATGGACAGAAATAGCGAGGGCTTTTACGATGATGATGCCCCGAGAATCAAGAAACTCGATGTCATTGAAACTTGCAAGAGGATGCTACTGCGAGCGCCATGAACTCCTCTCTGACGCATGACTTCAGGAGGAACGTTCATTCCTCGTCGTCGATTCCCCATGCTCATCATTCAAAGCGATGCAATAGAGTTTTCCATCGCATACAATTACAAGGCACATGCAACACTGTCCTAACTCCTGAGTGAAGACCTTTGTGATCTTTTTCAGTGCGAGTCTAAACTGACTGGGCACTTTTCACGAAGTGTGTAGTACAAATAGGGAAATTCCAACGAGCAAATAGTACTTAAGTTTTCTTGTCTCCAGTAGCTGAGACCAACATCGATATCGAACCAAATAGCATTCCATAGCAGAAGTCAGTAAGATACACCAAGTACAACAAATTATGCATGCCGAGCCAGTAATACAAAATGCGAATCTAAACCCGTAACATGGCAATCCAGATGACCCCGACCCCAGCGGCAATCAAAACTCTAGACAATGACAATTTGAGCGGATCGACCGCGAGCTGTACAATAAGTATGGTGTGAAATGAGTGGCGTGAGTGTGATAGATGGAGATGAATCAATCATCATCGCAGAATGATAATCATGAAGCGATAGCGCTGGTGATGGCGTTCAAGAGAATGTTGTTGTAGTCGCCGCCCATCTCCCACAGGGCGAAACCAGCGATGCCGGCCTGTTTGATGAAGTTGCCCTTTGCGGCTGAAGAAATAAATTAGCTCAAATACAGATGTTGAAAGCGGGAAAACGTACTGAAGGATTCGGCATTGTCGTAGGCTACCATGACCTGCGTGTTGGGGTTGTAGACATATGGCTAAGAAAGACAAGAGTTAGACCGGTGAAAAAATCATAGACAAGGCATACGTACCGTCTGGCTGCAGTTGTCGAAGCGGCCAGTCATACCGGAAGCAACACTTCCGTCCTCGTTCAAGAAACCGCCAGCAATGAGGCCCCAGAAGTTGAAGTCTCCAGAAGCAGGTTGACTGATACCACAAGCATCTGGACCGGCAGCATCCCAGCTGTCACCCGTGACAAAGCTGTTGGTGTTGAAGGTGGGGTATGAGGCCAACGTGTTGCTCTGGACAGCTGCAGATTGGCTGATGGAGTAGCCGTGTCCGTAGCTAGGCACACCAAGGACAATCTGTTTAGCAGAGAACCCTGCAGCAGTCCAGAGCTTGACGGCGGAAGTCGCAGAGCCAGTTTGGTCAGCAGCTGGAGCACAGGAGTCGTCCAAAGGAGAGTTGGGGCCCACAACCTTGCTGAAAGTGTCGCCGTACACATCGTAGTTCATGATCTCTGCAGAAAATATTAACGGTTGTGATAACAAGCAGTAACTGCTCCACTAACCAACGTAATCCAAAACTTGGGCAAAACTGGTAAGGTCAGTCGATGGGTTCCCGCTAGCATCGTTCCATGGCTTGACGGGGGTAGCAGCGGAGAGAGATAGAGTTGGCAACGCCTGCTTCAGCTCCTGGAGCATAGACAAGAGGTTGGCAGTATCCTGAGGGGACTCTGTGTTGCAAGAAAGACCGTTTGTGCTACCGGGGTATTCCCAGCTGTAAGTAAAGAAGTCAACGCTGAGAATGACGATATCAAATTAAATATACATACTCGAACTCCACACCTTGGAAGCCATACTTGTTCACCATGGTGACGATTGACTGGACGAAAGTCGTACGGTTGCTTGAGGTGGAGATAGAAGATGAGAAATATATGGAACCATCCCAACCACCGATAGTCAATACAGGAAGAACGTTCTGTTGTCTGGTTAGCCAACCATCGTAACAGGAAAACCGATAAAATCATACATTTTGTTTGGCAGCAGCAACAAAGGTGACAGGGCCGCTGGGGCCGCTGTCAGCGACAGTGATTGTAGCAGTACCATCAGCGGAGGTGATAGCTCTGTATACCAAAGTGAGAAAAGTTGTGCATTATGTTTGCATGAGATAAATTTACCCGAAATAAGACATTCTGTTGAAGCCCTTCCAGGTAATATTGGCGACCGTGTAATCGGTGTGCCAGTTAGCAAACCAAGCCATGGCGACAGAACCACTAGCAGGGTTCGCAGGGGTGGAAGTAGAGCCCGGGGAGGTAGCAGTCGATGTAGGTGTGGTGCTACTAGCGACAGCAGATGATGGTTTGAGAGAGCAAGTTGGGGCGGCAGCTGCAAACGGCAGCACCAGAAGAGAAGCTATCGCGAGAGAGAATTTCATGATGATCAAAAGTTAAAGATGGACGTCGACAGTGAGTGAATGAAAGCGAGAGTTGTTAGAAGGTGCTAGCTAGAGCACTGATTGCAATCAGGACCGAGCCTTTTAGTGCAGTTGAAAATGAGACGGGAGAGTAAAGAAAAAGCAAGCAGGCAGCTGACGGCCCTTTTGTAGCTGAAACGAACAACGTGTGGCCCACATCGAAAAATGATCAATGCGGCTCCAGCACACTGATTGTTTAAAATTAAACGCACTTTTGTTCTGCTTTTGTTCATCATCCACATGGCCAAAGATAGCCAGCTGAGGTCATCCTATGGGCGCTTAGTCCAAACATTTTCTCACGCTTAGATGCATTGTTTATATATTCATTGGTATGTTGTCGTACTTAGTGGAAGCACTACTAAACTACCACAGGAAGCTAACCCATCGGGGGAGGATAATCCGGAGAATTGATCATCGTGGCAGACTCTTTGCCCATTACTGATAGATGGCAGATCATGGTAATCTGTTTCAATGCGCCAAAGGCAGTGGGCATACGCTTCGTCTTCATAAGTGCGGTGGCGCAATATCGATGTACATCTGTGAGCTTTATCTGACGCTCTAGTGTTTAGTGCACACCTGTGGCCTGGATCAATCATATCTCTAACAATCATGCTCCAGCAGTATGTCAGATGCGCTGGCGGCTCGTGATCATTGACAGGTGTCTGCCCGAAATATGTCGGTCACCGGGGTCGAGTCTCTGCGACGGACATGTCCGAGGCGTTTGGGACCTATGATAGCGTGATCTCCTTCGAGCGCGTCCTCGGAGTCAATCTGTTGAACTATTGATATCATCATCGGGCCAAATTTCTCAGCCATAAGATATTACTATACAAGAAACGACTATCGATAATTTCGGTCTACTCAGGTAAATCTCTGAACTAGGATTTTGCGTGGATTTTTCATTGATTTTGCATTGTTTCGTAGTTCAGCACGATTGTACACGATCATCATGGCGACAAATCTCGACAAATTGCCCTCACGAACGGAAATTACTCTACGAAGGAGGTTTTCACGACAGGTTGCACAGTTGACGCAGGTCATCATCGCTCTGAATGATCGGTTGCAGGGCGGGTTGAGCCTCGTAACACAGCAGTCACTTGTGTTATCAACGTATGTGTTTCATCTCTGTATGCCCATCAATCAGATCCAGTGCAAATTCTACGTGTCGACACATTGATATTATGAACCATTCATCCACACTAGTCGTGAGAGTCAGGGATATCAGCATATACAGCGGTTCTCAATGTCTACAGCCTTCACAAGAGCCATCGTTCGGTGTTCGCGAAAATTACATAGCACGAGAGGAACACAAGTCCTGAACGACAGGCTTCAGTATGAAGGCCAAGTGAGAAGACCGCTACTGCCCACCAATCATCAGCATCGTCACATCACCATCAATGTATGAGATGAGATCCCGAGACGCGCCGCGAACATGTTGCCAAAGATACAGGCAAAAAAGAAGCGCGGACGTGAGGATTCCGCACGTCCAACTGTATTGTACCCTGTCTTCTCAGCTGCCTGCAACAACCGTCCGAGTTCATAACGAGCACAGCGTCTGCGAACCTCCCCCTCATCTATGTCCGTCGGCTCGAACGTGAAGCCGAAAGCCAAAGCCTCGATCAAGATCCTATCCACCACCCCTAACAAGCCCGATTCGTACAGCGAGACGTCTGGCTTGGTGTGCTTCTATTCTTCGAGAGCGAAGTAGGGATACGCCTATAGCAACGGCAGCGAAAAACAGGTTGCACGCCACGAACTCGTAGAAGTCAGCACGCTCTTGTGCGGGGACGCGGCCACAAGGCTGCCACGCAGGAGTCTCCCCGAGAGCTGCTGGGGGTGGAGATATGGGGTATACATGATCGGGGGGTAAAGCTGTAGGCCTGGTGGTGTTCGAACAATGCATGAGTTGGCGGTTGCCGAATGGATGACAGAAGGGTTCATGAAGCTACGGTTCTGTCAGTTCTCCGTCCAGCAGATTTATATGGTTAGAGAACATACAGCATCTGGTGGGCATGGCTCACATGTGCCAAATGGGCGACAAGTGAATGATGGGCTGTGGCCCGGGTCAACGTGTTGAGCATGAATAATATTCACGACACATAAAAGCATAAAGCTGCAATTCACAAGTCAGATAGGTCATGGTATTGGTGCTAGGAAATACCTACAGAATGATTTTCATGACTATGCTCGCCGTCGTAGGCAACATCGTGGAAGCATGAATGTGAGCAGGCGTGAGAAACTCTCTCTTGCTTGCCTCATACCTTGTCGACGCCGTAAGTGTAATCTTCCAAACCATTTCAGTGTCAAACTCACTACTAGGATAGGTGCTACAGGTTAAACATGTCTCGTCGTACAGCAACAATCGAAGAATTCGACGATGATACTGACCTCCCGCTCCCATCGCGTCCCCTCAATACTGGGCCGCGTGGACCCCTACTCGAAGAGATAGGGCATTCCGACGAGGAGGTCAGTGAGTCTGAATCAGACGATATGTCTGCACCAGGCCAAGGATCACAATCACAATCATCATTTCACGCTCCAACATCGTCTGGTCAATCGCAAGGTCAACCATCCAATACCAATACCGTCACCGACATCACGCCTTATAAGACGTACGTCATCCATGCAGCCGTGCTTCGTTTGCTAATGGTTCATCAGATGGACGTGCATCTACCCTATCTATATCGACGCGAAACGGCCATATGGAACCGGTGAGCGCCGGATAGCGCGCGAAAAGAGCGTTTGGTGGCCTTTGAGTAAGGATATCGCAGATGCGACCAGCCGGCTTGGATTAGGAACCTTGCACGAAGTGCAGAAGTCGCATCCTAGGGACTGGGAAAACCCAGGTCGTGTACGCGTGCAGTGGAAGAAAGATGGGCGGCTGATGAACCCCGCGATTAAAACGAGTGCGCGAATTCATTCTGCGATATCCCTCGTCTCTAACATATGAACTGTGTTCAGAAAAACAACTCCTGGAGATGATATCTTTCCAGATCCAACGGATAAAACAAGACAATATTCCCCGCCCACCATACGTAATGACCCCGCCCCCGGTTTCCGCAGCTCAGCCAGCGATCAAGCCTCCTACGTCTGCGAAAGGCAAGCAGAAGTCCAAAGCGGGTTCTGGTGTGGCTGTGCAGCTTTCAAAGTCAAGTCAACAGCGCTTGCCTACACCTCCACAACCTCTACCAGCTCTGGCAAGCCGAGTATCTCCTTACTCACCAGCTTTGCCCACGGGAATGCTCATCGAGACCGTGAAAGCTGGCATGAGTGCACAAGAGCCGGGTGTGGGAGCTGCTCCTGGTCAGCCGGGTGTCCAAAAAGGTAAACGGAAGGTTCTCAGAGTTAGGGGGTGATTAGGACTCGGGTACGGTGCAAACTTGATGTACGAAAATACTTGGAAATACTCACGGATCATCGAACTTCGGTGGTGAATTTCCAACGCACTAAGTTGTTTCAGATCCGAGTGGTACATTCGGACTCGTTCATTGTCCGTACTTCCCGCAGGAGGCCAATCGCTATAACTTTATGCTATGCGTATATTTCGCTTATTTTTGTTACATCGCCTCCGGTCTCCGGCCAGCTGCTTCGCCAGCGTTTAAAATTAAAGCATCTTACATGCTTTAGTAGTCCAAGGCGCTTGGGGCAAGTGCTGCGGAGCTAGACCCCTAATTGCCTTGAGGCATGTGGATCACCCGCATCCTCTGCATGCTTGAAGAACGTGGATGTAATATTGGTAGTCCAGACTGCGGCGACTGGATGGCGAATTGCTGGTCCGAAATAGTCAGTTCCTGGCTCTGGTGGACATTGGTCGGCACCGATTAACGCAAGACCACCTTGACAAAAAAAAATTGCAGGGCCTTCGTCTGACCGATACCTCAATTTACTGGCACAGTTCAACGATACCTACGATTGGATAGCCACCTCGTAGTGCGCTCCAAGCCTCATGCAAAGCATGCTGGTGATTGAACGGAAGGGTGTAGATGACAACGCACATCATGAAAGCCGCGTGTCATGATCTGGAATTGAATTGAGGGCATATATACGTACTACCCTCTCAACCTCAAGCACCATTCTCCCATCTTCCATCATGAGCTCCTCGCAGGATCGCGTGGGCCGTATAATCCAACACAAGGATTATTACTTGCGTGGTGGCGACTTGAATGTGTTGGTGAGTCCCAGAGCATTCCTTGGGTCCGCCTATCCTGACCAGAGGCGAATGTTATAGATCGGGAACCATCTCTACCGCATACACAGTTATTTCTTCTATCGTGAATCGTTAGTATGGCGCCAGAAGCTAGATGCCCCTCCCGATAGCGGGGAACACGGTTCGACTGATGCTTCCGCGCCCTATACCCTCGACGACGTCAAAAGCGAAGACTTTGAGCGCTTCCTCTGGGTGATCTACAACCCGTATGTGCGATCACTGAGTTACTGTCCCTACTCACATGTAATTCCAGCCAATATTCAGTCTACGATGCTCCCGTCGAGACATGGTTGAGCATCCTCAACCTCGCTCATCGATGGAACTTCTGCAACATCAAAGACCTCGCTATTCGTCAGATTGAGACACTCGACATCGAACCCATTGAAAAGATCGTGGCATATCACGAATATAAGATCAACAAAACACTCCTTATCCCTGCATACATCGCGATGTGCAAACGTGAGAAGCCTTTATCTCTCGCAGAGGGCATGACGCTCGGAATGGAAACCGTCCTCCGCGTCGCCGATGCACGTGAGCGTGCTCGGCAGCAAGCCGCAGAGAGCGGCATTCGCTCGCCGACGTTCGACGACTTTGAGGATGTACAGATGGAAGATATGGTAAGGGAGGTGTTTGGCATTCCGCCGAAACCGATGTCGCCGGGTCGACACTCCAGAAACTCGTCCGGTGCGTTCAACAGTTTCGGCGGGACAGCCATTCCGAATGGCTCCAACGGTCAGAAAGTCAACGGGGAGGCAACCTCTGGCTTGAATGGTGCTGATCCAGCGAATCACAAGCCAGCTGGTACTTTGCACGTATCCACAGGCGTGACAGAGCCACCTTCAACTAATGGCTCAACATCCAAGGCTGAGGGCAAGCGACCACAAGCTCCGCCGAAAGATGATAAACCGGTCCCGGGGGGGCCGGGTAAGCCTAATGGTGCAGGCGATAAGTCCAATGGCGTCACGGTAGGTGATAAACCTAATGGCGCAGGTGATAAGCCTAACGGTGCAGGTAAGTAACTGGCCACTTATTCATTTTCGTTTCTAATTCGTGGTCGTAGCGAAAGACAAAGGGGGATTGACAGGCGGGTCTCATGCATAGTTACAATATGGATTTGTGTCGTTGTTTTCGGGTTTTGTGCCAAGTCCGTGGTTCAATCATCATTTCAGTACATTGCTTGTCGGAAAATCTCAAATCAACTTCGTAGAAAGTCATAGACTGTACGCACGCGGTTAAGTGAGAGAATCTATGCGCAATATTGTGCACCAGGACGGCGAATTCTATGATATAGCCAATGAAAGTCTCGGGGTCAACTCAGTAAAGAAAATCTTAAAGAACAACACACTATAAGGATGTATGCGGTTAAGCGAGATGATCCATCTTGAGAGTGCAAATCGACTATCACGCATAACCGCTACACATCCCTATATAACATGTGAATGATGAGCGTAAGGATTACGTTCAGGAGTGAAAGAAGTGATGCTTGTTGACAACTATTATTTAACACCTTCAAATTCAACAACGTCAAACAACGCCACACAATGTCTCCTCCACGCGACCCAACATCCGACTCCGAAGATGATGACCCAGACTACGCGCCTCCCGAGCATCAAGGTGCGATTGCAGATTTTCTGTCGAGACTCGTCTTTTTTAACCAAATGCATCAGACTCAGATAGTTCTGGAGATGAAGAAGGAAACGATGAGACTAATGTGACGAATGAAGTGAAAGAGGAAGATCTAGCCGAGAAGAAAAAGTGAGGTTTATCGAATAACCCTGTGGATCAAATATACTTACCCTGCTGTATAGGGCGCGCGATGCTCTATGGGCTAGTTTCCAAGCGTCTATCGCCACGCCACCGCCTCCGAAGGTCGAGGAAGCGCCAAAGAAGCTCGTGAAGATAGAGAAACGCTACCTTTTCGCAGGGAAGAATATAGTGTATGTCCACTCGCTCATTCCTTGTTACAGTATGCTTAGTGATGTGAAGAGAAGTGGTTGAAGTTTTTGAGGACTCGGAAGACGCGAAAAAGTGGCCACGGTGGGATCCCTCAGACTCGGCGTCGTCTGCTGCTGCGGCACCAGCCCAGGATTCTTCGTCTTCAACTAGCGATATGAATGCATCAGCATCGAGTTCAGCAGCTTCCATGAAGCCTGCAGCACAGAAGTCTACCCTAAGAAAACCCCCAGGTCCTCGCAAGCCTCGCACGTCGTTGGCGGACATACCAACTCAGAAGGCCAAGAAGATTACTACTCTTGACAAATCTGCAATGGACTGGCGCACACATGTCACGTCGAGCGACGTTAAGGACGAGCTTGATGCTAACCGGCGCGGAGGTGGCTACTTGGAAAAGATGGATTTTTTGAAACGAGTCGAGGACAGGAGAGAGGATGCGTATGAAGCGAGCAAGTCTAACAAAAGGCGAAGGACATGAGACGTGAGGACAAGTCGTTATTGCAGTCGAAGTGTGTGTAAGATAATACATGTTTCGCTGTACCAATACAGGAACATCAAGAGTGGTCATACCTACCTTCTCATCGCCGATACTGAGAAACTAAATCTGGGAGGGACAAGATGGTTTGAGTACTTGAAACGATGGGGAGAAACCGTTCAGAGAGTCACGAAAGAATGTGGTATGACAGCAAGAACCATGATTGAAAGGATATTTCAAGCATTCACGTCCTGCATGTGGCCTTGTGCTCCGACCAATGCGACTTTTGGCACGCACCATCACAATACCTGGAGAATCACCGGTCAATTATCCGCACATGACAAAAGTGGAGGACCAGTCACCTCGCTTTCTCACAACCACTGCACTTCCGCAACGCAGCACTGGGATTACCGCACCATGAACATCTGTATAATGCCACAGTGTTCGGGCTTATCCGTGGATGCGAGCATCTCTGTGGGTGATTCTCGCCTTCCTCTCCCTGATCAAGATGGAGGTCGTCAAGCCACGCAGCAAAATCATCTTCAGCTTTCTCTACTGAGATAGTGCGCTCGTCCATCATCACTTCGTCAAAGCGTGCCACCAGACTCTTCCACTCTTGCACGGCAGTGGGGTAGCGCTTGACGATGTTTTGCTGGGTAAGACGTAACTGCGTCTTCGGGGGAGTAGTGCCCAGGAGTATGCTAAACTCGTCGGCATGTCCCAACTTCTTGAATGCGACCTGTGCTCGGTTGTAGAGACATTATTGAATGCCAAAGTCGATGGATACATACCTGAAGCTCTTGAAGGTCTGCTGGTGTCTCTGGTCCCTTGATGGTGAGCGTGAGGCAGATGTACCAGTAAAGCACGTTCTTCATGTGCCTTGCATCTGGTGGAGCCTCCATGACGTAAACCTTTGCGTCCTCCATCGCGCTCATGAGGAATGCAACACCCTCATCATATTTCCTATCTCCAGGGCTAGATTCCTGAATACGACATACTCCCAGATTGCCTGCGAGCTCGACAGCACGGTGCAAGAGCCCAAAACGTACGAACGGCGTCATCCTTGGGCACTTCAAGCCTTTCTTCGCAGAACGCAAGCCCTCGAAGTGGTCTTTACCCAGCGTGATCACGTAGTAGAAGTATGCGAACTTGGGGTTGCGTTGAAGACCACGCTTTGCAGCTTCGATGGCATCGGGGATGCGAGATCTGATGATGAAAAACTTTGCGGTGATCATGTCTGCGAGATCTTCCTCTCCTGGACGACCCTTTGCACGAATGGCTCTGGCACAATGGGGCAGCGCGTCGGACCACATGGTGAATGGTAGACCTATGTCCCTGTTGATTTCTATCTGTCCGGTACGGGGATCTTGCATCTGGAAACCGCCTTCTGCGATAGAGAACTCGGTTCGGGTGATGAGGTCTGCGAGCTTCAAACCAAGACTGTAAAGATCCTTGTCCTGCGCGCACTTCATCATCGCTTTTTGGTTGTCAGCGGTCGAGGACATAGTAAGATACATATCGCCGCGCATTGTGCCGTAATCTGCCATGATATCAACAAGATGATCAGGGAAACGGCGCTTAATTGCCGCTATGAGCTTGTGGGGGTCGAAATGTCTCTGGTCCTCCTCCGAAGACAAGGCTTCAAGACGAAGCAGGCCACCCAGCGCACTGACGCGCACGGTAAGGTCCGCACTCCGTAAGCAGGCTACGAGCAAGTTCTGAAGTGGTGCATCATCCTTGCACTCACTCCAACAATGGAGAACAGGGTGCGTAAGCAACTCCAGGCCATGATGTAAGAGCTGAATGGTAACGCCAGGCTTGCGCATGAAATCCATCACAACTGGAATCAAAGTCTTAACATTGGCCGCCTTGATGTATTTTGGAGCTGGTGGATCTTCCTGGTTGATCGCAGCGCCGATGGCATGAGCCATGGTGGAAATTGCCATCTCGGCAGCCCTGAGATCATCTGGATTTTCTTGTATGATCTTCAGTAGGGCAGGGGACTCTAGTGAGATTTCTTTGCGAATATCGACACCCCCATGATGTGTCACGGTCGTAAGTGCGCGGAGAGCAAGATAACGCGTGGAAGGAATCTTGATCAATGGGGTGATCTTAGACACCAAACCTGTCAATATGGTCAGTGCAGTTCACCAACATAATGGTCGTCAACTTCTACCTTTCTGGAAGAGCTTGTCACGGAGGATGGCATCAGCACACATCTTGGTGTAGATGCCGATGATTGCCCCAGTGATTTTCTCGTTTCCTATATTCGCAACGTAGACATCATCGATGTTATGATATACTTCGTTGAAGTTGACATGGACTTTCTTCAAGCCGCTTCGTCTAGAGAGCTCTTTTGGGAATAGAGTAAGGGCTTGAAACGAAACAACAAAGATACGAATTATGTGGCGGAGTACTCACCCGGCAACTGGAGGAACTCGCACAGTACCTTGACTCTCGTGTTCCATCCTTCAGCTCCCTCGATCTCGTCTACCAACTCGATGAACTCCTCTGACGGTATACGTGCCACGGAATGAACAATTGGCTTTGGCTTTTTCGCCTTAGGCTTTCCACGAGGACGACCTGGCATGTGTGCTGAAACGACAACAGATCCTGATCAAGTTGAAACTGATAAAGAGCCACTGAGCCGGGAGTTCCGCAGCTCACTGGCCGATATGCCATAATGACCGGGGCGATTCGCAACTTCAAGCACTAAGCAAGTACAACCCACTACTATATTATGTAGTGAGAGGAATCTATGAACGCTAGTTGTAGTTGTCCACCTGACCCGGACCGTATCTTCAAACGATCCTCAGTGAATATTGAAATCTTGCTCATTAATCACCAAAGCATCTCCAACGCATTTGCATCGCGTTACCCATCGCTCCGTACCTTCTTCACTTTTCAGTTTATTGGATCAACTGGTCGACATCAACGTGCTGGGTCCGGCTGGGCCATAGGACACTCAAGTGTCAAAGAGAACCTTGCTCAATCATTCGAGAAAGCGGGTGTGCCATCTTCAAAGCTTGCTGTGGACAGTTCTGTCAACTCCTGCCAAGTAAGGACTAGTAGGACTAAGCTGTGTTGCAGTATTGATCCGCAGCTGGAAAGTACGGATCTCGGCGGGAAGGGCGTACAACATCGCAGAGCTAAAACAGGTGACAAAGCGCGGCTTTCAAAGATGATGTTCAGTAGGTGGGATCTGTCTCGGAGGTGATGCAATTGAACGTGTCTGGGAGTTTTGCCAAGTTTTGCCCTATAGTGCGCCAAGTGCCAGCTGTGCGGGACACTTCGTCAAAACTCAGCCCAAAGGAGTTTCGAAGAACAATTTAAGGTACGTGCGTTACCTCACTTACAGCAGATGTCAAGACCTCCAGCACCCTTCGGTAAGGTATTTCCTGGTTCGTGTATAAGCACCTACCATGCCCCACGTCTCCCTCCGCCTATCACACCTAACCTCCGCCCTCCCGCGCCACACGCCAAGCCTAACCGCAACCCCGGCGCTGTCAGACTCTCGGGAAAACCTCAGGCGGCAAAGGAGATTTAAGGAATACAGAAATAAATTTAATCACTCTCTAACTAAGGAAGATACAAACACAAACTAAAGATACATACAAAAAATTGTTGCAATGATCCGGGATTTGTTGGAGTAAGTATAGTCACAAATAACCTTTGATGCAAGCATGGAAGCAGATACAAATAGACGATGATCCGAAGAACTTCTGGCAGTGGGAAAGCGCGCGCCTTCAATCAATGAGGGCAGCGAAAGTGACGGACAAGTGGAGTTTGGTGTTATGGAGGGCATATGGGGGTGCTTGACTGGCGAGTGAAATGAGGATGGGGTACTCTGGACAAGCAAAGACTCGAAGATAGTGTGTCATGAACCGAGCACATACCAATCGCCAAGCCTGCTCGTGCGGGTGGTTCGGTGTCACGAAGGGAAAGTGGCCGCCGATCAGCTGTTGAAACGATCCGTTCAACCATCCCTGTTTGGCGTAGTCTCTTCGTAAATACTTGTTTTGATTAATTTGAGTCTATCCCACCAATCGGATGTTGCCGCTCGTGAAAAGAATTGCTGTAGAGTAGCGTTCGCTTGATGCTCTCGCTGATGGCCTGGTTGCCGTTCACGTTGGCGTCAGCGAGTGCCCGAACATTGACCTGAGTGGTAGCTGACGAGGTTTTCGAGGTCCTGCTATTACGTTTCAATTACATTCTTAACGTTACACGCTTACACGCACGTACCTTGTTTCCGGTAGCTTTGGGAAACCTTCGGAAGGTAAGTTAAAGGGCACTCATCACTCAGCCCAAAGTGGTTTTGCCCACTGCACTACGTAGCACATGGACGGGCATCAACGGGTTACGGTATGCATGAGGCTGGGGTGCTTTTCCGGACTGAATCACGTACTATGTAGATCAACTGATGGTGAGCTTTTTGTTACTAACTCCTTTATGCTTCTGCCTTTGATTAGGATTAGAGTCAGTATCCATATCCTGAAGGGCCGCGCTGCGATTGCGAACTGTGGAGAAGTACATAGTAGTACTAGTACTGGCGTTAATGTTGAACTTATCTTACTTAGACAAGTATCATATCTCTGGATCGGACTTTGAATTGTGGATTTTAATGGCGGGGCCCACCATCATTACGGCACAGGGTACGAATCACGCTGCACACACCGCTAAGCAGTGATCATGCCAGCAAATGCGAGTGGCCACTCAGTCCCTGTTTACGGAAACTATCATGGGTATGTGTCTAGGAAACTCCTCATTTTCTGTCTTTTGACCGAGAAATAAAATAAATATTTAGATATTACTCTAAGCGTCCCTTCATCCGAGATCCTCGACTGGCTTTGCTCCCCACTGAATTCTTCGTGGGCAAGCGAGTCTTGGATATTGGATGCAACGAAGGCTGGGTGACTTGTGAAATAGGTAGGCTACCTTTTGACGCCGTTCAGGCAAACCGTTTGTTTAGTTCAGGAACCAGGACAGTTCCGGGGGGCACGTCAGGTCGTCGGGGTTGATATCGACAATACTCTTATAAGAGCTGCCTGGAGGAGAAGGCGCACTGTCTGGGGTCTTCAGTCTCCTGAAGATGGAAATATTTCTGACGAGAGTTGCCCTTTGCCTGACCGACAACCACTCCTCGGTGATGCGACCACTCCGGACAATAGTGCTCACAATTATTTTCCTGCATCATGCGAACATAGTTACGGCCCATTGCCCATACCAGACAGAGGATGCGGTGCTTTCCCGCACAATGTCACCTTCCGAACAGTTGATTGGGTGAAGGACAAGATACCAGAAGATTACAATCAATACGACATCATTTTAGGGTACGTGTCGTAGCTGTTCCTGAAGAAAAGAAATAAATCATATCACCGATATGATAGGTTCTCTATCTCAAAATGGATTCATCTAAATAACAAAGACGAAGGACTACAAGAATTTTTCTGTAGAGTTCACCAATGTCTAAAAATAGGGGGTGTTTTCGTCCTTGAGCCACAACCTTGGGACACTTACTCAAAGGCTCGAAGGATGAGCGAGACTCTCAAAGAGAACGCAAAAAATCTTCAACTGCGTCCTGATGGTTTTGGGGAACTACTGGAGAACCTCGGGTTTAGTCACGGTCAGCGTCTTGGGGTCACTGGCAAAGGCGGTAAGCTGCATTCATTCCCGAATAGCTGGTCCTGATTATGTCTTTAGGTTTCTGCCGTCCTGTTGATTTCTACGTGAAGCAGCGATGATATAGGAATGATGCTAGACCGAATATATTCCTGCACTGCTGCCAAAATGATTGTGTGGTATCAATCTTCACACCCCCCAACACACGTGAACTCAGTTATTCGCGTTAACGTCGGGTCCCGACATGCTGTATTTTGTGTATTTGTCTGATGGAGGCCCGATTTTTTTTATCCTTGTGCGCCATCGATATTATTTTTTACACTGCCTTCCTATGAATGAATTGGTAACATCACCAACCTCATGTTCAGGAGAAGTCTACTGCACCACCGGAGGACCACCGAGCCAATCGTGTCCATTGTTATCTGGAAATTCAAGTTTTAGTTCGTGGAGGACTGTGGGTGGCTGTACATTCGGGACTCGCCCCTGATCCGGTAGCAGCACCACCATTCCTACACAAAAAACGTCCACCTCACCACCGAAGCACCCCCGAGCCCGTTGTGCGCAGCACAACTGTGAGGGACTTCAAGTCATAGTTGCCGGAGAAGTGTGGGATGGCTGTGCATCCCGCACGCAGTATTCGTATCCCCGACGAGACTCTGCAGATCCTGTGCTCACTGCCCTCACTCGTGATGCCAAGGTCCAATGGTATTCTGTGGATTGATAGTTCTGCCGCAGCCAGGCATTCCAGTCATGAACGTGAGGATTCTTGCCTGACTGCACTAATCATTGGCATCTAGTCTCAGTCAGAAGACTCAAAACCAGCGAGGTAGAGGTATGCGTATTTTCTCTCATCTTCCCAAAAATAATGACTTTCTTGTCATAATCTTGAACGTGAAGCAATCTTCACGCCTGAGACGTCTATCATTGGGATGATTGAAAAAAATCGTGTTCATCCTTACTCGGGCGCTCCGATAGACGGTAATCAGGTGGGCGTTTGCTTGTGCGCCTATTCTTGTACAGGTCTTGGCTGTGACGGTTATTCGATGATATCCTGATCTTTGGGCTCCAAATCGGCTGACCGGCCGTCTCGGACCTCGGTCGGTACGTTTTGGGCCTCGGGCTTCAAAGATAATGGATGGATTAGATGTAGATGCAAGACTAGTACTGAAGGTGACTAAAAAAAACTGTGTTGATAGTGTTATTTGATGCTTCCTGCGGCCATGCCGTGATAGCCCCGCAATATATATAAGTACTAAGGACTACAACTAGAGTCCAAGCAGTCATCCACTTCTCCCGCGAGGCATGTCTACAGCCGGCAGACAAATCCACAGTGGCAGGAGTCGCAAAAAGATCCTGCAGCGCCTCTACCGTTCGACCGAGGCGGACGACTTCTCGCAGCTGCGACAGATCATAAAAGAATTAACGCAAGAGAATCCGCACACACGCCACGATATTCTGATGAAAGGTTGGTGGATTAAACTCTTGATATTAGCAACGAAATGGCTGACTTGAGAGTAGCTGCTGAGATTATCAGGCAGCTTGACAGAGAGTACCGTTATCTTCTCACACGAGAACAGACAGTTTCGGCTTCAACCAGTGTTGCTAGTAGTGCTAGTTCTCCCATCATGCATCACCCTGTCCCCCATCCTACAAGTGAGTCAGTAATGTTGAATCCCGAAGGATCATGCTGATGCACAAGCCAGTACCTGCTGAGAGTTGGCCAGTGAACTATGACCACCAAATGATGTTGATGCATTCGAGTCCAAATATGCCTTCTTCGTCTGTAGCGTACAGTACTGTGTATCCTCCCGCGGATGAGGCTGCATATAATCTTGCATATAACAGTGGATATTTTCTTGGATAGCCAGGTGCTATTTTGTATTTTATTGTATATTCTACTTAGTTACATAGGACAATCATGGACACGTCTGGCTTTGCCGCACCTACAAGATTGTAGATCCTGGTGATTGCACTATCAATATCGATCTCATCGCTCGCGGACTTTCAACTTGAACTTCATCTCACAGAGACGAGGTTGTCGTTGTTGGACACCGTTGCCGGTGACGTTGACAGAACACTTTTGGTTTTTCATACATGACCCGATATCCTATCCATTGCCATCAATCTGGTCTTTGTTCTTTCTATCAATGAATATGCACATCACACAATGCGCTCGGTAGCTGTACTGATGGGACTCCGCGAAGCCTATTTGTTCATGCTCATCGCATCGTTGACCGAAGGCAGAACAAGAGGTACCGCTGTACTGGCACGTCCGAAGATCTATCTACGCGTAGAGTGCGCAAGATATCATTGGCGGTGTGAGTCCGTTCCGTCGATCAGATTGCCTCTATATACCTTGATGTCGGACCTGGACCCTTATAAGTGCCTCTTAGGTATTCGCAATCACGGATCACTGTTTGAGTGACTATAGGAGCTGAGAAAATTCGTCTCCCCTAGGCAGACCACATGTTCAGGGCGCCAAGACAACCTGTGTTCCCCGATTGTTCCCTGATTCTGAAAACTTTTTAAGCGCTCGACTTTGAAGTATCTGATTCGAAGGCTTACGCACATGGCTCGGTGACTTGCATTTAGCTCTCAGAGGGCCCCTTTGTCGAAATGGTTGATCATAGGCATCAACTTGTTGCTTGAGACCTCCAATTTGCTAGGGCTACGAGGTGCATGTAGGAGAGTCACTGGACGGTGTAATGTGGTTGTCCAGGTCAGGCTCCTTGAAGTTCAAGTGAGAACAATCAGAACGGGGTTGTTGTCATACTTACAATCATTCCAATCATGCAACTAAAGATCGTACCAGCGAGCATCGCGGGTGACGACTATGATTCACGGTGTGATTGGGTTTTCCGAATTTGCTATTCTCTAGGTTTGTTGTTCGTATGGCGGACATAAGGCCTTAAGGTAGCACCCATTCGAACCCAGCATCGGTTTTGAAAAATGTTCATAAGCTTTGATGCATGATGCATTGATGTCACAGATGCTGAGCAGTGAGGGTGCCAGTGAGCGCCGTAGCACTCAACGAGTGATGCGGACACTTGAAACATGATTCGGTCACGTGCAGGCGCCAATGTACCCGAGCCGCCCGCCGCACCTTAATTTCTTTTGCCACAGCTCGAACCGAAATTTCAGTCTTCGGTAATGATAACTCACTTCAACTCCCCCGAGCTACGATGGATGTTCCTGACATATTCGACATGGCTCCATGGCGCTGCTGTATTTTGTTGGTCTTGACCCAAGACCCAAGGTAGCTCACTGGAAGTTCAGGGACTTGACGCATATTTTCTTCTTCAGCCATTGTCATGATGGAAGCCCGCTCGATGGCATGCGAACCCTCATCACGTCGTAAGCGATCTTATACTACCACGACGAGCCATGTTTCTCACAGCTAAGTACTCTTCCTCAAAAAGCTATTTATGGATGACAACCTCGGGCTTGTCCAACTGCTGCCTTTTAACCTCTCATTGCCAAGCTGTGGGCATTTAAAGGTCAAGAAGCAGCACGCTATTATCAGCGAACGGCGATAACCACGAAGTATTCACAGTGTAGCTATGATACCACCGGAGGCAGACTCGGTAAGCACATTGGAGACTCATCTATTCGTCTTGACATGTGCGCTATGCGGGCTTATGTAGGGTGATCATTTGGAAGTTACAGTCCAATTCGTTGAAGTAGCATGGCTACAGTTCGCCCGCCAGCACGCTCAAGCCTCCAATCTTCTCTTTTCTATTAATACAGGCACTCATTACGTGTACTGGGGCGACCCATACTATGTCCTTGAAGTCTCTTTATCTGTAAGTCATTTGGCCCTCCGGCTTAGTTGTCAGCGGCTAGTAACAAGTTGTATCCCGATGCCATCTCGCTTAGAGCCAGCAAGGTTTTCATCGAGCCATCAATGGCACGTTGACAGCTGTTGACATGGACAGTTGTCATGACCCTGTGCAATACTGTAATCTTATATCCTCTGCGTCGATGATCCGGCCTCGTTCGATATTTTTTTGGCAAAGATACTAGTAGGCTCAGTGCAAAGTGGTCAACCCGAGTGCGCGAAAGGGCTAACTTTTTCCCAATCGGCGGCCTCATTCCATTCCTCTGCGACTAACAAGCATCGCTTCAGTACCATCTTCCCCTGCGGCGTTTCGGCACGTTCTCATGTCTATTCAGGACTTGTGGGCGTTTTACGATCTGCTATGCCGCACTGCCACCGATGCGTGTTGAAATAAGTATTGACTGTGTTCCTTTTTCACTTGACAAGGGGCAAGATCTTTTGTCAGGTACTTGATATTGGCGGGACTCGGCGGGCGTGTACTTTGTGTCTCTCCCGAAGAAACCTGGGTCCTGCATATCACTACAGCAATATACCATATCCTACCATATCTCACAGTCCAACAAGAACTCCATGTCCGGATGGTAACCTGGGTTCCAAACATCCTCGCTGATGTCCGGATGGTTCACCCAGGTTGAATCAAAATCAGACCGGAGGCATTATCAGGCCCTGGTCCTGGATTTGCACGCTTTCAGCGCTCCAGCATGCGCCGTCTAGTTCTGCCCTAACGATCGTCAAATGTCGTTTGACCCTTTGGTCACTGTGGCTAATTTGGAATTCATAAAATTTTACTGTCCACATTTTAAGTTCCACGCCATCCCTAAGGTTCGCCTCGCTACTTAACTATAAGTGTGGGAAGCATCTGACGCACTGACCTCATAAGGTACGACCTCGGTGCATCAGCCACTAGTGTGGGGCGGATTTTGAGCACATAGCTAAAGGCTTACAGCACCGAGATCCTTTCGATGACACAAAAAACTGCTTCGCGCTACTATCCGCCGATGTATGTAAAACATGACCTGTGAAACATTAATGGCGTGAAAAAGAAAACAATCTGAAAGGTTCCTTAAGCTTAGCAGGTTGTTTTCATGTTTGTGATTAAGATGGTATGCCTTGGGTATATGATCATGAATACAGACAACAAATACACATATGTACATGTAACAAGATGAAAAATCGCGTGCCATTATATTTGGCAAACTTCGCTATCAATCATTGCTTGCTATCATTCAATGTTTTCAGCCATCCAGTGCCCTCTTCAGCGCTCACTATGCTTGCGTCTTCTGGTTTCGGCTTCATCGCCTCAATCTGGACCGTCGTTATCTGTCTCGAGGTTGTCCCCTCTTGATCGGAGGTCATAGCGTACGTGCTAACGGGAAACTGCGTCATGATGACACTTGTGAAGATTCCGGTAGACGACGTGAAAGACTGATCGAGATCAAAAGTCTCTTTCGACAATACGCGGTATGCAAATGTAACGATCACCAAGACGTTGCAGATGACGAGACTGAGCGCAGCCTAAATTTTCGTCAGATGTCGCAGAGGGATGCAAGTAACGGAGGGGTGCTTACCTTGACATGTGCGAAGATGAGCGTAGTTTCTGATAATGGGCTGAAGAGGACTACAGAGTGGGGGATGGTGATGGCAGTGATTAGAAGCGATGCGCCAAATGAGGACAAGACCAATATTCTTCTGCTACGCGAGAGCCCTACATTTGACCAGAGCTGCAGCGGCGCAGCTACGAGAGAAAAATCCGCGATGACGTCCGCTGTGGGAACCAATAAAATAAGGACCATACCAACCAAAAATCACAAACAGGTACTGACTGATCAGTTGTGAGACTGCCACAGTCTTGGCCATCTGGCACCCGTGGAATATGCATATGTTGATCTTTTGCACGAGCAGCGCGACCCACATGCACGCAAATGATACTGCAATGAGATGAGGAATCCATCTGTGGACCTTGGAACCTGAATGGTTGGCGATTCGAATGATGGAAAAAATGACACTCATACGCGCAGCCCTGGACCGGTTAGTTGGCACTGTACATGAATCATGACGAGTACGCTGTGATGCGCACCACAGGACGGAGGTTAAAGCAATTGCGAGGACCCAGGGTGGGACTGATATGAATGTGAGATAAATCTCGGAGGGCAAAGTCAAGCAGCACTAACATATCAAGGGGCTGGATGCCGATGGTTTGACCCAGATGGTTGCCAGGCAGAGAACTGGAGTTAACAGGGGTTGGTTTACTGAGTAAGGCAGCGTGCAAGGAAAATTCTACCATCTGAGATCATTGAAACGGCTGCCCATGCGTCTTCCCACCAGACGCGACGCGTCCAACCTCTGTAAACAAGCCTGAAGACCGTGCTGGCTATAGCGATGCTGTGGGATACCGATCCCGCGACTTTTTCGAAGAATGATAAGCAGAAGAGCACAACATGATAGCTATTTTCAACTCACCGGGCAGCCGATAGTAGATGGATTCCATTTATTTGAAAACTCTCCTGGACAAGGATACGGGTGAGTTTTACACACCGACATTGCAGGCCAGCCGTATATGTAGCGCGGAAGCATTTTCTGCGCATATCTTTGAGATTATCTGATTATCAGGGTGTGTTCACGGCATTTCGAGCTGGTGACGACAGCCTGCAGGGCCACGAAGACCGACTGTTTGGCATGGTCTCACAAAACGTATGCCATGTGCTTGTTGGAATGTCATGCCAATTAGTGTTCCTCTCGCACGCTTCAGCATTGAACATACTCTGTGACAGATAATAAGCTTCAGGCTCGACATATGCCGATCATGCGAAGAGGAAAATATTCTCACCTTCATGGTATACAACAGGATTGTTGATCAGAGGTCAGAAGATGTAACCGAAATGAATTTTGGGGTGCCATGGTCGATATAACAGGCGAACTTGAATGTAAGATGTGAGCAAAGAAAGTCTTGTCATCAAGGGATATGCTAAACTCATATATTATTGCCATGGCGCCGCCCTGTGCACGCACGGCCGTCTCCCGAACCTGCACTGATGATCTTCTTCATGTGGAGGGTCGAGTGACAAGCAGTTTGTGAGTTGTGGCCGCGATCGAGCGTTCGTTTCCCTGAACCAGCTCACGTCGCCGTCACTGGCAAGTGGGAACTCAAACCTTATTGTCGGGCTACTCATCAAATCGGGAAGGACCGGTTTTGTCGGCTAAACCTTGCTTGTTCTGTTGAAAGCAAAGGAGTGAGTGTGATCAAAGGTGTCTACAAATACAATCCTTCGGCTTATAAGTCCAAGCTATATAGCTCTGTTCTGTGTAAATAAAATGGGACCGCTCCTGTGCTTCTGACAAGCAAAAAGGATAAAGATACGCGAAAAACCTGCTGCTGCCGCTGCGCTGGGATGTTATAGCGTAGTTCATCGCCAGGTAGCGAGGCTGACAGCGGGGAATACGACTAGTGAACGGAAGATGCCGAGTCCAATTTATATCCTCTCGTACATACAGATGTATGCCTTGCTCTTTAAGACCTCGTCCAAAGAAGATAGCCGCACTGTGGTATCACTGATATACGCCCAGTCGCGGTGCGGTCGGTCTGCATGAGCTAAGCTGTCGGATTCAGTTACCGATAACGTCTCTTCATCTTCCTTCGTGGCTGAAGGGAGGGCAGTGTACGCGATATAGTGGCCACCAAGCTACGGATTCAATAATGAGATCTAAATTCCGTGTGTAGTGGTCAACACTTACCATGTTCCCGATATGCACAACTACGGCATATAGCCTATACATGCACCGCTCGGGACGTTTGGTCCGACCGCGAACATACCCTGGCTTGGCGTCCGAATACTGTTCCCGTCTGGGTGCCAAGTAAGGTGCAATGTCGAGGTATTCTGGGAATGAAACGTAATCCTCCAGCTTCTTAAAATTGGAGGAGAAGGACATGATGGGAACTTTTGACATCTGCTGGAAGCGTTTCATGTGAATGACAAGAATCGGCGGGGGCGTGGCAATGAGATAGCGTTTATACGCTGCTCGCATGATCACTTTCTTGGACAGAGGGACACCCGTGGAATCGCGAATCTTTGAACGCTGTTGTAGTGGTGCGTGAGGTGTTGGAGAGACCATGAGGTTCTCTTGAGAGACGTTTGGCGATACTGCCGGTGATACAGCAGTAGAAGAAACATCCGAATAAGCAGATAAATTAGCAGACGCCCCACTTTCCTCGTCGGAACAGCCTTCGCTCTCCGTTGTATTAGCAGGACGTTTCTCCTTGTTACGTTTTGGTGTGGGAGCGTGCAAAGAAGCCTGGGATGACATGGAAGCGGCCGGCGACCCCGTCGTAACGGGCCTGGCTGTCTTAATAGACATCGGCGACTCCGGAGCGGTGGTAGATATCAATGGAATAGGAAGGCCACCATATGTTGCGGGACGAGGTGTTAAGGTAGAGGGTAAATGATCATCGCTCGTCAGCTCCAAGGAGGGTGGTAGAGGTTTGGTGCTATGTGAACCATAAGAGGTATCAAGAGTTGTGTCACCAGGGAATGATCTTGGGGTATCGTGGCTATCAGGGGTATCGTACAAGGAAGTGGCAAAGGAAGTGGCAGAACTTGAGGGAGATATCGACGACCTGGGACGATCGAGATGATTTAGTATCGTTGTGTGATGTGCGCTCCCATTGAGGTGTTGCGTCTGGATGGGCCGGTCTTCATCATCTGAACTCTCGTTTTCATCGTCGCTGTCAGTGCAGGAATCAGAATCCTGATTCTGTCCGCTCGACCTAGGTTCATAAAGACCATTGGCGATCTTCCAACAACGATGGCACTTGACCATGTTCTCCCCATCGAGAACCTCAACCGAGGTAAATAATCTCAAACACTCTTCCAGACCGCCAAGCTGAGGGATCTTCAAAAACATGTTTTGAGTGGTAGAAGTGCCCGCGCTGGACTGGTCCTTGGTCTGCTTGAAGATAGAAAATGGACCTGCAGCGCCTCCTGGACTGATATCGGCTAGGATATCGCGAAGATAAGCTGCTTCATCAGCACTCATTTTCGGGGGTCTGGGAACTTTTGAACGTTTGCTTGTTATGGAGGGAGTAGGTTGTCGTGAGATGAGAGGAAAACGGGGTGTGGAGGAGACTGAGGGTGAAGGAGACGGCCTTTGCACTGGCGACCACGACCGTTTAACTGCCGCGAGTTGTGACTGCAACAGGTCATTGACGGCGCTAAGAGATGTCGGCTCTCGCTCGATATTAACATCAGGAGAGTCGAAAGGCTGGACAGTGGGTACTGTAGTGTGGAGAGACGGAGACGGAGGGTGGAGATCGTCCTCCTTTGCGTTACGCTGATGTGAGGCGTCTTTTCTGGCTTTCTTCTCTTCTTTCGAGCGACGTCGATCCTCCCTGGATTGCTTGGTGAGCCCAACTGACACACTAATTCTTCGCCCAAGCTTTGACCAGCTTTCCGACTTCTCCTTTTTCTCGCGGCCATTGCCCAGCGAAGGTTCGCTAATCTCTATATGTTCCCGTCCCTTCTGTAGCGTTTCGGCTTCTGGAGGCTCGTCAATTTGGAAGTCGGAAGTTGCAGCAAGCGAATTATCAGATTCCGGTGGGTGGTGTTCGAGGTGTAATTCGGTTTGGGGTAGAGATGTGTATGTTCCTGTGGTAGTTTCGTGGTTGGTATCTTGGTCCGCATGCTCATCCGCCGCAGCTGCCACCTCGACATCCGCCAAGTCAATGCTCCGTCGTCTATGCGGATCAACGACTTCTGTGTTCTCCAATGTCGAATCTCTATGTGGAGTAGCCGGGACAGAAGAAGATCGCTGCACAGGAATGACGCTGAGCGCCGTTCCGGATATATTGCGCAGTTTCTTAGCGAGCTGCTTCAGCTTGTCCCGCTTACGCTCGCGAGCATAGTCCTCAGCCTTGATGCTTAAGCTGAGGTCGTTGAAGTCTTCGTATGTGTGGGAAACGTGCTTGCAAGCCTGACACACAAGGATGCTGGCCAACTTACCCCCGAAAAGCATGTCAACAAATGGCGCTAACGTCTCTTCTTCTAGGGGAGATGCCTCAGCGTCCGGTGTGCTGACAACCTGCCCGAGTGGTGAATGTCCCATATGCGCACGATCATGAGCGTCAGTGTTCGGCGGCGCGTGTCCCTTCGCAGGAGAGCGTTTTCTCCTTTTGCCCTTGACAGAAGGCTGTCGCTTTTTAATGATCTACGACATGTGAATGAGTGAACATGAATTGTATTATGACTGTTACTCACGTCAACCTCCTCCATCTGCATTGCGTCAAGGAGATGCCTTAGGAATTCATGCGCATCTTGCTGGCGAAAGTCTAGATATTGGTCGTATTTCTGCCCAACGGATGCTAAAAGCTCTCTAACGTCAAGTGATGAGCAATGTTTCTGTTTCACCAGCCCAACACTTACTTGGGCTTCAAGTAATTTCTCTGTCGGTCATCTTGCATGAGCCACGCCTGCCGCAAGAGTGTCACAAAACGATCTCCAATGGGTAATCCCGGAGTCCAAGGGCGTTCATATTGCCCCGCTAGACCATGACCATTTGTCAACTCAGGTGATCGGTGGGATGCAACTGGGATTGATGCAGACAGCTGGACTGCGGGAGGGATATCCTGGAATAGGACAAGATGAGATAGATGTTGCGTGGCGATCAGCTGCAGAGAAAGACATCAGAACATACTCTACGTGCACTGAAACAGAGGATGAAACGGACTCACACCCTGCAACACAGAGTTCATGAAACAAGTATTACCGTGGTTTAACAATCCCGGCGGCAGTAGCGCGTTCTTCTCTCGTTCTTCTCGCGCTTTCCGTGCTCGGTAGATCTCCTGAGGAGTGAGAGACTTTTGCTTCACCATTCTAGATGAGTTCTAGTTGTGACTGGATGAAAACTACAGTGAAGTCCAGCGCGCTGATAATGTCAACCAGAGAGTTGCGCCTGCGGCGGAAATGATCCTCAGCATGCAAATTGAAAAGGCCAGATAGATCAAGTCAATGACTCGGAAGCATGGACTGCGCCGTAGGTGTCCTTGGATCGCGGCGCCGGCCATACCGCTTACCGTCAGTAACATGGACACGTAAGAATCAATCTGCATTTGGCAAGTGAACCCCTCGAGAAGAGGTCGATATCTAAAGTCTACAGCCTCACGCAGCTAATAATCTTGCAAAGCACTCTCCAATTGTCGAAGGAGCGTCCCATTCTCCTCGGCGGTCCCAACAGTGATTCTCAAACATCCATTACATCCAGCCTCTTTCCCTCTGAACCTCACTACAACTCCTCTGTTCTCGGCGAGCTCCGTATAAACAACGTTTGCCCGAGCGTTGTCAGGAACTCTGGTTTCTTTATTGAGGATCGGGACCACCAAGAAGTTTGCATCATTTCCGCCAATGACGTCTCCTACACCAAGGGCAGAAAGACTCTCGAGAGACTTCTGTAGCTGTTTCCGCGACTCTACGAGCGCCCGGCATTTCAAATGCATGCTTTGAACTGCCTCCTCACCCAGCGCAGCGAGCGCTAACTGAGCAGACGGAGTGGAGATATTGTACGGGGCTTTTGTGTTTGCAAGCACTTGAATCAATGGCGGCTGTGCAAGGGCGATACCGAGCCTGAAGTGAAATTGTCAATTAATACAGGTACCGATGAACATACACTCACCTAATCGCAGCGAGGCCAAAGCTTTTGCTCAAAGTTTGCATTACACACAGATTGGCATAATCTTTGATTAGGGATACAGCGCTGGTACCCTCGCCAGCAAAGTCGATATACGCTTCGTCGACAACAACGATACCTTTGTATGGCTCGTAGTCTAATATTGCTTTCACAGCTGCCAGGCTGATCAGAGTACCAGTTGGGTTCCCTGGTGAGCAGAGGAAAATGAGTTTAATAGAAGGGTCGGCCAAGACAGCTGCTTTTATCTACAAGTCGTTGGTCACTTGAGAATCATGCAGAACGTGTCACTCACATTATCAACCAGCAAGCTAAATCGACCGTGTTCTCCACCCTCTCCCTCGCTGCCGCTCAAATTGAGGTTACAACGAACTAGCCCAATATCATTCACTTGGGCGCAGACAGAATACATTCCATAAGTTGGCGGGGTTATCAGAATCTTCTCGGTTACGGGTGCAACGCAAATTCGCATCAAGAGATCAATGACCTCGTCAGATCCGACGCCCAGAAAGACATGATCCTTCCCGGGCAGCGATCTGAGAGATGCGATGCGAGATTTTATCCCGTCATGAGAAGGATCAGGGTATCGATTTAAGTCTGCATCTAGTGTCGATGAAAGCTCCTGTTGGATCTGGTTGGACGATCTGGGAATAGAGTGTCCAAGAGCGTTTTCATTTGCATCGAGGAGGATTCCCTCTTGGTAGTCATCGCGTGCACATCGGTAAGGATGGAGAGCGAGGATATTTGGCCGAATGACTTTTTCAATATCAAAATGCGCAGGTTTGATTGGAGCGGTAGAAGGGGCCAGCCCAAGGATTGGCATGATAAAGAGGTGATGAGCGTGCTGAAAGAAATCTACGCTGTGGACACAACTGACCGAGTCATTCTGGAGGTTCGCCAAGATCGATCACAGTATACGTAAATCAATTTGTTCAGTCCGTGCAAAATCCGTATCCACGCGTAATACGTTAATCACACTTAGATCTTGCATAAATGAAACATTGTACATAGTAAATTTAAGATGGTACTACCTTCCATACCTTAACAGAGCCATCATCACCAGCAGTGGCCAATAAATCTGGATGATCTGGCCGAGGGCACCATGAGACAGAATTGATGTCACTGACGTCGTGAGCTCCAGATATTTTCGCAAGTAGTTTTGCGCTCAGGGGATCCTTGGTGTGTTGTGTTTCCTGAGAAGGTTTGTCACTCTCGATGCACCAGAAAAAAAGCGTGAAACATACAGTTATCTCCCAGACATTGATTTTACCATCGCCGCCAGTGGTCGCGAGCCACCCAAGATTCTCACTCTCGCTCTTCCCAACTCCCCAGCTGATCGAGTAGATACTCCTTTCATGCCCCCTCAGCTCCAATACGGATTTCCATTTGTGTTCTTCTACTCTCTGCCATATCCTGATCGTAAGGTCATCGGAGGATGAGGCGAGATAACTCCCTCGAGGCGACCAAGCAAGAGACCAGACGGTCGACTTGTGACCAGAAAGGGTCGAGAAACAAAACCAGTCTTCAGAAGGATCGTCTATGTAGAGCCTTATGGTATCGTCGTACGAAGCGGATGCAAGTATCTGTCCTGAACCCCTGTCAGTTGTGCACATTATTCCAATGGCAGGCATTTGACCTCTTCGGAAGGGTGCCATGCAACGCATTTCACGTCCTGGCTATGTTCCATGAGTACGCCCATACATTCAAAATCTGCATCGGGTTTAACTGATAGGATGGGATCGTTGAGCAATGCAGTAAGGTGAAACCCAGAAATACTCACCCTCCCAAATCCATACAGTCTTATCTCTGCTGCAGCTCGCTAGCAGTGTTCCTGAACTTGAATATCCGACACTCTTGCATTCCGTTTCATGCCCTTCAAGCAGAGTCACGCATTCCCAATCCCCCGCAGTTTCCCCTGCATCCTCGGAGTCCGAAACATCCTCTCGCTCCCATATCCCGACATTGGAATCGAATGATCCGGTGGCAAGCGTCTTGCCTGATGGTGCCCATGCGATACTGCGTACGGTTTTCGTATGTCCCGTCGGAATAGTGCCCACGTGTGAAAAGGCCAGAGCTTTACTTCCGTGGTCGGATGGCCGGTAGCTGTACATTCGCACAGACTTGTCTGCGGAGCATGATGCTAGTAGAGGCTTGGCGGGATTCCATGCCACCTGCCAAGCGCGTTCATCGTGTCCTGCGGTAAAACATCGGTCAGCAAAGATAAAATCACCATTCTATATCGGCACTACCTAGAAGATCGGAAATGAGTTCAAGCTTGCAGGGTAGGTCGACGTCCATCGCGCCGTTTGGCTTGGCTGACAAATCGTGCTATATCTTAGGCTTACATAAGCAACACAACTTTGTTTGCCCCATGTTTTGACGATCAGCCTGAGTGCGGCAGGTTCTACCTGGCCACCAGCTCACTCGCAAACCTACACGTTGTAATCGGAGCACGCCTATCAGACTGTGGGTGCATGTGTGGTCTGGCGGCGTTAAATCTTGAGCTTGCCCCAGAGCGCGAGGTGAAGCTGTTGTATTTATCACGTTCCCTTCAAGTTAACCTCCAACCACGAAGTAAGCACTCGTTCTCAAATTTAAATTTAGTCCCACTTTCGAGCGTGCGAAACCAACATTTTATAGTTTTGCGTATTACCTGTCCCGCTCCAGTGTGGCGCCTCCACAAAGCACACTCCTTGCTCGACGCAAAAATGTTCATGATGGCATTCAATGGCAATCTCGGTCCCAACCAGAGAACAAAGCATGTTATTTAAGACAGCAGCATTTATAGACAGCGGTACTACCGTGGTTGATCGATCTAGTATGTCGCCGTCGCAGACCGACCATCCGCCGAATTTACCGCTATGTTGAAAAGGTTTGCTCACGTTGTTGTTCTGCAGTGAACTTCAGCTCGGATCTTGGCTGCACGCCGGGAGCAAGCGCGTCGCCAGCATACGGAATCTTTTAAACCAATTATATGGTCAGTATTGTGAGTCATCGGGGGAATGCAACTCGATCGGAGTTTTACGCAGTATTGCGTATGCTAGAGTCGAAACGCGAACCAGCAAAACAGGACAAAAAGGCACGCTCGACTCCGAAACGAGACTTTGTCCGTGCCTCTTGATCGTAGAGCCTGGAATTACGTTTTTCCTCGCCAGTATTTGACGGCAGTCAAATCAGCCTATCATGGTTGACTCCATTGGTCACAATAGGCGGCTAGGCTTTCTCCGGAGTGTTCTACCTACCCCATGACGTTTTAGGCGTAAATGCCCACTGTCGTGGAATGCCTGTCGTGATCTGTCGAACCGCACAAGCCGACAAAGAAGCGATGTTTTGCCGCTCGCATGATATTCACGTGATCGCGTCGGCCTCGTCCTTCATCGCGGTAGTCTGGAGGACCGCAGGCCAACATCAATTCTTTCTTCTACCTGGCGTACTACTACCACCATGATTTAGAGATCAGACTCTCTTCACCATAGCGTCTACTCAATGGTTGCATGCAGAATTCGCGCGAACTTCGGCCACGACTGAGAACGCATGATGTGTGTCTTTTCCTGGCGGAACATTTTACGCTGCGTATTTTTAACGCCCTAACCCATACAAAAGACAGTCACATCATACGATTAATCACTCAGCCGATCCCTGCTCTTTTCTTGTGAAATGGCCATCAAGTTTTCGTATTCCTTTGTTGTTGCCGCTCTCAGCACCATGACGGTCGCTGTCAACGCTCAGACATTTGCGCCGCTGCAGTTTGCAGGTGTAAATATTGCAGGTTTTGGTGAGTGCTGTACTGCTGCCGTTACTCGTTATATCCATGCTCCTGTTCCACAGACTTCGGGTGTGGTACAGATGGCACTTGCATTGTCTCGGACGCTGTTCCCCCTGTCTATCAACTGTCCGGTAGGATTTCTCTTGGAGAACTCTCTCACACTCTGATATACCCACTAGGTGTTGATGGTTTGGGTCAAATGCAACACTTTGTTGAGAATGACGGCTACAATGTGTTCCGTCTTCCAGTTGGCTGGCAGTATCTCACATACAATCAGTCGACTGGTGTCTTAAATGAGACTCAGTTTTCCAACTATAACATGCTGGTGTCCAACTGCCTGAGCACTGGGGCTCATTGTGAGATTGATATCCACAATTATGCCAGGTACGACGGACAGGTTAGTGACCGTGCCCCTGTCATTGCTAGCGATGCCCAACTCGATAACAGATAATCGGTCAAGGTGGTCCAAGCAACGAAATATTTGCTGAGCTCTGGTACAATATTGCTTCGTACTGGAAGAACGAGCCGAAAGTCATTTTTGGGGTGTATGTTATCTCCGCTGCATCTACGGACCACTAACTCATTGGCAATCAGTATGAACGAACCTCATGATATCCCAGTACGTTACTTGCATATTCTACGACAGACTATGCTGACGTGGATGTAGAATATCGTCACTTGGGCAGAGTCTGGTATGATATCTCTTGATGGATATTTTCCCTTCTGACGATGTGATTTCACGATTGCAGTTCAGGTATGTATTCTGTGTTCACAGACTAACGCTGTAACTGAGGTTTCTTGGGAATAAGTGTGCAGTTACAGCCATTCGGTCAGCATGTTTGACTATTTCTGTTTCGCCTCTTAACTGAAAATCATATGTTCGGCGTTCAGGGAAGCCGGCGCTAATAGCCAGATGATTCTCCTACCCGGAAACAACTATACTTCTGCGCAGACATTCGTTTCTAGCGGTTCTGCTGCGGCCCTTGGCATGGTGCGGAACCCTGACGGCACATTCACCAACCTCATAATGGACGTCCACAAGTACCTCGACTACGATAATTCGTTAGTACAATCATTTTCTTGCCTATACAACTGCTCATACCACTCAGTGGCACCCACGCTCCATGCGTGACCAACAACATCGAGGATGCATGGTACCCTCTGACCACCTGGCTCCGTGAAAACGGTCGCCAGGCCCTCAATACTGAGACTGGTGGTGGGAACGTCGACTCTTGTGTTGGCTACATGTCGCAGCAGATTGGCTACCAAGCTGCTCAGTCTGATGGTGCGTTTTCACCCATTATCCCTCACACAAGTTAACCGCTATACTTTGTAGTCATCCTTGGCTACCTTGGCTGGTCGGCTGGCTCCTTCGCCACAAACTATGTTTTGTCTCAGGTACCCTACTACAACGGCACCGGGTGGAATGACACACTCTTGGTCTCGATGGCCATGTCTCCCATGACCAACATGCTCGTCGCATCTGTTGTATAAAAGTGGAGTAGGGTATTCTACCTAGACACACTTTCTGTAATTTTAAGGAGCGTCATCCCATTTACCATCCACATGTGCTAGTGTGAAGTGATTGATCGATGGTTTCAATAACAGTTCTGGATGCTCATTGTTCCTACTACATAGTACTTCCTTTACATCCTGTGTCAGTGATGCGGATCATCGACCGATAATTATATGTTCCTACTCTGATCAACATAAATACCTGGTACGTCGACTGTGGGCATCGAATAGCCAAACGATGGGATGCTGGATACAACCCGCTTTGCATGTCTCTGATTGCGTCTTGTTTTTCCACCTCAAATCTTTAAGGGCCAGACGCCTGGTACTCTGGGCCACTGTGAACTTCGTTTTCGACGTCTTTCCTCGTGTCGCATGCTACTTCGCATTTTTCTTGTCCTGCTGCCAGAAAGGCGGTCAATACACATTGCGATGTGGCCCATCACGACGATCCTCAATATTTGACCTGGAGGTGAGTCCCATTCGTACCTGCAATATCCGTACCTGCGCTGACCTCGACCTCGAGCTGTTTATGTTCTGTATTGTGATACGTACCTTTAAATGGGTGTCATTCTTTATTATCTAGATACTCAACCTGTGGCTTGGGGATGATCAATCATCGATCTTAGTAACCTTCGAAGTGTGGCACCTGCCCTTGTGACCATTCGTTATGTGTGAGTTAACACCCTTATGTCTATAGACACCCCCTGGTATCGATCGTAACCGCGCTCGGCCGCGCCAGTGAGTCCCGACTCCAGTTCGAATCACCTTCTTGCAAGACTATAATTAAAGTTTAAGAGCTTAAGACGTAGCACCGGCTGGTGTGCCCAATGTACTGAGTGTCTTTACAGTCATTGTAATCTTGCGTACTAGTCATTGCTCTTGAAGTATTAGGATTTTTAGGAGGTTCACGCCACCACTAACGCACGGTGAACATATCAACTCAACCCTCATTCCTCGGCCAGCCGAAATGCATAGAGCCTCACCATGACTCGGACAGTCATGTGGGAGTATCTTGGCGCGTCGGGCGAGTTCAAGAGGAAGTTGGAACGAGGTACGAGTGGTTACAAGAGAGGTTGTTTGAGGCGATACTTACACAGTCGATGACAACCACGTCGTGAATGCCACGTACTAGATTCCCAGACTTTCAAAGTTTCTGCAAACGTTTCAGTTCTAATGGCAAGTCGTGGCGGTCGGTCGTCGAGGCGGTGTTCGAAAACGGGTGTAAAGTCCACCTTACATAAGCACCACGCATTTCATTTTCAATTGGTACCACTAAATCAACGCGGCAGCCTTGATATCTCACTCGCAAACCCCAACGCGGGATCCAGAGCGCGTCAGCCAGACTGCGGGTGCGGGCGTTGTCTGGTGGAGTTAGGGCTTACCCGGATCAGGTACTAAGGCGAAGCTGTCGTATTGAGTCCTTCAAGCTCAATCACGAGGTCACATCTTGTTCTTGAATTCAGTTGAGTGCGAAATCAACACTTTATGGTTTCTACTCCAGCGCGGAACCTCTACAACACACACTCAATTGTTGTCTCCATGGGAGTGTCTATGATGGCATTGACGACCTCGGTCCCGACCAGGATCAACCGACAACAGTACTACCGTGGATGATTGATCTGGTATGTCACCATAGCAGACCGACCACCTCCGACCACCCACAGAATATACCACAATATCGAACCTTATCGAACACGCCGAGTACTTGCCAATACGCGGGATCTTTTAAACCAATTATATGTGCGTCATATCGGGGGAATGCAATTTGATCGGAGCTGAATGCAGAATTGAGTGTGCTATAGTCGAAACGCGATCCCTTAGGAAACACAAACCCATGGGGCTAGCTAACTGAAAGCGACTCAACTGGAAGGACAATGAGGCACGTTCGACCCTGAAACGACCATTCGGAAGCTCTGTACGTGCCGCTTCGTATCGACTATTTTCTTACCCAGGGGTGTTGGTGTTGGTAGCAGGATTTTCGTCTTGTTCTCGCCAGCGTCTGCCAGTGTTCGACGGTGAACATATGAGCCCATCAGAGTTGACTCAGTAGTCACAACAGGTGGCTAGGCTTTCTTGGAAACATTCTCAACTATTCAATTGTGTTCAAGTTAAGCATAAGCAAATGCCCACTAACGAGGAAACCCTAGACCTTCTCTGCCATGATCTATCTAACCGCCCCGAGCAGACTACGGTACCGACAAGAAGCGATGCTTTGCCGCTCGCTTGATACTCATGTGATCACGTTGACCTACTCGCGGTAGTCTGGGGGATCGCTGGCAAATATCCGTTCTTTCTTCTACGTCGTGGACTGCTGTCGTCATGGTTTAGAGACTTCATTACCATGGGTTCAGAACTCAACTCAGCATAGTTTCATGATTTAGAGATAAGTCTTCTCATCACCACAGGGTCAGCTCAATAGTTTCCTACAGAACTCGTGCGAACTTCGGCCACGACTGAGAACGCATGATCGTGTCTGTTGCTGGCGAAGCGTTTTACTCAGTATATTTTTAAATTCTAACCCATACTTAAGACAGTCATTTCATCAGATGAACTACTCAGTTGGTTCCCATTCTTTGTGCGTGAAATGGCCGTCAAGTTTTCGTATTCCTTCGTTGTTGCCGCTCTCAGCACCATGTCGGTCGCTGTCAACGCTCAGACATTTGCGCCGCTGCAGTTTGCAGGTGTAAATATCGCAGGTTTTGGTGAGTGCTATACTGCTACCGTTACTCGTTATATCCATACTCCTGTTCCACAGACTTCGGGTGTGGTACAGATGGCACTTGCGTTGCTTCAAACGCTTATCCCCCTGTCTCTCAGCTGACCGGTGAGATTTATCATGGAGAACCCTCTCACACTCTAACATGCCCACTAGGTATTGATGGTTTGGGCCAAATGCAGCACTTTGTCACTGACCACGGCTACAATGTGTTCCGTCTCCCTGTTGGCTGGCAGTACCTCACGTCTGACCAGATGACTGGCGTCTTGGATGCGAATCAGTTTGCCAACTATGACATGCTGGTGTCCGACTGCCTGAGCACTGGTGCTCATTGTGTGATTGATATTCACAATTATGCAAGGTACAACGGACAGGTTAGTGACCGTGCTCTCGTCATTGTTAGTGACGCTCAATTCGATAACAGATAATCGGTCAAGGCGGTCCAAGCAACGAAATCTTTGCTGAGCTCTGGTCTAACATTGCTTCGTACTACGTGAATGAGACAAAAGTCATCTTTGGGCTGTATGTGATAACGGTTGCAAATATGGATACCACTGACTTGTTGACAATCAGCATGAACGAACCTCATGATATCCCAGTAAGTTACTCGCAACTTCTACGACAGGCTATGCTGACGTGGACGTAGAATATCACCACTTGGGCAGAGACCGGTGTGTTATCTCTTAATGAACATGTTCCCTTCTGACGATGTAATTTCACTATTACAGTTCAGGTATGTTTTCTTTGTTCACAGACTAAAACTGTTACTGAGATTTCTCGGGAACAAGGCTGCAGTTACGGGCATTCGGTCAGCATGTTCAACTATTTCTGCTTGTTATCTTGACTGAAAATCGTATATTTGGTGTTCAGGGAAGCTGGCGCCACTACCCAGATGATTCTCCTCCCCGGCACCGACTATACTTCTGCGGAGACCTTCGTTTCCAGCGGTTCCGCTGACGCCCTTGGCGCGGTGCGGAACCCTGACGGCACATTCACCAACCTCATAATGGACGTCCACAAGTACCTCGACTCCGACGGCTCGTGAGTACAGTCATTTCCATGTCTATACCTCTGCTAATACTACTTAGTGGCACCAACACTGAATGCGTGACCAACAACATCCAGAACGCATGGTACCCTCTGACCACCTGGCTCCGTGCAAACGGTCGCCAGGCCCTCAATACTGAGACTGGTGGTGGGAACGTCGACTCTTGTGTTAGCTACATATCACAGGAGATTGGCTACCAGGCTGCTCAGTCTGATGGTACGTTTTCACCCATTACTGTCCCTGACACAAGCCGACATGTATTCTCTGTAGTTATCCTCGGCTACCTTGGCTGGTCGGCTGGCTCCTTCGCCACGGACTATACATTGTCTCAGGTGCCCTCCTACAGCGGCTCCGTCTGGACGGACGCACTCTTGGTCTCGGCGGCCATGTCGCCAAAGACCAACATGCTCATTGCATCCGTTGTATGAAAATGGCGTAGGGTATTTTACCTAGTTGATTCATGATTTTTACAACAGTTCCACACGCTCATTCCTCCCACTAGTACTCTCTTTTACATCCTGCGTCTGTGACGCAGTCATCAACTGATACTTAGTGACACGTTCTTAATCTGATCAATGTAAAGACCTGGTATGTCGACTGCATGCATCGAATAACCAAACGACGGAATGCTGGATATAAACTGCTTTGCATGTCTCTGGGTGCGTTTTGTTTTTCCGCCTCAAAATCCCGAAGGCCAGATGTCTGCTTTTCCCCGCTTTTAATATCAGGACCGACTGAGTGCTTCGCGTCCAACGTTCCCCCGCGCGTTGCAGGCTGCTTCACGTTTTTATTGTCCTCCAGGGAAGTTCAGGGAACGATGTCAGCCCGCATTGTGATATGGCTTATCACGACGATCCTCGCCGCGATATGCCAATTGGGACTTCACAAGCTCAATAATATTGCTCAAAAGACACCTTATGGCGTAGCTTAACATTTAAGTAAAAGAATTCTACCACTGCAAGATAGAGTATGGCCAACCATGTTCGCGGCTTCTCGACATATCTCTCACGACTTCAGAGGCGCTTCCAAACTATCATCCTCTCCCGATTTACGTGAGTAGGCGAAGACTCAGTAGGCACTTCATCAATAACTTTCTCCCATGCAGATCCCAGAACTTCTTCGTAATGGTTTGGCCGCACGAAAAAAGGTGGCCCATGGTCCACCTGCGGATCGATTGGGAATACCAAGGTAATCAAAAATCCGCCAGTCTTGACGAGCTTGGTCATCTGTCTTCCCCAATCTGGGCGCATCGACGGGGGCAGGGCTACGAAAAAACTATCACAAGTTCAAAGCAAGAAGGCACAGTAAAAATTGCGAATAACGAACGTGTAATCGTACACCAAGTCGAACTGCTCATCTGTTGATGCGAAAAAGTCCCCGACACGGAACGACACGTTCTCGTGGGGAGTCTCTTGCTGGGCTGCTTCGACAGCCGTAGGAGATATGTCGATGCCAATCACTTTCAATCCTAGACTGGTCGCGATGAATCTTGCGTCGTTACCCTGAAGTGTGGAGGTTTAATAGTCAAACTACTGTCGTGATAAAGAGCCATACTCTTCCACAGCCTGGGACGAGCGCTTGACCCTGTCGTGGCCATTTCACCCGATCTGATTCGATAACTTCCCGCAGAGGAGGTTGTATCTCCATTCCATTAAACGATTCCCATGGCATCAACTGTGCTTTCCTGGATAGAATTAGGGCGGTCAGCAATCTCGCAACCATCCAGACATACAGGCCATGCTGACCATGTAGCGTCCCATCCGCTAGTTGCGACGATTTCTCTGAATCTGGCCAATACCTCTGTTCGCGTGGACATGGTTTCGAAAGACGCGGAATACCAGTACGCCGTCTGATCTCATATGATGGTGTATTTATACTACGGTATAAGTATAAGAACAGCTCGGAACTTGCCTTTTCCCCCAAGGATTGTCTTAAGCTTCATCCCCGCATTCTCCCGTATTTCTGGAGACTCGGCGACTTTGGTGATGACATCTTTGTATAAGGACAGCTCGGAACTTTGTCGGAACCTTCATTCCCGTATTTTCCCGCGTGTCTGGAGGTTTGGTGATGAAGTTACTTGGAACTGCAGCTGGGACGGCCGCTGGCGTGCACTGATCGGGCATGCTTATTTTCTCCTGGTAAGTCATATACATGTTTATATTCATCATTTCTCCTGGACTGGAAATGTATTGCACGGTTGCGTCTACAACGCTGTCAAGCCAAAGTACCTTGCAGATCGATGCTGCTTCAGTGGGTGTCACATCTGGGACTGGAGTGTTGTGTAATGGAAGACCGTGCGCAAATTCGGGTTCCAGCCGGCGTCGACGCCTGAGGCCTGAATCCCAGTGAAAACCCACTGTTCTGAGAATGGCTCGGGTTGTCTGAGGTTGTGTGTAAATTTGAGACGAGTCTGAGATTGTGTGAGAATGGCTGGCGAAGTTAGTACTAATAATAGCACTTGTCTGAATTTGTGCGAAATCGATTATCTGCTGTTGTCGTCACTGCACGTTGCATCCAGCACGCAACAGCCTGTAATAATAGTCTGGGATTGTGCGAAATCTACTGCCTCTTGCAACTTGCGTCTTGCATCCAGCACATAACAGTGTGTCGCTGCCCTACAACATTCACACCCACTACTATGCCGCCAGCAAAAGAGTATCAAATTATGCGCAAAGACCGCCTGCAGACTGTCTCGAAGGCCCAATATTACCGTTTAAAAGCACAAGACGATGGTGCAAGTACGCGAACTGCAGAGCTTCAGGCACTTTTAGTCTCTCGAGCACACAACACCACAGCTACTGTCACTAGTGCTGCTCCGATCGCTTCATCAAGTGCCTCTGCTGGCACCAGTGGTACGGGTAAGCTAAGAACTTATGTCTAGTATACTATTGTGCTAATCGGTGTGAAGATATGTCAGTCGAGCCAACAAGAGAGCAGTCTCAGTCGATTCAAAGGGATGCTATGGGCATGGATCTTGATCAGAGCGCACCCGAAGACCAGGTAAAGTCATTTATTTCAATTACCTACCAAGCACATTTAATTTATCGAGAGTCTCCCATACAGTTATATAACGACGACGACCTCTATAGGCAGGGCGACTATGCAGATGATCTTCCAGACCAGCCTGCCGCACCTCCTGATCCCCTCCAACACGAAGACCCACCTATACGAGGCTCCACCAGAGCCTCACCCTGGTGACGAGGACCAGCCCGCACCTGAACCAAACCTTCCTGCTGCTCACGAGGACCGGCGTACAATAGAAGATATCGATCTTGATGAAATCCAACGTCTGGCCAATGTCGGCCGTCATGAAGATATACTACGATCCATCTCATTCATTCAAGCCCTTCGACACTCAACTTTAGATGACAACTTTTCCCCATTAGATCCCGATGCCTTGGAATGTCTCCGAAACCCTCCTCAGCTTCAACTCAAAATTGAAGATCCCCATCTTCGTTTAGCTATCGACACCTACCTTTCGCTGGAACACTCTGCAGTGGAGGCTTACGGTAATGTCCGCAAAGCCGTCCTGCGATGTTATCCAGATACAGCATTCCCGTCGCACTATGAAGTCAAGCGCATTGTTGCGCAGATGAGTGGGATCGAGTCTATCGTGGATGATATGTGTGTAGAGGGCTGCACAGCTTTCACGGGAGAATATGCACTCCTTGACCGTTGTCCTACCTGCAATTCGCACCGCTATGATCAGATTAAGTTCGATGCCTCTAACGGCAAAGTCAAGTCACCCGTCAAAGTGTTTCACACTATCCCCCTCGGTCCGCAACTCCAGACGCTCTACCGAGACCCAAGTGGAGCAGCTAACATGCGGTATCGTGATGAACGCACCAGAAATATCCTCGAAGAACTTGAACTTGGCGATGGGAAGCTTTCTGCCTATGATGACATCATCACTGGTACAGAATATTTGAAAGCTGTTCACGACGGGAAAATTGAGGAGGGCGATATTGTTCTTATGTTATCCATCGACGGGGCCCAACTCTACGAGAGCAAGGAGTCGGATTGCTGGATATATATCTGGATCATAGTCAATCTTCCCCCCGACCTACGCTACAAAAAGAAGTATATTCTCCCGGGCGGAATCATACCCGGTCCTAAGAAGCCGAAATTCATCGAATCATTTCTTTTTCCTGGTCTACACCATCTTGTTGGCCTGCAGAAGGAAGGGCTTCGTATATGGGATGCATCAACAGATGCAGTCTTTACCTCGAATCTTTTTTTCGCATTTGGAACCGCAGATGGCCCTGGCTTACTTTGTTTGAGCTCGATGGTTGGTCATACCGGGAAGAATGGGTGTAGAATGTATTGCGGTCTCAAAGGACGTCACAAGCACGGGCAGCCACAATATTATCCTGTACTGCTGAAGCCTCTCGACTACACTGTTTCCGGATGCGACCACGATGATATTGACATCAACAAACTGTCATTATCGCCATGCTCTGACTACGTCGACAACCTTTACCGTGTTGTATCGGCTACAACCATGGCCCAGTACATTCAACAGCGTCTCAAAACAGGTATCGTCAGGCCAAGCATATTGCTTGGCCTCTTGCCCAACCGCATGTTCGGTATTCCGGAATGCTTTACCCCTGATATCATGCACTTTGAGGGTCCCAATATGGGTTCCCTCTTCACCGATTTGTGGTGTGGCACGATGAAGTGCGACGCCTCGGATAATAAGGAGTTGTGGGACTGGGCAGTGTTCCACGACAAAGCCATTTGGACGGATCATGGTGCCACTGTAGCCGCATGTGCGCAATATCTCCCCGGCTCATTCGATAGGCCCCCTCGTAATCCCGCCGAGAAGATTAATACTTACTACAAAGCCTGGGAGTTTATCCTATGGCTGTGGGGCCTTGGTCCAGGTCTTCTCTATGGTATCTTGCCCGACAAGTACTGGCAAAATTACTGCAAGTTTGTTCAAGGTGTCCGAATCATGAGTCAGCATAGTCTCACGTTTGACGACATTCAAACAGCTCACAGGTACTTTTGCGAGTGGGAGTATGAGTTCGAGTGTATATATTATCAGCGTCGCGCTGACAGGATACATTTCGTCCGGCCATGCACACACCAGAGCAATCATTTAGCAGCCGAAGGCTTTCGATCTGGTCCATCTGTGTGTTATGCACAGTGGACTATGGAACGTGTCATTGGTATGCTCGGGATGGAAATTCGTCAACCTTCCAATCCATTTTCGAATCTCACCTTCCTCGCCATTCGCCGCTGCCAGATCAACGCACTTAAAGTTATGATTCCGGACTTAGAACCACCCGACAATCCACTTCCCAATTATTCGGTCGATCTCGGGGGTGGTTATGTTCTCCTCAGGGCTCGTGACAGATATAACTATCATCCGGGTGAGACTGAGACATGATTGATTCGTGAATTCCTCGATGGGCCTGTTCCGAAGTTCAAGCGCTGGGCAAGACTGCGACTTCCCAATGGGCAGATCGCTCGCTGTGCATGGAAGGAAAAACTCAAGCGTGCAGAGAACGTCCGCATGTCGCGCAATGTAAAGGTGATTGTCCTCACTCGCACTATTCAGCAGAAACTAACTGTAAATTTAGGTCTCCATCAATAACAAGAGCGAAATTGCGGAAGTTTTATACTTTGCGCAGCTGGCTGTTATGGTCCATGCAGACGACATCAATGAGGATGACAATGACGAGGAGTTCGAGTACATTGACGATGAAATCTACCGCTTTGTCACCGTCACAATGGTCTCCGTCTATTCTCGCCCGGACCCAGAACTACTGCAGAAGTCAGCACAGACCGTTTGGTCATGCACATATCATGGCAACGAGGCGCTGCAGCTAGTCAGCGTGAAAACAATACATTCTGTAGTCGCTATGGTACCTCATCGTCCTAAACTCCCATCAGGATTGGTAGAGGATCGCTTTTTTCTGGTTGAGAAGCCTGGGCTTGGTTTGGTGTCTGTTGATGAGGAGATGGGAGACGACGCCGACGAGGATGAATAGATATTTTCAATAAGGCTTAGCGACAAGTGTGTGTAAGGATGTAGATATTACCTTTGTAGTCTGAGGATAGGACAAAAGTCATTAGACCCGTCTCCGATGTAGATGATACGGTCATAGCCTGCCAGTGGCTTGTGGCGCTCCAAAAATGCAGTGAGCTCTTCACCTACGTGGTGTGTTAGCTGGGGAGACACCATGATTGGTTTGGACAGTAAATGTGGATGGTGCATACCTCTCGTACCTCGTGGGGCTCAATTTCTTCCTCACATACGGTGGTCCAGGACTCCACGGCCTGCAGTGCTGTGCGACTCGTTCTTCAGAATGCGAGGTGTCTGGGAAGAGACACGCTGGCAGTGCTCGTAGACACTGCTGAGGGTGGAATGATGCACAAGGCATCCAGGATAGATTTCGGTTGATTTGATCTATGTAGGATATAAGTAGCTGCATTAGGGTTAGGGTTAGAACAGCGTACCTTCAATATGTTCGCCTAGTGGCATGCTAGACGATCCAAGAAGTAGGTGCGTATTTCTTGACGAAGGTGGCACAATGCGCTGAGAGGTAGGAGTAGTGGTAGAAGAGGAAAGAGTAAGGTGCCATGATCTGACTGAATTACTGGGCGGCACAGGGTTCAGTGCAACTCTGAGCACCCTGGCCAAGGTTTGCTTCATGCAATGGTTACTGACCAGGGTTCAGAGCAGCTCTGGACACTCTGGCCATCCCCATGCACGCAGCACAAACCGAATTCATGAAGACACACACCTTACCTTCAGAGGATCTGTCAAAATTCAAAGACGCAAAAGTCCAACACGGTGCACGTGACGTTTATCGGAAGCTAACAACATCCTCCATTACACCCCATTTCACCGCAATTCTATTCAACAACACCACCTCGCAACTACAACTTGTTTGGTTTACAGTCTCTAACCCCTGCAACAATGCGCCGTAGCATAATCGCTGCGTTCCACCAGACTCTCAAGCAGGCGTATGGTATAGTGATCTCACTTTGCTGACCTCGTCTTTGTGTTGATGTCTTCTGCAGGCCACGCCCCTGCAGCAGAGGCTGGTACCGTTAACTCCCGTGACGATTACAAAGCCCGTGCTCGTATCCTCGCTGATGACTTCTCTTGGGATGTCACTGATGCAAGGAAGACCTGGTGTTTTGGTCCCGATACCACTGGCCCCAACTTGCTCGTCGATGTCACCAAGGGTGTGCAGTACCTCAACGAAATCAAGGACTCTTGCGTCGCTGCCTTCCAGTGGGCAACGAAGGAGGGTGTCTGCGCTGAGGAAAATATGCGCGGTATCCGTTTCAACATTCTTGATGTCACTGTAAGTATACTTCATAACATCCTCCATTTGCATTTCTATTTTCTTACACGATGATCACAGCTGCATGCTGATGCTATCCACCGTGGTGGTGGACAAATCATTCCTACATGCCGTCGTGTCTGCTACGCTGCATGCTTGCTTGCTACCCCTGGTCTCCAGGAGCCGGTGTACCAAGGTACTTTCCGCTCGCTTCTCATTTTTACTGGGTACTGATGCCATTCACAGTGCGCTAGCCTCAGAGTCTCTGCTTCGTTTTAACACGAATCTGCGCCTTCGACTGCAGCTCGCGGATGGAGAAACCCTAATGGCCTCCTTCTTAATGGTATCATGGCTGTCCTCCTTGTTCTATCCTATGTATCTGACCTGGGCGTAGGTCCAGCGAAGCCATCAAAGACACAACCCTCAGCGTGGCATGCTCACCCAGCATCTGAAAAGTTGACATTTCTCTTTGGGGGATCGTTGGGAGATGCGCTACTGGAAGGACAGGACTTAGAATGACAACGAACCTGCTGAAGCCGATTTTCACTCATCCGATCTGTCTCATACTTTCGTTGCGAAGCCTTTCCTACGTGAGTCATTCACATCTAGTTTTTTTTTATCGACGTTATCGAACACTATCATCAACCGCAACAGACTGGATGTGTATACTGCCCAGGTTCGCCAAGGAGGACAGAATCCCTTATTGTCATGCTGGTAGGGTACTTTGTCTTTGCGTCTTTCGCCTCTGCATTCGTGCTCAAGGTGAATAGCTTGTGTATCCAATGTGGCACTATTCTCACCTCGTCCCTTAGCTTCTGCGTCCCGAGTTTGCTCAGCTGTTGACCCGTCAGATGGAGGATGAGATATTCATACTCATCGGCCGCCTGATCACGACGCTTCAAGATCTTGCCATTGATGAACGCCACACGCCACGTCTGTATGCTCGATTTCTCGCTAGCCTTCTTACGAGGCACAGGAAAGGTGGAGGTGCTGTTGGTGGGCGTCTTCAACATGGGTCATAATCGCCATTCTTGACGAGATCACAAGCCTCTGCCCTTCCGGAGTTTTGGCACAAGCTACCAGAAGCCGAGTTCTGGAAGAGATATCGTCGCTTCTTACGAAAGACTTCATTTCCCTTCTGCGCGCACACATTTAGTAGTTCTATATTAATATGTTTCAAGAACTGTGTTGCAATATTAATGCTACCATGACAAGAAATACATCAGTGAGAGTACAGTAAGAGCGGCAGCAAGTAAGAGTGGCGGCACAAATTGCGCGGATGTAAGTAATGATGCAAGGAGAAAATTAAACTTTACGCCGCTTCGTGAACCTCTGCTGGAGCTCCTGCTCGTCAGCATCTCTTTTCTCCGCTTTGGCACTAAGATGAGATGCACCAATTGGACGCACGAGGTAGCGCCAAGGTGCAGTGGGATTGTCTGGATCTGGGTTGGGGTTTTCGAGGCGCCTGCTAAGGAGGTTACATGGAGAGGCGCTGCTGCAAGAGAAACAGGTAAGTAAACAGTAAAATCAGGGAACCGTAAATGTACAGAGGAATGGCCTGGGGACACTTGTCTTCTTCTTCCTCTTTCTTGACCGGGACCACCAATTCCTCTTCCGATTCATCTTCCGATGTCTCGACCACCGACTCTTCTTCAAGCTTGTCTTCCGATACCTGAGAATTATCTTCCTCGTCCTTACCATTTTTCAACTTGAGTATCTGGGCATCTTTAAAGCGTAAAACAATTCTCTGCATATGTGTGAGATAGGCATTGAAAATAACAGATGAATTTACCTTGCGTCCAGGAGAGTCAACATCGAGTGCGAAGCAGTATGTGTCCCAGGACGGAACAACGTTGTCAATATTGAGGAAAATAATGTCCTCGAGAATTCTGACAGTGTCGATTATGATAGGCATTAGGGTATTAAATTAGAGTGATATGAAAGCCTCCGTTTCGAGGACTTAACGAAATATCCCCAGACTTCGGAACTTTCCAGAATATCCCCAGATTTCGAGTGGGTCATGTGAGCGCGTTTTCGAGCGCGTTAAGGTCTTTATCTTATACCCCCACAACCATGTCTTACTCTTTTCCCCAGTATAATAACTTTACACCGTCTGACAATTATCATTCTACAGGTAGTTTAGATATGATGTCTCCATCCCCTGAATCGAGTGGGCTAGGGCTGTCACATTCTCCCCCCATGGATCTTTTTCAACAAAGACCCGATAATGCGCCACAACAAGGTCATGAGACTATGGTAAGTCGTGTCTTTTATACAAACTGGCTACTAGTAAGAACTAACACGCTATTATTAGGGAGCAAATGGACTTTTGAGCGCATATATGCGCCTTGAAGAGCAGGTTAAAGCCTCACCGAGTGATTTTTTATAAATAAATGTACTAACTTCAGCGCATATACGCGTCTTAATGTGCAGATTAAATTCCTACAGAACGATATTTTACAGCTGCGGATGGACAAGCAAATGCTGGCACGCGAGCGAGATTTACACCAGCGCGTCTTTCAGTTGTATCACTGGCTTTTTCGGGTGTCTAACTATTGTCTTCATAGGGCCGCTTATAATAAGCTCGCGGAATCTCTCTCGCTAACTCTAGACCCTGCCAGCCTCAGTACCCTCTCCCCTCAGTGTCTGCCCGTGATGCTAAAGGCGAAGGAAATCACAGTCCCGTCCTACCATCGTGCTGACTTTCCCAGCGAGTTCATATGGACGAAGGAAGACTGGAAGAAGCGCCAGGAGAAACCATCGACACAGCTTGAAAAGTTGCATCCGCTGCGCTACGTTGTCGACAAGAATAACAAGCCTATTCCCTTGGAGCGTGTCACAGCAATCCGTACCACATCCCGACGAGTGTTCGTCGACATCTGGAACATCAAGGAAGCGCCCAAAAGCTGGGGAGCTGCATCAGGGTCTGCCAGTAAGCTGTACTACCGAGAAATGGTGACATTCTTCCCTGAGCTTGGCTACTGTGACGGTAACTGGAAATGCGATGCCATTGCGACTGCCAGCTATACCTCTTGGCGCAAGAATGATATCAGCCGCTTGGTTCGTGAAGGGACTTACAAGCCAACGGCAGAAGATATCCTCGACTGCGATAATCTCGAGACGCTGGACTCTGACAATACTGACGGTGCCACTGGCAATGTGAAGACCAAAAAACGGACCCATGACTCTGACCCACTTAGCGTCGCATCAACTTCGAGCAAGAAGCAGAAGCCATCGGAAATATCAGTCCCTGAACACGAATTGCCATTGCCATTGCCATTGCCATTGCCATTGCCAACGCCACCACTACCAGACTCAGACGAGTCACAGCCCACTGACCTTGGCCATTCTGACAACGTGAATGAGACGTGTGCATCCAGGCCCCCCGCCAAAGTATACACCTTTCTTTGTACTGTTGTGTTGTGTCATCCTCAGATCATTGTTTGTAGTTTCGTGCACGGCCACTCAAATTCGCAAACCCGTTGTAAGTCCACTTGTTACATTCTGTTATTCAAAAATACTCACCGATATCAGTCACGCCGGTACCACTCTTGAACCGACTACTAGTGCAGATCAACTGCCCTTGATTCCACCCTCCCCCTCTGAAGATATCCCGACTCCGTCTACAGCCCCAGCAGAGAAACCAATATCCACACAACCGCCGACCAGTGAACACACACCTTCCATTGCACTGACCCCAGAACGCTCCCTAGATCACTCTGACATAGTACCTGACACCAATACATCAACGGCTGTTGTCACCGACCTGATACCAACTAGTAGTAAGTACAACCACATAACTGGACAACGAGCTCACCTTAAATATCCTTCCAACAGCAACCATGGTACCTCTACTAGTGGTAGATGCCTCCGCTACCAGCAAACCTCATCCTAGTGCGCCAGCAAAGAAGTCAAGGAAGATGCAGATCGGGAAAGCACAGAATGGACGGTATGTCTGCGTCAGCGGTGTTCCTTTCCATTGTACATATTCACAGACTCCACGACAGTAACCTATGCGCACGTGAATGGCTCGCTCGCAACAAGACTGGATCAGCAGCCGAATTCAAGACCTACTACGATGGACTGTCGGAAGCACAGAAAAAAGTGCGTCTTTTGTATTGTTTGTCCTCGGGTTGGACTAACATCTTTAATTAGTCGTACGACGAGCTCGCTGCCAAGAAGGTATGTACTAGCGACTACGACTAGAACATGTTGCACCTACTGACAAGTACTCTTTCTACTAGGTTGCAGCTGGCGAATGGCTCCGTTAGCGACACCACTCTCCTTCCGACTTCTTGCGACCTAGAACGAGCACGAGCTAGAATGAGCACGGGGTAGAATGGACGTGGCAGGAACGAGCGCGGGCTAGAACGGACGATGCATCGAGTTTTATTATATCCGGCGTCTACCTGTAATAATGTATATACTACACAATACCAGCAGATCTGGCACAATCTAGAGTGACGCAACGAGCATTGCAGCCAAGCAATACCAGCAGATCTGGCACAATATAGGGTGGCATGCAAATATTGCATCTAAACAATCTGCGACAATCACGCACAATCACACACATTTGCACATGTGCTATTAGTCTCATTTTTCTCTTGCGATTGTGTCGCTTAGTTCAGACGATTTCACGCAACCCGAGCCATTCTCAGAACAGTGGGTTTTCACTGGGCCTGAATATTGAATCACCAAATGCACTGGCGGGCTCTGTCTCGGCCAGACGTACAACCACGAGTGGCACATTACTGATGCCACAACAGGCTCAGTCATAGCGATTTTGCGTCTGCTAATAAAGGACCCTAGGGTCCTATTATTTTGACTGCTATATTCAGATCTCAAAGAGCAGACATATTGTCCAGAAACAGCGCTTTAAAGCTGAAACTCGGATGTTGAAGTGCGAGGTAGAAAGGACTTAAAGAGATTGATCACACACCGTGACCCACTTCACCTAGCATAGAGAGAGAAATATGTATGTCAGCGATTCGGGAAAGCGGCGTTCCCGAATCAAAGTCTTCGGAGTGTTTCGGCGAGGATAGGTGAGGTGCAGATCCATGAATGGATTGGGCCATAGCAGAACCCGCTCCGCTAACAAACGTATCTGTACCGCGACCACGCGTAGTAGTCATCAATCCTTAAACCTCAACGTTCAACGTTCAACTCGAAGTTTCAAAGGTCTCAAAATCCCATGAGGCATACACGAATGAAATAATAGAATCATACCCAATGTAAATCCCAGAGGCAATAATCGCGCACTGCACACCTCACACACTCCAGTCCACGCGCCTTGGGCGAGCAAAAGCCCATTTTCTTTGGCAACTTTTGAGGACGATGTCGCACTGTTTTGCCAGTGTGAGGGCGCAACGCTGAGTTCCAAGAAGCAGAAGAAGTAGTGTTGGAGTAGGGGTCCCAAGGGCAGGGACTGGCCATTCGGGGTCTCAACCGGCCATTTCCATAGCTTAATAGTCAGCGCTAGTCAGCACGTAGACGGTCGACCAGGTTCATGCATGTTCGTAGCCTAGGATCATCATCATACTAGCTGTTTCCCCTGCTCTTGGCTGAGGCCGCTGGCCCTGCTCCAGCGTAGGAAGCGAGAACCCTTGTATTTGCCCTACTTCAGAAAACCTTTCCCAAAGTACGCTACTCGAGTCCTCCGAGTCGTCGATGCTAATACTGATCGTCCGTCCCCTGTCTAGGTTAACGCGACATGTTAATAATGGTGCTTGATGTAGCAAAAAAGGCGTGTGTCACTGTGAGAGGGTGTGCCGCACTGGGGCTTACAACGAGAGAGCAACTGGCACCAACGCGAAAGATACGAGGAAATACAGAGAAGGTGGAAGCGGTCGCGTTCTTCAAAGATGGTCGACGGGTTGTGACTGGTTCATGGGACTGCACATTGCGAATTTTGGATGTGCTGAATGGAGTATTGGTAGGAGGGCCATTTGAAGGACACAAGGTGAACTCAGTTGCTGTATCCCCAGACGACAGGCGAATCGCAAGCGCTGGACATGACAATACTATCATCATATGGGACGTCGGGAGCAAGCAGAAGGTCTTGGGTCCGCTGGTCAAGCATACAGACCCAGTGTATTCGGTATGTTTCTCCCCCGACGGCAATAAACTTGCGAGCGGGTCGCGAGATACAACGGTTGTTATATGGGACGCAGAGACTGGCGCAGTCCTTGCAACACTTCCTCATCGTGATTGGGTGTTGAGTGTTGCATTCAGCCCGGATGGGCTACAACTCGCCTCTGCATCGGCGGACTGTACCATCAGAGTTTGGCGCACCGATGACGCCAGCCTTCTTCTCAACATCAATGCTCACCAAGATTTTGTTCGATGCGTTGTATGGTCGCCTGACGGCCAGCAACTGGTCTCTGCAGCAGACGATAAAACAATCAACTTCTGGAATTCGTTTACTGGAGACCAGATCGGTCAGCCTTGCACTGGTCATACTAACACCATCTACTCGCTGGCAATTTCTTCTGATGGCTCCTTTATTGCCACTGCCTCGGTCGACAACACTGTGCGGCTGTGGAGCACAAAGACGCACCAACAGATAGGACAGACACTCGAACACGCCGCTGACGTTTGTTGCGTTACAATTTCTCCGAATCAAGAGCTGCTCATCACTGGAGATGACGAAGGGAAGGTGTTGTTCTGGTCTATCGAGAACACGCTTTCCGCAGTGTTCGGGCTGGATTCTTCATATGCCTCCTTCTTTGTGCACCGCAGTAAGGCGAAGTTAGGACGAAAGCTCTATGCGGATGCCCTTCACGACGCGGAAAAGGTGTGGATAATATCCATCATTTGGTTAGCAATTGCGCTGATACCGCCGATGCGTAGGTCATCGAGTTCAACCCTTCGTCTTATGTTGGGTATGAACTGAAACATTCAGCCCTTCATGGGGCACAACGCCGTGATGAAGCAATCGAATCTTTCAAAGTTATGCTCTCCAAGTTGGATGATGCTCCTGACCCACAATTACGACGTAAGCACTGATAACTCATGCGTCGACGCGAAGATGATTAACTGATTGTTCAGAACTGCGTCAGAAATACGTCAGTCCGTCTGAGGTAGAACACGCCATTCGACAGGGCATTTACGTTCACCTGGGAAATGCCCCACTTCGTCTGCTCAACACATCCACTGGGCGTTTATGCAATCGGGAAGCGCAGATCCTTGATTTCAAAGAAAGCACAGAATACAAGGAGCTTTTTTATTCATTGATGATGCATACACCCCTCCAAACAGAGCACATCACAAAAGCAGTCGAGAGGTACTTTGGTTGGGTTATGTTATCGCACAGGTGGGAAAGGAAGGAGCCGCTGTTACATGACATCCGGGACAAGGTCGTGTACAAGTTGAAGGCAGTTGGTGGCATCGGGAAGCTGCAAATGTTCTGCAACATGGCTCGTGCCGCAGTGTATCGCTGGGCATGGGTCGATACATGTTGCATCGACCAGAATAATAATGTCGAGCTTCAAGAATCAGTCAACTCGATGTTTACCTGGTATCGCCACTCAGCACTCACCATTGTCTACCTATCGGATGTTCCGCCTGCGTCGAAGTCCGGTGCACTCGCAGACAGCACTTGGAACACGAGAGGATGGACTGTTCAGGAATTTCTCGCTCCTAAAATCATTCTCTTCTACCAAGCAAATTGGACCCTATATCTTGGCGACCGCTCCCCAAACCACAAGGAGTCTATTGCTATCATGCAGGAGTTGGAGAATTCAACAGGCATAGATGCACAGTCCCTTGTTGCCTTCCGTCCAGGGATGAGAGGCGCCCGAGAGAAAATCCGATGGGCATCCAGCCGTGTCACCACGTTGCAGGAAGACATCGTGTACTCATTATTTGGCATTTTCGGCGTCCACCTACCTGTCATCTATGGAGAGAAGAAACAAAATGCGCTCGGACGGCTCTTGCAGGAGATTATTGCTCATTCAGGCGACATTACTACCCTGGATTGGATCGGAAAACCATCTGATTTCAATAGCTGTCTCCCAGCTGACATTACCTCATACAAAGCTCCGCCATGCACGCTGCCATCTCTATCCGAAGACGATATGCTGGCGGCTGTCTCCACACTGCGAAAAATTACGGTTGTGGAATCAGCTTTGAAACTGTATACCCTCCTCGACAACCTCAGTGTTCCTCGTTTTGCGAACTCCAGACTGCAATTGCCTTGCATCGCATTTCCCGTCACAGAAGTCAGACGGAGGCGTGGTCAAGATCGGGAGTCGTGTTTCACTTATGATATCAGGGCAGACGGGCTTGAAGACCTGATGATTACCACGGGTGACAGATTGATTCAATTCTCGCCGGCACGGCCCACTCCGCAGACATTCTTACTCATCCGTCCATGGAATCGCCACGACCTGGGACTCCCTGACTTTTCGGACGACACGCAAAGCGTGTACGAGTCCATGCCCGAGTCCATGCCCGACTCTCCGTTAGACGATTCGCCCAGTGGGTGTTCTGGAGATGAAAGACCTGCTGAGACGGAGTCTCACTCACGAGAGCTAAGGTTGATTGTTCGTCTTGGACAGCCTTTTGGCGCACTTTTCCTGGCGCAGCAGCGTGGGTTGGAGTACAAGAGGATCGTATCGGATCACAATATCATTGCACAGGTCAAGGACATGACTTGCGTTCATGACATGATGGAGATTAGAACGCTAGAGATATTGTAGCTGCGAGCGGAGATCTCTGACGCGTTTTCATATATACCAATGAAACGCTTGCTCGTCACTGGGCCATGCATGGTATCATGGGTGATAATGCCATCGAGGGTGAGGATAGGCAGAATAGACCGCCACGTTCCTCGGACAAAGCATCTGGACTGGACACAACATGTTTCCCGTGCTGAGCATCCCATCTGTCGAGCTAGGGTGAGCTTGTTCTTTGCAGCTTCGTCTCCAAACATCAACATCTCCGGATCAGGAGCAATTTCTGCAAGTCTGTTCATAAATGCAGCACATTTTTCTTAGTTCCGCTCCAGTGCATGTCGAGATACTTTTTTTACGTGTGATTCCAAGCCGCCGGAGAGTTCAAAAGAGGGTGGACAATGAAATCTTTACATTTCGGCATGAGAGCAGGTCACTATGAAGTTCATCGAGGAAGACGGAGCTGTGCAAATGGCAGCGAGACTTGATATAGTTTATGTCCTCAAAATCGATACTGCGACGACGGCCTGCTTTGCGTGAATTTGTGTTGGTAACATCAACGAGTGTGTCATAGAGCTGCAGAGTTATGTACACAAGCGATTTTCGGATGCCAAGAGCCTCACAGATCTTTTTGTGGTACTACTGTGTATCATCTATTATGAGAGTCCTGGTAATGCTGTTCCTACGAAAGTGAACACTATCTTGGTGGATACAGCGCTGTGGAGATATTCTGTGCTTCTTGATACGAATTTTCCGCTCCAATCTGGGCTGGGGTTAACGAGTCATATATTGGGCAAAGGTCGTCCAATGCAGCTGTGTACACCATCAGTTTAATCAGAGCATAGGATAGACATCGAAAAATTACGGGGTATGGGGCCCAGATGCTTCTGAGTGTCTGAGGGGCTTTCAGCAAAAACTACAGCGAAACCACTGGTAACAGAGATCAGATTACGGCAAAGTTCTAGAACGCTCGAGATACTTACGCGTGGAGATGCCAGTCGATGTGGCTAGGTAAACGACAAGATCAGTCCTAGTGCTAGATACATCAATGTCACAGTGCTTACCAGTGCAGGAACCATGGACCGGAGTTGTCTGTGACCCATCTAATCACCATCTGCTGGCTTGCGAGCCCGGCGGATACTACGTCCCTACGCACGGGATTGACGTAGTTAAATGAACTGTTTCCTGCGCTCTGCACGACATCAAAGCTATGCTATCATTACAATAAGTAATTGAGTGGCAACTGGTAACGAGATATGCTTACGCCGTGAAGATGAATGGGATGCTATGGAGATGCCATAAGATGTATGTGACGTAGTGAATGTACGGGAAACTTACGGGACCACCAGGGTTAGTACTTGTCTGAGTCATCGTAAGTTCGACGACCTTGTTGGCCCCTAAAACATAAACACTTCCAAGTGGAAGGAGATCGGTTGCAAGTCGTGCGCCGCTGAGGATCTGGAGCAGTACGGGCACTGTGGGAGGCATGAATACTGCGTCGTTGATTGAGAATACCCCAGCCGTGTTGTTGACCACCATCTTCAGATTGATGTCCGCATTTCCGTACCCTGGAACCCCAGGTGCACCAGGATTGATGAATGCATGCAAGTTGGTCTCGAGGAGCGGCATGGTACTTTTGGTCTGTTTCGTGGTAGGAACTGCAGGATCTGCAACGGGTGCACCCTTGTATCGCAAGATAGCAAGGCTCTGGCCGTTCTTGAAGGTCGAGCCTGGAGGGTTTGGGAGTGCTCGTATCCAGTAGTTGCCGACTGGCTGATTCATGGTGAGTACAGCAGAGTATCGCTGTCCAGCAAGTATCGTGATCGAGTCCACGAGCAGGGGCTCCGTCAGTTCACCGTCTGCTTCTATTACCGTCAAGTTATGATTGTCGATGGAAAATGCAAAGTTGTTATGGCAAGACATTGCTATAAGGCGTAGGCGATATCGTTTCCCGTACTCGAGACTGACTACCGCAAGCTCACTCGCGGGTCCCCCTGCATATCGACCGAGACCGTTAATGAGTGTAGAGTTGCCAATGGTACCAATGATATGACCCAAAACAGGCGCCACTACATGGTACCTATGATCAATCAGTGAGAAGAATGCAATTCATAAACAGCTCCGAGACATACCAGTCAGCAAGGGTGATGACGGTGGTTTCTGTGAATTCCGTAAGTGAGCGAATTCATGGCTATGCTAGTAAACACTATACCGTCGTCAACGTCGTATAAATATGACAGAGGGTCTTCGGGGTCGTAGATAATCAAAGCCCCACGGAATCCATCGCTAAACGGGTTCGGATCATTGATTGCAAAGTTTAAAAGAATGACATATCAACAAACCACTGTTGCGTTCCATAGTGGCTATGATACCAATAGGTTCCAGCCTGATTCTGCGCCTCGAAGGAGTACAGAAAGGAGTGATTTTGTGCAATGGGACATTGGGTGACGAACGAGGCTCCATCGGCATAGTTAGTCCCATTCTGATCGATGCCGTGCCAGTGCTAAACAGTGTGAGGTGCCTGATGTATGAATACTGAACAGTTGTGTACCCACCACACTGGTGCTCTTCCACATTTCACCGTCAGTGAGTCTGTTCACGACATTTATCTCAAAGTGTTCCCCCTTCAACTATAGTCAGTGTCTGAGGGCTAGATCAGATTGGCAAAAAAGGGACCTTTTGGGCTGCGATGATTGGACCCGGAAACGTTCCTCCGGCGAGCGTTGTACTGTAACAATGATTAAGATGCAAATGCAAAAAAATGCACAGTAGAGACAAACTCACGAGCGCGTAAACCCGTCTGGGGATATGACTTCATTGGAAATTATTAGGTCGGTCTTAGGGCCTAGCGTGTTTGAACGAGAGTTGAGTGGATAGGAATTAGATCGTGAGACGATGGATGCTGCATGTGCTAGATGAAGCCATAGAACGAAAATGACATTGAGAAAGAGCATAATATCGAGTGTAGAGGGAATATATGCAAGAAACACTCGATAATAAAGTACTCACTTGAACATGGTGGCTCTTATAGATATCTGACATTTGCTTCTTATCCCAACTTCCGCCACAAGTGGCAAACTCGGCCGTAAAAAGGTTGTAGCCAACGTCCGTTGCCAAGCCCCGACTGGTTAATGGTAGCTTTTGGCGCGCAAGGGTGCAGCCCGCCACGTCAAGCTTCGCTATAGCACCCATAGGGGAATAATGCAAAGCCGGGACGGCAAGTTCGGAAAGGTAAACTAAGGAACGTCACGTCCACTTTCAAGTTGGTAAGTTCTGTCTTGGAAGCACTGGATTTACCAATGATCATTGTTCAACTAAGTGAAAAGATGAGCTAGATCAGCCGATTTTCGGAGGGAAATCATATGCATCAATTCAAACCAGCGGTAGAATCCTTGGAATCAGGCACAATTTTTCGACCTGGATACTCGAAGCCAGTGGTACGCACTGCGCACCCGACGGAGCCTGAATAGCATCCCCCTGACAAGTGTCCTCAGATCTGGTCATTAGGATGAAACGCACCGGAATTTTGAAATTTGTCTTGTTTGGTCAATCCCGGATGATTTGAGGCGTGGCATGATCGATCTTGTTCGTTGGTCAACCAGTACGCGGGGGGAGCAGAGTGGGCGAGCGCAATCATGATGCGTCGAGCGGGTTCTATGAATGTATCCAATTTCAATATGCGAGGCTGCAAAGTGGTGTATTCTGGTCATGGGCCACTGACATTTGCCGACAAATTAGGATCAAAGTATGTTTTACTGAATCGAGTCTCCACGCGCGCCGCAACTTGTGCATCAATTGTAGTCACTAGTAGCGAGCACCTGTGGGCGACAGCTGTTATACACCAGGAACTGCAATGATGTCCATGATGTGGCTATACTGGTGGTCTTCTTATTGAATACACGGCAATGTGACATTGGTTTGTTGTTGCATTCTGCACGTATAGGTTTCGGTTGGAGACATGTGCCCGTCGCATTGCCTGCACCATGACGGACTCGGAAGACACTTCCGTAGTATTAGTAAGCTGCTTCTTCATAGGACTTGCGACCCCGCCCCCCAACTGCGAGGGTGATAGAGAGTCGAAGATCGGACATAACTGATCCCAATCATCTGTAAAAGAAATTCAGCCATGGAAGGATATTTTCCACACGCATGACTTACGTGGCATGAGATTCAACTGTGCGCGGGTGTCCGAAGGACTTTCCGCCATTATCACGGCGAAACCTCTTGATTTGCGGATTAGCTATTTCATTCAGGAAGACATTCACAAACATACGCATCGAGGTGCCAGTCAATATGACTTTTGGTTCAGGGTTAGTACCCTTCTGGACAGCTCAACAAAAATGATGTCATACCAATGCAAGAACCAGGGGCCAGAGTTGTCGGTCGTCCATCTTATCACCATTTGTTCTCCATTGCCGCTGGCATTTACTACGTCGCGACGAACAGGGTTCGCGTAATTAAGGTTGCGTTGCATGCGCTCTGTACGACATCGAAGGCATGCTAATGACCATCAAATTGTGTACCAGCCATCCATTCTATCGAAGTTATGGCGAACTTACCCCATGAAAGTGTATTGGGTGCTGGTGCAATGGTATCTTCCACCAGGAAAGTAAACCACCGCTATAGGATGATCGACTCTGGACACTGTACAGTGTAAGTAGAGCAACCTGCATGAAAGTAGTATGATACTGTTGACAGCCAATGACGATTGTTTGTCGTTGTTTAATTCTAAAGGCTTTGCAACACCTTCCTGGAAAGTTGAAACCCTCACAAGAAAGAACAACCATATACAATTGCTACTTGCCTCAACGTGTAATTCGGAACTCTTCGCCCCACTCAGGCTTTCTGACCAAGCTATGATACAAACTGGTCTCATCCAGAGCGCGCACAATGATCTTTTGACAGACGTAGCTTATGATTTTTATGGGCTTCGTTTGGCTACTTGCAGTCTCGATCAGAGGTACGCTGTGCCTATATTGAATACATGCGTTTTCTACGAGATGACTTATAATGATTTCAAAGAATCAAAGTTTGGCAAGTTGACGAGAGTAATGGGAATTGGAACGTCGAAGACGACTGGAAGGCGAGCAGATTGGACGACGCGTATTTGCGCTTATCAACCAGTTCATGCTAGGCTCACGACGCTACCGTCTCCAAAATAAGCTGGGCTCACCCAGAATTCGGGACCATACTCGCGTCCGCCTCTTTCGACCGCACGGTTAAGATTTGGGAACAAACTAGCTTTGCATCGACGGCTGATTCCCAAACGAATGGAGCTGGTGCAGGGTCTCCCCAGGCTGCTTCCGGTGGTTCGTCAAGATGGGTGGAAAGAGCTGTATTGGTCGACGCAAGGGGCACTGTCCGCGCAGTCGAATTTGCCCCTCATCATTTTGGGTTGAAGCTGGTACGTCTTGTCGTTCGTCCTGGTTGAAGATTTATGAGAGCTCCTGCAAGGCAACTGTCTCTTCCGACAACAATGTTCGTATCTACGAGTGCTTGGAACAATCATCGCTAGCCACATGGCAGCTTTCGGAAGAAGTCGATGTCTCGACGCTCCCATCTATATCACTATCGTCGTCGTACTCCGTGGCGTTTGCAACACCAACACAAACGAGTGCAACTCTTGAAGGTGCATCCGCAACCCTGGTCGCTCAAGCCCTTCAGCAATCACAAAACCCCACCAATCAGGGACGACCTGGAATGGGCAACCGAGAAGCTGATGGAGGGTGGTGTATATCATGGTGTAAGGATAGATATTGGGGGGAGATCCTCGCTGCTGGTTGTGGGATAACTGGCGCCATCAAAGTATTGCCACAATATGTGTTTTTGTGGCGTTGCTCACTCTGAATCACAGATTATACAACTATCACCGTCTCGTCGACCTACGACTCTCCTCACTTTAGACCCATCTCCTTCGCCGGCGGGTTTGCCTGCTGAGGGAGGAACCTCACTTGCAAGCGACGGAGATACTCCAACAGCATTTGCGATCACGTCGGTGGCATGGGCCCCCTCATGTGGCCGATCGTATCACCTTATAGCTACTGGAGGTCGTGATGGACATGTTAGGATATGGCGAGTTAAGCCTGCGGAGGAAGAACCTGACGTCGAAGGGGAAGGCAGCGATCCTAAATGGTCTGCATCTGTAGTAGCAGATTTCGATCACCACAAGTATGTGCCATACGCACTCCCTTATGGCTTTGTTCCTGATTGGATGCGTGCAGGTCGGCAGTTGGCCGTGTTGAGTGGAACATCACTGGGTTTGTTTTTGTCTCTAGATATCATAGGCTGCCATAGCTAATACGCGTTCTCCCAGGACTGTCCTCTCTTCCGCTGGGAATGATGGTCGTGTACGACTGTGGAAAGCGACTATTGGTAATGTCTGGAGACCTGCGGGGAGCATTGGGGTTGAGCAATCGGAAGATGCCCAAGATGCTGATGTCAGTATGGATGAAAATGCAGCTGCTGAATAGGTCGTTTGTATATAGTGCTCGAGTCTCTTCTGCTAATCTTCTATATCACGATGTCCTTTCATGATATTCTTTCCCGTGAACCAACCAGGTGACGTCTACACGGCTTGCCGTGCGGACCGAGTTGAAGCGTCGATACACACTCTAACTTCTCACCGCATATGCTTTTGTGGTCCGATTAGATTTCAACATTTCTCTTCTGTCCACTTACCTTGAGGCTCGAGTAGTAGTAGCGATTCGGAAGACCAACGACAGGCCAAAATGTCTTCATCAGGGTCAATCGCAACTCTCTCTGCACCCACCCAGCGACTGATATCTGTCGCATCTCATCTACACAGTCAACGATTTAAGGTTGTCGTATGTCGCAACCTCGGACCCGATGTCATGTCCATTCTCGAGGCAAGACCAGAGCTAGATGTGAGTTAATCTCCAATTAATATACAAAGGTGAAGCTTACTACAGTTGTAGTTGGTTGTCTGGCCAGAAGATAGTGCCTGTGAACGGTCATGGTTGATGGAGAATATATCTGGTGCGACTGGGGTGATTGTTATGCTCACGGACAAAGTGCGGTTACTGTTTGAGTTTGATGAGTCGTAGATCCGCTGACGCACTTGCTTAGGTTAATGTAGAGCTTCTAGACAAGGGTCCGTATGCGACGTATACCTCTAGCTGAATTCTGACAAGCATGTGTCTACCACTAGCTGGACCTTCTTTGATGGTGGTATCAACTATGTCCGTTGGATATGGTACGTTTGCTGTTCCAAAATCCCTCGGTACTCCGTTTACTCGACCTCACCTCAACCCGCAGAACACATTGACCTCAAGGCAGCAGCACAACGAGGTCTAAAAGTGGGATACACTCCTGATGTCCTGACAGATGCAGGTGGGCCAGGGTACCAAACAAATGGTCCAAGCTACTTATATTCTTGACATGTAGTTGCTGATCTGTCGGTCATGCTCGCTCTCATGGCTGGCCGAAATGGAGGCACTGGCGTGGATCTTGTGCAAAGAGGCCAGGTTAGTGATTCTAATTCTTGGGCGTGTCTCTTGTGCTGAAAGATCCATGTCAGTGGGCAAATTTCTCGTGGGCTCCTTTTGGCCTGTGCGGGCCACAACTCAGTACCACAGCTGCGTCTCCCACAAGGAAAATTGGTTTTCTGGGCTTTGGACGAATTGCACAAGCGACACTAGCGCGCCTGGTGCCGTTCGGGATCACGCACTGTTTGTATTCCTCAAACCCATCCTCACCTCCAAACCACGCTCGGGATGCTGCGCTCGCAAAACAACACAATCTTCAAGCGGTCTCAAAGGTAGACATTGATGAACTTTCGCGGGAAAGTGATGTTCTCTTTGTGCTCGCTCCTGGAGGGGGCGAAACATACCACATTGTGAACGAGACACTGCTTAGGAAGATGAAAAGGACCAGTATCCTCGTCAACGCGAGTCGCGGAACGTTGGTTGATTCAGATGCTCTGGCGAAGGCTCTCAGAGAAGGATGGATCTGGGGAGCTGGATTGGATGTTGTTGAAGGTGAACCTAACGTCACGATTAATCATCCTCTTGTTAAAGAGCCGAGGTCAGTGCTGGCTTTATTTTATTTGATTGTCTCAGCCATGATATTTGCTATGCAGATGTGTGATAGTGCCTCATATTGCAAGCGCTACACTAGAAACTCGACGAGAAATGGCAACTCGTGCGGCACAGAATCTGGTTGGGGCTATCCTGGGAGGGGATATGCCTGCTCAGGTCAATCTGTCCCATGTATCGTAACAGTCAATTGCAAGCTGGTCAAATCGATATCCTCCTCTCATAGCTGTCCACAGATGATTCAGGGTGCGATCTCTTGGCTACAGATCGCATCTCGCTCAAAGATATCGTATGTCGGAGATTTCTATTTTTGGTTGGCGGTCCTTAAAATGAATTGGAAGCCCTCAATTTGCCGGCGGCATTACCACTCGCTTGGAAGGCAACCCGAAAATTTTGGAAGCCGCTTGAAAGCGACACCAGGGGGCTTCCAAGGCGGTCCCAAGACCATTCCAATTTAAGAGCAAATTGCAAGTCAAATATCAGTCACATGTCCTTCCAAGGCCTTAAAATCATTGCGTGTGGTTGAAATCAATTTTTTTTAATTGCAATACTATCCAAGGCCTTAAAATCATTGCGTGTGCTTGAAATCAATTTTTTTTAATTGCAATACTATCCAAATACATAATACAATCGCTACTGTAAATAGGTATTGCAACATTATAGACTCAATACCCGCGTATTGTAAATGCGAATCCTAAATACATCAGCTGCATCAGCAAACCGTTCCGTCAAACGAAACGAAACGGAGCTGGGCGTGGACCTTGTCGATGTGGCTTGCGAGGCTGGTTTGGGTCTCATGTAGCTCTGAGCGCAGCTCAAAGGAGGATTAAGACACTCACATCCTGCGAAGAGTGGGCAACGACATGGATCAGCATAGCTCAAGCTCAAAGGAGGATCAAGACACTCACATACTGCGAAGAGTGGGCAACAACTTGAGTCAGCATGACTCGAGCTTGAAGGAGAAAGGCCAGGGTGCTCTGGGGGAGGTGCAGGGGTTCTGGGTTTGCGGGCGCGACAGATGCAGGTGTGTGTGCAGAGGTGGTCGAGGCTTGTTGTGAACGCATGGGAGGAGGTGCAGGGGTTCTGGGTTTGCGGGCGCGGCAGATGCGGGTGTGGGTGCAGAGGTGGTTGAGGCTTGTTGTGAACGCATGGGAGGGAGCAATTGGGGGAAGTGTGGTAGGTTTTGGGCTATGGGGAAGGGGGATAGTCAGTATGTAGGAATAAAGAGAGTGGCGGGGACAGACCACTTACACCGAGCCACTGAGCGTGTCATGAATGTCATTCATTGAAGAGCTCAGGGAGTGCAGTTCTGCCCCAGTGTCATGGCTCTTCTGGAGTTCGCCTGGATGTTGGGAGGAAGAGAGGTGGATGTTGGGATGGCCTCTACGTGGGCAGCGACTTTGTGGTGGATGGTGGTCTTGTTGTCTTCACCGATAATGTCGATACCGAATTCCTGCAGGGGGGTTGGATTCAGATGGGTCAGACAGAGGGAAATGGGGCAGACATACCAGAGCTCGCGGCTGCCAGCGCTTCCACTGATACATGTTGCTTCAGGGAAATTCGTCGGCTGCGCAGGTGGAATAGGTTGTGATGTCGAAGGCATTGGGGGCAATGCGCCATTCTGTTGAGAAGATTGCGGAGTGACAGTGGCGAAGGGAATCCATTGGGACATGGTAGTCGGAATGTAAGTGAATGAGAGTGATTCCAAAACATTCCAAGTTCGGTTATTGTTTGGTACTGTTTAATTATTATTATTAATCATTACGTATTGAATTAATGGCGTCAACATAGACATAGCAATGACAATGATTGATTCAGATGGCTGAATTCTTGTCCGAGTCGACGTCGCTCTGTTGATTCGGATTCAAAATCTCTACTTAGTTGTATTGTAGTTGCATGTCTAGCTAATGTCACAATCAATGGATTTAAGATGATGCATTGCGTGAAAATTTAACCAGCAGACAATTCTATTTGAAAGTAAGGGATTGTCCAGGGTATTAAATTACAGGTAATAACAATCATTGAGCGCAGGATGAAGACAGTCTACTTAGTGATCCTTGATCGGCCCCTTCCCACACCACTGCCACTGACTACTGACAACAAAACCTCAGGTTCCTTTTCCAGGAGCTTGATCCTCCGGGTCAGCACTGGTAGTAGTATTAGTATCATTGGCGGCCTTGCCCTTCCGCTTTGGCTTTGGCCTTGGCTTTGGCTTCTGGACAGCAGGTGGTTCCAGCTCGTCCTCATCAAGTACCGGCTGCGCTGCAGGTGGTGGGTCTCGACGACCGTCCTCAGCTAAAGCTAAACCTTGCATGGTGGCAGAGATTGATTGGGGACCGGGTACAGCAGGAGGTGCAGCAGGAGGTGTGGCAGGAGGTGCAGCGGGAGGTGCAGCAGGAGGTGCAGCGGGGGGTGCAGCAGGAGGTGTGGTGGGCGCCTCTGAATCGATGACAGGGCCAACTGCATCTAGTTCTGGTAGTTCGCCTCCGGTTTCCATGGCGTGCTCAAACATTTCTTCCCAGCTGTCCTGTGGACCGCTCGGGTCATGTGAGGGGTCTGAACCGAGGATAGTTGAGGCAGAATGAGATGTCGCAAACAGCGCGTTGTTGAAAAACGTGAAGACCCCGTTTGCCCAGGCACCTCCGGTTAGCAGCGATTGTCGGTAGTAGTTATGGTAGTCTTTGTATGGAATCTGGGATTTGTCGCCGACTTCAACCAACTCTTTGTCGCCGGATAGGACAAATATAGCCTGAAACTCGTAAATATCAATGTTCTGCAGTGTAAGAAGAAGAAGTGTTACGCTGAAAGCGTAGACTCAGGTAAGAGCTCTGTACTAAGTCTCGACGTGAGACGAAGATAATGCAGAGGTTCGTTATCGTTATTGTTGGGGTCAAGACTTGGTGACAAAAGTCAGCAAGCAAAGACAAGACTAATGGTATCGATCGAGTAAAGGCACTTAAGACGAAGAATCTTTAGTGAAATCATATACGAGAGCTGTCTTGCTCAAGGAAGGTCTATCAGAAGACTGAGTAGATTCAAGTTAGAGAATACAAGACAAGATGATCGACTACTTATAGGTAAAGGTCAGTTCAGGGCAGGACTACCAAGGCAATGGTAAGGGTACAGGGTACAAGATAAGAGATACGAGATAAGACGGCGATCAAGGATGCTGTATAAGAAGATGATAAGGCGTCATATGGTAGTACATGATAGGAGAAAAGATAAGGGGTACCCGGTCCGAAGTATGTTATCGTAACATTACCTCCCGTTCAAAGGTTTGAAGTCACCGACTTCAATCATCCTGGTTGGAATAGTAGATGGGGTCAACGTCAATATCTGCCAACATAGCGATGGCGTCGAGTTCATTCTCTTCTCGTTCTTCTGCAACGTGAGCACGCTCATGGTCAAAAGCAGCTTCGAGCTTAGCCATTTCTCCGTGGAACCTATCAGCAGATTTTCCGCGACGAAGGAGCTTCTTGCCCTTGAGGAGGGGACAGAATGGGGTAAGGTGCTTGGGAGCGTATTTGCCACAGATGCGGCACTGGTACCTCTTGCAGTGCTTTTGCTTATGCCCCCAATTGTTGCAAGTACGACAGACACAGTTGAAGGGATAGGTTTGAGTCGTTTCTCCGGCTTCATACTGTGCTCTCTCGATGGAGTATTGTGCGGCGGTGGTACATCCTGGTGCAGATTCGAAGTTGTAATGTTTGTAATGATGTTGGCTTAAAGGGAGCCCCATAGAGAAAAGCAATCTAGGCTTCATCCGAGTAAGCCTTTGCGCTCTGCGGAGAACGTCCATCCTATCATCAAGATCGACGGGCGTAGTAGGAGGTGGGACAGGGATAGGGGCAGCGTTTTGCAATGGAGAGTAATGCAAAAGTTCAGGGGAGAGCGTCCTTGACTGGGATGGGGAAATATCAATGGGAAGTTGCTGCTCTTCTTCCTCAACTTTAGGGGGAGGCGTACTGGGAGGAGATAGACCGAGGAACGAATAATAGTCCTGAGCTGGCTGGGCTACAGGAGGGGGTGTGTATGGCACATAGAGCGAGCTGCTACACTCTACTAGTTCTTCATCTTCTTCGATGACTAGGGGAGGGGTCAGAGTCGTATGCCTCATTGCTGCGATGAATGGCTCGGGAGGTGGATTAAACTCATTTTCATCCTCTATCCTTCTGATTGCATCATCGAAATCAACGGTGAGTCGGATGGCGTTCAAGACTGCATTCTTGATCTTGTTTTGGTTGTATCTGATGGGGATCGCACCAAGACTGGTGGAGGAGTCGAGTTGGAACTGCATTGCTGCGGGAGTGAGGGCGTCTGCTGCCCGGAAAATGATGATGAGTTCTTTGAGGGTGGCATTGCCGACCCTCTCTACATAGGCGTCAAGCCTCATAGCATACTGGATGTTGAGAATAACGGCTTCCCACATGGCGCGATGCTGGCCAGGGGTCTGGGGACGAGTAAAGGGGTTGTTTTCAAAGAAGTTGGTGATACTGTGGTCGGAGCCATAAGAGCAGCTGGAGCGGTCAGACATGTTGGTTTCGAATCAAGGTAGGTTTAGAGGCCTAATGCTCTAGAGACAAGTTTGAGTCTCTTCTTATAGGCGTTGAGAAGCTCCACTGCGTTTTCAAGCTCAGTTTCAAGGATCCATGAGTTCTCAGATTCAGGGTATCCAACCCAAGATACGAGATAACGACGTCTTGTGCCTGCCCCTTTGTGTGAGAGTATGGCTTCAATTTCGTAATGTTCTTCTCCGTTGATAAGGTCAGGAGGTGGTTCGGTGAAGTTCAGGCCGTGTATCTCTGTCTCTTGATAGGAGGATAGTTCAGAAGCATGGAATGTGGAGTGAACTCTCCAGGTTTTCGGTAGCTTCAATTTGAACGTGATAGGCGATAGAACTTCTGTGATTTCGAAAGGGCCGTATCGTTTGGGAGCTAACTTCTTTGAGGGAAGTCGTGTGATGAGGTGTGCTGCGGAAAGCCAAACTTTATCACCACATTTCCATGGTTCGTACTTCTGTCCATGAGATCTTTCTGCCATTCGTTGTTGAGCAAGGCTGTGAGAAGCTAGGGCTTCTTCTCTGATCTTCTGAAGGTGTTTGATGCGGTCTTCTGCGGCTGGAAGAGTGGAGTCAGGGAAGGCGTGTGGGTATCCGCAAGGTTCATATCCCATCATAAGGGAGAAGGGGGAGGCGTTTCTGGCGCTGCCTTTTCTGGAGTTGTGGACAAATTCTGCCATGGGAAGGTGATTTGCCCAATCATTAGGGTTCGTTCGACAATATATCCGGAGATAGGTTTCTAGTTCTTGATTCATTCGTTCAGTTTGTCCATCAGTCTGGGGGTGATAGGCGGTAGAAAGGGCGACTTGATAGTTTAGGAGCCTTCCAAGTTCTTTTGCGAGTTTAGAGGCGAACTGTGGTCCTCTATCGGAGATGATCTTGTCGTAGAGGCCGAATCTAAGGAAGACCTTTTCAAAGAAAAGTTGGGCTACTCCTTCTGCGGTGATCGTTTTTCTGCAAGGGCAGAGAATTACCCCCTTCGTAAGGCCATGGTCTACCACGACCATGATAGAATCAAAGTCAAGGGACGGGGGAAGGTCGGTGATAAGATCAACGGAGACCTGTGAAAAGGGGCGAGAGGCGGTGGAGGAGATCGGCAACAAGGGAGGGGTAGTAGGATGCGTATTCGGCTTCATTTGCTGACAGGTTGCACATCCGTCAACGTATTTCCTAATATAGGTTCCCATCCCGGGCCACCAATAGGCTTTCTTCACATTCCATTCCGTGATAGTGCGGCCCGGGTGTCCGGCCGTAGAATGATCATGGTGGAGGGTAAGGATTCGATGACGGAGGTCAGAGGGAACATAAGCACGATTTTTGTAGAAAAGTACATCATCCTCGAATTTCCAATCAGAAAGTGCAGATTTCATAGGAGGAGCGCATACGCCATTTAAGGCGTCTAATGCGGTGCGAATAGTAGCATCGTCAGATGCGTCATGAAGGAGCTTGAAATCTTCTGCAAGTTCAGCATCAATGAGGTTGACAAACAGCGAATCGGGAAGGAGGATAAGATCTTCGTTATCGGATCCAGAGAAAGCGTGATCAGATCGACGGGAAAGAGCGTCGGGGGCGGCGAGTTTGGACCCGGGAACGTGATGGAAGGTAAGATCATAGTTGCACAATGTGAGCTGCCAACGAGCTTGCCTCCTGGTGAGTTTCTGTGCGGATCTGAAATATAGGAGATTCTTATGGTCAGTGAAGATTATGACCGGGTGAGGATTTCCTTCTAGGAAATGTCTCCAGGCTTGTAAGGCGCGGATGACAGCAAGGAGTTCTCTATCATAGATCTGATAATTTCGTTCTGCCGGGTTCAGGGATTGGGAAAGGTACCCGCAAGGGTGATACGCTCCATTCTCGTCTGTCTGAAGGAGTACTGCTCCAGTAGCAAACAATGATGCATCGGTTGCGAGGGCGAATTGTCGAGTAGGATTGGGGTTTCGGAGGACGGGTTCAGAGAGGAAGCAGTGCTTCAGTTTCTGGAAAGCTTCTTCACAGATGCTTGACCAAGAGAAGACGTTGTCCTTCTTTGTAAGGTCGATCAGCGGGCGAGCAATATCGGAGTAATGGGAGATGAAGTGTCGGTAGAAGTTGCAAAACCCAAGGAATGATCGGACTTCTTTGACTGAGGAGGGAGGAGTCCATTCGCTGATTCCTTTCAGTTTCGCTGGGTCCATAGCAACTTGCCCAGGTCGGATAATCATGCCGAGATATTCAACTTCCTGCGTATCAAAAGTACATTTCTCTGGTTTGAGGAAGAGTGACTCTTTTCTAAGTTTCTCCAGGACTCGTCTAGTTTGTCCCTTCTGTTCTTCCAAGGTGTCCGAGAAAATAAGGATGTCATCCATATAAACGATGAGCCATCCTTCATTGATTTCGGTTGCAAAGGTTTGGTTCATGTATGCTTGGAAAGTTGCTGGGGAATTGCAGAGGCCGAAGAACATGACTTTTGGTTCAAAGAGACCAAAGGAAGTAGAGAATGCGGCTTTCCATCTATTGTCGGGGTGAATGAGAATGTTGTTATATCCCGAGCGGACGTCTATCTTGGTGAAAAATTTGGCATCGCTCAGTTTCGCAATAAGAGGAGGAATCAAAGGGAGGGGGTAGGTGTTCTTTACGGTCCATTCGTTAATATACCGATAATCCTGACAAGGTCTAAGCGATCCGTCTTTCTTTCCAACGAAGAAGAAGCCGGATGCTTGCGGAGATTTTGATGGAGTAATGAAATCTTTAGCTACATGTTCGTCCAGGAATGCTTTCAATGCGTCGGTTTCTTTCGGGGAAAGAGGGTATGCTCTGGATGATTTCGGAATGAAACCTTCTTTGGTGTCGATCCTGTGGTCGAATCCTGGGCGAGAGGGGGGAAGTTTGTTCAAGCCATTTTGTGCGAATATGTCTGCAAAGTCATGGAGATATTCAGGGATGAGTTCTTCGAAAGTTTTCTTTTTCTTTGCTTG